GCACCATCGTCAGCACCATCGGCTGCACCATCGTCGGTTCCATCGTCGGTTCCATCTTCTACACCATCTTCTACACCATCGTCTGCACCATCTTCAGCTCCATCGTCAGCACCATCTTCTGCACCATCGTCAGCACCATCGTCGGTTCCATCGTCTGCACCATCGTCTGCACCATCGGCTGCACCATCTTCTACACCATTGTCTGCATCATCGTCAGCATCATCGTCAGCACCATCGTCAGCACCATCGTCGGTTCCATCGGCTGCACCATCTTCTACACCATCTTCTACACCATCGTCTGCACCATCTTCTGCACCATCGTCAGCACCATCGTCGGCACCATCGTCGGCACCATCGTCGGCACCATCCTCGGCACCATCCTCGGCACCATCCTTGGCACCATCCTCGGCACCATCCTCTGCGCCATTATCAACTTCATCGTTACTTTTATCAACTGTTTCATCGTTGTTGGAACCATCGTCAGTGCCGTCAACTTGTGCATCTTGTATTTCTTCAATAACATTAACTCTGTCTTCATCATCAGTGTCAAAGGACTCATCTTCAATTATGGCGTCTCTTCCTTTGGCATCTTCATTTGAGGTTTCTTCGATGGTTCATACTTCTACTTTTCCTTCAATTCCGAAAATTCCAATCTCTTCTGTCAGTTCATCTTCAAATTATCAAAGATACTCCAATACCACAGTTATTGACACCCTAACAACTCATGACCAATCTTCGCTTACCTCTCTTCTAACTGCACCAACTGCATCAACTGCACCAATCACTTTGACTTTTCCTGGCAACGCCGGTGCTTCTGAAGAAACTAAGCCAGGCCCTTCCAGCTATAGTCATAGTGTACCTGAATACAGCATCACAATTCCAACATCCAGTCAAGCCCACTCAGATGCTAGTTCAGTTTTCGATCCTAAACCTAAGACAAACACAAGGCAAGTCACATCCCCTCAGCAAGCTGCTACCACAGTCCCTCGTAATGATTCTTCCCTGAGATCAACTTTGCTAACTGAACAAACTAATAATGTTAACCAGCCAACGCCATCGTTACCATTTGCTAAACAGACAATATCTTCCTCGGTATCTAGATCTAGATCTGGGCCGAAACCAACAGGAGGGATTTCCCCAAGCCTAAGCACTTACCAAGGTGGCGCAGCTAAGAGCATGACTGTTTCATCTATCTACTACATTATACCAATTATCTTACTACTGCAGTGACTGGAAACTTTTTGGAATCTTTTCAGTCTAATCTCTTTTTCTCTTTGTGAATTTATTCACTGGTTAAATTTATACATAGCACTCAACAGTTCCCGATGTGCTCATTTTTTTTGACTTTTTCTTTCGTCCCCTTATTTTTTTGATACCATTTTCCTTCGGCCTTGTTTCGTGGCGTTATCTGTTATGGTCTTTCCAGTCGTATTCATTTGTTATCCGTATATAAATGTGTTATATATTTTATTCTGTTTTATTTTAATTTCAATGCCATTGAGCTATCTAATGTAAGACGCATTATACTTGGCATTTTCTCAACAATTTATAAGATTTAAAGCATAAATTACGATTCCAGATAAATAAAAGGTTTAAGGAATAAGAAGGAGATCGATTAAACTATCGATTTGTTTGAAATTAGAGTCATCTTCAGCAAAAGAGCGATGCTTTTCGGAAAAGACATGGTCAGAAAAATCTGAGTATTTGACTCTACAATTTTCACAATATCCAGGTTTCATCTCATGTTTGCTTCTTTCGATTTTTTGTTCTTTGAAAATTCCAATGGCAGCAGTGACATTCTTTTTTGACTGTCTTTTGAACAGAGCCAGATTTTCAACATCCTGCTTTAAGGCTTGTTTGCCAACCTTTGGACAAGTGCGAGTGCTACTATTTTCATCAATGTCTTTGTTGGCATCATTTTTAGACTGCTTCAGCAAGCCTTCACTAATGAATGGATTGGCGGCCTCCACAGACCGCAATGCCGCAAGCTCATCTTCGTTAATGGTTGTCTTATTTGAAGAATCTTTATACCCGGCCATCATTTGTTCTTGTGTTTCAGGTATGGTGTCATCTGCTATAAGTAAAGCACCACAAGATTCCTTCTGCTGCATGTTTTCCATGTTTTTCAAAGTTTCAGGATTGATCGTAGCAAGTACCCCACCGTTCTTTTGTCTACTGTTTAACGCAGGAGTCAGAACCACAATTCTTTTATGCTCATTGGCTAAAGTTTTATTTACAACTTGAGATTTACTCGGACCCAAACCATTTCCAATACCACCCACTGCATTCCCGTGAGAGAAAGTTCCACTAGGATTAACCCCTGAAGCTTGAATCCCAGAAGCAGCAATTTCACCATAATCGCATAGAAGTTTCCCATCCGCAGACACATTTTGTGACCTGGCATTAATTATACTATCCTCACGCATCAATTTTGGCAGCCTTTTCATATAATTGGTATGTGTAGTACACTGTTCTGTGACTTCTTGTAAATCATTCTTTTTAGTTATATCAGAATTCTGACAATCAGTTGCCCTGGTACCGTTTATTAAAGGATTATTAATCACATCTATTACGTCAACTTTATCTGATACCAACTTCAAAATATCTTTGTAGTTATCATCGTTGATATCGACATCATTATCATAATCATCGATATCATAGTTAGCCTTTTGATCATTGCTATTCTTTTCATGCTCGGTATTATAATCATGAATCAGTATTTCCCCTTGAGCTCCAACCCCTGTTTTAGAATTGCTATGCTTCGAGTTGGAGATTATTTTAGCTCCATCGTTATCTTTTTCATACTTTTTCTGAATGATATGTACAGTTCTGATATTATCAACATTTTCATCATCTTGAGATTCACATTCACTCATTTTACTTAAGGTGAATCCTTTATGTCTCTTATTAGAAGAGGACAAGTCAGCCAGGGGAAGTTCAAATTTTTCCTCGGCTGGAAAGATATCAGAAAATTGCTTTTTATCTTTATCATTCAATGAATCATGAAGTTTTTTATACTTTAACTTGGGATTTTCGTCTGGGTTAAATTTGTAGATTGTTTCTTCCCACTTTCTTTTGAAGGCTACCCTTTCTTCATACGAAGGATGGCGCACTTTATGGTTAGGGATATCGATGTCGTATGCAGATTCAATTATACTTTGTCTATAGGAAAATGTGTCATTCAGGCATTGCAGACGTCTTTGATGTCTTTTCAATATACTGATTGCATTTTGTGATCTTGATTCGGGCACAAACAAAGATTTTCCGTTAGTTGTGTGGTGAATTTTTGGGTATAATGATTTATCTTTCCATTCTCTGATAGCAACAGGGCGAGTTTTATGAGTAACGTCCCATATATATAGGTAAAGTTCTGTGAAATACTTGAAATCGTTTCTCTTGACACTAGGATCGCGGTCGCTTGGTCCGAAAATTCTCTCATTCATCAACAAATTACTGAGATTATTGTTATGAACGTTGCTATTGATAGCAGTCTGCGGAGCAAGAGCATTATTGCTGATCGTATTAACAGTGGTGGTGATGGTAGTGGTAATTGCAGTGGTAGGATCGTATTCTTCGACCTCGGGTACTTGCTCACCGAGGTGACTCAAAAACCGAAACACTTTTTCAACATTCCAAACTTTCAACTGCTTCTTGACCGCATATCTGAAAATGTCACCTTTTGGATATTGTGCAGATTTGTTATATGAGCGTTTGGAGACTATGATGGTGACATTTTCGCAAAAAAAAGGCTCAACTGTTGCTCCCAATTTCTTTAAGGCTATCATTGCTCTTTTTTTGTCACGCTCGTTGGACTCATCTTGCTCGAAGTAGACATAGCTCTTCGGCAATATTTCTCTCCAAGTCTGCTGCCATTTGGATAGTTCATTACCTGTCATTTTTTTGTAAACTGTGTTGTTGTTGTTACTACTATTTGTATGATTCTTATTATTACCAACGATACTGGCATGATTGGCAGCGGTTGATTCGATATTGCTCTCTGTCGTAGCAGCAGTATTCTTAGCAGCGGCAATGGATGCCGTGGACCGAGTCGCCGGAATGCTCGTGGTGGTGGAATTATTTAGATTACGGCTCGTCAAAGAGGGTAAAAACCCATCCTTTTTAGGAGTCGATGTGCCCATGAGAAAAGGAGTCCGGTCACTAGTGTTCAGTTTCTGCATGTGCACTACAGATAGATCGGCTGGCTGAAGGCTATGCGTTTCTTGGCTTTTCTGGTGCTTCTTGACTGGCCCCACCGGAGCGGCCAGTGATTTTGACGTGGGTGTGTTGACAAAGTGTTTGGACGTATCCTTCAAGGGTGGCCTGTTGCCACAGGCAGCCGGCGCTTTGTTCATTGAGGGGTGACAGACGGTCTGCTGTCTGGTTGACTTGTTAAGTGAGTTTCTCGCTATCTAGCTCTTGCTTTCTGGTCGAATGTCTCCTCATAATGGCCTAGTTCAATCCATGCTCAGCAAGACAGAGAGGGAAACAACGAACGCAACGCGTTCCCGCAAGGAAAGACGGGGCGGGTTCTCGTTTCCTCTCAGGGAAGCCGCGTGCCGCCCGCGTGGGGCAGAGCGAACAGCTTGTACGGGGGCCTCATGAATGGGGATGGTGGTGATGATACCGCTAGTAGCAGATCAGAGAGAGACCACTAGAAAAGAACAGGTTTGATAGAGAAAAGACAGAGGATATGCTACAATCGACAAGTCTACAACCGCTGCTTTTGCAGCTCCTGGAGCCGTGTCCGGAGCTCACGGAAAGTCTCCCGCTGTCGGCGTCTCTAATATCGCTGGCGTCACAGAAGCCACTGCTCTCATGCATCTCAAAGACAGCGATGGAACAGGACAAGACGTCGCATGAACCTCCCAGAAGTGTGGAAGCGGGCGACAGTACGTTTGCGCAGAATCATCCAGGAAACACGACGACACTGCTGGGCGACATGAACGAGACGCTACCGCTGTTGCAGTCACAATACAACACGACGTTTGGAAGCACGGCCAACAGCAGCGGGAACATGAACACAACGGCGTACAATCTGAATGGAAGCACCAACAACATCGGAGCTAATGGTATCAGCAGTAATATGCGAGAGGGGGCAGGCAGTGGCGATGAGAGCGACAGCAAGCTGTCGCCGCAGTACCGGATCGAGGAGCTGCAGCAGCAGCTCGATAAAATGGACGAGACGTACGACCCGGACTATATCAACGCTAATGTAAACCCGGTGGACAACTTGAATATTCTTTCGTTGATGGTTATACGGGAATGGGGCCAGCGTTCGGAGGGGACGCGGTGGCAAGTGTACTCCTTTGGGAGCTACCGGTTGTACATACACGAGGTTAGTGAGCGATATGCGTTGCTCCTTTGCACATCCTCAACGTATCCGTCTGCTTTGGCTGTGTCTCGACTGAGCAGCCTATGCTCGATTCTCTCGAACAAGTTGTAGAAGTGATGCACGCATTTATATATATATATATATATATATATATAAATAAACATGTACATTGAGGGAAAAGAAAAAACGGGTTAGAGTTTCATCTAGGGCTATTTCATGATATATCAGTATGTGGAAGAGTGGTGGGATGAAGGAAAAAAGAGAGGAAGAAAGTTGGGTGGGAAGGGGCGGAGGTGAGAGAAAAGTGTACCTAGTATCGTACTAAACAAGCAAGGAAGTATCTATCATATTTTTGTGTTGACTTTATCTGTCATATCGACGTAGTTTTCGTGGTCGCTGTGGCTGTCGTCAACCTCGTCGTCGTCGTCGTCGTCGTCGTCGTCGTCGTCGTCTTCGTCGTCTTCTTCGTCATCGTAGAAGTTGTCGTCCCACCATTCATCGTTTTCCTCTTCGTTCCCGTTCGCAGCCGACTTGTGGGCCGTTATCTCCTCGATACTAGGCAGCACGACGTCCGACGGCATGCGTTCTCTGCTCCTCTGCACATCAGCCCTGATTTTCTGCTTGTACACGTCCTTCTGCTTGCGGTAGCAGATGCTGGCCTCGATGTTGGCCGGACTGTTGACGTTCGGGTCCTCCAATAAACTCAGGATGCTGAGCAACACGCTCTCCACGTTCTGGGCGGGCGACCACGTAAAGTTGACAGGCTCATCCGACGTCTCGTTGTCTGCGGTGTGCAAGATCGAGATGCAGAGGCGTCCGTCGACATACACGTTTGGATGGAAGATCGCCGGCGTGAACTTGAACGACGGCGGAGCAAAGGGGTAGTTGGAGGGGAATCGTAGCTGGCCGGAGAGATATGCGCCGTTGTAACTGCTTTCCGGGTCGACCACTATGAGCGACACGTTCCACACAAAAATGTTTTCGTCCGGAAGCTCTACGTGCACCTGCTTGAGGCCCGTCTTCGGGTGTGTGATGTCTCTGAACTCTTTCCAGAGAAGTTTTGCGGCAGACATGGGGGGGGGGAGACTGGAGGAAGCGGGGAGAAAAGCGCCCCGGAGGTGTGTTCGGTAGCGGGAGACAGTGGTGGTGCGGTGCAGGCAGGCTGGTGGCAGTAGCAGCGGTGCCTACGTAGCAGGTACATTCCCGGGGAATGTGTCCGGTCTGTGTCCGAGAAGAACGGCCCCGGCGGGGACCCCGGTGTGTCTCTGTGTCTGTGTGAGCACACGAATCGATCGGCATCTCTGTTTCTTCCTCTGTGTCTGCGTCTTTACCGGAGGGAGAGAGAAACAAGGACTCGGGTTACGTAAGCGCAAGATAAGAATGGGGCGTTTTGCTGTGCTAGACGGTGCTATATATGTACAAGTCGGAGGGGGCCGGCAGCGGGGCCGGAGACTACTCGTCGGTGGTCAGTACTGCCTCGACGGCGTCCTGCGTGCTGCCATCGGCTGCGGCCCGGTCCTGCTCCTCCTCCTCGTCCGGCGTGATCCCAAGCAGCTTGGCCTTCTCCTCGAGTCTGCGTCTCTTCTCGATCTTCGCCTGTCTGATTCTCGCCAACTCCGCCTGGATCTCGTGCGGCTCCTTCGGGATCTTGTTGAGCGTGTCCGGGTCTGGCCAGTAGCCGGGGACGTTGAACTTGCGGTCCGTATCGATCCCGACGTAGTACATGATCGTGATCGGGGTCATGAGATAGAACGTGAACTTCGCTAGCTCGAACTGCGAGCGGGTGAGCTTCGGCATGCGGCGCCAGAACATTGCGGATGGGCTGGTGGGGGTGAAAGCTGGTGGGGCTGCTGCTGGGGCTGGGGCTAGGGCTGGGGCTGTTGCTGGCCAGGCAGGCGGCCTTTGCAGTGGTGTGCCCAAGTAGAAGTACAACGTGAAAAAAACACGAGTCGGCAAAAGAGGAGGACAGCGCCTGCTGCTGACGTCAGCAATGTGGCCTGATTACGTTGGCTTGATGACGTAAGCACGCCGGTTGAGGAATTTTGGTGTTAGGTGCCTTGGCTAAGAAAACTTTTCTTCCTATTTGTAATACAAGTCCCCTAATTTGACAGCTTTACTTAGCCAGGGTTTAGTGGAAGGGCTCTTGAAACCATCCATTCGCAGACGACTCCTCGCAGCAGCCAGCCAGACATGTCCAAGATGCTCCAGATTTGCACCCACTCAGGCTCCTTCCACGCGGACGAGGCGCTCGCGGTTTACATGCTCCGCCTGCTCCCCCAGTACAGATACGCCAAGCTCGTTCGGTCGAGAAACCCAGCCGACTGGGACGCGTCCGATATCGTCGTGGACGTCAGCGGCAAGTACGACGGCGCCAAGTACTTCGACCACCACCAGAGAGAGTTTGCGTCGACGTTCAACGACAAGTACAGCACGAAGCTCTCCTCGGCCGGGTTGGTGTACAAGCACTTTGGCCGCGAGGTGATTGCGACGGTGATCTCGCTCGACGAGGCGGTTGCCGCCGACGCAGCGAAGATCGACTACCTCTACGACAAGATCTACGCAGACTTCATCGAGGCCGTCGACGCCAACGACAACGGCATCGACATGTACGCCGAGAAGGACACGCTGACCCCGCGGTTCAAGGACCGCAACTTCTCCCTCGCCGGCATGGTCTCCAACCTCAACCCGAGCTGGGAGTCCGACGCCACCGACCACGACTTCGACAGACAGTTCCAGCAGGCGTCCAAGCTCATCGGCGACGCCTTCCTCAACTACCTCTCCTACATGGGCCACTCCTTCCTCAAGGCCAAGCAGTACGTCGTCGACGCCTTTGCCGCCAGACACGCCCTCGACAAGAGCGGCCGCATCCTCCTGCTCGACCGCTTTGTTCCCTGGAAGGAGCACCTCTTCCAGGTCGAGGCCGACAACGGCGCTGCCGGCGAGATCCTCTTTGTGCTTTTCCCCGACAGCAGCAACTGCTGGCGCATAGCCGCCGTCCCGCTCAACTCCGCCAGCTTCGACTCCCGCAAGAAGCTTCCCGAGCCCTGGAGAGGTCTCCGCGACGACGCCCTCAGCACCATCACCGGCGTCCCCGGCTGCACCTTCATCCACGCCGCCGGCTTCATCGGCGGTGCCCAAACAAAGGACGCCGTACTCAAACTTGCCCAAATGGCTCTTTGAGCCCTTTCATGTTGCCGACGCAACAGCACGCCTGTCGCGGCCCCTCGCGACCCCCCGTTGCCGGGATTTGCAGACCCATAACTTATTAAGTAACCAAAAACTTCGTAAATGAAAAAAGGGCAGCGGTTGAGCTGAGGGTTGTTTTCTTGGCCCGCCGGCCGTTGGATGCGGCCTCTTCCCTGTGGACGCAGCAGCAGCAGGGAAACAGAAGCCCCGGACACGTAGCCGCCATACGTCGCTGGCGGGCTCTTTGTTCTTCTCGTGTGCAGCAGAGCATCTGGACACGCAGCAGGTGGAGACAAGTGTGTGCCACAAGACGCAACACCCAACAGTGCGCTGGACCCGAGACCGACACCGACACCAACACAGTGCCGCTCTAGCCCCCGAGGCCGCCCCCACCACCGACCGACACACACCATGAAGAAGTTTCTCGGATTGAAGGAGAAGGACAAGGACAGAGAGAAGGACAGGGACAGGGACAGGGAGAGCAGCTCCCGGAGGAAGCAGTACCTGAACTACCACTCGCCGCACAATGCGTCGCCGGCACACTCCCATGCTCAGTCCCACGCCCAACCGCAGCCGTCCTCGACGTCTCCGTCGCAGCCACATCCACACGCTCAATCGCAGGCACAGAAGAAGCCTGCGACGCAGTACCGACCAGGACACCCGCTCCATCAGCAGCAGCAGCAGCAGCAGCAGCAGCCTGCGCTGCCAACCCAGCTTCACCACAACGCTGCAGGCAGTAGCTCTCGATCCTCGATCGACAACCCGCTGATAAGCCGCAGCTCCACCCTTTCCAACCTCAACAACAGCGTCCACTCCCTCGGCACCCATCCTCAGACCTATGCTCACGGCTCGCAAGGCCCTTCCAGGACACCTTCGTTCCATGGCTCGGTGAAGTCTTCTCAGAGCTCGTCGAACTTGGCTTCAACGTCAGCGTCTATGCACCACCAATTTCAGGCTCCATCTAAGGGCCAACCAGCAGCGCCAGCAGCGGTACCATCAGCAGCCTCCGACCACCCAATTTCTTTTCTATCCTCTCCATCCATTGGCAAAGGCTCTCCCCTGGCTGCAGACACCTTTCTCCAACCATCCAGCATTCCTGACCCAATCAACCTCGACGATGCGTTAAATGATACCTTCAATGAAAACGACCTTGCTGCAGACACGACTATGGAAGCCATCGAAAAGACAACGAACCTATCCGCCTTTCCCAGCTCCAGCTCAAGCTCTGCAAATCCTATTCCGTCATCCCCCGAGCTCGAGAAAACGACCTCCTCGACTGACAATTCCGGATTTGATAACTCGAAGCTGCATTCCCAACCCCAGCTACAACCCCAACCTCAAAGAAGAGAGTCTGTTCACTCTGTCGCAACAACTACTGCAACCTTAGTACCAGACTCGAGTAGGAAGCTGCAAGGTGAAATCAAGAGAACAGGCCGTGGCGTTCTTCCCAAAGTCCTCTCGAGCAATCGCTCTAACTATGCTCCTTCCGTATACAGTGTCGACCAATCCTTCATTTCTTCCGCAAGATCAACGGTTTTTAATTCTGGAATCTCAACAAATACAGCTTTTAGTAGCAGCAACCAGTCAAACGTGAAAAACTCCTCCTCAGGTCAATATAACATTTCCTCTTTGGTTAAGCCTGAATGGGACAATTCATCTAAAAAGTCAAGTTGGGCGAACCGTATTTTAGATCCGAACGATTCTCGCTTATTCCGTTTGGAATTGAAAGGTTCTTATCTTCTTGTCCACAAACCGCCTGCTGAGCTTTCCTTTGCTAAAAGTATGAATGTAAAAGTCAGTCAACAGTCGTCAGGCTCCGGCATGGGAATGATTCTTGATAATGAATTTGTCAAAAGTAAAACAGATGTGATCTCTTCAAGTCAGCCAATCCATAAAACTGAGTCCAACGTAGAAACTGAAGATGCCCCATTAGACGGACAAGTCAAAGCTGAGGCTGAAAACGAAGTGCCGGTTACTATGAACCCGCTTGTTCAAAGTGATTCGATGCTTTTATCAATGGCAATTGATGAATATGAATCGGCTCCTGGTTTAGGAGACGCTAAAAAGCTCTACGACAGTAGTAGAAATACTAATACTGAACTTAATGATTTGGTTTTGGATGCAGATAGAGAAGCATTTGATAACTATAACAAGCTACTCGGTGCACGTTCGGTAGAAATGAGCCAAAGACCATCCATGAAGCCATCCTCACAAGGGAGCAAACATTTACCTTTGATCATTCATGATTTATACTATCAATCTCCTTCTTGTCCACACCCAAAACTAGTATTTGATATGACGTCAGGGCTCATATTAAGAGGTACACTAGAGGCTATGTGCCATACCATTCTGTTTTACCCTTCAGATAGGATGGCTGAAAAACTGGTTGAAATTTTACCGCTAGTGAGTAGCTTGAGCGAACCTTTAGTTTATTTCCTCAAGTACTTGGAACATTTCACGGATGCAGAAGTACTGAAGAAAAAATCAATCATCATGACGGATATGGAAACTGGTATTCTCCTCAATAGAGTCAAAAGAATAATTGAAATAACGCTGGAAAAATTCAATGGAACTTTGTTAGACGATGAGATTTTCAACTTACTTGGCAACCTAGTAAATCTGTTATCAAGAAAATCAGGTAAATATTTGAGAGAGAGCGATGTGAAGCAAATATCTGAAAAATTGATAGCCCATCGTGCTTCTTTACTGAGATTAATTTCTTTTGAAAAAGTTTCAACATCAGGTAATATCTTAGCACCTATTGAAATCCTACAGGTTTCTCAAACTGACCTAATATCTGGTGAAAAGTTTATTATGTTGTCAACTGAATCATTAGCTCATGAAATTCATGCAATTGATGCCCATTTCATGAAATATTGGTCCCCAAGATCAGACCGTTCAACTATATTCTCTCGCTTAGAGACTATCGAAGCTTCATTTGAGTACTGGCGTTTCAATCCTTTGCAATTTATTCCACCTATCCATACACATTATTTAGGCAGGTTATTAGCTTTCCACTTGTTTGAAGATAAAAGCACTTCAGTTTCTCCAGAAAAGAGATCTCATGTTCTAATGAAATGGATTCACTTGGGCTCAACATTATGTGAACAAGGTGACATGGTATCTTGGTTAGGAATCGCTATAATGGTTTGTTCCCAGCCAGTTTTGAGATTAAGTGAAACCTGGGGACACGTTGAAAGGTCCTATCTACAAACAATTAAAAAGAAATGGGCACCTGTAGTTTTTGAGGTTCGCAAAAATGAACTTTTTGGCTCTAAGGATCCTCTGGATAAGCAAAATCATTCCCAAACACACGGCAGCGAGTTACCAGTTTCAGATTCTCTGAAGAATGAAACCAACTCTAACATAAGAATTATGATTACCAATAGAGTTGGAGAGCTATATGCGAAAGAAGATGCTATTCCTCATTTTGGTGAACTGTTTACCGCTGATACAGCAGACTTTAGAAATGAGCAGTTACCTTCTTTTGAAACCCATGCCTCAAATGGCAGCTCAGAACCATTTGATCTGTTCAAGACTGACTTCATCAAAAACTATTGCTCTTACCTGGAAGTCGTTGGATGGAATCTGAAACAATGGGATAACTATTATGATACTATAACCAATAAACCTGGAGTAAAATCCAAATTCTTAGGCAAGTCGGAATCGAGCAATGATCCTTCAATAATAGATGGCTGTAAAGATAAATCACTCTCAAACATCTTGAAAACAGCAATCACTTACAATGCTTCAGAAGGTCCGTTCTCATTGAACTATTTTATGGGTTTATCTGTTCAAGCTGAGCCTCCATATGTTGGTCAATTCGCCCGCTTTCATGGTACATCCAGAAGTCCTTTGTTTTTAGGCTCTTACGCGTCTATTTTATTCCCTGAGGTACTACCTTACTACGGAATTTATGATCGTAGAGAATTGATTGGCGCCATTGGTGGGGCTAATATAATCGAGCTAAATGAGACAGGAAAACACAAGAACAGAAACCTGTCGTTGAAACATGTGAGAGACCTTTTCAATGCAGGCAGCGAGGAGTTCCGTCTTGAAGACGACTCGATTATTTTCAAAACAACCGAACTCGTTAACGAGGCCTCTTCCAAAACGACAGAAGAAGAGCCAAACAAAAGATCAAGGCCTTCAAGTGTACTTTTCGAAAATCCAAGTCATCATAAACATATGAGTACCCTGTCTCATGAAAGTTTTAGCCTAGAAGACTACATCACTTCTTATCAAACTTACTTGAAGGATGCCATCAATGAATCAACTTCATCTAGGGCTGCTGCTGAAGATTCAACCCTAACTTCGTCGATGAATAAGCTTAACACTGATAGCAAAGAGGGGGAATCAAAAAATGTCTCTAATTCGCCTAAGAGCGCTAGCAGTGTTGACATTGTTGCCACAGCTGCATCTACAGAAAGATTAGTAGATCTTCTTGTTCTTACGGCGTCGGTTTTTGGCACCCATATCCGATTAGAAGATATAAAGAAATACTCCAGAAAAACTGAAAATGAGGGTCCGATATTATTACAAATGGATGACTCTGCTTTCACTTGCACTTTTTTTGCAACTTATAGAGTGTTTTACACCACCAGACAGTTAATTGACTCTTTGCATAAAAGATTTGATGGCTCAAAAAGTGCTGCTCTATCAATTGCTAAGTTTATGAACAATCATTCCTCAATGACTGATAGGGGTGATTTATTTCCTCAGTGGCACGATGAAATAACCGATGATAATGAGACATGGAGTAAAATCAACTGGAAATTCGTTGTTCAAATTCAACTTGGGGTAATTGAAGCCACACTCATTCTGGCCAATGACTATTTTAGACATTTCATGGATGATATTCCTACTAAAGCTGCGTTTGATACATTTTTAGAGATGATGGATGTTGCAATTGTTTCTGAATGGCCAAAAATCCTGAAATGGTTGAAGGTCAATTCAACGCCTGAAATTGTTTCTGGAGTGCTTGATGTTTACAAGTCATTGCAAAGTGCTTATAAACAGGTCCGCAATATTTGTATCAGAAAATCATACACTCCCCAATGCGGATTAGTGGAACTGAGTTTCACTGATGAATTGACAAACATTCCTGAATATATGAAACTACCTCCTTCAACTGATATAGATGAGATCTCAATATTTATCAATAAACTCGACGATACAATTGCATGTGTGATGAATCCTATAAGATCTGAGGACTGGATTGATACTTTTGAGATAATACAGATGCTAATCACTAGATCCCCATTGGCTATGTTTAATTATAATTATCAAGACCCCTCAACTCACCCAGACCTAATTTTAGTTTCTAACATTTATAATTGGATTATGACATTGAGTGACAATGAAAACATTAGCAAAGATCCTTCTGATAAGCTAATCAACAACCTACCTCCAAGTATTAGGTCTGTATTCAAACTTTACGAAAGAATCCAAAATTATTTATTGATGCAAATTGTGGATCTTGAATGCAATCTTGATGAAAGGATAGAACGTATGTCCACCCTTCTGAAGATTATTCAGATATGTCATGCAAGAATGAAAAATGTCAAGCTTTTTGATGAAGTTGATAATACCTCTAAGATTGAAACTTCACCTTACGTGCCAAGTTTTATTGAATCTGTTGTGGTAAACACAATCATGTTACCTGAATCAAGATTCTTTTCCCATTCTTGGAGGCTTGCTGCAGAAGTATGGAAGGCTGACACCGATGAGGAGTGGAGTTGTGATAAGCTAGCAGATATGCTTCCAAAATTAAGTCAATATGAATCTGCGACTATTCAGCCGGAAGCTCTGTCCATTTGCCCGGGGTGGATTTTAAGCCGACTTGTTGAGCTTGCCTGTTTTGTCCCTAATATGGACATCGACAATACAGCTTTGATCAATTTCAATAAAAACAGATTTGTTTACAATTGTGTCCTGAAGATTCATGGTTTGCAGTCAAAGTCAAAAAAGACTGGCTCACCATATATGAGCGAGTTTTCGTTCTTGTTTGAGTTCCAAGGTTTAATTCCTAGTTTGAAAGCCATGTATCAGCGTTCTTCCCATGAACGGAGCGTTGAAAAATTGGAGAAATGCGCTGTATTCAGCTCTCATGTTAAAGAGCAAATTCAGTTAATCAAGCTAGAACAAAATAAGCGTGAACTATTGGTAAGACAACTGGAAAAACAGAACTTGACTACTGTCAATAAGCATATTTCTCAGCAAGTAGAACCATTAGCTGCCGAGAATGATGATGCTAGTATTGCAACTAGTACAATTACGAATAGTCAAAGCTTTGTTGCCAACTCCAGTATGTTGGACAACGTTAGTACATACACAGATGGTGATGCGGCTTCTATCGTAGATACTACTTCCTCGACAGCTCTTAATACTGTCGATCCTAATCAATCAATTGCGTCTAATCAATCAGGCCACTCGACTCCATCATCAGCCACTCTTACTCGTGCTTCAAACTCAAGGGGCCAAAAATTAACCTTGCAGCAGCAACAGCAACAGCAGCAACACTCAAACTCGTCTTCCAGTAAATTCAAATTTGGTTTCTTCAAATCTCGTCCATTTTCCTTGAATATTAATAATTTTAACCAACCTGTTACTCAAAAGAAAAATGTTGAGTTGAATGAATTGCCAAGTGCGTCTATTCTTGGCTCGAAACAAAAACCATATTTGACTATAATGCTCAAGGATGTTTCGATATTCCCAACTTATCGTACTCCAAACAGTTTCACAATAGATATTGGCTCATCATCGAGCAACCACGAATACACGTTTCAAACTAATGATGAACAGGAAGCCGGTGATTGGATCTACCAGTTGCTGTATGCAAAGAAGCACTGGTTTTACTCTCGGATTTTGAATAAGCAGTATGCTCACAGCAATGTTAAGCTTACTTTTGGTGCCCCCTTGGTTTTCGTTTGTGAGAGGGATAGTTCACCAATCCCTTTGATAGTCGAGAAGATTTTATGCGAGATCGAATTCCGTGGTCTAGAGGAAGTTGGTATTTATCGTAAAAGTGCTTCACTTAGTGTCGTTCAGCAAATCAAAGACGAAGTCAACAAGATGGGAGATTTTAACATGGAAAACTCATTAGTTTTTGATATCCATAATTTGACTGGTTGCATTAAAGCATATTTGCGTGAGCTACCTGAACCATTAATTGGCGACGATTTGGTGAAAGAAATATCGAAAGTACGTGAGGTTGCACAAGACGAGGCTAGATTTGAGATTTACAAAACCGTGCTTCCTAAATTACCGATTTACAACTACAATCTGATTGAGCGTTTGTCTAGACATATGAGGATGATTGAAGAGTACAAGTCTCAGAATAGAATGACTAGCTACAATTTGGCCACAATCATGGGTGGTAGTTTGGTTGAGGGATGTCGTCCGGAAACTATGCGTGAAGCTTTTGGATTGATGAATTTTATTTGTGAAGACTGGATCTTACACTATGAGCGTGTTTTTCAATAAGCATCCTCAACGTTGAACAATTATTTATGTATTTTAATTACTGCTTTGTAAAGCTATCTTAAGTAATTCATATCTAAAAACAATTACTTTTCAAGTGCAGGGGTAGTAAGCAGCACCCGTAAAGGTTCTAGCTGTTTGAGGAAAATTATAGATAACGAGCTCGCATATGGCCGAGGGTAGAGTGGGGGGAGTTGATCGTTATAAGATACACATTGTCTACAGCCTAGGCTTTTTAATCATTTTCTTTCACTTTGGAGCTGGCTATAACAAACACTCACTCGAAACAGTTTTTCTACAAGACAAAAAAATGGTGAAAGTCTTGGACGTGGATACTTCAGCTTTCAGAAAGACATTAGAAAGTAAACGGAGCTATTCAGGCTTCGAAAGATATGGTGTTGCAATGAGTGTGGACCATTTGAGAGATTCTGTTCCAATTGATGCAGCCAACCAGGGATCAGCTATCAAATTGATAAAAGTGGCTCCATGCGTGAACAATTTTGCAGAAGCACCATCCAAGCATGTGGCAACAACAAACTGGAATATCTTTAGATCCTGCGTTATTCCTGAGAAGTGGACCACTGATAGCGATGGGTTGATTTACAATCTTACTGTTTTAGAAAAACACCCATATTCAACACAAACATTTGTTCCAATGGGGAGAGACCCCGAGGAAGATGCTTATGTGGTCAACGTGGCACCAGATAAGGATGGGCAGCCAGACTACGAGAATGTGGAAGCATATGTTTTCAAGGGTAATACTGCGGTCACATACAACCTCGGTACATGGCATAGTCCGATGGTTGTTTTGAACAAAACCACAGATTTCTGTGTAGTGACTAATGAGAACGATGTTTCCGAGGAAAATTGTGTTGAAGTGTTCTATAGCCCAGGCATTCCGATTAGAGTTTCGAAAAACTGAAAAATTTTTAGACGGTATTTAAATTTAGTATCTATAAGTGTAATTACGTAGACAGATACATACATAAATGTGATTAGTGTGACGTTGTGTCTAAACTATCTATGGATCAACATCCATAGACTCGGACTCCGCTGATGGCTGAGTGCCTGCATCAGCACTATCTCCAGCCTCCGTTGCCGCCTCTCCCGAGGTCGCTTTATCTCCGTCGTTCTCATCATCGTCATCGTCGTCATCGTCATCCTTAAGCGCGGTATTTCTAGTGTTTGCTAGATTGTCTAGAAGGTTCAACCATGGCTCGACATCGTCATCATCATAGACGGTGAAATCTTGATCGACTCCGACAACCGCAACGGTTGTATTAGCGGAATTTAGTTCTTTATCCTGAGCAAGTGTGTCTCTGAGTGCAATCAGGGCATACTCTATTAGTTGTTCCTTTGAGGCGTCTGGAAAATCTTCTAGTTTTCTTTCCATAAAGGTCTTAGCAGCCTGAGATCTTGCACCAATGGCGGCACCTACATACTCTAGCACCGAGCCAGAGGGCAAAAATTCGTACAGGTGAGCACCTGTGTCGTCGTAGCCTGCCACAAGCAAACCCACACCGTAAGGCCGGCCGCCTGCAGACTGTGTGTTTTCTTGCGCCTTGTCGGCTATAGAGTGGACGGCCTTGGAGAGACTCAAAGGTCTGTTGAACACCATTTTCGAAGACATGGCCTGTTGACGCAAGTAGTTGGACAAGATTCTAGCGTCTGGTGCCAACCCAGCAAGCGCCACACCCATATGGTCGTCGACCTTGATTATCTTTTTCTGGTAGGAGCCCAATTCCTCGGCATTTCTCTTCAACGCTGCCAACACCACATGTGTCTTGCTCACCAATCCGACAGCCGCTGAGCCCTGTTTTATGGCCTCAATGGCATATTCTATCTGGAAAATACGTCCCGTTGGCGAGAAGGTGGTTGCGTCGTTATCGTAATTATTTCTGAACTGCAGTTAGCATAAGCAATGGACGGCGTGTCCACGAGCCCTTGGTTGACTCGGTTGGTAGAAAATGTTAGTATCCCGAATCACACGTCTATCCCCATCGGCGCACGGCCTTGCCGGAAAAACAGAATTGTCCCTTACGTACCATATTTCGATAACCTATGTGTGTGTACTGCTGCCTCTGTTGGTGTCAAATGTTCCCGTTGCCACCCCAAAGCCTGCACTGCGTTGCAGCAGGATCAACGCTTTTGCCACCGACCCGTTTCGAGCTGCCCCAGCCAGCCGGTGCTCCCTTCCACAAATGCTCAGCGCGAGCGTCAGAAAAAAGGGCGAGCCGACTCTAACATGCTGAAGCTAAAGCTGAAGCTGATTGACGGTGTTGCAGTTGCTCTTGGGCCTTCTGAGCTGGTTGGACTGTGCTTCCAAGACTCAGACACGGCCGCATCAGCCCAACCGCCCGCCGGCAGGAAAAGGAATCCGCTCGTTATGGCAGACCTACGAGCAGTCGAACTCCTGGGAGTTCTGGCGGCCTCGTGGGAATTCCAGCCACCGCTCTCTACAGCAGCCTGCTGCTAAACTTTGGCCATCTCGTCGTACTTCCTCGAAATCCCGGTCACTCATGCTAGCAACTGCAGCAAGTAGCTCTCCGGTTCCTTCTTTGTCTGCAGCATGGCGTTCTCCGTGACCACGTGCAGCTAGAGCATCCTCCTGCCGTCGCAGCCACGCTCTGCTCTCGATGGTGGCTGTACCTGCGCTACCTTTGTATTATTCATGTCCGACGTTAGAAGTCTCGAGACTGAGGCCTACAATGACCCACCTGGACGTTCTGTGCTTGCCCACCTTTCGTGAGAAAGCCTTTTCTAGGCAACTTGGCTTACGTATTGGTACACGTGTCAAATGCAGCACCTGGTCAGGCATTGCACTTCTGCCCAAAACTAGGCCATCACGCGGGCTTGACGTTCGTCAAGCAGGCCGAATCCTCCGTATCTTCCATCGAAATGTAGAGGAAGACGTTAGTCATGTCACGTGCCCGTCCCCCGGCCCCGAAAGATAGGCCGCCCCTCGGAAAGAGACCGCCGGTTCTGCTTTTTTTCGTTATCTGTGGATCAACAACAGGGTCCGAATGCTCACTGAGGTGGAGAAGAAGGACAGGAGGAGACCAGCACGTCTGTTCGACTCTAGTGGGGCTTGGCTGCGAGTGGGAGGGCTAGCGGACAATCAGCGGAGACATACTTCTCTGTGTACTATTGCAATCAAGTCTTGTGTTCGGCTATAGTTGCGTTACAGGTTCTGCGTGTGGAAAGAAACGCTAGTATTCGGACAGGGATAGATAGGAGGCGCCTTTGCTTTTTCGGAAATTATAAACGAGGAACGGCCGACTGCTTCGACACAGACACAGACCCAAAGCCACACTACGATGACCTCGAAGGAGAGGAAGGTGGTGATCAAAAACAGCTCCTTTGTGGGCCTCAGCTCTCGCTCGAAGACAGGCTGTCTGAGCTGCCGCAAGAGGAAGAAGAAGTGTGACGAGGTTCACCCGGTGTGTGGCCCCTGTCAGAAGAAAGACACCGAGTGCATCTGGCGGAGGCTCAACATCAAGTCACAACGGTACACCTTCGACCTGCAGCCGATGATTGAGTCACAGAAGATGATGCGTCGGGAGAAGTCGTCGGATACTGTCCCGCGTGTGACAAAGTCCGGGTACGAGAAGAAAACGCAGGAGCATAGAACGAGATTCAATGACGACAAATTGTCGACCAGACGTAGGTCTCTGACAAAACTCGAGACCAGTCTAGAGCCAGAAAAAGCGTTGTCTGACTCTTTTGCCACCGCTGACAGTGAGGAAGCAGTGGCGGTTTTACCTGCTCAAGACATCAAGTTGGACGAAAAAGAATTGCCAGAGTCCACACCTGCAACTCCTGCTACTCCTGCTACTCCTGCCGCCGTTACTCCTAAAGAGACGGACTTGGCAGTGAAAACACAGAGCACCTTCAACTGGTTCGGCGACTCCCACATGCACACGCCAGATATCAATCGTGCTGTCGACGAACTGATGGGAGAGGAAGACACCTTGAACACTTTCATAAGCAACGTGGTAGAGCACGTCAAATCCCCAGCATTCAACCCCGAAACAAACTTCTTGGACCTAAGTATAAACTCGGCACTGAAACAGGTGCAGAACTACATAAATAAGAGGCGACGGTCAGGTTTGCACGAGCTGAAAGGGGTAACAAACATCAAGGGCAGCTCAAGTGGGGAAACCCATCCTGTTTCTGTTGTATCCCCATTTGATACTGACCAGTTCATCAATATTAAGGACCTGGACGATGATACTGAGACGAAAAAAGTGGAACTATCTTCAAACGCCGTTGAGGATAAGTTACAACCTGTTTCTGTAAGCTCCATTTTGAGAGAAAATGTTTTAAAAGAAGATAGTGACATTGGAACTTTAGAGAAAACCGAGATTTTGAAAGAAGAACGAAGGAGAACCGAAGATGTCAATTTTGATGATGATGAAGAAATTGAAGAGTATGACTCAAACGATAAGTATCTCCCCATGGACGAATCACAAATGCTCGAAAATGTTTATGTGTCTGACACGGATCTCTTGCGTGTTTTCAAATCGAAAAAGTTACACCCTTATTTGAAACCAACCGTGCATTTGTTATTGAGCAAAAACAACTCTTTGAAAGTAATTAACCCTTCTTCACCAATTATGAGACAATTGGACAGTACAGGAAAGCTTTTTCTTGAGAACTATGTCACCAATTTGGCAATGACGCATTTGAATATTGGTAACGATCAATTTTTCCTCGATTGTGCCATAAGTCAAGCGTCGACTGATCCAGCCATATTGTATTGCTTGGTTGCATGGGGAGGGATGTTTTTGGTTGGGCGAGACAACGAAATAGCTTCAATGTATTTTGATAAGAGCCTGAAATTTATACAAAAAAGAAGGGAACAGATGAAACTGGCCACATTTGACAATGAAAAGTATCTTCAACTAATGCTGTTCTATGTGTTGCTCTCTTGTGCAGAAATTTCAACCGGTGATGTGGGAAGATGGTACCATATGTTACTCCAATGCAAAGATATTATAAACCAGTACGGTGGCTTAAAGCAGTTTGTAAAAAAAAACAAGGACAACAAAGTTGCGAAATGGATATTGAGCAACATCTTTTATCATGACGTGCTATCCACCAGAACGACTGATTTAGGCACGGTTATTTCCATAGATGAGTATAAAGATGTTTTCAAAACTCAGAAGTTTTTACAAAATGGTGATTATGGCCTTGATCCATTTTACGGGTTATCTCAAGATCTATACCTTTTGTTAGGAGAAGTTGCAAACAGCAAGAAAGCGCTAAAAAACTCGAAGTTCCCCTTCAGTTTCTTTCCCCTTGATGGTTTAACAGCGGAACTTGACGAAAATTATTTCAAAAAAGTGGAAGAGTCGTGGTTTCAGGTTTATGATAAAACCATTCAAGATTGCAAGCCGTCGGTGGATATGCTTGCTACTGTTATCAAAAATGATCCTAAAGGAAAACTATTGGAGCACCACCTTACTTTTTTCGAACTGACTCAAACATGCTTGAGAATTTACATACGAATAACCTTCAAGGAAATAGAATTTGACAACGAAGAGATTCAATCATTATGGAAGGTTGGAATTCGACTTTTCAACATACTGATCGGTACGAAGTTACAATCTCTATTGGGTTTATCGCTTTTGATGCTCGGAGTAATCTCTATTACTGAGGAACAACGAGAGCTAATGAAAAATAGCTACGACACCTTTTTAAGAAACTATCAAATTCTCAACGTACGAGTATGCTGGGAAATTATCCGACAGGTGTGGAAGAAGTATGATGACCAGGTGGCTAACAGACAAAAACGGTTTGTTGATTGGTCGGAGACTGTGAGCTTAATGGGCTGGAATTGCTGCTTTTCGTGAGCTCATATTTACCCTCTGAACATTCCCATGACTGAAAATAAGGCATCAAAATTATTCGTCATAGATCTATATAGATGTTTATAAAAACTGTAAAACTATTGTACTATTGTTGTTGTTGTTGTTATCATTAACTTCTTCTATATTTACAAGGTTTTAAAAGTAGCGAGAAAAACTAGAGCTTATTGGTTTCTTCTGCATCTTCATCATAAAGGCTCTTCGTTCCCTTCATGAGCTCGTGAAGCTGAATAATCTGATCGTCTGACATTTTTTCCAGCATGTTATCGGGAATATGATATTTTTTCCAATCCTGGTCCGTATTTTGCAAAACCATTTGAAGATATTTTTGCCAAGAACTCAAGAAACCAATAATCTGCAGTGGATTATCAATGTTCTTGTGGGCTCTAAATTCAGCCTTGACATACATATCTCCCAGACTTCTTTGGTCAAACGGTAATCTTCTGTGTGCCCTCATGATAGCTCTGTATAGTTGCAGCGGGGGAAGTAATGGATTTTCATTTTCCTTTGTCTTTTTGAAAGTTACCTTGAACGGAATCTTTGATGCATTTAATAATCTCCGCGTTTCTCTCATTCTGTTGGGCCTGGTATGAATTTTAGTTAGAAATCAAACTTCTAATATTTTGCCCTTAACGGACATGCCAGTAAACAAAACCCAATCGCAATATTCATGCTGAGAAATACCTCCATCGGAACTTTTCTGCTCTGGTGCGAATGCAACAAATTATTTCAGGCTAATCGCCAAGTGTCTGGAGATATGTCAGCGATTAGGAAGACCCCCTCTGCTGATAAAACTAGCTGAATGCCTGCACACCAGTGGAGGTATGGCAGTCAGGAGCATATCTCTAAAGTTTAAAGCCGAGCATGAGTTTGACTTCTTGGTTGGTAACTTTGCCAAATAATCTATGACATTGTCAATTACATTGACAGTCGTACGTCTCACGACATAGAATATGTTGTATGTTCAACTGGCCTCGTGAGAGGGGTAACAAAGCATAACGCTCAGAAACTTTTGTATCCAAGCCTGCTTCAGCATACAGTGCATAGCCGAAGTAATCATTTTTCTTTGAACAAACTTATCAATAACTTTATAACTAACAGTACAGAAATTAACAAGTAATTTTGGTCTTCACCAGACTGTAACGGATCTATTCCCATTTTCGAAGGTATTTACATTTCTTTTTTAAGCTCCCTATAGCATTGAGAAAGGTAAAGTATTGGTAGGATTGTTTTGTGCTAACATTCTGTCCCCAATCATTTGCTCGGTTTCATCTTCAAGCGGGCAAAATGAAGATCAGGAAGCTTACGTAAAAAACTCTTTCTTTTTGAGGCTTATCTAAACTACAATCTGCTGATAAGAAGCGTTAATTCTGTTTTACGAGACTAAAAAATTGGCCTTTACACTGATATCAGATTACTTTATTTTTTCCGTTGCAGTATAGGAATTTTTTGATCGCCAAACTCTGATCGAAACTGGAACGGCAAGAACGTGGACCAAGTTTTTTGATTGCAACTGCGGCGGTAGTACCTTTTTACGCGATCAGGTACGAGCGCCAGGGATTGAACAAGGGGAAATGAGGCGTTTCCTGTTAGGCATAAAGCAGATCTACCAAAGCAAAAAGTTTAAAGTCGGATTGGTGGTACTCCAAGTATATTAAGTGTTCTTCTGAACAGAAAGGGATGGAAACATAAAAGGAAAATCAAAGAACTGAGCATTGTACATGCTTTGCAAAGTAGAAAAATGCTAGCTCGATATGCAGACAAAATGAAAAAAGGGCAGAGCTTTCTCTAGCTTTATTTTAATCGATCCGTAGACGGTTCATCAAAAGCTTGCTATCAACAGTCTCGGGTAGCCTGGTGTAATTATTCATACCTCCCATACCTACAGGAGTTTTTGGAGTTCTAAACTTTTCAACAGAAGAACTGGTGGGTGTCACAGGGGCATTATATGCAGAGCTCATAAAACATGAGAGAGAATCTTGCGTGTTCGAAAGAGACGAAGCTGGGGATTGCGTGCAGTATTGTGCTTTTTCGAACTGGGTACTTTCCGCAGAAATTGATGATGAGCTGTACTGATTCTCTAGATCAACTGATTCCTGCTTTGAAAACCCCCTTTTTTTGAAGTTAACTTTTGGGTATAGCCATGAAAATAATAGTAAGATTAGAGATACAATGAGGACAAATAATATGGTATCAATGATGGTAGCTTGTGTAAATTTGAGTGCACGTGCCATGATATCTCTAAACGAGGTGCTTTGAAGTCCTTCACTTTCAGATACCAAATCGATGTTCACTAACCTGTAGTTGAACAGCCCTAGACCGACTTCTTTGACCGGTCTGAAGGTATCCGTATCCTTAGAGAGAACCGCCTCCAGCTGATTTGTGTCTCTGAACAGATGTTCCCTCATCAACACCGAATCGTACTGAGGTAGAGGAACAGCCATTGAGGTACTTTTGATTCTGTTCCTTTATCTTTCTCACGTGTTGTCCTTGTGACACAGGGTATGACTATTCCATGCTGTTGACCACAGGAAGGGAGTATAAGATACGGAGTTGCAAGCAAAAAAAAAGAACTTTGACATAGAGAATTCAGTTTCGTCATAGATGCAGCGCTCAAAAAAAAAGGCACTTACACATAGAAATCTAATGCGTAACAGGCTGAGCTTCTAAGAATAGCGGATAAAAGGTACTTGGTTTTTCTGTTTTTCATTTACATTGTCTACTGCTTTAGAAACACTTTTTTCTTCTAAGAACCTAAAACCTTGAAGTTGGATGTGTATACACAAAATTTCAATTTACATGAACTTGTATATACGAAAGGAAAAGTAGATTATATAGAATAAGATATATCGGGGTAGTGGGTAATTGGGTTTAGACGGCATGATCCATTTATTGTTGAGCGCATTGAACACCTGGTTGTCCTCCATCTTCGTCCTCATCTTCATCGTAGTATCCACCACGGTTGGATGTTCTTGGAGCGTGCTTGAGAGGATCGTATTCCTCGAATGTGCAAGAATCATCAACTTCAACCCCCTTTGGAATCTTCTGGACCGGTCTTGCAGGTAGAATCTTCTCCAATGCCTTCAGTTGCTCTTCGGAGGCAAAGTGGTTCTTAGGGAATTCAACGTCAAATTTAACAAGCAAGTTACCGAATCCACCATGCTTTGGAATTGGCATACCCTTGCCACTGACTACTTTGGTGGAACCAGGTGCAATGACTTCACCAGGTATAATTTCCAATTTCAACCATTCACCACTGACGTGCTTGAAAGCAACCTCGCCACCGGCCAATGCGGTCAAAAGATCTATCTTTTGGTTGATGTATAGGTCATCACCCTTTCTAGTATATAGCTCGTTTGGCTTTTCCTCAATGATAAAAATGACATCACCTGGAATGACATCTGGTTGCTGATCACCCTCGCCCTCAAAGACAACCTTTTGTCCCTCCTTCATACCTGGATAGACGTTAACTTCTAAGATCTTTCTTTCATTGGTAACCTTCTTACCCTTGCATGTCTTACATCTATCAGATTCAGCCATAATGTCACCTTGACCATTACACTTATCACATTGGGTTTGGAATCTTTGGATCATAGGACCCATCTGTCTTGTAACAAACTTGGTACCAGTACCATTACAACCAGTACATTTCTTGACGTTCTTACCACCCTTACCGTCACAGTCTTTACAAAGAACGGTCTTGTTCAAAGCCAATTTGGCAACTTTACCCTTGTACAACTCTTCTAGGGTGCAACCTAGAGAGTGCTTGATGTCTCTGCCTCTGACAGGACCAGAAGGTCTGCCACCTCCACCGCCGAAGAATTGGGAGAAGATGTCACTTGCATCCATACCACCCATTCCCCCCATGCCCCCTCCGTTAAGACCTTGCTCTCCGTATTGGTCATAAACGTCTCTCTTTTCTGAATCGCTCAAGATCTCGTAAGCTGCTGTCATCTCTTTGAACTTCTCAGCTGCTTCTGGAGAAGGATTCTTATCTGGGTGGTATTTCAAGGCACCTAATCTGTAGGCTTTTTTCAGCTGCTGCTCTGTAGCATCGGGTTTCACTCCTAACGCGTCATATAACTTAGTATCGGCGACCATTGTGGATGAATTATGTTTTGATTTGTTTGGTTCTAGTGAGAATAGCTGGTTTGTTCTGGACTTCCTCTAATTGATCTATTCCTAACAATGCAGTTTTCCTCTATTTATATGTGAAACTGCCTTCAATCTGTTTTAGCTGCTTTTTCTATCTAGAATCTTTCTCCTTTTTTATTGGTGAATAGGGAAAAAATAAATCTCTGCTGCTTCCTGCTTAAGTTTTACTTGATCTGACTCTCAAACAAGTTTCAAGAAATGCAAGTAGTCGCCAAACCTATTGCGTCCTCTTCTTCCCTTCCCTCCAGCTCCACTTTCATCTTTAAAGTCGCCACCAAACATAGTTTCGTTTCCCCGTTGCGCTTCTCCCCATGAAAATTTTTCCTTTCTGGAATCTTCTGCCGCGCCACTCGATTTGCTCCCAAAAAAACGATATGCGCCACATAGTCACGTGTCTCAGACAATATATCTGGCATGTCGGATGTTGACAAAGGGTATGACACTATGAAGCCTACGTGTTACGAACGAAAATAGGGGTTTAGTAGAGAGACTTTCAAGATCGGTCTAGCACAGAGTAAAGGACAAAAAATTGGCTGGTTCATCATTTGGAGCCAATTGCTAAACTATGCCAATCACGTTTGAAAATCTTCCGAGGGATTATGAGCAGCTGCAGGTCCCAGTTTACATTTTGAAGGGACGCTCAACAGCAAAGTCGTCAGGTATCATTGGCGCCTTCAGTGACAAGTTCTCTGACCAATTCTATGAAGTAACAGCCGGATATTTCAAGGCTTATTTGCATCTTAGCCCTGGTGTGAACAAGATCACATTGAAACACTTGGATGGTAAATTCCAACCCAATGGCTATGCAGCCTTCGATACGGACAAGAAACCTTTTGACCAGGTGACTATTTCAATCAATTATACTCCGATACCGGATAAGCAGTTTACTGTTCCTAAGATTCACTTATGTGTGCTAGTTGGAAGAGATTCCCCAGCGCTGTTTGACTGCCCTGCCAACAAGATGTATGAAGGAAATGGCTTAGCTACCGCCATAAAAAAACTAAGAGTTGGAGGTAGACTGATGCAGGCGTTTACCTTGGATGAAATGAATAAGAACGGATGTGGCAAGCGGTGCTTCCGGTTTGTGGAAGAGGAGACTACCAGTACTGTTAGTTTCCAGGAGGAGATGAACAAGGTGAAGAGAAGCGAAATCAAGATACATGTTATAAAGAGTAAACGATCTGTTGCAGAAATCAGGGATGCAAACTACGCACAACAGAACCAACAGGCCAAGGAGGCAGGAAAGTTGTTTGAGTTTGCACTCGATGCGTTAAAGGATGCAGGGGGGGTTTTCGCCGATAATGCTACAGCCAATGTCCCTGCTCTTGCTGCTGTGATGATCTTAGATGCCCACTGGGACAAGCCTAGAAACATGCTTCTTGGCCATGCTGCGCTAGGAGGAGGAACAGATAGAATCAAATTAGCTATTTTTGGTTCTCAAGGGCTACATTCATGGCCAATGAATTGGGAATCAATCCACAAGTCATTTACTGACTGTACAGCATTGAATACAAACGAAGTTGTCAATGATTGCAATGAGTGCTCTCAGTATTGGGAATGTCTTTGCGTTTCTCTTGGTGCTTTTATGCACGAAATTGGCCATTCTTTAGGTTGCCCTCATCAAGAAAACGGTGTCATGTTGAGAGACTATGTCACTATGGATAGGAAGTTTTTGACATCTGAGGAGAATTGTATTCGTACCAAGCGTGGAAAATGGGGTCCAGTTTTGACAAAGGATGAACCTGGCTGGAATAGATTAGACATTCTAAGATTTTTATACCATCCGGCATTTGCATTGCCGGGCGATTTTGAGGACACAAAATTTAGACCACAGTTCACTTTAATCAATCAAGGCATGAAGTTACCAAACGGACTTACAGGAGAGCCTTCTTTTGTTGCATATGACGAAGACACACTTGATATTTTATCAGACACTGGGATTTATTTGGTTGAATGCCATGTTGGAGAATGGTCAAGGCTTCATTACGAGTATATCCCAAGTTTCTATCAAGGATCCGACCCGCAGAGATACGTAAGATTGAAATACAGTGTAATCCAACAACAACTTGCAAGTGAGTTTAAAGGCAAACCAGTGCATCTTGAAGTGTTAACAATGGGATTTGGCCAACGTTCAATTGATAACCTACAGGACTACCTAAAGCAACATTCCAAAAACATCACCTTGTCCAACAACAGGTCTGCCAAAATGTCCGACAAATACGGCCTTCGGGAGTCGAAACCAATCGAGGCTGTATTTCCAGATAAAGCTATTGCTTTTTTCAGAATAAGCCACGGGTCAGCGCTTGATGGTATTGAGACCTTTTTTACCGACGGCAGTAAAGTAACTTTTGGCAACCCTAAACCACACTACTCTGAATTCAAGCTCGATCCAGATGAGTTTGTAATTAGTGTCGCCTTTAGATCTGGCGCATGGGTCGATAGTATCCAATTCACCACAAACAAGAGAGTCAGTAATAACTTTGGTGGTGATGGAGGCTCTCTACACAAAGTCCCCCTTCCGCAAGGAGGGAAGCTCCTGGGGTTCTACGGTAGTCTCGGAAGCTGGATTGACCAAATAGGTATTTACTTCAATTGAATTGAGATATATGTCACCACGTCATGGCTCTCCTTTATAGGGCATTAGTAATCCGAACAAAGTCTCCTTTAGATAAATATGTGCAAAGAGGACACAAAGCCTTATGTTCAGCATTTTAAAGCCACCCGGTCTGGAAAAAGTCTTTGTTACGGCCGATAAGTTATTTTCACAAGTTAGCTGAGCGGAGATACAAAGAGGTGCAATTTCGCTAAAATTGCCGCTATTTATTCGTAGTCTGATTGGGCTCTTGTCGAGAACGAGTTTAAGCTTGCAAGCATCGCAATCTTGCTGAGATATTTTGATTTTTAAAACTACCCTGGATGCATCGATCTCATGAAGGAGGCATGCAATTAGAGATTCAGCAATCTTCTTCGGATCGTGAGCCCGTTTCTTTGTTGGCAACATTCGCTATTGCGCCATTATTTTAGTGCGCATAGTCTTGTTTCGTCTTCTCATATCTATTGTATCCTTGCAACTCTGTAACTGTGAACAGGAAAAATAACTTTACCTGTACTTCAGCTGACTACAACAAAAGGATCGCCATTACATCCGGTAATTGCCAGCAAAAATCAAACATTTTAGGAGAGGTAAATATGTACTTAATTAACAAAGATAATTATCTATTTCTTACCGTAAACTTTTTCGAATGCTTGTTCGAAGTCTCCGATCAAATCGTCGATATCTTCAATTCCGACCGAGACTCTGAGTAAGTCTTTGGTAACACCAGCTGCAATCTTTTCCTCATCAGAGAGCTGTTCGTGGGTGGTAGTCCATGGGTTGATGATCAACGACTTTGCATCTCCCACATTGGCCAAATTTGAAAAAATCTTCAATTCGTCAACAAAACGAGGACCTGCTTCTTTGAAGAGATCACTGGTTGGATTAGGAACATCTTTGACACCAAAGGACAAGACAGCACCGTAACCGTTCGTTAAATATTTTTTAGCGTTCGCATGGTATGGATGAGATTCCAAACCTGGATATGAAACCCATGCAACATATGGAGAATTTTCCAACCATTGGGCCAATTTGAATGTGTTGGAGCCATGTCTTTCACCTCTTAATGCTAATGTTTCCAAACCCTGTAATAAGAGGAAAGAACCGAATGGGTTTTGACATGGTCCTAAATCTCTGAGTAACTCGACTCTGACATAGGCGATATAAGCAAATTCCCCAAACTTTTCATTCAGGATTGCACCGTGATAACCTTCAGAAGGCTTTGAAAATTGTGGGAACTTTTCTGGCCAGTCGGAGAATTTGAAGCCGTTATCCTTTGCTGGATCCTTGTAAACCACAACACCACCGATGGTGGTACCGTGACCACCAATCCATTTGGTGGCAGAGTGAGTGACAACGTCGGCACCATGATCCAAAGGTCTACAAAAGTAGCCACCAGCACCAAAGGTGTTATCAACGATGACTGCAGCACCCTTGGAGTGCGCATAGTCACTAATTGCCTTGAAGTCTGGAATATTGTACTTCGGATTACCAATGGATTCCAAATAGACCGCCTTTGTTTTGTCGGTGATCAGGGACTTCAGCGATTCCAGGTCGTCACCATCTGAAAACTTGACGTCGATGTTGAACAATTTCTTGAAGTTCTTGAAAGCGTTGTAAGTACCCCCGTACAAGAATGAAGTGGAGACAATTTCATCACCGCTTTGGGCAGCAGCCAAAACTGCCAACAGCTGGGCGGCTTGACCAGAGGACGTGGCAACGGCCATTGAACCGCCTTCCAATGCTGCTATTCTCTTCTCAAAAACATCTTGAGTTGGGTTCATGATTCTGGAGTAGATGAACCCCGGTTCTCTCAAACCAAATAAGTCTGCACCATGCTTAGAGTCCTTGAAAACGTAGGACGAAGTTGCGTAGATAGGAACTGCTCTAGCATTGTTTGCCCCTTCTGGGGTTTCTTGGCCTGCTTGGACACATTCAGTGCTGAATTCTTGAACATCACAGTATATATAGAGGATGGAAGTTTAAAAAATGTTAGTATCTTCGCAATGTCACAAAAACTTTATCTCAGCCGTTGCTCCGGTACCGGAGGAGCTTCTCCAAGGTGAAGCCAGCCCGACTTACTTGTCATTCTTTGTATATTGATTTGATTGTTTTGAAACGTGAATTCCAAACACTGACTCCGTAAAAATAATCATTCAAGGATGCGTATTGGAACGAAGTAGACTCTGTAACCCACGTTCAGAACGTTCACTTTTATAGCTCTCCGATCAACTATGTGTCACCACCATCTCCGGAGCATTTTCACCGGTAGTGGTTCACATCACCCTTGACCGAGGAAAAATGATGCAATTTCACGTGGCCAGGTGCTCTCTTGCACGTGTCGTGGGGAAGCCCGAAAGTCGCGACAATATTTTTGTCGCAGAGAATGCGGCTCAGTTGTTTGTGCTCAGCAATGCCATTTTGGGAACTTCGTCGGACTGCATGCTTTTTCACGAGCCGCCTGGAGTGCTCTAATGCAGTTTTTTAGCTGAGCAACAGCTCCATAATTTCCCTTATAACTGCTTTAATTTCTCTTTGTTTGGGTTTTGCCCTCCATCATCCTTTTCTCCTTTTCTTCTTGGTTCTTCCTTCTTACTTTGGCTTTTTTCCAAACAACTTGTAACTCACTCTAGAAGTGACAAATTTAAGTGACTTCAAAAACCGGTGGTAGAAATTAAAACCTAAATTAAACGTAATGGTATCTGTTGCATCTAGTACAGCTTTGAGCAAAAGTCTACAGCTTGTTCTCTCTGTAATTGTGCTCGGTTTAAGCTCGAGTTTATTGAGTAACAGATCCTCTCTCTCTTCTGCGTCAGAAGCTCTATCCGACTATAATTTGTCTAACAACGGTACTGGGTTTAATTTGACTAATTCGTGGAAAACTGAAGCTGCGGCAGTCAGCTCATCAGCATTCACGCTATTCTCTTCTGGATTTAATTACTTCTATCCAACTACGGCCTTGACTATCTTCAGGGGCTCAGGAAGTTTTATTTCAAGCGATAGCGCAGTGTCTCCATATAATTTTGTGTCTGTACCAGCAGATGAGTTTGCAAACAGCTCTCCTTTGTCAGTTTCAGCCGTTCATACGTCATATTTAACTTCCTTGGTGGGTTCAGAAACGCTATCAAATGCTTTTTGGTTCGTTAATATGATTGTCCAGATCGCAGATTTTGCATCAGACGATTGTTCATCTGTTTCGGATTTGCTAGACAACTATAATTTGACTGGAGTATCGAACTCTCAGTCTCTTTCCAACTACTTTAACTATTTTGACAATTCCTCTACTTCAACAGTTTACGATGAAATTCATGAAGCCCTAGCTTTATTCAACATTACTGACTTGGGTGACTTCCAGATTACTGACCTCAACGGAACTTCTCTTCAATCGGATCTTCTTCTCTCCCTAAATCATGATTGTCAAGTTAAAAAGGCATCAATGGCTCTATCAATTCTTGTCTGGATTACTCATATCTTATCCTCCGGCCTTTTGACGTCCGAACTCGTCTCTTTCTGGAATAAGTTTTCCAGCATTAAGTCTAAAGCTTTGAAGTTGAAGGAAAGTGAGATCAACAAAGCAAGCGAAAATGAGAATGAGGAAGATGGAGAAGAGGAGACCGAAGAAGCTGACAACACAGAAAAGAATACCAGCTCACATAATGTGCTCCTCACTTTTGACCACAGGTGGGGAGTCTTCGACATATCGCTAGATGCTCCTGGAGCAACTGATCTTGAAGGTTAGCTTTGAATTTTTTTAGTTATGTTTTTGCTTGTACCACTACTATTGTTTTTGCTTAATCCTTTTATTTAGTAGATCTATAATATATTCTTTAATAAATTTTAATAATTACTTTTTTTTTTGATATATACTACTTACAAAAAAAGTTTTGGAGAATTATGATTTAAGATAGCCATTTTTATTTCTCTCCATCAGAGGGTTTTAATAGCAAAAAGAGATAAAAGATAAAAGAAAAGTTAGCACAGCATTTCAAATTCCCTTTTTTGAGAAAGTGATTAGATTAAAAGCAGATTAGTAATTTTACTAGAACAGAGCTAACATCATTATGACCAAATATACCCAATTGAATTTGATGTGAATTTTTCCAGCGTGGGCGCTGTAAAGAGACTCCACATGGATATTATCTGTCTGCAAAGTTTGTGCCACACCAGCACATACATTAGGAGCGGAAAACGACTGAGTTACTGATGGTGTGACTGTAACAGTGTGTACTTGGGTAGCAGTGGAAGTCGCCACATACACGGGCGTCTGAGAATAAACTGATGTTGCAGTAGCAGATTCAATATTGCTGGTAAGTGTTGCTACTTGAGTTTCTGGATAAATTGTGGAAACTAATGTGTTATAGCCAGTGGAGATTGAATAACTGTTTGTATAGTCCTCTCCCCATACGATTAATGTTGATGTCACAACTTCTTCGTAAGTTTCTGTCACTAAACTTAAGCTTTGGGTGTAACGGGTGTAGGGATATGAAGAAAAGTATGTTGTCCATTCTGTGGATAAGTATAAACTTTCTTCTGCTGAAGTTCCATTTTGATACCCAGGGTAATAATGAGCCGTGGAAGTAAAAGTGGAAATTGGAGAAACTTCAGTTGAAGTACTGTAATCTACCAAAGCCGAGCTTAGTGTGAGAGTGCTGACGGTAGTGTATGTTTGAGTGTCAGTGACTAACAAGACAATTGCTGTAGTCGTGGTGATAACATATGTTTTGGTGGTTAGTGATCCAATGATAATTGTTGTTGTAATCTTTCCTGAACCGGCAGATGTTGCCACTGTTGTTGGAAAGGCTGTGGTTAACACTGGTGAAGTACTGGCAGTAGGTATGGTAACCGTTGTGTCCGTATATTCTCCTGGTGGAGTGGTAGCAGTATTAGTGGTGGCATCTTGGGGAGAGGTAGTAGTAGGATAGGAGACTTCTACGTGACTGGTAGTATCATCAGATGGTGATGTGGTAGTTGTATCTTCTGGAGGAACCACTGATGTAGCTACTGGTGGGGTATATGTAGTAATAGTTTGTCCTGTACTTAATGTCCCTTGAAGTGAAGCATCTGTCGTAATTAAAATACAGCCATCACAAGAAAAATCAGGATTCCACTACTCGACAAAAAATTATTACGAAAGAAGAGTACAGTAGATTGCAGTATATGTTAGTATCATTTATGGCCAATTTACTTTTACGGTTGTGTTACTCCATTTAGTTGATACGGAAAGGAGGCTCATCCAGGGTAAGTCATACTCTGGTTGTTATAGCATATACGGAGGAAGCGTAGTAGCTAGTAGTAAGTGCAAATAATAGAAAGTTGATTTTAGTCATTATGTAACAACTGTTTGCTGAGAAAAAGGTTTGAGTGTATAATCAGAGATGTCAAAGAGAAAGAAGAAGAGAGCAACAGGAGCAAAGTAGAAGCAAGAAAGAAGGGATGAAGGAGAGAGAAAGAAAGCATAAATGCTTAGAAATCTAAGAATCTTTGGCGCGGGAAATTATATTTCAGGCTTACGGTATTAGGGCTTTTATATTCACAGTTGAATATATATACATCCACATATACAAGGAATAAACAGGTAATTTCCTGGTTCACATACCCAGAGCACGATGCAGGGTATTGCAAAGGTTATCGACATTGTTACTGCTTCTACTGCTTTTCGTTGATTTGGCGTACTCACTATGGGCGTCGTCTAAGTCGTTCTCGTCACAAGAAGAAGGATAGAAATCACTTTCATCAAATTCTAAACCACAGCAAACACAGATAACCTCCATGATATCTGTCCAATCGGCCAGATCTGCCACATCAGGACGGTTGCTTCTTTTTTCGGCTTCAAGGCCAATCTCAATCATTATATTGCTGGTTGTCGGGATGTTTCTGACGCTTTGCAAAGACGTACTTGAAACAATCACATTGAGTATGCTGCCGAGAGAAACTGAGCTTTGGTATTTTTGAATATACTGCTCTAATACATTTCCGACACGTGTGGTTCTTTGTAGTTCGTTCAAGCCATTACTATTATGTTGAAGTGAATCCTGAAAGTCGTCCAATTTGGACAAAATCATATCACCGTGCCTATTCAGATCTTTTTTGTCCAACTCATAACTATCTAGAATACAGCTGTCCATGGACATATCAGATGTTGAGCACAAGACAAGTAGAATGTGTATTCCAATCATTGAAAGGCTTCTTATGATGTTTTTGAGAGGGACAGTTGAGCTGGGTATATGTTTAGTTTGGTTTAAAATGATGATTGCATTTGACGGCTTGGCTGAGAAGACTAGTGAGTTGATTGTATCTTCATAAAATCTTGGACAAACGCCAGTCGGTAACCTTCTATATCCATCTTCACCAACATAACTTTTCAAGGTTCCAAGAGTCTCGGCATCGCTCGGATTATTTGACTTGGTGTTGTCAATTAAGTGGTCAAACTCGTCAACTTCTAAAGTGGAAGTAAATAAACTGTAATTTAAGTTCATTCTCAAGTTGCTGAGGGCCGCCTTCCACCTATTCTCTAATGTCTTGGAATGGAAAATGAATTTGTGATAGTCCTTGGAAGTTTTGCTGTTCTTCATAATCAAAAACCCCGGTTCGGATGAATCTATATAGGTCGAAAGATTGACACTGATCAAATCATACTGAAAGTCAGTTGATTTTAAGGCAAGCAACATGTGCTGGAATAAAAAGCAGTAGCTTTCAATTGCTTCAGAAACTATACCACCTTCGGAGTTTAGAAGGTCGATTTTATCTACCATCCTTAAGGAACCCAATGACTTAATTTCAACGTTGCTTAATATCAATTCTGGATCAATAGTAGCTTTGATAACGCCTTGTAAAGAGAGATTTATCAAATCCTGCGTGAACTTTCGTTCCACCAGTTCATCTGCAAATCCAGCACACCAAGATGTGTCTTTGTCTTCACCTCTAGACTCTCCAACAGAAGTAATTATAGCTGAAGTACCGGAAGCACATGAGCCTCTGGACGCCTTCTTGTTGTGAGTTTTGGAAGACGCAGTTTTGTCGGTCTTGCCTAAACTTTTTGGCAAAGAGGAGCTCGGGTTCTTTAAAAGCGTCAATGTGCTCAACTGATGTGCCGTGAAATCTGAGTTTGACGAGCTTTCAGTGTCCACGAATTTTGGGGAATCCGAAGATGTTGGCGTTACAGGTGAGCTCATCGACAAAGTGGACTCATTCAGCGAACCGTGTGATTTCTCTATATGTGAGGCCAATATTCTGTTGTATATGTTTGTCAACAGTTTTCCGTCTTTGGGCGTTGCTCGCGTGGAAAATGGGCATAAGGCGCATTCTGGGAGAAATTCTGGTATCATTGCTCTATCAGGTAGAGGCGTATTTTCTATCGATAAGTTGAGTTCCAGCTCCATTATTAAACATTCTTCATGAGCCATGTGGCTGCACTGCAGCTCTACTATGCGCTCTCCGTCTTGGAGATTGTAAAATGTGTCAAGATCAATGTTGCAAATAGAACAGGCGTTCTGCTTTCCAACAGATCTTTTCCTGATGGGTATTTCAGGCCTCGTGAGCGATGGGTATTGGGTATCACTGTTCAACTCATTATATGTTAGCACTTTGGGTGAAGAGGCGTCAAAACTATCGATGTGATGGCTTACTGTTGGCTTTTCTGTGGCGTAATCATAAAGGGAAGCAAGCGGGACCGATGACGTCGGAGACACCTGCTTCTTCTTCTTAGGCGTCGCCGTTGACAATCCCTTGAGGTTTTTCAACTTTCTTTTGAACAGCTCTATTTTCTTGGCGTATATGTCTGACGAGCTTGAGATTTCTGGCAAGGGCGGCGGGTTGCGCATTCGATATCGATCTGTGCCCACTGGTGGCTGTTTGTTTGCTCTCGGAGTTCCGATATAGTGTCTGTTCAAGGCCGGTTCAAGCTGCGAAATGGTGTCGGCGTCAATGAAAGGCCCCATATTTACGCCAATGTTCGCTTGATATCGAACCTCCTGTCTGGGCGTTTGTTTTTTCATAGTGTAAGGGAGGAAGCAAACACCTATGCTTATTTAATAATAGTATATGCTGCTGTATGCGTATCTGTAGCTGAAGCTCTATTGGTGGAGCCACGTCTTTAGTTGTAAGTGTGCTGTTCAAGAGGGTCAGACAATCCCTTTCAGCCCTGTCGATGCTGCTCCTTTGGCTTCCCAGTTGGACGTCCTTCACGGTGGGTACCTCCGGCCGATTTTGCTATCTCTGTAGCTTTTCTGTGAAGCTTAAGTTTGTACTTTCTGCCCTCCTGGGTGTTGCCGTGGTGTCCATCCCAACAGTAGATTCCTCATCTGCCTAGGAACATGACGAGAATCAGGAACAAGCTGCTTGGACTTTCGCAGGAACATCTGAAACGGCACTGACGTCAGCAGCGCTCCCAATCGGGCAACAGCGGAGCAGTCGGTCACATGACCACATGAATCTAAAGTTTTCCCGTCTTCACGAAGCTCCAAGATGTGAAAGGAACGTCTCTGGACGGGGGGAAGCGGATATTCACCTGCCCAAAGAGAAACAGAAGCAGTCTACAGATTGGAAACAGCTGCAGCTTATTGTGACACATGTGCTTTATTGTCGGAACTTTTGCAGCACTTTACCATGGCGATCTCGCATAACTCTCCCGTGAAGAAGATCCAAAAGAGCATTATCAGCGGCAGCCAATCGTCGGTGTCTGCCACCGACAGAGGCGGAATAGCGATAGGCGACGACCCGGATGATGTTTGGAACAAGACACGGGCTGCCTGCGTGAAGGCGGTGATGAAGACGTTTGAAACAGAAAAAAATAGACACAAGGACGTTGAGTGGCGGGAATCGCCACAGAGCGCTGCTTCAAAGTATGAACAGTGTTTGTTTAAAAAAAACAGTTACTCTTTGAACGCATACAAGCTGCGGTTCCGGAAAGATCTTACGGCGTTAAAGAACTCCAAAACCGAGTTTGCGCTGGACATCTTGGCAGGAGAACTCGATATCGACGACTTTGTTAGTTTTGACGAGAAGGATTTAATATCTAAGAAACAGCAGGCCAAGGACTCAAAATTGCTGGACGAGGAGCTCAAAAACAAGATGGGCAAGCAGTTTCCAACCAATATCAATCAGATAAAAAATCAGAATGTTTTCATTGGAGAGAAGTGGGGCATCTCAGAAAGTGCTGCCAAGATTGATCCTGACTTCGACGAGGATTAGCGACTTCTGTGCACATGCCTTGTATACCTTACTTATAAAAACGTTAAGAAATATGAAACTGGTGTACTAATCGATAACTATAACACTCTGTTCGCTATCAGAAGCGGAGGATGAAGTGAGAGATTCTGCTTGCTCCAGCAGAGCGTGCTCTTTCCGTAGCTTTATGTCTACTTGTTCCCTAGCATCTCCACTTTTTCCTAGCTCAATCAAAGCTGAACGGGCAGGATCACGTCTTGAATGGCGTTTGGAGGGTGAGATAGTAGGCTCGGTTCTTTTTGTCTGCTCCAAACCGCTATCACTCTCTAGGGAGTGAATAAAACTTGGTTGTACAGCTGGATCAGGTGTTTCAGGTCTTTCACCCCCGAGCTGCTGATCCGGAGTAGCCTCTTTTGCTCTCCTCCTTTTGACTTCATTTTCATCGCTAGCATCTGATGGTGACAGTAATCTCTTATTAGGAGAAATTCTGAAAAAACTGGTTATGACTGATTGTGTAGTCCTCACTGGCGTTTTTTCAGAAGTTTTATCACCACTTTGCAACTGCGGCTCTGTTTTTAGGACGTTCGTTAGACGTGTTTCCTCATTGGCTGGACTTTCACTATGAACAGCGCTAATGCTTTGAGTTAAGTTCTTAACTGCTGCTAACTTCTCATGTTCCACAACATGTCTATTTTCACGTAAACTGTCCTCGATTATATCTTTAGTGCTTTCCTCAGTGTTCTTCAGTGGGGATGCAAAAGGATTATACTCTACTGACGAACTATAGCTTTCACAACTGTGGATGTCTTGCTTCAAAACTCCTAGTGCTACTGGAACTGGTGTAGCGTTTCGGCTGGCATCTGCACTAGTCTCTGACAGATTAATATCCCGGTTCAGCTCAGCACGTAGCCGTTGGAGTTCAATTTCAGCTTCTTTGGCCTTTTGTGTTTCCACTTCAGCTTTCTGAATGTTTTCACTTTCAATTTTTGTCTGTGAGTTGGATAATTTTTGGATTTGAAAGTTTTCAAGGATCTGATTGAAATCGATAAGCTCATCTTCGGTGAATGATCGATCATGTGCAGATATGAGCTCATCAAACTCTCTCTCTTCTTTGTTCTCCTTTGTCTCTTTAACCATAACACCAACAATAGCTTTTTCAAATTCAGTATTATCTAAAGGTCCATAAATTTTATAGTCTATGGTTTCGCCATCATTGCTATTTTCTTTCATAGAACTTACTAGAGCTTGTGTGACATTTACCACTTTCATTGCAAAGGGCGAAACATCACGACGGGCTACTTTAACCTTCTCTTTACTTGGCGTTCCGGTAATTGATGATTTTCCAAATGACAAGTAGTTTATAATAGAGTATCTTTCCTTCATTGATAAATCAGATGCAGATAGTGGCGTAAGCCCATCTTCAATTCTACATTCAACTGGTTCTTCTAAACTGTTTTTCACTTCACGGAGTTGCTCATCAAGACCAATTGGATGGGGGGCTTTTATACTGGATTCATCGGTATTTGTCACTAATGAAGCTGATTTCAGGTCCAGGCTTTCCAAATCAGAGGCCGTTCGGTTGAATCGGACAGTTAAGTCTGGGGTTGATTGTTTTGAGCGTGCTAGCCTTTCAACAGCAAAACCTTTGGCGGTATTGAGTAGATTTTTATCCAAAACCCCACCATTTTTCTCTGCGATTAGTTTTTCAAATAAGAATGGCATGAAGAGTTTGATATAGATACTATGGTAACATTCATCAATCAAGCCTGTTGCTCCGAAACCTGTTGCTAATTTCCTAAATGCCTGCGTTTCTGATAGAAAGAATAAATGAAGCGAGGTATCATCATCAAATTGGCCCATGGTTATAGTTTCCAAATACTCGATGAACAGTGCAGAATATTTTGTAAAATCTGAAAATTTTAGCTTGGAAATTGAGTCATCTAAAAATCCTGGCAGTAAGTTGAGACTCTTCTTTATCAAAATACATATTCTTAACATCATGTTATCAAATGTTTTGGTCAAGTTGACCATTATGGAACCCGCCCTCCTCATTTTTTTGAGTAAAATTGTCAATGAGTAAATGTCACCCTTCTCGTATAAAAGTTGAACCAGAAATTGGGTGTAGATTGAGTTGTAAATGAAATGTTTTCCCGGCCTTTCACTTGTCGGCTTCCAAATTGTACTTAACGATCTAATATTAGGTTTCAAGTTGATCAAAGATAGCAATTCTTTTTTTGCACTATCTATATCATGATCCATGTCATAAAAAGAACGTGCCAATCTATATACGGGCCGATGTTGCCAGTTTTTTCTATCGTAGGAGATTATTTTGCTCAAAACTTTTAAAGTCAAAGACTTGAAAGTCTCTTGCGAAGAATCTGAAGGGAATATTGCAGCAAAAAGAGGGTCTTGGTTTATGTAGCCAATTGCTTCATCTATTGAAATTTTGGACGACCGATAGTATTTTGAAATCACAGAAAAAAGATAATAGTGTGGCTCAATGATGGGGTCGTCCTTTGAGCTTTGCCTCATTGCTAAATCACATGATTTAAGAAAATTTTCTATAATAATCTTAGGTTCAATGTTTTGATAATTCAGTTTACACTGGGATTTTGCCAAGTACATAACGTCATACCAATTTGTTTCATCTTCAGTAACAGCTGATTTGAATGCCAGCTCTAGTAACTTAAATACTGCATTATTTGGTATATCATTAGTTTGAGGCTTCAAATTTGCCATCTTATTGGATAATGAATCATTTGAAACCACTCTGGAGTCATGTTGATCATCATCTACATAAATATGGAATGCTTTTTTGTTCATAGGTTCCATCCACGTACCATAAAGTTCTTTAGCAAAAGCTTCCCATAAAATAGGAACCACAAGCTTGTGTCTTGCTTTTTCTTCTTCCGACGCACCAATGTGAACACAGATGGCCATGAAATAACACAGTAAAGCCTTTTTCTGAGTCAATGAAGTCAACTGTTTTCTTTCCACAGAGTTTAGTTTATCAGCAGTCCATATCAAATCATCTTCCACCAAAAATGAATAGGTTTGTCCTAAAGCGACCCAAGTTTCAAACCTATTGCAGCCACAAAGAATGTCATTTTCAAGCATCTTCAATACATAATCTAACTCTGCTGCTCGACTTTGCATTGTTCTTCTGCGTACTTTGAAAAAATGTAACCCGATAAGACCTTCAATGTAGTAAAGCCCATTTTCAGATACCTCTATTCCAGGTACATCTGGTTTCTCAAAATTTAAGTCCGATTTCCCTTGAAAGCTATTGATAACAAACTGTAGATTAATGTTAGTTTTACGGAGATACGAGTCCAAAATGCTTCTGTTTTTTGCCACGGTTGGGTTAGCGAGGTCAGGGTCTCCAACAACGTCAACAATTTTGTCGATAATACTCTTAATATCGTTTCTGGGAGGTGATAATACTGGATGTTTTCCCTTGAAGCAATACGTTGAGACAAATTTCGACAACTGTATAGTATCTTCAATGGTCATTTTCTTAGGCTTACATTTATGATCAAATGTTTCAAATCCATCTAATGATACTGAGAGACCAAATCTGCAATGAATGATTTGAAACACATCATTGGCAGAAATGTCAAAATTCAGAGCTGTTAACTTGTATTGTAGATACTTCAAGAATGCACCATCAACAGCAGAACACATATGTAATAATCCTAGCTCTATATGGCATATGCTCAAAAAGTCCCCTATGAACTCTGGTTTGGGGTTGCTCAATGCAGTTGGATAATAGAACGCTAAAAGGAAAAAGCAGCTTGAGACACCATTATTGAGAATTTCGAAAGCTCTACTGGATCGCACTGAAAGGCTAGGCCTGGAGTCAATTTGCACAGCATTCTGATAAGTTAAAAAGGAATATAGCATGTACAAAAAGTGCGAGACTGAGCTCACCATTTTGAGGGAACTTTCTCGATCAACATTGTTAAAGCATTCGAAGTGGGTAGTATTGCAGAAAGTGATGAATTTATGAGAAAAATGCGAGAAAAATCCAATAACGTTGAAAATCAGTATCTTAGCTTGATGAACGGCTAATTTGTTTAAATTTTCTGTTCTGAGTTGACTTGCCATGATATCAACGATATGTTCAAATGCGTTTTTGTATTTGAAAATGTCATTGTTCAATCTATAATACCTTAGTAAAAGAGACCAAAGACGAAGCTTCAACGGTAGATTTGAGCTTTCAATAAAATTCTCAAACTGAGTTTGAATCTTTTGTATTTCATTGCCATTATGGCTATAGTTTAGTGGTATCTTTAATAAAACTGACTCTAAAATCTTACTGGATTTTTCATTCTTGTCAAAAATTTCAAGAATCTTCAACTTAGAAGATTGTGTCTGGATATTTTCGTAGTTCAACACAGGAATTAGCTCATAATTGACAAATGGCAAATAAATCTGTTTTTCTTTTACTACATCTGATAGCTCGGATAAAACATCTGTTAACTCTTGAGGATTCAAAACTTGAGAGTGACTCTGTAGATAATATAACTTGAACCAGACAAACCTAGACCATATATGAGCTAGCTCAGGAAGGTCGTGATAGTCCATAATTGCGAATGCGTCTTCAATAATGCATTTCCATTTTTCTATGCGTTTGACAATTGTATTCTCGAAATTTTGGATATTTGTTAAAGTGTTTTTATACGTTGAAGCTCTTTTCAGCTTTTGGTCCTGAACAAACTCAACGTATGAATCAACTAAAACCTCGAAAACAGATTCCGAATTATTAAAAGCAGAAATTAAGTTTTCTTTCTTCGAACTCTGGTTTAGTTCGTATAGAGTGAAATGCTCAAACTCATTATAGAAAGACATACTTACACAATCAACAATACTTTTGAAATTGCGGAGTGTTTTTTTGTTCATTGGTTCCACACATAAAATAGATGCACCAGACTCTAAATCGCAATTGAACATAAACTTTACAACAGCTGTTCTGACCTGGTTAAAATGAAGGTTTCTCTTTGACAATTCTTGTAAGTATTGAAAAAACCTATTCATGTTTTTCCTTTTGAATAAATGAGGATTTATAACTTTTGCCGACTTGAGGTTCACAATTTCTCTGATTGACTCACTTTCTGAGGCTGGAGTCAACACTGATTTCGCTTGCAACTTATTTCTCTTTTCATCAGTTACGTTTAGGCATTGTGTGTATTCATCTTCCCAGGACGCCACACATGAGTAAAATTGGGAGACAATCTTGTCTTCCTCTGTTGTTTCTGAATAATCACCATTAACCAACTTTGACAAAGGCTGAAATTCTATGTTAATATCGCAAAGTCTGAGAAATGATGGTAAAGTTTGAGAAATAAAAATGTCGTAATCTTTAAGTCTTGTTTTAGCATGGTCATTGGCAGAATCAGTATCAGACTTTGTTCTAGTACTCCTAGTAGCTCGTGATGCAATCACATCTTTGGCTTTTAGTTCTACTGTATCCTTTGTATCTATTTTCTCTTTTTCTTCCGTAATTTCCACGTCAAAATTATTTTCTGGATTATCAGCTGCTGGTATACTTTTATCATGAATTTCAGTTGGGGATGATGGTGTATCTGAGTGAGATACATCGATATCAAATTCAAATTCAACTTTGCCAAAAATGGACTTGGTTAGGTAATAACCATCATGCAATTTACTTTTTCCCTTTGGTTTGGGTACACAGTTAATAATCTCTTCAAAAAGTGAGCTAAGGTCAACTACACCATCCACAACGCTAATATCCAATACTAATATATCAGTTTCACGTAACCGTTCTCTATTCCACTGTTCTATTGTGAATATATCATTCCAGTTGTATTTTTTATGTTCAGCATCTAATTTATTCTGAGTCCAGAATTTTTTGCTGTGCAAACAACTTTCGACTCTTTTATAAAGTGAAGAAGTGCTATCTGAAATATCATTCAAGAGTTGTAGAAAGTTTTCAAGCAAATTGACTTGATTGAACAACAGTTCCTCAGGTTTGTTCAGATCTATTTTCAGATCGTCATTTGATTTATAATCTTCAGATATATTCAGCTTCATTTCATAACATAATCGAGCCAATCTTGGATGTCCAAAATGATTGAATAGCGATGATAGTATCTTTATGATTTTAACGTCTGGGATACCAAAGACTGTGGCATTTAAAAGATCATTCATAGAACCTATCATTTCTCCATATATACTAATTTCTAGCTCGTCATCGTCATAATCTGTCCCTTTGTCTGAACTCACAACCTCGATTGTACCAAGATTATTTTCACCGAGGCTAAACGGATGATCACTCTTTTCTTCAGACTTTTCAACTTTTGCAGCAGTGGAGCTGTTCGAATCTTTCAATTGTGAGTGTTTTGTTCTCTTTTGTTTGGACTTATGTTGATCAATCAACTCGCGCAATCTGAGCATGCCTCTATTACGGCAGTACAAATACTTGAGCCTGTTTATGGTTGGATTGTTTGAGATGTTAGGTTGTTGTAGAATCTCGATTCGTCCTAGTTCATCATATTTTTGGTGTGCCTTGTCGAAGAGGCCATTCTTCTGAAACTCCAATGCCTTGTTAAGAGTATTTAGGGCAACTTCAATCTGTAGCTCCCTTGTATGTTCCTCAATATCTAGTTCATCATCACTCAAATTGAGTGCGGTGAAACTTGACTGTATTAATGAAGTAATGAAATGTCAGTATCTCAATTCTGCAAGATGTGAGGTTTCCCATTTCGGTGCAAAACATACCATAGCTAGTGCTGAGGCACTCAAGAACAATTTTGGTGAACAAAAGCTGTACGCAGCGTTCAGAGGTTTCTAATTGCTCTTTGTTGAAGTCTAAATTCTTACACTGTCAGCCAGCTGGACATGTCCAGATGGAAGATTGCTTGCAACAAAGCCTTTGGCATTACGTAATCACAACTACAAAATTTGTAACATTCAGTACCCTCGATGTATCATGAGCTTATCTTCGAAATTATGCTGCTTTGTTCGTTGGTGCCACTCACTAACAAAGTCCTCAAATAAGTGTACTTGAATTGTTTTAAGATTCTAAATAAAGAAGATCTCAGCACAATTAAGGATAGTACATCAAACACTAGTTTTCTTAGATCTTGTTTTACAAAGAAACTTTTCCATTACTCCATAATGATGCTACTGTTTTAATACATCACGTACCGTTTCCTGTAAACGTTGTGCTTTTTACGTCCTACACAGGATCAAATATATTTGTAAGCGTATCTATTACCGTAGGAAAACACGTGTTTTCTCCACCTTTAAAATCTGAAGCATGAAATATTATAAGGTCTCAGCAAAATAAAAGCTTTTTTTTTGGTCAGTGCCGATTCCTAAATCCAGCCGTTAAATAAGAAAGTCGACTTATGCCTTTCAAGCTCCTACCAGAGTTTAAAAAACTGTAAAAAAAGATGATCAACTTATAACACTTTTGATTAGTAGTGGTAGAGAAATAAAAAAGTAGGTCAAGTTTTAGCGGTTTTCTTTTATCTATGTCATTCTAGCTGATCTGTAGTCATCAAAGATTTCTATAGCTGATTAACACCAGAAGCTGTTGGTTTATTTGTACTTTATGAGCCTAATATTTGAAACAATGGGTGAGAAGAGCCCGGTGAGCATCACCATACAGCTATTGCAAATCCCACAAAGGTAGATTGCTGGCAACCCATGCAGGTAAGTGCTGTTGTAACATTTTCTGTGGAATGTCTGTTTCCTGATTGCATTAACTACATCTGAAAGTTGGAGGAACGTCTACCAAATACAACCCTAGAAATATCGAAGTCCAGAACCATGTACCGGCCATCTACATCTTAGTGCTAGGGTCACCAAAGGGGCATGAAATCCGGGGGTAATTGTTTTTGATACTTCCAACAATGGCAATCGCCAATCCCACTTTAGCAGTTAAGTAGCCATCAGAGCTCCATCAGTTCGGATACCGCCCAAGAAAAATTGTACCTTGCCGCAATAGGTCATCGAGATGTTTGCTCTAGTGTGGTTTACATGAGCCCACACTTGGCATGCAATTTTTCTACAGAAATCGATGAGTTACCTCCGCTCAACAGTAATATCCTGAGAGTCTATAGGCCATGTTACATGCACCAGTGATGCATTTAATACATTTACATATCGTGTCCCCCTATGAGTAGTGTTCTAATGAAGCGGCATCGAGGCGAACCTGCGGCGAACGCAAGCCGCGCGAGGAGATCAATAAGATTTCGGATTTTTCACAAATTAAAGTTTTTCCAGCCAATTTCCAGATGGGCCAAAATACGGGAGATCTATCTATAAGTGTGATTTTTTAAACTTTATTTGAAGATGACTTCTAATTATATTATCTATATAGTAAAAAACATGGAGCGGTAGAGTATTATGACTACCGTACAAAATGATAAGCAAAGATGAGCTGATAGTAAAGGGCTAATTTTTATATTTTAGTGAGTGGGGTATGCTGATGACGAGGAATAATGGGTTCTAGAATTTCATGGAGATTTCCTCCTTGAGCTTGGACAACTCATCAACATTTTCCTCCGAAATGTGTTGTAGAATATTCAGAGCCATTTGGTCTGCCAAGCGGTCCTTTTTCTTGAGGTCAAGTTCCTTATCCAAGTGATCAATCTGGTACGACTTTGCAAAAATAGGGTTTACGTCAGGCTGGAAAAGTTCCAGTGGTACCTCTTCTGGCTTGAAGTTCGAGGCAGACAGAGTGATTCTGATAGGAGAAGTGGTGGAACTTGTCGGGGTTCCTCTTGTGGTGGGTTCGAGGAAGGAGGAGTTCAAGGTAGTTGATGTAGAAGAGCTCAAGTTTGAAACGATCAGTGGCGGCTTGTCGTTTGGGTTGATATCAAAATAGCTGTTGCCGTTCCCATTGATGTAGGATGAATCTAAACTTAAAGGTAATATCGGGGTGAGTTGTTCGGTGGTGCAAGGAGGCTTGGACTTGTCCACAGGGTCCACGGGGAGTAAAATGACTTCTTCCTCGTCGTTTTTGTGGTACGAAGCTTGGCTTGGTTCGTTGTAGTTGGCAGCTTCGTGGAAGTAGTCCTTAGGAGCAGAGAAAGAGATTGGATTCGAGTTGAGTGTAGTCTGGTTGATATTGGTATCTATGTAGTCCAGAGGGTGTATCTGTTGGATGGACTTGTTTCGACGGATGCTGTTAGACTTTCTTCTTCCCGTGTACAAGAGAGTTGGATGGTGGTTTGTGTCATTACCTGGGGAGGCGTAGTCGTTGGCACCGCTAGTGCCGTTACCCGAGTTGCTGGTGTTGAGGTTCGATTTCGTGGCAGAGATGATGTGCGAGACCGACTTCTGTATCGAGGATATGGAGTTTGCTTGAGTGTGATTCTGAGAGCCGGAAGAAGCTGAGGCAGCTGCGGAGACGTCTTTGAAGATTCCCAGGCCCTGGAACGACTCGGTGTTGGTGCTAGAGCTGATGCTGGCGCCACCGTGGGTGTTGGCATTATTGGTAACGGCGTCACCCGCAGGTGTTCCGGACGGGTCCCAGCTGAGGTTGGAGCCGCAGGATGAGAATGAGTCTGTGTCGTTGAAGGTGCCAGAGGGAGACCTACTTGGTCCGACGGAGGGGCTCACTAGCCGTTTCGTTTTCGCAAATGTGTACTTGACCCGTTTCGAGATCGATCTCTTCAACGTCATGGTAGAGGCCAGAGAGGGGTCACTGGTTGTGGGCAGTGTGATCTGTTGTGTTGTGCTGTGTTGTGCTGTGCTGTTCTTGCGGTTTTTTCAGAAAAAGCACGTAAATCAATGCGGGACAGAGTCTGCGGCGTGTAGGATATTTTGGCACAGACGGAGTAGAGGGAGAGGGCAGGAAAAAAAAGCGAGGAGGGTGTGGGTGTAGGGGGACGGAGGAGGGTGTGTGGGGATGGGGAAAGGTGTGCTGAAAAAAGCGAAGGCAGGACAGGAGGACGGCGCCTGGCGTAGAGAGGGAGGCGACCAAGGAAGGAAGATGGTGTTACTGGTGAAGAACGGGCAAGCAAGGGCAGGCCAGGGCCAGGATCGAGGGGTAGGGGCGATTTGGCGCAGACGGGCCCAGGGCTGCAACTGCCTATGCCCCTGCAACGGCAACGGCAATAACGAGCCAGCCGGCGTCCAGGAGTTATTTCCTCCTCTGGGCCTTCCGCTCGTGTGTTTCTGCTCTCTGTCTGTCCGGCTGGCCTTTCGGCACGCCCTCCGGCGGGCGTTCCGGCGGGCGGACGAACTCCAGCTCGGGATCCCCTGGGTGCCCCCCTCCGGCGCATGGCCCGTTGCTCTTGCCCTGTCTCGCTGCCCCGGTTTGCTGGAGCAGTTGAAAGATGAGGGAAAAAGGAAAAAAAAAAAAGAGCAGCAAGCGGGCGGCCGCACGCACGCACGCTGGCCAAAGCGGGCACTATAAGCCGCCGCGCAGCGGTCTAGTCGCCCGTCTGTGGCAGCGGCTCGCCAATCGCGCGCCAATCGTTCGCCCGATGCGGAAATATGCCCCTTCGGGATAGTGCACACACAGGCGCAACGGTTCTGGTGCAGACAGCCGCGCGCGCTCACGCCGCGGGAATCTAGACCGCCTGACGGCCGCCCCGCCTGGGATCCCGGCCGGCCTTTGCGGCTGCAGCAGTGCTTACCGCATTAGTGGAGTATAGTCTAGCGCAGTGTTGTATGCGGGGTGTGCGGGTGTGCGGGTGCACGGGTGTGCGGGTGCACGGGTGGACTGCTCCCTTTTGTCCCCCTGCAGGAGGCTCGTAGCAGCCGGATTGGGCAAGTTTGGCAGCGACACCTTTGCCACTGCGCTCGCACCAGCACGTCGGGCGTTCTCGTGTCGTGGATGGCACCGCACTGCATGCATTGCCCTCTCGTCTCTTTAGCACCTAAATGCCCCACGCTAGACGGATCAGTGGAGAATGACGCCTCCTGTTTTTTCCCAGAGCGGAAATTGAAGCCCCAGCGTTGATCCCTCATCCCATCGGCAGATCCTCATCGTCCCACCAGCATTGTCGGTGTTGCAGGGTAAAACATCACATACCGCCTGCTACCACAGTACACCACGCGACGCCTCGCCACGCAGCTCTACCGCCTCTATGTCGCTACAAAGCTTGAAGAACAAGACCCGCAAAGAGGTTGCTGCACGTCTCAGGGCCCTCGACGTGGCCCAGGTGACAGCCCAGTCGGCCGCCACCGCCGCCGCACTGGCCCGCTTCCCGCCCTTCCAGAGCGCCCGCTCCGTCGGCGTGTACATGCACCTGCCGGAAAACGAGCTTCACACCGACGCCATCCTCGACAGCTGCTTCCGCACGGGCAAGACGGTCTTCCTTCCACGGATCGAGCAGCTGCACGTCTTCGACGAGCAGCCGGCGTTCCCCGGCCAGAAGTCGTGTCTCCACTTCCTCTCGGTGCAGTCTAGAGCCGAGGCAGACGCCCTGCCTCCGCGGGGCAAGTACCAAATCCGGGAGCCAGACTACGCCCCGGACCGGAGTAACGACCTCCTCGCAGGCAGCGACCCGCTTGACCTGCTTCTCTTGCCCGGCGTGGCGTTCACCGCCACGGGGCGGCGACTCGGCCACGGCGCAGGCTTCTATGACGACTTCATCAAGCGGTACCGGGCCAAACACGGGACCGTCCCGCTTCTCGTCGGAATCGGCCTCCCAGACCAGCTCGTCAAGGACCCGTCCAGCCTCCAGCTGGAGCCCCACGATGAGCCCCTCGACTACGTCATTCTTGGCGGGTCCGTCTTCTCTGCCGCAAGCTCGTTGCCCGAGATCTGACCTCCTTTTCTATTGGCATCAACCATCAGCCCCAGGGCTGATCCTGCCACCCCTTCCTGTAAACTTATCTTCATCAACCCGGCGTCGCGTCGATCAGCACCAAAAGTCCCCCCTCGGCCATGCCCTTTTCTCGCTCTCCTTCTCTTGCAAATGAATCCATCTCGTCTGTCATCTGATAGTAATACCCCACGCCAAAATCTCCTCCCCCCTCATAACGGTAATCCTACTTGGTATATTGTAAACCAACAAGAGTCACATACTCACTACACACAATGTACGCAAGACTTGGGACTTTCGCCCCTCTCCGGAAAAATGGCCTCCAGCTCGTCAGCAAGCGGTTCAACTCCGTAAAGTACCCGCCTCCTCCCTCCCATTACGAACCCAAGCCACGACGGAAGTGGCATTTCGGTCTTATCTTGTTTGCTCTCGGTGCAGCCGTGTCCTATAACTACCCACTCTACACCATAGGGGAATCGCTCATGTCACTACCTGACGACTCGGACATCGATGCCAAACGAAAATACTCTTCGGATCTCGAACAAAAACTCCAGTCGCTACCCCTGGTTAAAAAGTACAAGGATGATCCGGATTACACCGAGTACAGAGGATGGAACCATCTGGACACTACTCCATCCGGTCTATCGAATTTCCACGGAACTTTGCTCACGCCTGGGGGAATTGCCATCCCCCCAATCTCCTTTCACTGCCAGAAAACAGGCGACGACGTCGTCATTTTACATGTCGGCCGTAGACTCGCAGGGTATCCCTTTATAGTTCATGGGGGAATGCTAGGAATGATAGTCGATGAGGTCTTCAAGACAAATCTGATCAGGGAGTTCCCCAACTTAACGTTTGATACTGTCCACACCAAATCTCTAGAACTGAACTACAGCTTCCCCACATTCGTCAACCAGTTTCTTGTCATCAGATCCAGCTCGAACAAGAATAGAACCGCCGACAATGTTTACAGCGTGAAAAGTGACGTCTCCACAATGGGAGGTATGCTTCTCATTACTGCTAATGCCACGCTTTCTTCGGACATTGTTCCTAAGGCTTCCACATCAGCGCCCTCCCAGAAGGAGGGGAAGCACGGGTACTTTTGGTGATACCTTTTTGATACTCGGATAAACCTCTATTTAGCTGATACATCATCCATCTATCTACTTCTCTATATACATTTTTCTACTGCACCCGGTTGACCTGTGGTTGCGTAATGGCAGACGCACACGTGCAAATAACCTGTGTGCGAAGAGTAGGCGAGGGAGGTGAAAAATAGGAACGGACTGGACTCTCCATAAATCACCAAGAAAGCTGGTTCATGTAAATGATGGACCAGCCTTCTTCTTCTCCCTCCGTCCATTTGACAGAGCTTCCGCAGATCTCAAATAGAACACCAACACGGTAACACATACACACATACATACAACATGTCTTTCCTTGGTTTCGGTTCTCAACCCCAAATTTCCACTGAACAAAAGATTGCAGCTGCTGAAGCTGAGTTGGACATGATCACAACCATGTTCAACCAGCTTTTAGACTCCTGTTACAGAAAGTGTTTTGACAAGAACTACACTTCTGAAGACTTGACCCAAACTGAATCCTTGTGTGTGGACAGATGTGTCTCTAAGTATTTTGCTGCCAATGTCAAGGTCAGTGAGTCGATGCAAACTGTGGGTAAGTCTGGTGTTCTTGCAAAGAAATAAGCTTCCTCATGTCCAGAGTTGATTGAAATAACAAATTTTTTATCATTAGAGAAGATCTGTTCATTTATATCTATTTACACATATATATATATCTCGTGTGAAGATAGTTTTCTATTCACACGCCCTTGGATCCATAGTATTCCTGAATATAGCTCTTTGTTCCAGTATAAACATTTCATGGCAACTATGCCTGAAAGCACTATTGTGATTTGATCAGAGGCCAAAGGCACGGCAGATACGCATTTTTACTCCTTCCATACTGTTTAGTTTTGGACGGACATCCAAAAAGAATTTTGGCTCTTCGCCCTCCATCACAGGTGTGGTGTAAAAATCAATCACATACTCAATCTCCTTCCCACAACGATTTATCACCCAGTCATGTCTATCGAAAGGCAAATCCCGGCCAAATATATAGTGTCCTATTGCAGCTCTCGGCGTAATTTTCTTTGCGTCTCCCTTGAAGGACGACAATTTGATTCCACCACATGTTTCGCCACCTTGTCCCCTTTCCCAGTTAAGAACATAGGCCCAAGCAACCTCATTCACCATATTGTGTAAAGGAACAACGGTTTTCATATCCTGTTCTTCTGGGGACCAGTTCTTTCTTAACATGGCATTGAAAAACTGCTTTTCTGAAGGATAAACCCAATTGGACTCGGCGTTGGTTCTAGGTATCGATGATATGACACGGTCCTTCGACAGAGACCCGCTTCCCGCAACTGCACTCGCAGGTGTCAATGGAGACTGATCCAACTCTTCCGATGAGCATTCAACAGCTTCCGGTGCTGTCCTGGTTATCGTAAGAGGCATACCTGGCACATTAGGGTGATCCAAAGGTATAGTTGCGTTAGCTGCATGCGGAACAGGGCAACCTGCATCTAACGAGCCGTCTTGCTGTATATTACTAGGCAGAGATGAGGCCCAAAGAAGGTTTCTCCAGCCCCATGCACTGGCTGCATTACTAGTGTGCTGCTGTAAAACACTTTCATTTGTGAGATGTCCATCTATCTTTTTTTTCTGAGCAAGCTGCGACTCTTTCGATTTCTGGATCCATATTTCTCTCGTTTTAGGGTCAACAGGACATTTTGGTTGATCATCTGACATGTTTTGCTTTTGATTTAAGGTCGAACAGAATGAAATAAGATGAAAGTTCCCGGTTTATGTACCCGAAGCGGATACCATTTTGCCTGACGAATAAGATTTCATAAATATCCTGCTGACCCTGAGTTACATATATATTACGTAATAATTGGTAACTAAAACGATTTGTCACGTGCTTCAAGATACACCAGACTATTGCGAAACTCCTATACACGTTTGGCTAAATATTCATCAGGATTGTTTCACTTACCGTGAAATGCTGTTGTCATTTGTTCCTGGATAAATCAGTTTTTGAAAACGATGACGGCTTCGAGTTTACTTAGCTAGAATGTTTGAGTTATACAAAATAAGACAGGAGTGAAATCTAAGATTAAATCTCTATAGATGAAAAATGATGGTGATACTTCAATTATCACTCACCATAGAAAACCACGCTTCATTAAAGTGGTGGTTGTATCGCTCTCACTTTTCAAAGTTGGAACATTATAGGTTCCATTGTGGTAGCCAGAGCTACCATCGGAAGAAGTGACGGTCGGGAAACCAGTCGTAGTATCTGCTGGAGCAGAAGCGGTATCTGCTGGAGCAGAAGTAGTAGCTGCTGGTGTAGTGGTAGCAGCAGCGGCAGCCTCTGTCAAAGAGGATGATGGGTTTCTTGTTGAGTATGCAGTAGATGTTATCGTGGTTGTGACATACTCGGTGGAATCAGTGTTAAATGCAATACCCCCATTAGCAGCTGCATTACCGCCTGCTGGTGCGGTACCGGTAAAAGTACCAGTGGAAGTAGCGGCAGTTGAAGTGAGAGTGTTTGTGTGTGTAATAGTCACGATAGTAGTTTGCTCCAGGGCAGTGGCTACCATGGAAGAAGCGGTGTAAAAACTCACGGAGGATCCACTACTAATGGTGAAAGTTGCCGTTACAGGAATTGTGACAGTGGTGGTAGAAACTCCGGTAGAAAGAAGAGTAACTTCTGACAATTGTATGTTAGCAGAACCAGAGCTAGAGAGACCAGCAGTGACGGTGACGGTAACAGTTGATGGCGCAGGACACAAACTTTGCAAGATAGAGGATGGAATCCCAGAAGTGGCACTGGCGATTTGTGCAGCCTTGTTCTGAGATAGAGTGTCGGCAAGTCCAGTAGAGCCTACAGCTGAAAGAGAGGCACTAGGACTGACAGCCGAGGAAGCAGAAGCAGCGGCGGTTGTAAGCGCGTTTGCAGCTGCAGCTGAGGACTTGGTTTGGGTGACAAAGATGGTAGAAGTTATGGTAGAGAGAGTAGTGTAGTCTTCACCGTTTGAGTTTGTTTCAGTCAAGGTAGTAAGAATGTCTGTATCAGAGGCCAATGTCTCTACAGCAGATTCATTGACGTATCTTTTCGCAATGTATTGAAAGTTTTGTGGTTCAGGGATTGCCGCCGAGGAGACAAGAGTAGACAGAAGAGTCAAAGGAAGAAGGGATAATAGTTTCATTTTGTATTTGGAATTGGAAGATACTTTAAATTTATTAATAGATAACAATAAGCTGGTTTGATTTATTCAATGTTGGTGATAGGATAATAAAGGAAAGAATATGTTAACTAACGTATCAACGGATTAAAAGGAGTGACTGGCTGATAGTGGATTAGTTAAACAAGTTGGTGGTGAGGAAGGAAAAAAGAACTGATAGAACAATTAACCTGTTGTTTCAGTTGGGCGCTATTTGTTAAAGAGTACGATGTCGAAGGGTCTGATGTGCTTGAAGCAGAAGAAAAAGAATTTTCAGAGCAAAAGAGAAGAGGAAGAGTTGTAACGGAGGAACAGAAGAGTCAAAACAGAGAACAAGCTACGAAAATAACTCAAGATGTGCCCCAATTCCTTTTCACAAAAATAAGATTAAAAACACGTTGCTGGGAAAGACACGAGGAAACTGTCAACTTTATATAAAGGTGTGTCAGCTTCCCCTTTCTCGCGTGAAGCACCACGGTCCTGGTATGTGTACAAACGCGTTTTCGTGTGTTTACCTCGCGACCGCGTTTCCTTTCGCGGCCGTTGGTTTGAATTCTTTCAGCTGCACGCCAATCCGTTCTCCTGGAATGTTGCTGTTGGGGAGCGGCGAGAATAGAGACAATAGGCACAAGCCGCTGTGCCTGTATACACGAGAGGACGAACAATGCTGTCTGCCTGTTTCGAATGCCGTCGCACAGTGAAGGCCGACGCGTTGCTATACTTAGAAGCAAGGGTGCGTGCCAAAGCAGGGCTTTCTGAAAATAGCAATGGACCATTTCTCTTTCAGACGTCCTTGTCGATGAGGTCACCGAGATGTTTGTGTTTCAAGAACACATGCTCGCCAAGAGCGTCCGGGAAATAGCTCTGCCGAACCGTCCCGTTCTTGAAGTGCGGGTTGTACTTGTAGCCCTTGCTGTAGCCCAAGTCGCTCATTAACTTAGTAGGCGCATTTCGCAAGTGCAATGGGATCTCGGCGCCCTCGACCCCTGGTTCAGCCATCCACGTCTTCATTTCGTTCCAGCTGCGGTATATCTCCACACTCTTGGGCGCCCGGGCTAGTTTGACTGCACAATGCACCAAGGCCAGGTCGGCTTCAGGAAGGCCGACAAATTGCACAGCTTGGTACGCGGCAATTGCAAAAGGTAAACACGTGTCGTCTAGAACGCCAACGTCTTCGCTCGCAATTCTTATCATTCTCCTGGCTATGTACAAAGGATCTTCGCCGCCTCTCAACATTCTGGCCAAATAATACATGGCCGCATCGGGATTTGAGCCCCTGATCGACTTGTGGAAAGCCGAAATGGTATCGTAGTGTGCATCCCCCACCCTGTCGTATAATACCGTCGACTTCTTCAAGATGTTCTTGACATCTTCGAGGCTGACGTCATCGGGTGTTCCAGACTCTTCCTTTTCCTCATTGACGAAATTCGAGTCGATGAGCTCAATGCAGCCCAACGCTAACCGTCCATCTCCGTCCGCCACCCCCACGATCCAATCTATCGCCTCCTTGCTCAGCTTCAATACGCTTATGTTATGCACTAGTTTCCTCACTTTGTTTACCTCGACAAGGCCTCGACCGACAAGCTCTCTCATTTCGTCGTTGTCTAACTTATCTAAAACAAAAACCCTGCATCGGGAAAGCAAGGCTTTGTTAACATTGAAGCTGGGGTTTTCCGTCGTGGCGCCGATCAATATGATCACTCCACGCTCTACGTAACTCAAAAAAATGTCTTGCTGGCTTTTGCTAAACCTGTGGATCTCATCAACAAATATGATAGTTGGTTTCCTTGTAAGCTTCATTTCGTTGTTGGCCTCCTCAAAAGCCTTTTTGCAATCTGCGACTCCGTTCATAACGCCACTCATCTCAATGACCCTTAAATGCGCCGCCTTGGCCAATATCCGGGCAAGTGTCGTTTTTCCTGTTCCCGGGTGTCCCCATAGTATGAGGGACGGTATCCTCCCGTGCTTCAAGTAACCTCGTAGAATTCCTCGTGGTCCTACAAGATGCGATTGCCCTATGTATTGGGTCACATCAGTGGGTCTCAATCTTTCGGAAAGTGGTAAGTGGCATGTGAGCTTCAAGTTTTCCACTGTCGCATTCTTGGGTTTCTTTGTCTCCGTTGATACAGTCATTTCGTCGTCCCGTTCTTTCTCTCGATCTCTTTTCACAGGGCATGAGTTCTGTGGTGAAGATGAAGATGATGGCGTCAATTGGTTCGCTTGCGAGGAAGACGGATGATACTGGTACGTTCTTGGCTTTTCTCTTTGCTTTTTATTCCCGGAGAGCAATGAGGAGAGGGTTTTAGATTGTGGCGAATCTTCAATCTTCACTTCACCTTGCTGCTGCTGACCTTTTTCTGATTCGTCATTGGGAGAGGTGGTGGCGATCTTGGACTTGTTTTTGGTTTTGGTTTTGTTCCTCAGCTCACACTCGTCCAAGTGGTTATTGATCTCAGAAAGATCGATGTTTTCTGAGCAGATTGGACACAGCACCATGTTTCCTGCTGGTTCAATTTTGGGCCCTCTCGTGGCTTAACGTTGTGATAAGCATGCTGCACTAGCAAGAGACAAACGTGCCTCACGCGTCTAAAGATATTTTCACGATTTTCCAGCTTCACGACGAACGTGAGAGTAAATTCTGTTGATTAGCACATCACCGTCATAACTGCATACATTAGCAGAAGAGCATTAGCGGTGTGTGGATTAACAAATATATACAGTAACTAGTTTATACTTATACATTGCGGAAAAAATCAAAGTTCATCCTTTTCCATATTCCCCTTTTCCGCTTTCTTGGCCTTCTGAGCTTTCTTTCTGTAGTCCTTGAAGGATTTGTAGGTTCCTTTTTTGATTCCTTGGATAATTTCATTTCTTTCACTAAATTCACCTTCTACAGGGACACCAAACCGGGTGAGGAACTCGGCAACTGGCCTCTTTTTCATCTCACCCTTATAAGCAATTACACCGTCAGTTGGGTTCACGACCAAAAGACTCGGAATTTCGAATGGCTCGACAAGTTCAGGAATCGAGTCTCTTACCAAAGCTTTTTCAGAGTCGCTGTTCACTGTGAGGTGGAAAAACTCCAAGCTGCCTCTGAAATCAGTAGCAAGAACCTTGTACATTGGAGAATTTTGAGCCTTATCGGTGATCATCAGTACCTTTGGGAGAGAGTTTGGAGTCATAGTAGACAAGAACATCGGGAGCTTAGGCAGCGAGAGCTTTTTGGAAAATGACTTGATCGTACCCTTCATCGCGTTGACAATGCCCGAGCTGGATCTGTCGTTCTCGTACTTCTGAATCGCATACTGCTGGCTTCTTGGGGCGGAATCCAAAAACGTCTTTGGCGGTCTGTATGTCAAAAGCGTCGGGAAGCCCTCGATCTTCTGCGACTGGCAAAACTTCTTGTTCTTTTCCTCGTCGCAGTTCATAGCGGCAAACTGTGCGAAATGGTGGCCCTGCTTGGCTGCCTTCTCGTACTCAGGCTTGAGCTGCTGGCAATACCCACACCAAGGAGCATAGAACTCGACAATCGTGGTATAGTTCGAGCCGTACACCACGTCTGAAAAAATCGACGGATTCAGCTCAACAATGTGTTTCGAGTCCTTGTAGAACGAAGGTCTCTTTGGCTGAGAACGCTGGGCATCTGCCAACACAGCGCAAAATAACGCTACAAAGATGTTCAGCACAAGCATTTTTGTCGACCACAATCCACAATGTTACTTCTTTCACTGGCTTTGTTTCTGAGAGCAAAACCCACCTAATAACTTCCCTCCGTCCACCTCGTTGTCTCCAGGGAAGAAAGAATGGCGATTCCAGCCATGTTCCGGAATCATGTCCGTAACCGTCTCCCGTTGACGTGTCGTATGGAGATAGCGGACAAGACCACAAATTCCCTCGAAGCGGCCGATCGGCCGTGGTGCTGAAAAAAAAGCGACGCGTCGGTGCAGACGTCGCTTCGGTCCGTCGGTCCCCCCCCCCAGTTTGTCAAGTGGGAAAATTTCAGCTGCTTCATAATGGGGGACCACGGAGCCCAGTTATGAGGGAGATAGAGAAAGAGAAAGATCGTGTAGGGCTGCAGAGGCACATCCACACAGAGCCAGAGGAGCCAAGCAGCATGATCACCAAATACTTCACAAAGGTGTGCGTCAAATTCAATCCGTTTGGCCCAGAAGCCAGATGCGCCAGGTCTGTGCTCTCGCAAATCCCACCGTCCATGAAAGGTGTGTGCAAAATAGACTTGCAGCTGCTGAACGACAAGTCTACGGTTGAGCCGTTTGTGCAGGTGACTTTCAAGGACAACACTGTCATGAGCGGCAACCCCGCGGAGCTTAAGCTTGCTGACTTCACCAACATGCTCGACAAGCACAGCAAAAAGCTACTTTTCAAGGAGGAAGTTGACAAATAGTGGTCGACCCTCGTCATGTGTACTTCGATTCCTTTATCTTTTCTTCGAGCATTTGCATGGTGTATTGGTTGTATGGATGTTTGTGAAGCCGGTGACAGCAGAGAACCAACGAAGGGAAAAATATTTGGTGACAACAACCTCATGTACATAACTGCTCACTAAACCCCCAGAGCTGGGACTTCTTTTGCTTTTCTTTCTGTTTTACTAGTGTTAGCTTAGTTTCTACTATTTATATATCTAATAAACCTCTGTTATAAATATCTTTGGCGGTACTCAGCCCTTCTGTATCTTTTACGGTGCCTTACGTCTTTGCGAGATGGCCTCACAGTTTTGTGACCCCATTCGCACCCCCGAGGCTGATCATGTTGAAACAGTCGAGATAATATCATGATTCTGACACCTACCGCCCACAAACCTTTTCGATATCTGTGGGACGCCTGCTAGCCACACAACGGATATACCATGAAGCCGTTAAATCTAAAGACAATTTACACGACAACTCCGATCTTCTATGTCAACGCAAAACCACATTTGGGCCATTTCTACTCCATGACTCTTGCGGATGTGAGGAACAGATGGTGTAAGCTGAACAAAAAAGACACCTTTTTCACCACAGGAACGGACGAGCATGGCCTGAAGGTGCAGAATGCTGCACAGGCAGCGAATGTCGATCCAAAGCTCTTTTGTGATAATTTGGCTGCCAAGTTCAAAGAGCTGGCCGTGGTAGGTAACATAAAATACAATAGATTTATAAGAACCACCGACCCGGACCATTATGCGGCAGTGAATCATTTCTGGAACGTCGTCAACAAAAACAACTTTATCTACAAAGGAAGACACAGTGGGTGGTATTCTGTTTCGGATGAAACGTTTTATGCCGAAACCGATATTGAAGAATCCACTGATGAGAAGACTGGTGAAAAAATAATGATTTCAAAGGAAACTTCAAGTACCGTCCTTTATCAATCAGAAGATAACTACTTCTTCAGGCTTTCTGCGTTCCAGAAACAGCTCTTACAGTATCTGAAAGAAAACCCGGATTTCATACAGCCCAGAAAATATTATGACTTTATAGTAAACGAATTGGAGACAAGAGAGCTTACTGACTTGTCGATTTCAAGACTCTCATCACGCTTACAATGGGGAATTCCTGTCCCCAATGATGATTCACAAAGGATATACGTCTGGTTCGATGCGTTGATAAATTATTTGACCTCGGAGGGGTACCCGACAGCAGCCGAAATGCCAAGACCTACACATCTTATTGGTAAGGATATCATCAAATTTCATTGTATATATTGGCCTGCATTTTTGCTGGCTGCAGGACTGCAAATGCCTAAGCAAGTTTTTATTCATGGTCATTGGTTGATGGGAGGTCGTAAAATGAGTAAGTCGAGAGGAAATGTGGCTGATCCAATCGAGATCGCCGATCGCTATGATGCAGATTCTTTGAGACTTTTTATGATGAGATATTCCGTTTTAGACACAGATGGCGACTATAACGAGGAAAGATTAAACACTTTGAGGAGCGAGTTCATTGATAAGTTCTGCAATTTGATGATGCGTTCATTGTCAAAAAACTTCAAAATAGAAAGAGCGTTGGAAAGACTTCAACATGAAAGCTTGGAATCTTTGTGTTCAAAACTAGATGAACCTCAGTTTCAGAAAAGTCTTGAATCTATCAGAAAAGACATCAACTGTTTGAAAATAGACATCGATGATGACATTACCAATTTCAACATGCATAAAGCTCTGTCTAAAATTTTCAGCACCGCTCCTATGATAAATGGGCTTTTTGATTCATATGAACCATGGACATTAAAGGTAAAATCGTCAGACGCTGAAAACGATAAAGAATCGAAAACGCTCAAACAAGATCTGATAATTTTCACTGCTCTTGATTCTTTGAGAGTTATTTTGATTTTGTTAGAACCCTTCATACCCCAATATTCGGCTTTGCTTCTTGATAGACTGAGAGTTGACAAAGAAAAAAGAACTATTGACTATGCAGAGATCGGGAAGGACTTGACATACGGTAAGGACGCAATATTCAAGAAGGGAAGTACTGTTCCTTTAGCGAAGATCGAGTTTTCCCAAAAGTAAATTCGTAGAATAAATTAATAGAGTAAAACTTGTACATATCTTGTTATTTAGCAACTAAATCTTACAAGTTCGCATTTCAGTGTTTCTAAATCCAACAACACACAAGAATTGCTCTCGCTGAACTCTGGAACTGCAATTACACGCACTGGTATAATGTCACCATTTTTTCTTTTGAGCTCGATAAGGGAGGTTTCGAAATTTGGTTGATTCCCAACAATATAAACGTGAGGAGTTTCAACCAGCGTGAACGGATCTCGCCCTTCAAAAGGATAACACCAGAGTGTATCCGGTGCTGTTGGTGCAATCACTTGCCACAGTAAAGAATCTTCAATGACTCGAAGTCGTGAATCTGTAGATATGGATTCTGCAATATGATCTTCAGTCACAGCAACGTTGGGGATGATATATTTCAGAATGTCATTGATATTTTCACCAGAGGATACTAGACATCGCAATCCATTAATATCGTAGTATGCTGGGTCGGTTAGTCTTTTGAAGTTTTTCCGGTTTGACGATTTATGGAAAAGCGACTTGTGTATTGGTTGTTTAGGAAGTCCAGCCTCTACAATGTCGTGGGCTCCTGGGAGAATTGAGACAGGAATGCTGTGCAACAGATCATGGAAGTAGTTGTCAACGTATTTGGCTGCTTCCTCGTCGTACTGAGACACAAAGTCATCGGAGTATTTATCCTTTTCGGACTTGATATTCTGTTTTACGGGAACGATATTGACGGAATTGCCAACGACCATCAGTTCAGACACTTCCTTCGCCCTATCATCACCCAATTCTCCCATAAGCCAGTTTTGTAGGAGCTCAAACTTCACCACATCTGACGAGGCGTTGAAATTGAGACCACTGCAGAGTGCCACTTTCCCCTTGGCGTTGTCATGGGCAAGAATACTCCTCTGAGGAGCAGCCTCTGGATACACGATGTCAACCACATGGAATATTCCAGACTCTATTTCCATCCCAAGAACACCTATAACTAGTCCTGTCACGAGAATCTTATCGCTCAGATGATCACCAGTGAGTAAGATCCTACCACTTTCATCTTCCAACCATAGCTTGTCAGTCTTTGGGTCGCTGTATGACGATTTCCTCAAATCATCCATCTTGTTGTGAATAGTTCCACTACCATTAGTCAAATTATCCAACTCTTTAAAATGACCCTGAACGTTCAACTCCACCTCTTTCAAAACATCGGGCTTGTACTTCATGTCGGCCAAGGTCGTGCCAATAATGAACACCGGCTCTAGAAACGGAACGTCCAATACTTTCGGCACAAACTTTGGCTTCGTTCCATTCACGTCAACTCCAGACCATTTCGGCATTGCCATCTTCATCACCCGTGACTTCAACTCGCCGGATCGGAACGAATACAGAGCATTGAATTGCGATGCATATGTCCGTTCTGTGGCTGGATTAGCAAACGAAGTGTCTGGCACAGAACTCGTTTTTGGTGTTCTTCGGAACTCTCCATTTACAGCAGTCATGAGTGTCTCCTGTAATCTGGTATAATCTCTGCTTGATGACCTCAGCTCTATATAACACCTTTCATGTGTTCCTTCAGCCTTTTGGTATACGCCATTCCCTTCAGGACTGACACGAAACTTCACCAGTTTCGTGCCTCCCTCTTTCTCCCGCTGACATCTCTACACCAGCTATGGGCTCCTTCTCTTCCGGCTCTCTCATTGTCCGGCCGGGGGGTGTTGGCTGTAAATCAATCAAGGCGGACGCTGACAGGTGTTAGAAGTCAATTGGCGTTGTGGTGTACCGTCACACAGCTAGCTACATACAACCACCTAAGTATTCTTTCCGCAGTATGGAGAAACTAGACTTGTCCTCATACGCCAAGGACATTAAACACAATTATGACGCTGTTGTTTCCGGCGACAACACTTATGCTATCTTTACGACATTGAAGGACTCCTCCTTAAAGCCTACTGTGTTGGGAGACGGAGACATTCAAGAGTTTGTTTCCGAGTTTGAGGAAGGTGCAGTTCAGTTTGGTATCATTGGAGTCAATCCGTTTGGATCCGACGTCAAGAAGCTGTTGCTGCTCGGCTGGTGTCCTGATTCAGCTCCTATAAAATCAAAGGTCTCTTATGCACAAAACTTGTCCGCCGTTGGGAAGGTCTTACACTACCATGTTGAAGTCACTGCTAGAGACAGCGATGACCTAGATGTGGACGATCTCCTGAAGACTGTTTCCAATGCTTCTGGTGCAAGATACTCAATCCAGAGTTTGACTCCCCAAAAGTCGGCATCATCTTCTTTTAAACAAAAACCGAAGCCTGTGTCTGCATCTTCTTCTTCTTCTTCTTCCTCTTTTGTCAAACCAAAACCAGCTGTCAGTCCTTCCATTATTAAGCCTAAACCTTCACTACCACCTAAAAAGGAAATCTCTGGGTCCACTAATGATTGGGGAGACGATGGTGAGATCAAAGAAAGAGATTTCTCTAAAGAGCCATTGGAAAACCTACCATCTGCATACAAACCAACAAAGGTTGACATTAACGCATTGAGAAATGGGCCCGGCTCCACTACAGAATCTGAAATGAAGACCATTTCAATCAATCCATCAGGTGGCTTGACCTCACTGCCAAAACCAAAACCTTCTCATTCAGTCTTATCTAGATTCAACCAAGAGGTTGTGAAACCAGAATTTGGCACCAAAACCCCAAGTTTCGGCAGTAACCCTTCGAAGGACAGTAGCAAGTTGGTTGGTGGCTTGAGTAGAAACTTTGGAGCAGAAAATGGTAAAACCCCTGCACAATTGTGGGCCGAAAAGAAAGGACAATACAAAGAAGTGCCAAACAATGACAAACCAGTCAATGCAGAAGATATTGAAAAAGAGGTTGATCACGAAGACATCAGCTTAAATAGTGCAAAGGCAAAATTTGAAAAGCTACATTTGGAAGCTGAGAAGGAAGAAGAGGTTAAAAAGCCTATAACAAGCTCAATATCTTCTTTCCCTCCACCTCCAGCTAGAAATGAGCCTGTGAAACAATTTCCTCCCCCACCATCCAGAGAGGAGGAAGAAGAAGAAGAAGAGGAGAAAGAGGAAACGTCCAATCCAAATCTCATCTCCTCCTTCCCACCTCCTCCAAAAAGAGATGTTTTTAGTAAATTTGAAGAAAAGCCTGCTGAGGATAAGGAAGATGATGATTGGGGAGATGATGATGCAGACAGTGTAAATGAACAACATAAGTCTTTTCAACCACCGGCATCTAGTACCGCACCAGCTCCTCTTCCTGTAAGACCCATTCCAGCTGCCCCAGTGCAAGAAGATGAACCAGCAACACTTTTATCTTCTAGCGCCGGTGGAAAACATGCTATTGCAGAGTACGATTATGAAAAGGATGAAGACAACGAAATTGGTTTCACCGAAGGTGAGAAAATCGTTAATATTGAGTTTGTGGATGAAGATTGGTGGCAAGGTACCAACAGTAAAGGTGAAACGGGTTTATTCCCTGCTTCCTACGTCAATCTGATTGAAGCATCATCATCTGCTGCTGCCTCTTCTGAACCTGCTCCACCCACTCTTCCATCAAGAGATCAGGCTGTCGAAGAAGCCAAATCATCAGGTTTATCTGCAGTTGCCGAGTACGATTATGATGCCACAGAGGAGAATGAATTAACTTTCAAGGAGGGCGATATTATTACAGATATTGACAAAGTTGATGATGATTGGTGGTTAGGGTCTCTGAATGGTGAGAAAAAACTCTTCCCAGCAAACTATGTTACGCTACAATGAATGACGGCATTTGTTTGTGCTTCCTTTCTTGTAATGCCTCACTTTTACCGCCAAAATGTTATGAGTAATTGTGTTGAATCTATTTTTATTTATTATTATGTTTGAACTTAACTATTGTGTACTTTTTCTTCAATTAGATACAAAAAGTTATATATATCATAAGGAAGTAAATCAAAATCCCGTGAGAGTTGAAGGAACATAATCGTAAAAAATATCTTTTAGCAAAATGATCAGGACCGACTTGATTAATTTGAGTACTGCTTCATGCTAGTATCAATAAGAAAAGAATATAAGAATAAAAATGGAATGCTTTCAGGGGTTCTTTCGAAGCCGCGTCTGCCGACAACAGATTGGTGTGCATTCAAGTTATGCAATAACACCGCAATTTTGGTCCAAGGTAAGGAATTGAGGTTATCTAAGATGCGTTGCCTTACGTCATTGAATGGTAGCGGATTAAGATTCTTTGCCAAGCCAACATTCGACAAATCGTTATTGATCAGGTTATTGACAAGATTCTCTACAGAATCTGCTCTCGACTTGTAATCTAGCTCAAATTCAACATCTATTGAATAAGATTTCGATGTATCAGTCGATGACTTTTTCTGTGTATTTTGGTCAATGTCCGCGTCAACGTCTTCATTGATCATATTCAAACCATTCTCTACAACTTCTCTTGTAATGTGAGAAACCCCAATAGGTCCCCGCTGTAGATTATCTGCTTCATTGTAACCATCATCATGGTCTTGATTTTTATCTGATTCTTTCAAGAAATTTTGACTCTCAGATGTTGATAGAAGTGAAGACTGATCTTCAATTTCTTTATCGTCACCAAAATCAAAATAAGCTGAGGTGACTTTCCACAACTTGGCAAAGTCCGGAATAGGTAAAACACGTCTCCTCATGTAACTCTTTACTGTGGCAAAAAGGCTCACAGAAAAAATCACTGGAAATAAGAAGAAACCAACCGTTAGTAATATAGTCATTGCAAACTTACTATGCGAAGGTGAAGATTGAGAGGGATCTTTATGCTTCTCAGCGGGGTCAATCCTCTCGGACTCATTGAAATCAATAACCATACACTGAATCTGCTTCCCATTTTCTGTAAGAGTGGCTGTGGGTAGACCCTGAATATATTTTGGGTTGACAGAGTTCCAGTCATTGAAAACATCGTACTTGGTGATGAAGGCAGAATAAAATCCAACTGTCCTATCAAATTTAGCATTAGCAACGCAAATTTTTGTTTTGAACAAGCTCAATCCCTTATAGTATCGTCTTTCCGGATCACACAACTTATAAACAATTCCGTCAACATTTTCCACTAAAAACAAATCTCTACCGGTTTGCCCTAAAAAGTGTGAGCCACACACATTCAAAATTCGACTGTTATAAAAAGTCACTCCCAAATGCGGGGTGGCAAACGTGGTAAAAAACCCCGGTTTTATCTTCTCAAAAAACCCGACTTCATATAGTTCTCCGATAATATACCGGGCAATCAATCCACCTAGGGAATATCCGACAAAACTGATTTCCTCGATAACAATTCCGTGTTCCGCTTGCAGTCTCTCCAGATGTTTGAACAGGTCAGGTATTATGTAACCGCCAATGGACTCAATCCCATCGTAAGTTTTGAAATGAGAAAAACAATCTGGTGCATACGTGTGCATCTTGCATGTAGGCGTCTCATCTAGACTATGGTGCAGAACCGACTCCAATCGAGACATATTCTGGGCTGATCCCCATAGTCCGTGAATTAAAACAACTAAATGGTTTTTTCTCTTATCTTGTGACATTTCTCAACACTTCCACTTCCAAGCTGTAATAAGTTCTTTCTTGGAGAAATCTCCGTCTCTGTTCAAGAGAAAAAACCACCGCCTTCCAAGAAACAACGGCACAAGATGGAAATCCCTTTTGTTCCTCTTCCTCCCCAGATATCTCGGCCCTCATGCCTAACTCCGTTTCCTCGGCTTACTTACCGGATATGGCTATACAATTTTGTTTCCTCGTTTTCCTTTTCGAGAGTCTTCGTGTCTTGACATGTTTCGTAGCTGGCTCATCACTGTAGTGAGGTATTTCTAATTATGATGGTGTTTTCCTTCAGTAACATATAATTGAAAACCAACACCACACGCAAAAATGGTGCAACGAGCATTTAGTGCTACAGGGAAAGCCTTGCTAGCTGGGGGATACTTGGTTTTGGATCCGAAATATGAAGCATTTGTTATTGCGCTCAGCGCTCGTATGTATGCGTTGAACAGCGTTTTTGAATCCGAAGCTGAAACCCGTCTCTGCCGTATTACTGTTAATTCTCCCCAGTTTATGAATGGATCATGGTCATACACCCTTGATTTGGATGGTTTGAAATCAGCAGGTTTGGCATACCCAATAGTGGAAAAGGAAGGTAAACGTAACCCGTTTATCGAGTCTACCATCCTTGTGACAGTCGGATATGCTTTGGAAAAAGACGTCCTGAATGAAAAAACTAAAGCGAAAGACATTCACATCACGATATTTTCAGATCCGGAGTACCATTCACAGTTGAACTCGGTTCGGAAAGAATCTACAAACAGGTCGAAACAATTCTTGTATCATAACAAAGAAATCACACAGGTGAATAAAACCGGATTGGGGTCTAGTGCAGGCTTGGTGACCTCTTTGACAGCCAGTTTGTTATCGGCACTGTTTGCTGATTTTGATATTGCTCAATCATCTCTCAATTGGAAGGAAAGAGTTCACAATTTGGCTCAAGTTTCTCACTGTAAGGCGCAGGGTAAAATCGGATCTGGGTTTGACGTGGCGAGTGCTACATTTGGTTCAATCATATACCAAAGGTTTTCGCCACAACTAATTCACAGCGTGCTAGACGCTGTGTCTGATACAAACGCAAAGTTGGTCGATCTTATAGACAACCAAGACTGGAACATGAAGCATGAGCTCTGTAGCATGCCACCTGGTATCCGACTATTGATGGGAGATGTTATTGGTGGCTCTGAGACTCCTAAATTGGTTACAAAAGTGCAGAACTGGCGTAAAGAGAAGCCCGAATACTCATACAAGGTGTGGACGGAGCTTAACAGTTCAAACATGCGCCTAGTGGAGGCTTTACGCAAGATGGACAAACTTTCTGAGACAGATAAGGTAAGATATTCGTACTTGCTCAATGAACTTGCAAAAAATAGTGATGAAGACATTGCCTCCTCCCCCGACTTGGCAGAATTGAACCAGATCGGATGTGCAATTAAAGATATCCGAAAGTATCTGAAAATTATGACCGAGGAGACTGGTGCAGAGATTGAGCCTTTTGAGCAAACTGAGCTTTTAAATGCTGCCACAAACATTAAAGGTGTTCTCGGTGGTGTTGTTCCTGGAGCAGGTGGATACGATGCAATCTGCCTTTTGGTTTCTTCTGAAAAACTACCCCAAATATTTCAGGATACCTCTTCCAATCCATCATTTGGCCACGTTAGGTGGATGAACCTAGCTGAACAGAGAGATGGGCTCATTGAGGAGTCGTACTCTAATTTTGCTGGTCTTATATAATTTTGTATCATCATCCCGTCAATCATACTGCCAATAGTTAGGTCAGTAGAGACAAATTTCCAGATCTGGATCTGCTTATATAAGCGCGCATTGATTTGGCGTGGAAAAGAAAACAAAAAAAATACAAAATCTGCATGCAAGTAAATCTTTATCGCCAGACATTGTTTTACGATTGGATAGTTTAGCCTTCCTCTGTTCAATGTCAATAAATTTATCGAATGTCGTGTGCTCTTTGGAGTTACTATTGCATGCTAGCTCTACGTCATTAGTGACATGGTAGAGATGAATTATTCAGAAAGAAAAAACCGACAACTGAACTTATCTCATGTCCCGCAGTACCAACCTCCATCATTGCATATAGTAACGAGCTCTCGAAATAGCTCTTGCTCGGTGAGATCGGCTACTGAGAGCTTAAACGACTTTCTTGATCTTTATGCCGATGATAGTTCCAGTACAGATGCTTTTTCAGTGACGCATTCAATCTCTGATCTTATAAATCAGGAATCTACAATCCCCAACTCAAACAAACATGTCATTGGCTCAATTGAAAAGGAAAGTTCAACAGATGAGATCGCAATTCAAAGAGATCGCCAGCCTACACAATCCTTAGGCGAAAACGTTTCTTTAATTGAGCAGCCACATAAAATGATTTACTCCTCAGGTTTCAAAAATGAAGAGCCAACTGCTGCTGCAGCAACAGCATGTCAACCCAATACTACCATCATATCTGATGTGGATCATACAATTGTTGGTAATTCGATGAATGAAAACACTCTCGATAATACAATGTTGTCAGACCCAAAATCACAGAGATATACATATAATTTTGATGATGAAGAATTAAATGAAGGTTTGAGCATAGACGAGTCCATACTGGATATGATAAATAGTCTCGGAAGTGAGCTCGATCCCGAACAAGAGTTGGAAATAGAGCTCAGCCCCGAGATATTAGACCAATTACACAAAACCAATCTAATGAGGTATAAATCGACGAGTAACAGTACTTTGAATAGTATAGATTTGTTGAGCATTGAAATCCCGAGCGAAGATGCAGATTATGACGATCCAAATAGATTCAAAACTTTTTTTGGGATTGATAGTGGAACTTCCAGTAGTGAATACGAAGAAAGTTGTGAAATTATCGAAGAAGAGGAGGAACAAGAGGAGGGAGAAGAAGAATATCATGAAAGAGAAGATGACGAGGTAGAGTTTCAAGATGAAGGAATATCTGAAAGCGGGAGAGGAGAGGATGCAGAAGAAAATTACGATGGAATCGACGTATCTGTAGATACTCCACTAGAATTTTTAAACATTGGTGACCAAGCCAGTGAATACATTCAGAGCTTAGATATTAGTCCGGTTCCTGAATCCAATGAAAATCTCCAAGGAACCTCATTGTCATTAGATATGTCTATGCCTGACAAGCCTCCTCCTTATTGCGAAGTGGATGAAATTCATATCAAGAGATTGCAAGAGCAGCAAGACGAAGAGATGGCAGTACGTTTACAGAGGGAAGAATATGAACATGCCAACACCCCTTTCGATGACCTGATGCTTGAAGCACAAGATCATGTATCAGATATTCGTCTGTCACCTGCAAAACCCAACTCTAGTGTATCACTGTCTTTCAATAACAGTCGATCACTTAATGCATCCTCTATTGCGCCTTCTAATTCTGCTCACAATTCTCCTTTGAAGAGAAAGATTTCCATCAAGCTAAAGAAAAATAAGGATGGCGAACTGAGCAGACATGCGAGCGTAGACTATTATCAAATGGATAGGTATCTTCCCCCTTACAGGTCATTAATTAATCCTAACAAGGCATTTGATTATCGGACCAACAGCTATATTGATGCAAATGATAATGATATAGAAATCAAATCTGGTGAAGATAACAAGCCGATGGTAGCAATACACAAGAAAAAGCGTGACAGTAAATTGATGTCTATCTTGCTGACCACAAACAACAATATCAAGCAGAAACTCATCGATGTTGCAAACGATACACAGTCTATTAAATCAAGATCGAGATCAGTTAGGTCTTTATCTTCAATAACACATAGCATACATTCGGAACCAAAATCTAAGCCTACCGCTTTATTCAATGATTTGCCAGGAGAGATGCACCAATTAATCGTCAATCAAATTGATAACCAACATGATTTGGTCAACTGCTTATATGTTTCCAGATCGTTTCAGTCATATGCTATACCAAATCTGTATAGATATCCAAAGTTTACTTCGAGTTATAGATTAGGCCAGTTTGTTCACACAATTTTAAACTACCCAACCTATGCAACGTTTGTGAAAGTCTTGGATCTATCTAAAATTACTTTTCCTGTCTTTTTGACCGAATCCGAAAAGGTTAAATATCAGGATAAATTGGTTTATGGCTCTTCTACGGCCATGGAGCTTCTCAATGAGAAGAAAAGGGTTGTGCATGCTGGATGGAGAGATTGGAAATATAGAAATCATCCTTTGTACGGAGATTTCAACAAATGGAGAAAACGAGCCAATTCTGTATCCACCACAGCGTCAACAGGCTCTGGCGGTATTTCGTGGGATTTGGCAACAAGCAAAAATTTATCTGCCCCCAATCTACTTGACCCAAAGAAATTCACTTCGTCAATGACGACCAATACCATGGTGTCCACTAATACCCGGGTCAGGTCGCATTCTGGATCGGAGAATACGATGAAACGGCTGTCAAACAAATCTCGATCGAGATCCAATTCTGCTTCTAACAACAGTAGACTGAATAGCTTGGGTAGTACCGGTACCCGAAATAGCTACACCGGAGGTACCAGTAGTGGCAATAGCAGTGCCAATGCAAGCAACAGTAGCCGTAGTAGCAAGCAAGGGGATAATGGCAGTTTTGTTAAGTCGTTCAAAAAGGCCTTTGGGTTAGATCCAGCGGTGCCTGGGAAGAAGCGGCGTGGGATCAGTCCTGTGAGAAAGCCACTTGTCAAGGCATCTTCGTCAGGCACAATTCCAACTTGGCAGAAGAAGAAAGTGCATGGAAAGCACGAGAATACGCATTTGTCTTCCAAATCCAAGGCCAGTAGTAGCAAAAGAAAAAGCGCTGAAAGTGGAGACGGTGGTTGCAATGGCGAGACTCGCCCATTTGGAACACCACACCAGAAAATGAACATATTACTGAAGCAGTACTGTTTCAACCGGGATGTTCCTGTTGGCTACATCATCCACATTTTGGACGAGTGTGCCAACTTAGAGGAACTCAACTTGAGCAACGTGGTAGTAAGCACGGACTACGAGCTCCGTGACTACGCATCGTTTGATTGGTACAGTGGGAGCGGGGAGATGATAGGGAAGTCGAGGGTTCCTGTTGTTCTTGACCCGGGGAGGCCTGTTTTCTGGAGCGATTCCGGGCGGGATATGGATCTGACGGACACGACGTTCATCCAGAACTACGCCGAGAGCATGGAAGTGAAGGCGTTGTGGAAGCACATCTACAGGATGCGGAAGCTAAAGAGGCTTCTCCTGCGCAGAATCAACTCGCTGGAGATGAGCATTATCGAAGGGTTTGTGATGCGGAGCGAGTTCCGGGAGAGCTTGCAATACCTCGACTGCAGCAAATCGGGGATGGTGAAGCGGTCCGAGTGGGACGAGCTGAAAAGTGCGCAGGAGTGGAGACAGTACTTCAGGTCCAAGCCGTTGTGAGAGCGTTTGCTTGGGTTGCTATTTATGTTGCTGCTGCTACCAATCCAGCACGCCAGTGCCAGTGCTGCTATTGTCCAGCTGAAAAATGTATTAGTGCTGCCTAATATATCTGTGTAGAGTAATTGAATAATTTGTCACCAATACCATACTATTACGTTTTACGTCTTGCGGCGACTACTCCCACGGGCAGCATTGTTTCTGTCGTTACTGCTGCAGCCGATTTTGCCATTCGGAGCGTACACGCGGTCAGGCGAGCAGCGGGGCCGTTCCAGCGGGCCGGCCTCTGAGAGCCGAGCCATTATTGCACATGCCGTGTCAGCGACAAAAGCGGCGCCGCAGCCGATACGCCTGCACAGCAGAACCCGACTGGTGCAGCGTGCCACGCAAATCCAACGGCGAGCACTAAAGGCGCAGCGACCAGCTTGAGCGGGCTGCATTTCTGCGCGTTTCCGCCGGCCAAGCTGTTTTGTTGTGTCTCGCTGTGCTCCACCGTGCGGTACAGGTCAGGCCGTGAGCGGCGAACCACCGCCAGCCCAGGAGCAGCAAGACGCTCCACAGCGGTCGACCAAACCCACATCATGCCGCCCCCTGCCGCGGATCCCGGCCCATTTGCCGATTCTCGACCCTCTTCCGGAAACCGGGACCCCGGCCCGGCCAGTCCCTTGCCCCTCGCCCCCAACACATAAGGTTTTGTTGTGGTACTAAAGGGAGCCGGCCGGAAGCAGGACTAAAAGCCGTCGGCCCTGCAGGGCGATATTGTTCTCGCTCTCAGACCGTTGGCCCTCTGCAGCGGAGCGCGGTGCTCTGCGGTGCGGTGCGGCCGGCGGCGTTTTGTACAGTGGCAGTGGCGGTACGCTGTGGTGTGGGCTGCACTCCCCACGACCAGTGGAGGAGTCTGGAGGCGTGCGCCTTTGGGTGCGGGCCAACCATGCCGCGGTGAGGGAGTGCGTTGTACAGCAGGAGCATGTTGTCGTTATCGTCGGGCCATTGTCTGTGGGCGTTATTGTTGGAGATTGCAGGGGGCGGGTGTGCTGGCGTGCACGATGTGCACGATGTGCACGATGGCGGCCCGCGGGGGGCCAGCATGCGCCGGGATGCGTCAACAACAGTCGCCAGTTGCGAGCACACGCCGCCGAGTGCGTTCCACAAAGGGAGGGCCAGATTGCCTTTCTTGGCCTTCCGATCTGGGCCAACGCTGGATCGAGAGAGCACTGGGTCTGCCTTGTTGGACTGCCTTTCTGCCCGGCTCTGCGTGCATGCATGCGTGCTTCTGACACGCTCCAGCAAGCTTCCAGAGCGTCTGCGGGCGCCGTCTGGCTTCGTCCGTGGTGTCTCGGGTTGTGTCGTGTTCTGCCGTGCCGTGTTCCTCCCTCACCTGCTATAAAAGGCCCCGCATCCGCTGGCGCAGTAATGTTTTTTCTTTTCTTTTTCTTACGATCTGGGCTGCTTGCCCTGGCCGGTTCACAACCAATCGCTTTTCCCCCCGCTTCCCACCACACTGCTTCCTCCCGCTGATCCAGAGGTCCTTGCCGTTGGCTAAGGAGCCAACGGCTGGCGGCAGCCACGCTGGCGGCGACCACACGCCGCCGCCGGCACCGCCTCCAGTCAGCGCTACGTGTCCGCTTCATCTCACTACGCAGAGTCAATCTTTTCTCATACCCTACAAGCATGCTTACAGAAAACAAACACCGCACAAGCAGCAGCTTCCGGACTTTCCGGGACCGGCTGCGTCTTTGGAGAATGCAAGGCGGAGCACGCCGGCTAACCGTCCCCGATGCCTTCATCATGGTAGCAGCGTCCCCCGCAGCAGTCACGATCTCACACACCCAGCAAGTACCGATCAGAACACAGAACGCATACGTCATGTAAGTGCTGTATTCCAGCTTTTCCCATTCCCTACAATGGTGCCGCTTGTCTGTTCCGCATGCGAGCCGGCACCTTCTGAAATTGTAGGGTATGAGAGAAGCTCCAATATGCAGTTACTTGATTTCCACACAAGCCGATCACTTTCGGGTGCTGTTTCTGCTGGCTTCATCCCTGTCTATAGTTCTCGCCAAATGTGTACTATCTATTCATATGTAATATAACTCTACCCTGTCACTGCGACTGAGATCCGTACCCGCCCCCGACGACCCCCCTCCCCGTGCGGCTGTGCCGCCTCTCCTCTTCTGCCCACCCCTCGGGCCCTCTGCGTAACCGGCTGCTCCACCGTCCCTCTTGCGGCCATTCCGCCGGCAGCGGGACAGGGCACCGACCGGCCTGTGTTTTCGGCGGAGGCGACAGTGACAACAACCCCCCGGCCTCCCCCCTCACTATTGTCCGGGGTCTCACTGACAAAACGGCGGAACGGCTAGAGGCGGCAGGGAGGAAGGCCCGCCGCCGCAACTGCCGCCGCAACTGCCGCCGCCGCAGCCACCGACTGCCCTGGGGCGCCTCAGGGCTGCCCAGGACGTGGCAACGGGGGCCGGGGGCCAATGGCGCCTTCCCAGCTGCAGATACCGGGTGCGCTGCGGCCGGCCCGGCGCAGCCGGGAATCCGGCCCGTGGCCGACACCCGTAATCCGGCACCAAACTCGGGAATAACTCGTGCCCTCTTTCTGCCGACGCCCCCTGCTTCCTCATCCAGCCAGACCACAAAGGCTGCTGCCGCCTCCTCTGCAGCCACGGTGCTACTTCCGTGCCGCTGTTGTCTAGCACCGCTGTCGATCACCCAGCCAGCACACGGGATTTCCCGCCACATGCACAGATTGGCACTACATTCCAGACTGGGGGCTTCTCTCCGCTGCCGTGGAAGGTTCTACGCGTGCGGTTTCTTCTCTTTCTCTTTTCCAGCCACCCAGCCTACTTCTGCTCTTCTGTATGGCCATCCCATCCCTGCACCCATTGACAAGTGTTCTCAGCGGGAACGCGTCCGAGGTCTCTAGAAGTTGGGCTCTGGGATGACACCCCCAGTCCTTGCGTGCCGTGGCCCCACCCGCAGAGTGTCTGCAAGGCCTCCGCCCACCGTTCTCCGGTCCTGGCCCGACACGTTGTAGCGGCTTCGCCGAAAACGAGTAGTCTCTTTTTTTCCCTCTCCCGTGGTCTCCCTCCCTTCCCGTCTGGGGCCACTTGGAACAACGTTAGCGGTACTGTCACTGCACGGACAAGAAGACACACGTCAAATACAGGCGTGCACGGTTTTCTGGTGATCTCGCTGCACGCCGTCTCTTTTCTCGGGCAATCTCTGTATCACCCTGCATGCCATCAACCCCTCCGTGTGGTATCCGTCTTTCTAGCTTGCTCTTGCTACTCCATCTTTTCTCTCTGCCCCGCCCCAGCCCTCTCTTTCCCTTACATCGCACCTACGCCCCGTCTTTGCGCCTTTGCACCTCATAATGGCTGATAAAGAGGGGAGCCTCTCTCACGCAAACGATGCCGCCCGGGACGCATACCAGATTGGACTGAATTACGAATCTCTGCCGTCGCCCTTTCTGGGGAACGGAATCAGTAGTGGCAACGGCAACGGCAATGGCAGTGGAATTCGCAACGGTGACTTCACATATAACCCCGGAGCCGTTGGTAACGGGGTCAACAGTGGCAACGCCCTCGACGCCAACCGCCCACAGTTGAGCCAGCATGGGAGCATATCGGCGACTGATATGAGTCTCTCAAACACGAACCACAGTAATCTCAGCGGCACCAGGTATCCAGTCCAGCAGCAGCAGCAGCAGCAGCAGTACTCTACAGGGATCCAGTACCGTGGTCGAGTTGTGCATATACCGCCCGAGCCAGGATATCTGGGTCCTCCCACCGCTGGTGTCTACAATAAGGCGTACTCCATGGGAGACTCGCAGGTGCCAGTCTCCTGGGTAACTCACAACTACAACCAAAACATAGTGCAAGCACCGCCCTACATATCTGCTGCATCCCCTTCGCCTTCCCCACCTGACTCTGCTTCACATATTGTCAGCGGTAACGACAATGCTAACCAAACAGAAATCAACCCCTTGAAAAATGGCCGACGACCTGGAAATATCAGAAACAGCGAAGCCGGCCTGAACGCCGAGCTTCATGAGAACCCTCCTGTCTTTGACTTCATAAAGCAGGCATCACATACTCACTCGAACCAGGGCAATGGGAATATGACGAATATGGCTAGGGGTGTCATGAACTCACAGGAGGGTGAACTCCCCTCGCAAACCCGTAACAACACTTTCACGGTATCTACAGCTGCTCCAAGCAGTGCAGTTGCTACTCTTCCTAGTACAACGGGTAATGCTAATTTCCAGTTCAGCAACCCCAATTCCATATCAAGTGGCTTGCCTGTGTACCACCACCAGCATCACCCCCATTACCAAGCCTCTCAAGAACTGAACCGCCCCTACTATCAAGAATTCCAGTCAGCCCACCCAAACCATCGCCCGTCAAACATTTCATTGAATCATTCACAACAGCATATGCATCATCACCCTGCTCCATCACAACCACAAGCAAATCATCACATCCATCAGCTGAAAAATCAACTCATACCAGCCTTTAATTCTCCTTCAACATCATTGGAAAACTCTATCAAAAGCTCCATTTCTTCCCATAATGTGCGGATGCAGCCGATACAGCAACAATCTCAGATACATGTCAGCAAGCAGCAAATGCTTCTTCAAGAGGCGCAGCCATTTGTGCAGCAGCACTCTAATCCAACGCAGACGCATAACTACAAACAAAATCACAACCTCAGTTCTACTGGTCGGAAGATCATCAAATCACCAGCTACTCAGATATCAAATATAATAAATCATGATGTTCCTGCAGTTAGCCCCATTAACTCAACACGAAATTCAAGATCAAGTATTTCCAGTTTACTCTCAGATCCTATACCGGAGAAAATCGATAATCCTAGCTCAAAGACTCCAAGACCATTAAAGGCAGAGAAGATCGCAGTAATGGCAGATGACTTACATAAAATAGGAGAAGCAGATGAATCTGAAAAAGTTACAGAACTAGAAAGCGCTGAATTAGACAAGAGCATCAAGTTGAATTCCAATTTGATATCAAACGACAAAGCTTTGCCAGATTCTAAAGCACGTGATGGCAATGAAACGCCAGTCAATGCAGTGGTGCATCTAGATCCATTCATCACTAGTTCACCAGCAGACAAGTTTATTACAGCTCTACCTGTTGATGAATCATATGACACGAGTTTGAACGAATCAGTCATCCAAGCCAATTCAGTTGCAACAACTAAAACAAAATGCGAAAGTAAGGTAACTCAGAAAATACCTGCTAAAAGAGGAAGGAAACCTAAAAAAGTCAAAACCCAAGTTCTTGTCGTTAGTGACAGAAATAAGGGCAATAAATCAGAAAATGAAACGGAAGCGGCACCAGAAAAGAAGAAGGATGGCGTAACGGACCCCATTAAGGTTACGGAAAAAGAAGAAGCTAAAGTAGATGCAAGAGGTAACGAAAAGGACCGGCAATTGTTCAAGAAGACGGCCTCCACGTCAAAGTTCATTACACTGAAAATCAATAGCAATAAGCTAAGGAATATTTTAGATGCTGCTACGGAATCAACGTTAACATCCTTACCGCCCAAATCTGGTGACTCTGAATTACTGGTTTTAATAGAAGAGAGAAGCCCGAAAGAGGGCAATACCATCAACAACGAGACTATCGAAATGACGAACCAGCAGCTAGTACAACTTCAGCAAAATAATAGGCAGCTAGTTTCTCACCTTGATGACATCAAAAAGGCATTACCAGATCTTTTTCAACTCAATGCCGAGAGTATTCCCCATCTTCCAAAAGGGTACGTTCCATTAATCATGGCTCCTAATGGTTTGCTGATTCCAATGGAATATATCAGTGTGGATCCAAGGGAACGGAAGGTTTCCATAATGCGCCCTTTGTGGGAGGCCACTAGTGGTGCTACTGATGCTGATTCTTTAGCTAATGGCATTTCTACAAACGCAATCGATGAAAACGTGGAAGAGATCGAAGGATCGACTAGGAATGGCAGGAAGGATTTTGGGTTTGACAATGCAGATAAACTTGCATCACTACAATTGTATTTATTTTCCAAAGAGGCTAAGATGAACATGAATAAGGTTGAGAAAGTAAGAGGTTGCAAACGATTCAGGAAACAAATTAGTTATTACGCTAGGCTCTTAGAAAGAGAACAAATGGGATTTATAGAAAACTACAGACAGGAGAGAAACAAATGTCAGAAAATGCTAAACCGTCTTGAATCTGGTGAGGAAATGACAGATACGGAGAAAGACCTTTTGGAAAAGAAAGATTACGAAATGTTGAGGGAGGAGATTGCAAAGAACTATAACGATGAACACAATTATTTGAGTTATTTGGACCATGTTATCGAGTTGGAGAGTATACAATGTCTTGACTACGCTGCTCGGCTAGTAAAGTTGAAAAACTACTTGAACATGGAACGAGTGAGGCTGGAGCGACATAAAAACCGACTGTGCAGGATCAACACGAATAAGAGCCACAGCATCTGGAAAAGGTATGTGAAGACCGGTGGGAACCGGGGTCGGAGGGCCAACGTGGAATCCAACAGCAGTTGCGGAAACAACTCGAACTCGAACACAAACTGGAACGTGAACTTGAACCTGATTTCGCAGAACGATTTCATGCTACTCACGAACCCGAACTCCAGGGCGTACGGGACCTATGTTTTGAACAATTCCATGGACAAGGGGAACGAGAACCAGAGCGAGATTGTGGAGCTTGTGGAGTACTTGCTTCCGGAGAAGTCCACTTTGCGGGAGCTGTACAGGGAGATGAAGCGGCTGGAGAGCGACAACCACGACAGGAACGCCAAAAACACGTCTGTGAACAGCGTGCAGAAGAACGACATGATCAGCAAGTACGGGTTGAAGGAGTCGAACAGCTCCACGGGGAACCGACTTTTGCGGGAGTTGCAGATCGACGGGATGAACGTCGACTTCCACAAGAATGACCGCGTCGAGCGGAGGGGCTCTGGGCAGCGCAAGGCCCGCAACAGCGTGAGCAGCTGGCGCCACGGCGGCCACGGCGGCCACGGCGCCACGAGGAACGCCCACGCCGGCAGCACAGACCTTTCTGGCGTCGCCAGCGAGAACCCCGACCTCCACGACGGTGAAGACACCCCAGACAGCTGCCAGGGAGACTACAGCTTGAGGAACGCCGCAGCCGGCATCAACATGCTCCGGGAGCGCAGCGCCAGCAGGAGCGATGAGCAGGACAGCGCCGAGCAGGAGGCCGGCGCCTACGGCGGTCTCGTCGACTTGGCCGCCGCCGCCGGCAGCCCTCCGCCGACCGTCACCGGCACGGGCACGGGCACGCGGAACGTCTTGAACATCACCAGCTGTCTCGACCCGACCCTGCGGGACGTCGACCGCGTCAAGATGCTCAACCTGAACACCGAGGAGATCGGCCTCAGCTTCACCCGCGTCTACGGAATGCCCAAGGGCCTTCGCCCGGACGAAGTCGACGCCGACCTTGCCTACCTGCGGAGCGCCCTGCACTAGCGGGCCCTGCGCTAGCGGGCCCTGCGCTAGCGGGCCCTGCTCGTCTCTTTTTAGCCTTGTGTACTGCCACCTCTAACTCTCGTCTACATGTTCCGTAGCCATCACCATCACCACTCTCGCCACACCCCCGCGGACGACTGCGCAGACGCGACTCCCGCTTTCCGCGGCAGACCGGCCGAGCAAGCTGGCGCGGGGGGCGGAAAGCGCCCACGCGCCTCGCTGCAGCTGTTACCCGGCCGCCCGCAGCCAGAGGGGGCGGCGGAGAGGGTTTGCAGACAGGGTTAGGGGCGGTGCAGGGCAGCAGGCTCTGCTGCGTACACGCAATGCAGCAGCGCAGACGGATGTGTGTGGCGGTCTGAACAAGAAACACAGACGTGTAGTGCAGCAGGCGCTGGCTCTCTTCGCCACCCCCACATACACAGGCTGGAGCTCCCGAGGACCGCCGCCCGGTGCCGCCAGCGTCGCCGAGCGGTTGACGTGTTTGGAAAAAAACCGACGTCGTCGAGCTGCGAAAATGGCGAAAATGGCGAAAATGGCCAGGGCGAGCAGGGCGGGCTGAGGCAGGAGGAGCAAGAGCGGGAGCGAGAGCGAGAGCAAGAGGGTGGGTGAGGAGTGTGTGAGACTGATGGAAGGTGTGCTTGCATTGAATTTTCGTTGACTCTGTGAGGTTTTACGAAATTTTTCTTCATTTTTTTTCATCTCCCCTTCTCTTCTCTGCTGCTTGAGGTTGACTCTTTTCCTTCCGGGTCGTTTTTCTCTCTCTCCTGTTGCAGAAACGGTTTCGAACATCACCAGAACACCACCCACACACACATAGAACAAAATGGCTGAAGAAGAACACAACTTCGAGGTTGCAGATGCAGGATCCTCCCTGACCTTCCCAATGCAATGTTCTGCATTGAGAAAGAACGGTTTCGTCGTCATCAAGGGCAGACCATGCAAGATTGTCGACATGTCGACCTCCAAGACCGGTAAGCACGGTCACGCCAAGGTCCACTTGGTTGCCATCGACATCTTCACCCAAAAGAAGTTGGAGGACTTGTCTCCATCCACCCACAACATGGAGGTTCCTGTTGTCAAGAGAAACGAATTCCAATTGTTGGACATCGACGACGGCTACTTGTCCTTGATGAACAACGACGGTGACATGAAGGAGGACGTCAGAGCCCCAGAAGGTGAGATGGGCGAAAAGTTGCAATCCGATTTCGACGACGGTAAGGAATTGATTGTCACCATTGTCTCTGCCATGGAGGAAGAAGCTTGTATCTCCTACAAGGAAGCTCCTAAGGGCAATTAGGGAGGCGGTCTGGCTTGACCTGTCCATCCGATGCTCGTCGTGGTAATAAACTAATAATAATCGTAATCATACATCCTTTTTGAGAGAGAGTATATAAAACAGAGAGCAGCGTGCATGGCTGGCGGGCTGGCGGGCGGAACAGGTGCAACCTCCTTCCCCCTCCTGCCCCTCGTCCTGCCTCTGCCGTCTTTTCTTTTCTTTCTTTGATACAATATAATGTGTATATTTCCCACTATAGTATATATGCACCTTTATTTGGTCCAACCACTCCTCTGATGGCCCCCTCACATCCGGCCAAGCTGCGCCAGAACCGCCTCCGTCTTGGTCGCAACCAGCTCCCCGTCCACAAACACCAGGTCGAGCACCCGGTGCATCTTGTAGAAGTTGAACACCAGGTCCAGCTCGCTCACCGTGTCGAAGTACCGGTCCAGCAGCTGCACAAACAGCGGGATCGCCTGCAGGTACAGCAGCCCGTTCTCCTCCCGCCCAACGCACACCACAAAGTACAACCCGTTGTACTTCTTGAACACCAGCTGCGTGTCTGCCCCGAAATCCACGCTGTTGCACGACCGGAACTGCAGCCGCCGCTGGATCAGACGGTGGATCCGCCCTATCGTAGCCCGCTGCTCCGCCACCCCCGTCCTCTCGTACCATTTACTCATCCGTACCTTACCCTGTCTGTTCAGACACACGATATATCGGGCCGCCATTGTTTTATGTCTCGATCTACTCACGCACCACGCACCACCGACAATCGCTATGCTTTTCGCCACCACTCTGTCTGTCCAATTGTGCTCTCCACCCCTTCTGTGCCTCCTCAAACACCCATTCCCCGTCCCGCCCTTCATCCTGCTGCCCTGGCTCCCTCCGTCTCTCTCTGTCCCTGCCCCTGCGCCCTTTTCCTTATCTGTCTCCACCCATTTTGGGTCGATCGACTGTGGTCCGGCCCCGCGACACTTGTTTTGTCGCGCTACCCAAGACGCGCTCGCGAAAATTTTTAGGAGCCGCATCAGAAAACCTGAAACTTTCACGCAAGAAAAAAGAATAATGGAAAAAGCATCAAAGTGATTTTTTTTTTTTTAGAAAACAAGGGAAAAGCGAAAAACAAAAAAATAAGCAAGAAAAGACAACGAGGCATCCACGATTTCCGTTCTGGAGATGATAATAGTATGCCGGAAGGAATTTTTCCAACTGCCGTGTTTGCTCTGCTCCCTGCCGCTGGTTGGTTCCTCCGTGCGTAGCTATCTGGACCTAGGCTGGATTTCGTGTCTGTCCTTCCTGCATCGCCGAGTGTCTGTGCCCCTCCGCTGCTGCCCCTCCCGCCCAGTGCTCTCTGTGTCTGGTGTCCGCCGCTATCGACGCTTCTGTTGCACGCTTCGTCTCCGCTGTTTGATCGATCCGTCTTTTTCACAAAGAAAAACGAAAAACCTTCCCCACCGGTCAGATCGTGGGCTCCATCTCCTGTCCGACAGCACAGCACCGCACCGCACCGCACACGTTCCTGCTGACCACTGTAGGCCACGCCGACTGCACCGCCCCCGCCGTCCCGCCACCAGCACTGTGAAATGTCACTGGTATTTGACCAAAACAGCAAGAGCAGAAAGAAAACCATCAATCCTGTGATTGAAAACCTACTGAAAGAGCCCATCTCTTTCCAACTCGCAAAGTACCCGGACAAGGTGTCAATCAAGCCGTCCAGCTACACCGTCTTCAAGGGCTACAAAAAGGGCAAAACCCCAGACGCCTCCGCCGCTGCCAGCCCCGAGCCCAACACACGTCCCGAACCCGAAAGAATGACTCGTCCAAAGTCACTCGCAGAGGCGCTTGCCAACTACGCAGGCCAGAAGCCGGCTGAGGACGCCGACTCCGGTCAGCCAGCCTCGAAGAAGAAAAAGGCCAGCACCCCTAAGGCCGATCAAAAGCAAAGACTGAAAAAGTTGTTGCTACAGCAGTCAAAAGGATCAGATGCGATCACCAGCGAAGAAGACGAGACCGATGAGAAAGTCCGCAGCACGGACGAACCCGAACTTGCTGAGATAAAAAACGAAGAAGAAGACGACGATGAGGATAACGGCGATGAAGACGAAGATGGCCAAGAGGAAGACGACGACGACGACGAAGACGACGACGAAGATTTCCATACCGCCGAATCCGAAGAAGATAACGACGAGGAGGACGATGATGATAATGACGGCGAAGATGAGTCTGTCTCCGACGAGGAAGACAACGATGATGGAGAGTCAAACAACAACGACAATGAAGAAATCGACGAAGAGTCGTTGCGTGGGTCTTCGGATGTAATCGATCCCCTCAAAAAAGACTTGAAGGAGGACACTCTAACCAGCAAAGTTTTAGACAACCAACCAGTCGACACCCCGCCAACCTCTAACAACGACGACGATGAGTACAACGACAAGGCACAGCTAATCAATACCGAATATCCAAATCAAGATTTCTGGGATTTAAGCGAATCACCAAACGATCATGGCACAAATGATCCTAAAAGAATAGACAAAAGCTGGGGAGATTTCATAGAAGGTCACACCTCTCTTGGCTTGTTGAACCATGGTGTCACATGCTATATGAATGCGGCTGTACAATCTATGTGCCACATTCCTTCCTTAACGCATTACCTGATTGACGTTTACAAGGGGAAATACGATGATAAGATAGCTCCAGATTCCGTCACGAAGGTATTGGCATCCACCGTTGCCAAAATGTACAGAATAGGCCACAACAAGAAAATCATTTATATCAATTCCAAGAAATTATGCAAGCGATTGAATGACATCAATTGCATGATGTCTGAATGGCAACAAGAAGATTCCCACGAATATTACATGTCCTTGATGTCAAGGTTACAAGAAGATTCAACTCCAAAGGGTGTCAAGTTGAACAAAAGCATTATCTACGATATATTTGGTGGGCTGCTAGATCAAACGGTTACTTGCAAAAATTGTGGTCATATCTCGACAACACAACAAGAATTTTACGATCTATCTTTGGGTCTAGATAGCCGGAAAAAGAGAACCAGTCTAATGGTCGATCCTCAACAATTGTATCAGTTGAGAGACCAAATTGAAAAGTGTGACTCTTCTTCTAAGGAAGCAAAAATCCAACTATCTAAGATATTGCAACAAAGAATCTTACTGGCTCAAGAAGAGAGTAACGACTCGAAGTCTCCGGAACAGGAGGAAGAAAATAGCTCCAGCAATGGTAAGAATACACAGGAACAGAATGAATCTCGAGATAAGGATCAAACTCCGGGACAGAAGCAGGATCAACTATCAGCAGATAAACCAAATTCCCACCCACAGTCTCAATCATCACAGCAAGAACAGCCGTCTTCGATGGCTCAAAATGCTTCTCGGAAATATTTGCTTGAAAATTCAATAAGAGATTTCTTCACTCCAGAAATCATAAAAACCGATAAAAGAGATCAATCTGGCTATGTATGTGAAAAATGTAACATCAAAACAAATGCTATCAAGATTTCCACCATCCAAAGGTCGCCTGAAACGTTATCTATCCATTTGAAAAGATTCAGGTTCAATGGGCAACAATCCCAAAAAGTTAAGGCCAATGTGAAATATCCCGAGATTTTGGATTTAACGAGCTTTACAACCGACATGTCGACACCAACAAGATACAAATTGACTAGTGTGATCATCCATCAGGGGCGCTCTGTTTCCTCTGGACATTATATAGCACACTGCAGACAGCCAGATGGAACATGGGCAACTTACGATGATGAGTATATTAACAAGATTCCTAGAGCTAGTGCATTATCTGATCCGGGTGCTTACGTTCTAATATATGAAAGATTAACATATAAGACTGCGAATGGTGAAGTTGATGAAGACAAGCTTGTAAATAACCTAACCACAAGGAAGAGGAAGAGAGTAGAGTCCGGTTCGAGCTCACCACTCAACCCCAAAGCTCATGCCAAAAGCAGACGAAAGAAATAAGTAAATGTTGAACAAACATTGTAATGCGCTTGGTAAAGTAAATCAAGTAACGATATACAGCATCAGAAAACGAAAGAGTTTCCACTTTCCGCCCTGAACTACACTTGTTCACGACAGTAAACGAATCCTTGTTTTTCTGGAAAATTATTCATCTAAGTTCATAAATATAAATAATAAATACGCATATTTATATATCTATGTATATTCATGTGGTGCCATATGTACATGTAATCGAATTCCATAAAGGTCATTACAGAACAACCTGAATACCCAAAGTCCTAGCAGTACTGATGACGCTTTTGCACACATCCTTCAGCGGGATAGAAGCGTGTGTTTCATCGGATTTCTTGATCTTGGCAATCTCATAGATGTGTTTCAAACTGATGGTTCCCAGATAACCCTGCTTGGCAAACTTACCCTTACCCAATGTATCAGAACCCTTGTCCTTACCGATCACCTGAAGGAGCATCCACGAGGTCGTCGGACTTCTTGTCACAAATGTGAACGTACGATCTGGTCTCACCGTAAGTTTTACTGGGATTGGAACATCAACAGTGTAATGTGCTGTACGGGCGTTAAACTCTTTACAGAAATCAATGGCCTTGATACCTTTGGAACCCAATGCTGGACCAACCGGTGGAGTAGGTGCTGCTTTACCTGCACCGACAATAAGCTTCACTGACACATCTTTAAGTTGTCTGGACATGGTTGTATTTGGCTGGAGAAAGTATCTGTTTTGCAAGAAGCCGTGCCACGATGTTTCTGACAATACTCTTGTCCAATCACATCCACTTACCTATTCCTGTATTCCATGTCGACTCATGTAAGTCGTTCTTCGCTCTTCTCGCACTCGCGGAGAAAAAAAAGGGGAAAGTACGCCGATCGGCGAAATACGAAAATAAACAGCTTTTGAGATAAAGTCTATAGTAGTGTCTTGGGACCATCAGACACAGGGAAAAGATGGTGTGGAAGGGTTATACAGTGAGAAACAAAAATGGTAGGGAATAGGGTGAGGAACAAGAGGATAACAGTAAGAAAAAAAAGACAAAAAAATCAGAAAATTTGTAAACAGGAATAATTGGAATGATAACGGGAGAGATGAGATAGCCTTGATGGACTCGGGTAAATACAGAGTCGAGCAAAGCTCTTGGGATAGCAGTGAAATAAACGTAACCAGCGTTCTAGAAGAAAGAGGAGAAAAAGACAAATTGGGTCAACTGAAAGAAAAAGAGCGATGGTGACAAACTGCAGAGAGCCAAAGGTTGATGATGATGGTGACGGTGGTATTGATGATACAGGAGTCAAATATGGGTAGGAGCGTCTATGTTCAAATAAATAAATTATGCAGTCCAATTACTTCTTTCCAGCTGCCTTTCTCTTTGCCCTTTCGAGAGAGGCGATGTGCGCAACACTCTGGTCCACTTGGGTGTGTTCGTGGTCATTGGCAGGAATCAATTTGCCATCGCAACTCGATTCGCCGTTTTCATCCACCATCGCACACATCTGCACGCTTTCCAACCACGGATCTTCAAAGCATTCATCAACGGTGATACGGCACGCTGGTGCCAGACGGACCATCTTGCTGATTAAAGGACGCACTTCTGAACTGAGGGCGTTCAAAAGACGTTCTTCCCCAATAAGGTTGGATGTATGTTTGGCACCGTCTTCCGTTGTCACATTACCGCCATCCGTGGTGTTGCCGACAGTGGCGATCTGCGGTGTTTCCACCTCATGTGCCTCAATGACTTCTGTTTTCAACACAGGAATAGTGGTACTTGAATCATTCAACTCGGCATCATATGAAGGAGGTTCGGGTATTCTTTTCAACAACTCTCCAAACGTCACACCAGGTTCTCTGCATGCAAATGCCTTGAAACTGGCGTCACTCAATTTAGGGATTTTCCATGGGAACTTCTTTAATATCATACAGCAGTAGATTATTGCAGTAGACCAAACGTCGACTGGTCTTGGGTCGTAGGTGTTGAAGACACATACCTCCGGCGCCAAATATGGATCAGATCCCACAATTCCGGTCGCCTCAATCAACATATTTGAGAATGGATACTGGTAAACCACTGCAGATCCGAAGTCAATAATCTTGACGATACCATGCTTATTGATGACACAATTATCCAACTTCAAGTCTCTGTGGGCTAGACCAATGGAGTGAATGTATCTCAGACCATTCAAGATCTGTTTGAAACAGCAATTCACCTCCTCTTCAGACATCTTGTTGGACATAACAATTGCGAATAAGTCATAATCACAATATTCCATCACTTGTACTAATCTATCGTTCTCAAAACTGATTTCAATAGTTTCTATGACGTTCGGATGTTTCAACGTTGAGCCAATACAATATTCACTGGTGATTTTCTTTGTATAGTCTCTCTTGTTTTCGGTAACAAATTTTGCTCTAAACTCTTTGACTGCAAAAACTTTCTGATCTGATAGTCTTTTAACAAGTTTAACTTGGCCACCGGCACCGGCGCCCAAGCTTTCTCCGAACTTAACGTATCTTTTGCTGAAGGGGATCGAAGTAGAGTTCCCACCAACAGACAGGTGTTGGGTGTAGTTGCTGCTAGAGGATGCCGGTGAGGATGAAGGTGGGTTGTTACCTGGAGAAGTACCGTAACGACGGTATTCATGAGGTGATGATCCTTCTCCGTATATTGAGGTTGACCCTGGACTGTGACCGATGAAATTCGGGTTTCTGAAATGAGTCGAATTGGGGGTATTGGATAGAGTCGACAGCTGAGAGATCGATCCAGCGCTGACGGGTGGAACCTGGATTGGAGTGTAGCTGTTACCGTTGGTTGTGTTTGAAACAGAGCTCTGGCGTTGGGAGCTTAATCCGGCACTCAAGTTCGAAACTCTTGGGGATGAGGGTGGAGCATTTGAGATGGAGGCGGATCTTTTGAAAAACCTTCTCAAATCGGCCATTGAGGAATGTCTGGTTGACACAGATGAGTTACTCTCGTTGCTTGACTGGGAGGAGGGTGAATGCAGGTCGTGTTGTGGTGCGTTGTTTGCGGAGTAATTGCTCATGTTGTTGTTGCTACTGTAGGTGACCGGTGACGGCGGGAGGCTGTCGAAATTGGTTGCTGTTGATCTTCTGGACTTGGAGAAGAAGTTGGCCAACGAGGAGGACGATTTGCTGTTGGTGTTCACCGAGGAGGACAGGCCACGGGCCTCGATCTTCTGCTTGGAGACGACGAACCTGGACTCGATCTGGTTGGAAGCGACGGTAGGCGAGGACAACTGCGTTCCGGTGATGAACTGCCCGTTGACAGGCATGTTTGTGAACGAGGACGAGCTCGGGGTGCCCGAGGTGGATGGCTTGTGGTTGCCCGGTACTGAGTAGGGGATGCTCGAGGAGAGCTGCGTGAACGAGTTAGTTTGCTTGAAAAGCGACGACGTCGACGGCGAGTTCTTGAACGATGACACGGATGTCTTGGAGCTATGGGAGAGCAGCCCCGGGTGGCTGTTCGTGTGAGTGAAAACTGGGATCGCTTTCACGGTCTTAGCGGCGCTGTCGCCGCCGTCGTACGTGCCGGCCGACAGCGGTGGCGTCACCGTGTCCGGAGACGTCCTGGTACTGCCGCCGGCGTCGTCGGCCCTCGTCGAAATGACGGCCCCGTAGCCGCCGACAGTGCCTGTCTCCACGTCGCTGTCCACGTCGCCGTGCACCAAGATCGTCGACTGCGGCTTCTTGCTCTTCGCCAGCCGGGCCGTCAACTTGCTTGGCCTGTTCTGCTGGCCGCCGCCGCCGCTGCCGCCGCTGCCGCTGCTTCTCGGGTCGTACGTGTGCTCGTCGATCTCTCCCTCGTCCGGCGACGTTCCCACCGACACCGCCGTCGTAATCGTCCCGTTGTACGAGTTCATGTGTGACGACGAGTCCGACGTGTTAATCTGCAACGAGAGCGGCGACGACGGCTTCTGTTTCTGTTCGTTCATCAACTTCGTCAAGGAGGACACGCCTCCTGCTTTTTTCTCTGCCTGCGAGTTCATCCTGTGCCAGTGCTTGCTCCGGCTGTTGATCTTTCTCTCTGCCTCTGCTGCAGCTAGGACTCTTCTACTCCTCGGACCTCTATCCCCACGCCCCGTGCTCTTGTGCCTCTCCTTATTCCCACTTCCTCCTCCTCCGTCCATGCTATCTCCCGTCTCCTGCCCGCCCTCTCTCCCCAATCGCCCCAATCAGTCCAATCAGCAGCGCCCTCCTCCCTCCTTCGCCCGCACCTGCGGGAGCGTGGGATTTTCGGCGCGATAACCGTCTTTTACGGTACGGAAGATGATGAAGTTCCATGTTTAACGTTAAACAAGTGTGTCTACTGGCGTCTAGGACGTTTGTACGAGTAATTGTTGCTGCTGCTGCCGCCGCCGCCACCGTAGTAGTCATTGCCACCATGGCGACGCTTGTGGGCAGCGTTTCCAGAGGACGAGGCGGAGGACGAGGAGGAGGCCGGCGGCGGAGGAGGGGTCGCCGGCGGTGGCAGAGGCTGCGGCAGCTGGCCCTGCTTGCTGTCACGGCTGCCGCCGTTGCCGCCTCGGGACGGACGTGCTGGAGGTCCACCGTTGTACTGGGAGAAGGACCCGCTGCGCTTGGTGCTGCCGCTGCTGTTCGGACCAGTGGCGGCGCCCGATGGAGGATTGCCATAGTAGCCGGCGTCACGGCTGCCGCTGGCGGCGCCGTTGCCGTTGCCGTTGACGGTCTTGTTGAAGAGATACTGGCCTCTGTCACGGCGGTCTGGCCGCTCGGCGCGGTCCTGGCCGGCGTAGTATTGGCTCTTGCTTCCGTACGCCGAGGAGTTCGGACCCGTGGCGTAGCCAGCGCTGCCGGTGGTGTCATGGTAGCGCTGGGGCTCGTTGCGGTACCGGCCCCATCTGCCGCCGGAGTTGCTGTCTCTGCTGTCTCTGCTGTCTCTGCCGTCTCTGTTCTTGTTTGTATCTGCTTGGCGGGCCTGGGTGGTGGCCGCTGACGCAGCCGGGCCGGAAGGGCTCCGCACAGAGGAAGGAGACTTCGGCAGATTGTTGAGTCCTACCCGCTTTACATCTTTTGATGCAGGCGCCGCAGGGGTCGCCATCTTCCCAGGTTGCTTCCCATCCTTCGCCGAGGACTCCTTCTTCGAATTGGTCACAGCGTCCTTCTTGGCTTCGGGCTTCTTAGCCTTACCTTCGGCTTTAGCATGTGACTTGCTCTCGCCAGTTTTGCTTTCAGCAGCTTTGTTTTCAACAGGTTTGCTCGTAACCTTGCTCTCGATCTTGCTATCAACGTCCATTGTATCGCTGGACGTGGATTTGTCTCCCGCTGACTTACCTCCAGCTGTAGAACTGTCTGCCTTGGCAGGAACCTCAACTTTAGCAGGCGTCTCGTCTTTGGCAGGCGTCTCGGCTTTAGCAGGCGTCTCGGCCTCTTTCTTCTCCTTTTCTTTCTTCTCCTTTTCTTTCTTCTCCACTGACTCCTCCTTCTTGCCACTCCTCGACATCAATCCAACCAACCCATATGGCTTTACAGAACCAGCTTTATTTGCCTGCTCGGAGGCAACTTTTTCTCTCTCTTTCTTCTCGTCCTCCAATCTTTTCTTCTCCAGTTCCTGAAGTCGTTGTTTCTCGGCTTTGTCTTTTTCCTCCTTGGCCTTCATTGCCTTCGTTTTAGCCTCTTCTTCCATCTCGTAGAACTCCCATACTGAAATGAACTTGCTCTGCTTGAATTTGATTAACCCTATCAATGCTCTAGAAGCTAGCTTGATGTCGTCACGGGAATCTTCGTTCGCAATCTCCTCAAGTTTGCCCGTTAATAAATCTGCTAACTCCTCGACGACTGGGAAGTTCAACAGAATGACTTTTAACAATAAAATAGCATTGTTTCTGGTCGTGTAACTTGTAGAGCCTAAGGATTTCATAATCTGGTCAAAAAGTTTTTCATGCCACAAGTATAGCAGCTTCCGGTAAGCTTCGTGATCCAAATTTTCATCTAATCTGTTTGACTCTTTTTCATATATCTCTGGGTTTGCCCACCAGTCATGAAGTTTCTCCAATGTTAGCTGATAAAAAAGGGCAAGGTTTTCTGTTTCCATCGTGGTGTTGATAAATAACGTGACCGGTAGAATATCTAGCGTGAAAAATTTTTCCAAAACTACCTTCAATGAATAACCCGGAACTTCGAAGGTGTTCAGAAAAAAAATGAATTTGGAGACAAACACAGCATCAAATGAAGAATGCTGAAGTCTTGGTAAGGCACAATACTCTAAAAATGTTAATGCACGTTTATCGGCATTCTCTTTAAGATCGTTAGGACTTGCAGTTGCATCATCCTCAAACCACTGGCTCTTTTCATTTTCCAGCCGTTCCGTCACAAGCTTAAAGTTAGATTCATGAATATTCATGTCTTCACGAATATGAGTAAGGATAGACGTCAATTCATTGCTCTTTTTCTCTAATGCAAGTGCCTCCTTCGGTGCAAGTTCACGCTTTTGCTGTCTCAACTTCATGTTAATACCAGTAATCTGAGATTTGAGATCGGAATACTCCATCATATACGAAAGATCGTTGAAATTGATATCGTACAATGATAATTGCCAAAAGGTAATATAAAAGCCAGAACTCAGTGAGCTCCAATCTATCTTAGACATGCTCTTCTCAAATGGAATTTGAAATTCTTGAAAAACACTCTTGCTACTATTCCCATTTGTCTTTATTTCCTTCGACCATTGCGTTCTCCAGAGTTCAAACGCCCATTGAGGCTGAATCTTATAATCTTTGATAAGTGAAACAACAGGTATCATGTTGCTCTCAAATAATGAAGTATCTAAATGTGACTCTAATGCTTCAGTAAGAACGTGAATTAATGAAAAAACTTCATCACACTTTTGGTTAACGAACTTCAATGGTTTATCATCTGCTTTGTCAATCAAGCTAGTAGGAAGACGGCACAACAAAACAAAGAGCTCTGCAAATAGTTTGTCGTGCACCAAAGTCTCAAGAAGTTTTAAACAACTTTTGACACAGTTCTCACGATTATCTTGAATCCCCATATATGCGAATTTTTTGAGACTAGTTTCTGCATTCATTCTCATGATTTGCTTGGTTGTCAAATTTGCAATGGATTTAATACCTGTCATCGAATCTAGCAACTCTTTCACAACAGACAAAATATTGGTGTCCCCCTGTGTCAAACTCTTAACAATATTCAGTAGTATTGGAAATAGCTGAAACGATTCAGGATATGATTTTCCAAGATTTCCAATGAATTGAGAAAGATTAGCAAACCAAGGTGAGTAGTTCAACCCATCGCTTTGAATGGCCATTCTATTACTATTCAACTTGTTTAATATTTGGAATGTAATAACATCCCATGCAAAATCGTTGAAAAACTCAGAAGCTTGGCAAACTAATTCGATCAAACTATTATAACTTTCAATATGAGAAATAAAGGCATTTGTAACTGCTAAACAGTTAACGGAGCATAATTTATTCAATGAACGACTAACTACTTGGACGTTTTCAACAGATAATCGTTTTAACAAATTCCTAGTCTTCTTTTCTGCTGCTTCGTAGTTCAACTTGGTGATAGGATCTCTTTTCACGCTCAATTGGTACTCGCCGTATAAGTTGTATCTCGTTTCTAATGGATAGTGTGAGAGTAAAATATCAAATGCTTCATTAACAAGTGGGATATTATTTGTAAATGAAAGACATGGGAATATGTAAAGTCTATAGAATTGGAGCCAAAAATTTGAGTCTTTAACGCCTGATTCTAAAGCTTTTTTCATAACCCTAACTAGCTTGTACATTAAGTTTGAATTCCTAGAAACTTTTTGTCTATTAAATGAGATGAATTGTATTGTGAAACTTAAAAATTCATCAATTGTTGTCACAGGTATAGGGCCCATTTTTGTACTTATGATATCATTTGTTGAGATATTCAAATTATCAACGAATTTGAAATAAAATGCGGATACTACTCTATCTACTAAACTGTTCAATTTGTCTGCCGCTGGATCAGAAATTAATGGGATCTGTGGATACTGGGTTAAAACCAGGAGTGCTTCATCAATCATTTCATACTCAATTAGATGTTGTAAAAAATCCATTTTCCTGAAAAACTTGGCTTTCTCTAAGATGGAAACTTCAGGAACTGGTTCCGGCTTTGATTTCAACTCTTTCGATTCATCATTTTTTGAGTTTGTATTTTGCATTCTTCTATCATCATCATCCTCATCGTCAGAGTCGGGTACTAATGGTGCTGCCAATGCAAGAGCAGATGCACTGGATAGTTGTGATTTTCTCAAAATTTCTTTTTCAGTTGCATCGTATAGTTCAGAGAACTCATTGTTTTCAATCAAATTGATTGAGCTTGAATCAATTAGTGAGAAATCATACGGTCCTAAAGAGTTGTATATTGAATCGAATTCTAAGATTTTATGTTTGATTAGCAAAGTGATTAGTTTCAATTCCTTACATTTGATACCAACGTAATTTAACAAATAGTCCACTATTGTAGTTTGCACGGATGTATTGTATTCGCTTAAATTCCACCATGGCGATTGCTTTAATATGGACAGAACTAGTAGCTCATTTTTTTCTAAGTGGCCTGATAAGATATTGAGCAAAAGAAGGAAGCATCTGCTATTGTCAAGGTTAAATTCTGCCATGATTCTATTAAGTACATCAGTCAATACACTAATGTGAGCATGATCTGTTGGCTGTAGATCTAAATAAGAGAAAACTTGTGACATAAACTTTGCATAACCTTCACTTGCTTCATGTAATGAAGAATAACTATCTACAGAAAAGATGCGGTTTTTTGCATCATTGTACTGATATTTTCCATAATCAGGGAAGATTGCTTCTGATTTGAGTATAAGTTTATCGAGATGCAATATTTTGAACCGGGTATCTACTGAGCAATCTTTGATAAAGATGCTAATGTTTTTATTCATCTTGAATGCTTGGGCCAAAAGGATGAAATTTTCGGATTCTTTTGCTCTTGCCTCCACTTGATTAATATTGGCTATAATTTCAGAGAGTAGCTGTAAGAGCATTGAACGGGAAACTCTTTCGGGATATTCCGAAACTGAGAGCAGGATTTCATAAAAGACATCTTCAATCTGAATATCTTTGGTGGATATTTTGGATATAAGAGTATTTTTCAGCGTTCCTGGAACTTGAATGAATTCGTCTGTGATATATTTCCAAGGATAGAAAAGTGAGGTTTGGGGCTGGGGGGAAGACTGCAAAGATGTTTCCGCAGGTTCGCTTTCCATTGGCTCAGAGCTCATGTTGCAGCAGCGGTGATGTCCCTGTTGAGCCGGCGTGTTCGGGGGAAAGAGCTTTCAGAAGTGATATCTGACAAGGAGAATCAGGTGTGAAGAGGTGGCTAGCACGAGCATGTTTTTCCATACTGGCTCTTTTTCAATTTCCGATTGAGCGCTGCTACGATATGTCTTTTTTAGAGAATGCTGAAACGGATCTTGAGGTTGTTGGTAAGAAATTGGTGGGGGAAGAAGACAAGAAGAGAGCTAACGACTGGTACTTCACAAGCGTAAAGATAAAAATGGTATGTGTGTGGGAAGGAACGAGTAAAACAAGAAAAAAGAAAGAACAATACTAACATGCGGTATCGGTGCTGCAGTCAGATAAAACGAGGGAAAAGCAAATGTACGGGGCGTTGAAGAGCAAGTATGTTGGGCTAGGGGATGCCGATACGACGCGGAAAGAGTTCATCAGCAATGTGAGACGAGATACATATGCCAGCTTGATCGGACACGACTCGTTGTTGGAGCACCTGAGCGTGGGGCTGAACAAGCCAAAGCAGATTGTGCGACACGAGATGATTGACAAGATGGCACGGTCTTAGGAAGAGCAAAGGCTATCGGTTTTTATAAATGTGTATGTATGCATATCCTTGGAATACGAAATAGGTCGAGTTTACAATAAAGTGGCGATAAGCGTAAATAAATGTGGGTGGACGGGAGGATTAAGCCAAGAGTGGGGCCTGGTCAGAGGCGGAAGACTGTGTTTCAACCTGTCTGATGGCGTTGTTGAACATGTATAAGACAGAGAAAACAAAGTCGATGCCAGAGATGGTGAAGGCAAAGATCCACTGGAGGGCAACCAACTTGGTGAACATCTGGTAGAAGCCGACGCCCAACATTAGGAAACTGGTGGAGATTCCGACGGACCAGTCGGAGTAGAACACGAGCAGGGCCATTGGAACAAGCAAGAACTCCCAGATGAAGATGTTTGCTAAGAGGCGGGGCACCAGCGATTTGTTGTGCGAGTGGAAGAGGGCTGCTCCGTTCCAGAAGACCGCGTAGAGGGTCCACGAGAGCGGGAAGCCTGTGACCGGGAGGTGCACGGTCAACCAGTCGGGGATGTTTTTGATGGCGATTGTCTTGTGGGAGAAGTAGAGGGTGAGGAGGTTGAGGAGGTTGACAAAGACGAGGATCTCGGCGATGACAAAGTGCTCCTTGGCGAAGAAGTAGCACCAGAAGAAGTGCAGCACGTTGAAGAACGCAAAGTGCGGGCCCACGATGGCAATCAGGTTGGACTGGTTCGAGGCCGACACGTTGCCGTTGAAGAGCGTCTTGGCGATGAAAAGGAACTGCGCCAGGAGCGTCACCCCCCAGTAGATGGAGGTGACGATGATCGAGGAGCTGAAGGGCGTGACAAAGTGCTTCGACGACTGTGCAGGGAGCAGGTAGAAGAGCGTCGCAAACACAGAAAGGGCGAAAGACGCCGAGATGGTGACCTTGCTAGCAGTGAGCCCGGACGACATGATCGGTAGGCTGTGGGGAGGTGGATAAGATGCCGAACTTCCCAACACAAGCCAGCCAGACCACCATGAAGGACCCTGACCTGCACACAAGAGCAGGGGCTGATCCACGGCCTGTTATATACTGCAGCCACCCTGTTGCCGCAGCCCCGTACCCCGAGGTTTCCAGCACTTGCCATCTCTGCCTGCTTCCTTCCTGTCATTCACCACCGTGGCCCTCTTCCTGTCCCTACATGCCGGACACAGCCCACTTTCCTGCCCGCAAAGCCCCAACTCCGGCCACCGTGCGTCACGTGCACAGCCCACCCGCCAGCCCTGCTGACCTAATCCCGCCGACGCGTCGCTGCTCCCGCTTTGTCAGCCAATGCCCCCCGGCTTCCCTCCGCCCTCCGCCCTCTGAGCCTGCTAACCCCTCGGCTACAACGCCACCACTCGTACCGGCCGCAACGGGCCGGCCCAGACGTTGTTCCGCGGCCTCGGCCCCACGCTATGTCCGCCGTTGCGGGCGCGCGCCCTATGTCCGGAAGCCGGGCGCCTCGTTTCGTTCCGGCTTCCCTCCGAGCCACGTTGATTCGGCCCAGTGGGCTATCTCCCGTCTGAAGGGCGACCACCCAACATTAGTAATGGGCTCATCTCCGTGAGCCGAGAGATGATAGCTGTGGGGGTTGTATAAGAAGCACACGGGCTGCCCGTTGTGATGAGAGATGAGCAGAGACGTGTGTGGTGTAGCTGTAGCCTGGTTCTGGTCCACCACCACCATTACCACTGTTGTAACCCACCGCGTGGCGATAGAACGCAGAATTAAACCAGACATGAGAGCCTTCAGGAACACGCAACTACGAAGAGACATACTGCAGAACTGTCTCTCGATAACACAGAGCAGCAACGGAAACAACGCAGCAGCCCCGGCAGCGGGTATGGAGGTCTCGCCATCCTGCACGGTGAACCCAGACCTCGCTGACGACAGCCTCTTCAACTCGGCCTTCCACAGCGCACACGCCCGGCCTGAGCAGCCGCCCCAGCGCTTCCTTGTCCACGACAGTACCTTCTACTCGCAGGCGCAACTCGACCGCATGAAGAACTACATGGGCAAGCTGCCACTGCAGAGAGAGTGGATCAGATGAGCCGGCGGCGGCAGGTGAGGCTGGATGGGCGAGTACAGGACTCGCCAATGCATCCCGGAAAGGCCTTCACAGGGACAGACAGATGGCTGAGCAGCAGACGGCGCCGCGGGGGCGGTGTGTCCGGAGCAAGACTGGTCGACATGTCGGCATGTCGGCATGTCGGCACGTCAGCATGAGAGACGTCTGGAGGTTGAGTTTATACTTTTTTGATGACCTTTTTTTTTAGACCAGAGAAAACCCTGTTTTCGGGTTAATATTAATAATAATTATACTTATCCTATCAATAAATGCATTCTATATATACAGAGTAAAAAAGATTATATAACAAAATAGAATAAGGCTTAACAAAAGAGTATCAGAGTCTGGGGTGCATAAAATAAGAGGGGTTGGGGAGAAGTCGCTGTTAAGATTCGTAATTAGATAATAATGGCAGAAGTTTGTCGAAAGGGCTGGCTCAAGCATCTTTCTTGGCCTCCTTGGCGGTCTCGGAAGCCTTGGCTGGCACGGCGATCTCGCCGTGGTTGTCCAACCAGTCCTTGAAAGAGCCGATGTAGTTCAATCTGTTCTCGTAGCCAAACGTGGCCGCCAACTCCTCGCTCATTCTTGCTCTGACACCAGCCAAGCAGTAGAAGACCAGGGTCTTTTCTGCAGAAGGCTTGTCGATGCCAAACGTCAACTTGAACTCCTCGGGATCCAAGCCAAGCGCACCAGGGCTAGACTTGCATGGGATGTTGATGGCGTGTGGAATGTGTCCGGCGCTGTACTCGTCAGGCTCTCTCACGTCAACAATGACGTACTTGGGGTCTGCGCTGGAGGCAATCTCCTTCATCTGCGAGAAGTCGATATTTGGGGCCGCAGCATCGCTGTCGATGACGCTGTACTGTCTCGACTGGACCGCAGAAGACTTCATGCTGGCAATAGACACTCTAGCGTTCTGGTGTTGGGCAACCGATCCGACACGGACAGACTGGCGCAACACAGCGTTGCTGAAGCATCTGACGGCGGAGGTCTTGAGGGCAGTTCTGGCGACAACCCGGGTGGACTGTAATAATGCTGACATGCTGAATCTGTGTGTATGTGAGTTTTTGGGTGACGAAACTGTGGCTCTGCAACTGTGAGTTTTCTCGTGGGAATCAATAAATCAGTCAGTCGTTCTTGCTTGTGTCTGAGAACGTGCTTGCTGCTACTGCTGGGTGGCGAATTGGGAGGGCGGAGAGACCTGTTGTTTGCTGCTGGGTCTGCGAACGTGGTACTGGAACAGGTGAAACGGAAACAGGGGGTCTCAAACGTCTGCTGCCGCCGCTGCTGCTATCCTGGCCAATTTAGAGAGTGCTTGCACCAGGAGGGGAAAAAAAAAAGAGGACGATGCGGATGTCGGTCGGGCTTTCTTGCCCTGGCCTCCTCCGGGCCCGTCTCTCTGGTTCTTCAAACGTAGCAGAGGGTTGTGGTGTCTCTGTCCGTGTACGACGCTGCATGGGCTGTCAGAGGGGGTAGAGGCCTGCGTATGTCTCTACTACCGCAATATGGTTCCCCGGTCCTATGCCCCCCGTCCAACGGCCCCATCAAGCGGGCCTCGACAGAGGCCCGACGGGCCCTGGCAATCACCGCATCGGGCCATTTGTGACGTCCGTGCAGAGCACAGCCGGTTTGTTTACGCAATAAAGAGGGTTGCCGTTTGTTGCAAGTGTGTGTTGTTTCTGCGTAGTTTATACAGGGTAGAGTTGAACTTATAGAAGTAGGAAAAGAAGGCTTCTTGGCCACTACATGCCAAACTGCTTTCTCATCTGCTGGGCCATCTGTCTGATGTTCGGGTCGTTCATCATCTTCATCATGTCCTGCTGTGAAGGCATACCCGGCATGCCGCCGGCCCCAGCACCGCCACCCATGCCCGGCAGCCCAGGCATCCCCGGCATGCCGCCCATGCCGCCCATCATCTTCTGTATGTTCTCCATCATGCCCGGGTTCGACTGCATCTGCTGCATGGCCTTCTGCATCTGCTGCGGATTCATGTTCTTGCCCATGCCCGGTGGCATGTTCTGCTGCATGTTCTTCGTGGTCTGCGCCATTCTCGCAAACATGTTTCTCTGCAAGAGCACCGCCTCCACCTCTGTAACACTGGTGCCAGACCCGCGGGCCACACGAATGATTCTGGACGGTTCGTCAATGAATAGCGACCCGTCGCTGTCAAGCTCCGTCTTGGTCATCGAGTCCATGATGCAGATCATACGCTTGAACCGCTTGGACGTCTCCTCCTCACCAACCTGATTCATCATGTCACCAATCCCGCCGGGGAGCATCTGCGCAATCTTCGACAAGGGGCCCATCTTTAAAATATTGTTCATCTGCGACTGGAGGTCTCTCAGCGTAAACTTACCCTCCTGGAAGTTCTTTATGCTGTCGTTCTGGTCCAAGTTCAACGTCTTCACGTGCTCCATCAACCCCTGGATGTCTCCGATCCCGAGCAACTTCGACACAAACTGCTTCGCCGTGAAGCTCTCCAAGTCGTGGATGTGCTCACCGGTACCAATAAACACAATCGGCGTCTTGCTGGCAGCAACGGCAGAGATCGCACCACCACCCTTCGCATGGCCGTCCATCTTCGTCAAAATTATCGCACCAAAGTTCGACGACTCCTTGAACGCCCGGGCCTGCGCCTCGGCCGCCTGTCCAATCGACGCATCCAACACCATGATCGTCTGGTTCGGCTTCACCGCCTCCCCGATCTCCACCATCTCCTTGAACAACTCCTCCTCCTGTCTGTGACGACCAGACGTGTCCACAATAATGATTTCAAACTTCTCCTTCTTGAACTTCTCCACACCTTCGTGTGCAACCTTCACCGGGTCGCTCTCAGTGTAGGAACCAAAATATGGAATCCGGGCCTTGGTGGCATTCTGCTTGAGCTGATCAAACGCACCCGCTCTGAACGTATCCGCACACACCATCCCTACTTTAAAACCTCTTCTCTGGTAGTACACAGCAAGCTTCGTACACGTGGTCGTCTTACCGGCACCTTGTAACCCGACAAACATAATGACGTTCGTCTGCTTCTTCTTGGGCTTGAACACTTCTGCCTCCTTCACGTCCACTAGGTCGCAGAGCTCATCGAAAACAGCCTTCTGGATGATCTTCTTCTTATTCACACCAGGCTTCTCCTCCTCCGCCTCAATCTTGCCTTTCAACTTCTTTCTCAGTTGTATCACAAGTTTGATGTCCACGTCCGCCTCCATCAACGCATTCGAAATCTCCTTGAGCATGGTGTCCACCACGCTCTGATCAACCACATTGGATCGCGTCACCTCCGAAACGGCGTTGTTGATCCGTCTCCCCAAGTCCGCTAAAACCATGGTTGTAATGTTCTTGTGTTGGCACTGCTTGACCCTTTCCTTCCTTCTTTTGCCCCCTGCTCTCTTCCTCCCTGTCTCGTCACCCTCCTCTATTCATGTCTTCTCGGGACTCTTCCTTTTTCAACGATCTTAGCGACAGTCCTGGAAAACGAAAAAAAAAGAGAATACATCTGTGCACCGGTCGTGTGCCAGGCCTCCCATGTTTCTCCCCCGTCTCTACATGAATTGTAGCCATGACGGTTTCATCCTTGCCTCTGATCTGGGTAGAAATGAGGAAACAGCACCAGCTGAAGCACATTGCACCAGCTATGCAGAAGGTGGAGAGTCAATGTCCGCCGCAGGCTCTTTCCTTTGCGATTGTGTGTCCACAATGGATTGAAAACAGTAACGCCGAAGACACGGAGTCTTTACTTCAACAGATCGTGTGCTACATCAACCCGAGCCAACACACCAAGGAGCCTGAGAACGGCATGGTGAGTAGCACCCAGTGGGTGCTTCCCTGGATGAGGAAAACTCACGCAGAAGCGGATGGGTCAGACGTCCGCCAATGGAACACGTTCAGCGACAGCGTGTCGGATCATGAGATAGTGAAACAAATCGGTCTATTGCAGGCAATTACCGACTTGTCTGCTAAATTCAACGGCGAGAGCAGTGATACCCAAATATCTTACATTGACACTGATGAAACACGTACTGTTGTTGGGTGGTTGCGTGCGGGAGACGGAAGCGGAGGTCCAGACTCTTTTGCCGGGTTCTGGTTTTTCTGCGAGTTCCAGTTCACAAAGGTGACGCTAGCTAACGGCGAGACACGTTTCATCCAGCGGGGGTTGGCGGCACCGGAGTACTTGAGGCAGCAGATCTTCAAGGGCTATGAGCTTTGGTGCTTAAACCACGGAGCTCTCGAGTACTGCAACACGCAGATGGACAAGCTGGACTTGCGACTGCAGGTCACCCAGTGGTGGCAACAGTGGTTCTCGAGTAGGTTTGAGTTCCCCTCGTCGTACGACGCTACCGATGATGCGTTGTTCAGTTTTCTTCCTGGCATCAGATACTCGTGTGTCGATAAACCTCTCGGGTTCTCAGAAAATATAAGCAAGGAATTGGAATCGTTAACAAGTAAGGAGAGTGGTTTGAAAGACATTATGGTCTTGAACACCAACTGGACTCCAGAGAAAAACTGGGGTGTCATCCACGTCAATTATGATTCGATATATTCACAGTGGAGTTTTCAAAGCATTGTTTCCTTCTTCAAAGACATCGACTTAACTTTTGGTCTGAGCACTTATGCATTGACCAATGGAAACAGACCGTCTTTGAAAAAGTACGTAGATAGCTTGAAGAGGATGAATTCTATCAAGCCCGATGGAGGGTTACTGGAAAGGTCATCAATGGAGCCAGCCTTGTATTTGCAGGAAAAATTTGCCAATGCTGTATTCAACCCCTTCGGCAACGTTATTGATGCGTTTGAGTCATATATTCTGTCCATGCCAGATATAACTAACTTATCCGAATACGTTCCATCTGTTGTGCCTTCGATTTCAGAGAGCGTCAAAAATGCTACTCTACATCCGTGGAATTCTCTAACCTCTTATTGGGGTGCCGCTCCAGAAGAAGAACCATTACAACCAGCCCAAAACGAACAAGAAGAAGCTGAAACACCATCTTCTATTCACTCCCTGCCTCAGCTACAATCGAATGACCAAGATTCCTTGCATGGCCATACCGCTGGTGAAACAGGCAGCAATACGAGGAGCATGTCGCAGAAAACAACACAGTCAAGTATATACGAAAGCATGGAGGTGGCGCAGAAATCTGGTAGCTATTTATTAGGCTGCACAAAACAAGGATCAATAGTCCTACATAATTTCCACCTTTACAATGAACAAAGACGAGGATGGGAGAAGGTGAAGTTGATAATTTACGAGATAAATGGAATCTTATTTGTGATGTTCTACGAATCGGACTACGAGCCGCTAAAGCACTCCCCGGAATTGTATACTAGCTTATCGAAGAAATTAGACTCAATTTACCAATTATATTTCACTGACCTCATTTTCAATCAACTCAAATCGCTCGAAGATGACATGAAAAGTAAAAGCAAAGACGATTTTGCGTTCATCATCTACGATCAAGACAAATACTGGACCAACATATCCAACATTCCTCCTGATCACGACACCTTAATGCACCAAATTCCCGAAAGAGTTCATTTGTTAGAGCAGAATATAAACGGAACAGATCTTGAGTTCCTAAGGACTCTTGCGTTGATGCAGGACAGACAGCTTCAGGGAGTAATTGCAAGCAACATAACGCCGTCTCCGGGATGGGTCGTGCAGGAGAAAGTCACAAAGTTGGGCAAAACTCGTTGGTGTCTTTTCCACCGCTACACAGAAAGTAAATGGGTCCTAGTTGTCAAGCAAATCGCTAGTGTGGATGGCACTGAGGGACTTGTTTGGGGAGAGGATGTGAAGAAGTGGATGGCATGGGTAGAAGCTGAGGGGTATGTTTAGTCGATCCACTGCTAAAACTATATAGTCGTTTAATTTAGTGTATAAAAATTGGGTAATAATTTGGGGAATTAATGGAGTGTAGTCTTCAACTTACATACGTTCTAGCGTGTCCTGACAGTCTCTCCGATCAGTTATCCAACATTTGATCTCCCTCCAAAGTATTTTGGCGTTGCTGCATAAGCAAAGCCAAACACGGTTCTTCACTTTTTTAGTTTCCTGTTAAGGCGAAAGTGCGAATAGTCTTACATGTTTCTCTGCTGGTGCAAGAAATTTGTTTATTGTATCTTTTCTCATTACAGCAGTGCCCCAGTTTTCCTAGAAAGTTCAAGAAAGGAAAATCAAAAACAAAGCAGTCAGCAAAAGCAGCAGTGAAACAAAAGGATGTCCACAGGTCTAGTCTGCCGGAACTGTGGTGGGAGAAAATTCTCCAGAGAATACCACACTGCTTCTGGAGATTTGTCATGTATGGAATGTGGTGTTGTTGCAGAGGAAAATCCTATTGTTTCGGAAGTCACGTTTGCTGAAAACGCAGCTGGTGCAGCTACTGTCCAGGGCTCGTACGTCAGTAACGACCAGAGTCATGCGAATTTTGGTAACGGGCGTGGCTCGATGGAGTCAAGAGAACAGACGATCCAGAACGGAAAAAAGAGAATCAAAAATGTTGCGTTATCGTTGGGTATACCGGATCATATTTCGGAAGAAGCTCATCAGTGGTTCAAGCTTGCCTTGAACGCTAACTTTGTCCAGGGACGTAGAAGTCAAAATGTTATTGCGGCATGTCTATATACTGCATGTAGGAGATCAGGGACCCGTCATATGCTCATCGATTTTTCTACTCGATTACAAGTCAGTGTGTACGCCGTCGGTGCAACCTTCCTCAAGATGGTCAAAGCGTTGCACATAACAGAAATACCTCCTGTGGATCCTTCAATTTTCATACAGCATTTTGCGGACAAGCTAGATTTCGGTAAGAGGACGGGAAAGGTTATCAGAGAGGCAACAAAGATAGCGAAGAGGATGTCCGATGATTGGATCCGTCAAGGGCGTAGACCCGCTGGTGTGGCTGGAGCAGCGATCCTTTTGGCGGCACGTATGAACAACTTTCGAAGAACTCATTTGGAAATTGTTGCAGTGACTCACGTGGGAGCTCAAACGATTCAGAAGAGACTGACTGAATTTAAGAAAACACAGGTATCCAAATTGACGATTGATGATTTTAGAGACGACAAAAAAGAAGGGACCGTGGTGAACAGAATGCTTCCGCCTTCCTTTGACAAGAGCCGGAAGGAGTTGAGAAAGCGGAAGCAGGAAATCGAAGATGTGGAGAGCGTAGAAGATGAAATGATGAATGATCCGGTTCTAGGTGCAATGTTGGAAGACTCAGAGATCACGGAAGAAGAAATTCAATACCATATCAAGCGAGTGTTGGGAAGGAAAAAGAAAGATTTGGATCGTAAGATATCATCCAAGTTGGTATATAAGGATGGCACAACACAGCTGGAAGCTGATGATGAGAATACGGTAAAAGTCGAGCCAAATCCAGATATTGATCTCGATTCTATGAACGATCCAACTTCCATCATACAAAGGCGGGATGAGGAACTTTTAAGAATGATTGAACTGAACAGGCCTAGAAATTTGTCATTGGCTTTGCCAACTACTGAAGATATGCTTAATCGAATCCCAGATGACGATGAAGACGAAAGATTTAAAGAACTAATCAACGACGACGAACTGGACTCATTTATCCTTTCAAAGGAGGAAAGTGAGTTGAAGGAGAGGCTGTGGACTGGCTCGAACCAAGACTTCTTGATTGAGCAAGAAAAGAAGAGGTTGAAGATGGAGACAGATAAAATTGCTGGCCACACAACCCAAGTACGAAAGCGTCGTAGAAGAAACGCTGATCTCGAAGCACAAGATGCAGCTGATCAAGCGGGGGATAAGAACGGACTCAGTGGGTTGGCTGGCCTCATACGAGCCAACCTCTCTGGCACTTCGTCAGCATCTGACAATGCCAAGGCATTGCTAAACAGTAAGACCCTGAGTAAAAAGATCAACTACAATGCGGTAAATAATTTGTTTGATGATGCATAGCTCACTGATGTATAAATGTATATATATATATTAATAGTTTTTAGACCCTTGGCTATAGAAGGGCCAGCGACAGAAGGAAAGATAGAAGAATAATAAAACAAAAACACTTCATTCGTAAGGGATGGGCTCATAGAACATAAAAAAGAAAATCATTATGACTGCGTCATACTCGAGGGAAGAGGCGCACATATCATCTTCTCACTGAAGATGATAGACAAAGAGTTATAGTGGTCTGCCGTTAGACCCGACTCGTCCCAAACCGTTACACTTGCTACAACGCTCCAGGTCAAGAAAAAAATGGACCATACCACGGCCGTTACATTTTGGGCAAAGAATACCGCCTATTCTTGGATCGCCGGGCTTCACCACCGTGGGTGCCTGGACTCTAGGACCAGTAGGCATGACAGTGGCTCCAGGAGGCAGCTTGACCACGTTGGTGTTTATGGGGTTGGGAGCAGGCCTGTGTTTGACCAAACGCTCCAATTCTGCTTTGGTTGCCGGCGGCGTCGTCTGGGGACGGAACCGACCCCAACAAGTTTTGCATGCATGACCGTTTTTCTTTTTGTATCCAGTATTTTCACACTTGGAGCAACGATAAGAAGAGGGGTATCTCCAGGGTAGGTACGGATTTGGGTTGATCGGCGAAGGTTTTGGAAGCTGGGACGTTTTGTGTTGAGGTGGTGGCGCAGAAGGTCTCTGCGGCTGCTGGTGCGTGTAGCTGTGGTTGGAAGAAGATAAGCTGGACGCTGTGCTCGACGAAGTAGAGGTCATTCCTGGAACCGTGAGTCTGTTCGAGTTTCCCGACATGTTCGGCGGAGGGGCTACCGGTCTCGAGTATTTGGAATACTGCTCTCCTGACTGCGACAACCTCCTGCTGGGCGTCTGTGGCGGCCTGAGCGGCGTCTGTGGCCCCATGTCGTCTTCAGATACCGATGGATCGGCCATCGCCTCATCATAACTGGGCGGAGGTTCGGAGGGCAGGTCCACATTGGGATCAAACACGTTTAGTTCATTGGCACTCGGCGTGTGGGAATACTTCCCACTACTGTTCTTCTCGGACATGTATGTTCTGTTGTACCACCCCAGTAGGTATGTCAGCGGCAGGCTATAGATAATCCAAACAAACAAAGAGGCGTCCCTATCTGATCTATTTCGGTGAGTAGCAGATCGAAACTGTGAGCCTCTGGAAAGAAAAACGAGATTGTCAATTTTTTGCTACGCCCACGAAATGTTGGCGTCATGATCCAAATCTTGTTGTTGTTGTTGCTGCTTTTGTGTATCTGGCCTTTCAGATTGCTTGTGGCAACTCTAGGTGGTTTTCTTGGGCGTGATAAATTCCTGGGCAGCAAATTAAGTTTAGGACCTGAACGTCTATAGACTTCTTGGGAACAGCAACGATGATATGGCTAACACAAACACAGAAATTCGGAGTGTTTTTCACTTCTGCAGGAACACTTCTCTTTTTGCTAGGAGTGGTGTCACTCTTTGACGCAGGATTGCTTGCGATGGCAAACATCTCCTTCTTGGTGGGTATATTCTTGATCATAGGAACACAGAAAACTCTCTACTTTTTCAGCAGGCCTCAAAAAATGCGTGGAACGATATGTTTTGCGATCGGTATCATTCTCATCTTGACGAAGCACTCCTTCTTTGGGTTCGTCATTGAGACGTTTGGCATATTGGCGCTTTTTGGCGAGTTCTTTGCGACCTTGGTGCAGTTCCTCAGATCGATGCCTGTCATTGGACCGTTTTTGTCGCATCCAATGGTGGCACCCGTTGTAGACAAGCTAGCCGGAGTCAGGGTCCTACCAATATAAGCACGCCGTGTCATCCTCACTCTTTTCTCCAGAAACCAGCCATTGACAAATGCCTCGGTGCATTCAAAATGTGTAATTCTAAGTACAAATCTTTATAAAGTAATATTTTCAGCACAGAATAAGTAGGCTTAAGCTTCTTGTCGTCTACCATGCGATGAGTCTTTATATACACGTTTATTGTTCTTTCATCCCCACTCTATTTGGCAATCACTTCTTCAACCAATCTTGCAAACTCAAGAACCTTGTAGTCTTGGCCGTGTTGTCCCACAAGCTGAAATCCCATCGAATTCCCTCCGTAAGGGATGCTTATTGCTGGTAATCCCGCCAACGACATTGGAATAGTACAAACATCGTTCATATACGATTTCACCGTATCCATTTTGCTGAAGTCCTTGATAGAGGGAGGCTCGGACACAGTGGTTGGAACAATGAGCATGTCCACCCCGGCGGTGCTTTGGAAGTGCTTCTTTTGCACCAGACAATTACGGTCTTTAAAGATTTGATTGAACTCATCTATAAGCATCCCACGGACACCGGTCGCTTTCATGAAGTGACTGTCATAACCATAAGAGCTCAAAGCATAGTTGCCAAGGATGATACGGCGTCTCACTTCTGCACCAAAACCCAAGTTTCTTGTGGTGATAAACTCAGGTTCAATTTTTGTGTTGCATTCATCCTCCTTCACACGATAGCCGTATCTGATGCCGTCATACCTGCTCAAATTAGACGACGCTTCAGCTGTACAGAGTGTGTAGTAAGTAGGGAGAGCATATTTGATAGAAGGAACGGAAACAGGATAAACTTCAATCAATTTAGATGCTTGAAGTTTGTTTAGAAGCGTTTTCCATGAGCTTTTCACATCGTCGCCAAGCTCTGCTAACTGATACTCCACTGGAATCCCCACTTTAAATTTTTTGCCCACATTCTTCTTACTATTCAATCTTTCAATTGCAATACTTTCTCTGGTCGAGTCGCTCAAGCATGACGGGTCTTTGGAATCGGATAGGTCTAGCGACGTGAACACTTTCCAAAGCGTGTTCAAGTCCTTCGACATGACCCCGACGGTATCCAAACTTTGAGAATACGCCACTAAACCCCATCGGGAAATACGTCCGTACGTAGGCTTGAATCCATATATATTTGTATAACATGCTGGCAGACGCACCGAACCACCCGTATCGGAGCCAATCGAATAGTCAACCAAGTCTAGAGCAACTGCTGCCGCAGATCCCCCACTTGATCCACCTACTATTCTTTGTTCCTGCGATATCCTCTCAAATGCATTGTCGTATAGCTTTGGTGTTATGTATGAATGGGAACTTGTATGTGCGTGGTTTTCATCGTGCACTAATTCAGACGTAATCACTTCACCGTCGGCTTTCGAAACTATATCCTTGGTGAAGAATTGTATTTCTTTGTATGATTCTACCAAATCTTGTGCCTGGGGGTAAACTGGATTTAAGGTCGGGCCAAAATGTCCGGAAATGGTAGAGTTTCCCATCGCAAACTCATCCATATTAGTTTTACCTATGCAGGACGACCCAGATTGATCCAAAAGAGTCACCACAGTGGCATCAAAAGGTGAAATGTATGGTTCAAGCATCTTCGAGGAGCAGGTCGTTGGCTCCTTTCTTGTGGCAAAATTATCCTTTATTGCATATGTGGTATTCCCAAGAGGTGCATATGGAGATGGGTCAGGTGGTGTAGGGTTGGTCCGCAGAGAAGTAAAGATGTTGAACCTTTTGTTCACAGACCTCACTTGAGTTATGTTGGCCTTCATCTTCGTTGAAGTGAAGTTCAGCTGTCAGTCAACGGCTCCCTCTCTGCAACCTCGAGAACCTTGTCAAGACATAAATGGTGGTTGAGTTTATCCTTTGGTACTGAAAAATAAAGCGAATCTACAATTTTTAGTTTTCAGCTCATAATTTGCTTAACATGTAGACGATAACAGCAGGATAAACCGTTCCAGAAGTGCAGTGACAACTGAAGTTGCTAGCGGATAAAGCAATGGCAAAGAAACAAAGAGTGATACCCCGTCTCAAACCGGTGCCGTACACACTTGCGGACTTGTCGACTTCACTGCGACAGCCTCAACTTGTCCCTGCAACGGTTATAAATAATGGACGATCACAAATACAGTTATACTCAACGCCAGATCTTCCGAACAACAAACGTGGATTCAAATATGTGCCATGCAGGCCAAATCCTTATTTAGACTCTGTTCTCTATTCTACTACAGACTTACCCCCGTACGGTGTGCGTTGGTCTTATTTTGACCGTTCACCCGAGATGTTTGTTGATCAAAACATGACTTTCGTTGGGACCCAGGAAAGTGATGGGTGGAGAAGTACCCGAGCTAGTGTGGGGATCAGAGAGGGATCGTGGTATATTGAGTACCGGATTATCAGTGGCATCGGTGAGATGGAGAATGGAGATAATTTTGAGAGGCAGACCTCAGAATTATCCAGGTCAGTAACGCCAATGCACAGTAATATCAGTATAGCTTCGCACGTTAGGCTAGGAATTGCCCGACGGGAAGCATCCTTGGAAGCTCCTGTTGGATTTGACGGGTACGGGTATGGAATCAGAGATATAAGCTGTGAAAAGGTACACTTGAGTCGGAGAAGCGAGATCAAAGAAGGTGACAACGTATACTGCAATGATGATCTGAAAATAGGAGATGTGGTAGGCTTATTGGTTGAGCTACCAGATATGAAAACACAGACAAAAATTGCCAGTTCAATGATAGATCGGAAAACTTTAGCCGATCCACATCTTGAAACGGATCCTGGGGATGGTATTGGTCACAGCTCAACTAACCAACACTCTTTCATTGAAAAGGGCATAGAGAGGGAAATGATTCCAATTAAATACAAAAGTGAACTTTTTTTTGAAGAGTATGAGTACACATCTTCAAAAAGCATGGAGCATTTGTTGAACCCGGTAACGGTATTTGGGGAGCGTGCAATTCCGGATAAAGAGAAATTTCAGCCTGCAAAGCTACCCAACTCTTCGATCACTCTTTTTGTCAATGGAAAAAGAAAAGGAGTGCCCTTTGAAAACCTCTTTGCATTTCTCCCTCCGGCAAGTGAACAGCGAATGGCTCGGAGTGCCAGTAAACCCTCAAGCAAAAAGAACCGTGAGGAAGAAAGTTTTATAGTCGATAGAGATGATGGAGAACTTGGATACTATCCCATGGTGAGTAGTTTCAGAGGTGGGGTAGTTGAAATCAACGCTAGCGGTGAAGTCTGGCAGAAGCCCGAAGAATTGAAGGAGAAATTAGCAAAAGGGGCTGTCAGACCCTATGGCGATCGTGTGAAGTACAAAGTCGTTGAAGAGTACGTTTACGATCTAGTTGATAACGCGGTGAACAAATATTTGGACAGGAAAGAATATGCATTGCAATGAGACATTTGTATAAACCTAAAATTACATCTAAATGACTGATAGTATTAGAAATCTAAAAAGAGTAGAATGATTCGAACGTTTCTGAGCACCCATCGTTGGGGCAAGAGTTATCATCTCTCGACTTTTGCACTAGTTCACAGCAATAGCGGTGGAAGTGGACGTGGCAAGAAGCGTTCGAGCACGCTATTCCTCTTGTTAAAATATCGCCACATCCGTAGCACACGCTAACTGTGCCTTCCGGGCACTTCCCATATGTGTCTATTAAATACTTTTTGAGCTCGACAAGGCCTCTGGGAGCCAAGGTATAGTTGTTAAGATTGCGTTCCAACCAGCCGTAACATTCCAAATCTTTGAGAAAGAGATCAGCCTCTTCCAATGTGAAACGATTGATTACCGGCGCATCGTCGTCATCTAGTTGCCTCGGCCCATCCCTCAGATATTTTATCATCTTCATGCACGGAACCGAGAAGGTTATTCGAGGATGCACCGTGCCTTCCTCGTCTGTAGCTGATGCACTGTTCACGTACTCCGAAGCAAAAATTCTTTCTATTACCTGTTTCACTAGTTGCACATCATTCTGGGAGTACTTCGTTGACAGCCGAATTGCTCCCGTCGGCTTCTTGTTAACAAAGGAAAAGATGTTTACCGAAGAGTCGTCCATGTCCTTGGATTCTGCAATCTCCATATCTAACGGCTCCAAACGCGTATTGATGCTTGTCAAAATCGTTGACAATATGCTTAGATCCACATCGGGCAATGGATCGTCTGACTGTACTAGTGATCGAAGACTCTCGATAGTCGACGGATCTTGTTCCTGGTCGATGTAGAGCGTGACAAGCGCTTTTTTGAGATAGAGTAGCAACGAGGTCTGCCTGATTGTTCGCACAGACATCACCAAATCGACCATCGCCGCATGGAGGGCAGTATAGCTTTTTTCGCCCGTATGGAGATCCATGAACTCATGTGGCACCACTTCAGACATCCTACTTTTAGATTATGTCTCGATTGTCCTACAGCAGCCTAAACTTACGTACTTTCAGTCCGACACGTCAGGTCGTGAGTTTGAAAACATGTTCTCGTAGACCGCGCTGAGCTGTGAAAAACAGAGGGAGTCGTAGAAGAGATGGGTCTGTGCAGAAATGGGGCTGCGGTTGTTGCTATTGTCGTAGATCTGGTTGTAGGGCATTGTCTGGGCAGCGAGAAGAGCCAGAAACAGATACAGCAGTTATAAAAGGAGCAAGATGTCCTACTACCAGCAGTACAGCACAAATAATGCACAGGGCTCGGCGTTCCTGGGCTCCAATAATCAAAACCTTCACAACGCCAACTCTAGCATGAACACGGGATATGGGTATGGGATGGCAACAGCTGGCCAAGGCTTTGCAATGCCATCCGGATCAATGGCAAGTGTGAACACTAAGGCTGCAGACTATGACGCACCACTTCCAGAGGGCATATTGGCAGCGTTCTCCACATCCGGATATCCTGGGGAAGCACCCTTGTTTGAAGAGCTTGGCGTCAACTTCAGCCACATCAAGGCCAAGACGATGGCGGTGTTGGGAATGAGAAGTACTTCACTAAGTGAGGACGTCATACAAGATAGTGATATGGCTGGACCAATTCTCTTCTGCCTATTATTTGGAACGTTATTGCTTTTAAGCGGGAAAACGCATTTCGGATATATCTACGGCGTGGCGTTGTTTGGCACAGTCAGCTTGCACTGGTTGTTCAAGCTCATGAGCTCCGCCTTGGATGGAGGGTTGGACTTCCTCAGGACGGCCAGTGTCATCGGATACTGTCTTTTACCGTTGGTTCTGTTGAGTGCGCTGGCGATCTTGGTGCAGTTGAACAACGTGATCGGGTACTCGTTGGCTGTGGTGTGTGTCAGTTGGTGTACGTGGGCAGCGAGTGGGTTCTTTGTGCGGGTCTTAAACCTCTCCAATGCTAGACCTTTAGTTGCCTATCCTTTGGGAATGTTCTACTCTGTATTTGCTTTGATGACCATTTTTGCAGAAAAGAAGCCATGAAAAAAAGGATACTTAGGATGAGTGGGATGAGTGGTTGGTTTTTCTAGCTTAATCAGATTAGTTATCACTTATAAGTACATTTTGAATACGTATCACAAAAAAGAACAAAAGGAAAAAAGCATAACAATTAGGAAATGATAATACTACAGAACTAAATAAATTTGAATGTAAACTGTAGACTGGGTGGTATCATTTTTTGACCTCGAGAGATGGGACCAAAAGCTCGTAAGCACCTGTCTCGCTGTTGACGTCTGTCATGTCGGCTTCAACACGCAAAGTGGCAACAACTCCATCCGGATCTAATGGATAGCCGATAGGGCCGTTCGTCTTACTGGCGGCGGCAATATTGTCAGTCTTGTTTGAAAATGTTATTTTGTCACCAACAACGCCCGGGACGTAGAATTTGTCTGTGGCTGTGTCACCGTAACGTTGAAGAAGCAAGTCTGTTGGAATGTTTGCAACAGGGATCAAATCGGAGTAGTTTCTCTTGTTCATAAACAACTCGTGGGAACGATGTTTCCCGCTACCCGGCTCGACAGAGAATAAAGGAATCATGTCTTCGACGACACCTTTTTGGAACCTGTGTTTCCTAGCACGCATTGAGAGGAACTTAGCCATTCCATCTGGTGGAGGTGCGTTTACAATAGCGGAGGAGATCAAGTTTGTAATGAAGCTCGGGTCATTCCGTGGGTTGGCCTGTGAGATCTCGCTTGTACCTCTGAACCTCGAGGCGCAACACAAGTGGACGTCCCCCGACAAGATTGTGATTCTGACATCGTAGGCCTTGCCGAAGTCTATCATTTTCTTCATCAACTTGTTTCTCTCCTTCTTATGAGTGTGGGAACACCAGTGGTCATTCATATCATCCAACAATTCGACCTGGCCATCAAACTCGTTGACCAAGCTGTGCGCAATGATGCCCTTCCGTGCAAGTAGGATGATCGGGTAAAATAACGGGGAGTCAATGAGTCGCTCGAGAAAAACCATTCTCGGGTAGCAGATGGGGACACCCAAGAGCACGTACAAGTGCTTTATTGGCTTTCCGGCATGTTTAGAGTCAAGAATCTCTTGCTCGACACGCTTGAAAGCCAAGTCGTATGTGCTCTGGGTGACAATTTGGTGTTTTGTTCTCTCTGTTCTGCAGTCCAACCCGAGAAACCCGATGGACGCTCCGAGACGTGTGTACACGGACCGGGACGGCTCTGTGATGTATGGGCCGGGTGCTTTGCCCATAATCCATGATGGCTCATTTTTCGGAGACTCCCTGTACGGGGTGTGATGCTGGAAAAGCATGTAGTACCTGAACGCGTGCTGGCCAACGCCCTGGAAAATCGCCTGACGCATGGTGACGTCGGTGTAGGAGCCGAAGCCGTCGATGATGTCGTGGTCGTCATAGATGTTCACCTGTGGGATTGCTGCCAACGCAATTGGAAGAGCGGTCTGTATCGTTCTGCCCGCCGTGCCGGCCCAGTAGCCCTTCCCAAACCACTCGATGTAGCGGTTGAGGTAGTAGTCGTCGAAAGACGCCTCCAACTTCGGGGTCAACTTGTCTGCAGAGTGGATGTGCTTGTGCTTCAACCACGCGTTGAACTCGTGGGAGATGTTCTTGATGCCGTCTGCGTAGATCTGGTCCCCGCCGCCAATCATCACGTGGTAGTGGAAGTTGGGCCGGTTGTGCTTGCGCAACACGTCCAGCCACAACGAGCCCTTGAACGTCGCCGTGTCGGTGCCCAGAGAAAACCCGTTGCACGAGAAGGACATCACGTTCATCGACTGCGCCGCCGTTGGGAGGAAGAACTGGAAGTGCGGTCTGGAGAGGCCGTCGAACGAGTAGCGGACCCGCTGCTCGTACTGCGTGAGCTCGAACGTGAACGAGTACCTGAAAAAAGAGAACTGCTGCTCCTGGTGGATGAGCTCCGTGGCGGTTGCTGCCACCTTGAGAAACTCGCCGCCGCCAACCGGCCCATCGGACTCGTGCGCAGGCCCGAGCCTGAACTCGATGCCCGGAGCCGTGCCCTCCGCCCCGGCGTAGTCTCTCACCACCAGCAGCACACTGCCCCGGTAGCTGTCACTGTTGTTCTCGTGTGTCCCTAGAAACCTCACGGCGGGGCCGCACGCCACCGAGAGCTCTCCGAGAGCGTAGTCCGGCGGACAAGGGTTCTCCTCCGGTATCTTATCGGGGACGGCGTTTCGGACGTCTTGCAGATACTCGTGGACCGGCAATGGGGCGAACCACGAGCCCTGTGCGTCTGTCTCTACTCCTGCAGCTGCTCCTGGGCCTGTCGCTGTTTCCTTGGCGGGCACCGCTGGTTCTGCTGTTGTCATTGCTTGTTGCGGAAGTCGTTTCCTTTTGCCACGAGCCGCCGTGTGCCTGCGTGTCCGCAAGAAACATGCCCCGTTCTCCCTGTTCCTTCTTTTCACAGCCCTCTCGTCCTCGCGGCCCTGCCTCCCTGCCAGTGACAGCTGGCCAAGAGACAATCAACGCAGGGACGGCTAGCAGCGTGATTACGTCAGCTGTAAGGCGGGAGGAAAAATGCCAAATTTTTCAGCAGCAGGGGAAAACTGTACGAATCCGGATACGGCTCCCTAGTTTAGCGAACGGTCCTTAACCCCGGAGAACATACCGGCGTTTCGGGGAGCACGGTGGTGCTTTTGAGGCCTCCCGTACTCTTGTTTGCCTGTTTCAGTGCACGGTGCTCTTCCTGTGCTGGGGTTGCAGTGGTTTTGTGGACATCCATTCATTGATCCAGCAGCTACAAGCACGGACATGTCGCAGAAAGTAATCAAAGGCACCATTTTGTGTTTGCACGGGTTCGCCCAGAACGGGGTGGTCTTCTCGACCAAGGCCTCGGGCATCAGAAAGGCCTTGAAGAAGGCAGGCTACCACACGGTCTTTGTGGACGGGCCGATCGAGCTCACGGCTGCAGACCTCCCCTTCACGGCGGCGAAGTTGGGTGCCGATGACAAGGCGGAGGAAGTCAACTTCCGAGGCTGGGTGTACACGCAGCCAGAGAAGTTCGACATCCAGCCGTCGTTGGACGTGATCAAGAAGGCGTACGAGGAGCACGGGCCGTTCATCGGGATTATGGGCTTCTCGCAGGGCTCGGGGGTGGCGGGCGCCATTCTCTCGTCCTTTGCAGACGTTGTTGGCGACGAAAAGGCCCTCGACACGCTCAAGTTCGCCATCATCTACTCGGGCTTCAAGTTCGAGAACCCCTCCGTGCAGCACTACTACGACAAGAAAATCGCCCTGCCAACGCTGCACGTCATGGGCGAGCTCGACACGTTGGTCTCCAACGAGCGCTCGCTGGACCTCGCTGCCCTGTGCGAGGACGCCACCATCCTGAAGCACCCCGGCGGCCACTACTGCCCAAGCACGAAGGACCTGCTCAAGACGGAGGTTGCGTGGGTCAACAGCGTCGTCGACGGCACCAGAGAGAAGGACGCCAAGGCCGACGACGAGGCCAAGAAGGACAGCGCCGCCGCCGAGGACGAGATCAGCAAGCTCTCCAAGGACTTGGAGGGTCTCGGCAAGGCCTGAGAGGACCGTGCAGCGCCAAGCTGCGACTTCGCAGCACAGACACAAACTCCAAAACCCTGATATATAGACATAAGTTAATGGATAGATGTGCTGGATATATAGACAGATAGGCAGGTAGGTAGATAGATGTAGATAGATAAACAGAGCCCTTCACTGTCGCACCCTCTGCCCTCTCCCGACGCTTAGGTAAGCACGCTCGCTCTTCTCCGGCTGCCCCCAGAGATAAGCCAACCGGCTGCGGAAAAGCCCAGCCTGCCGGCCGGCCATTTCTGGCCTCTCTAAGACCTTCTTGTTTCTGTTCACACTCAAGTGATCCTCTTCTCAGTCTTCTCCGCCTACAGGCAAGCAGCCAATGTCGGACACAGAAACCACGCCCTTGATCTTGCCTACCAAGGCGTCCAGCCACCTTCCTCCGTTGGGCGTTCGAGTCGCTCAGGTCGCATGCTCCATGTTGTGGTGCTTGTTTGCGGCAGGCCCGGTGTTTGGGTTTGCTGCACTCAAACCCGTTCTGATCGCACAAGGGGTGTATAAGGAGGTGTGTGACATCAAAGTTCCCCCTTCCACAGACTTCTCCATTCTCGATGCTGCGTGTGTCGACCAGGACTTGAAGTTGAACCTGATGTTCACCTTGTCGGCCGTGGTCACTAACGCTACTGCGTTGTTAGTCGGCTCGATCCTAGACAATTACGGTCCCCGGATCACAGGTATTTTGGGCTCGTTCTTTCTTGCCCTTGCCTCGGTGCTGTTGGCATACGGTAAAAGCATTGTCTGGTTCGACGCTTATTTGGTCGGGTACGTCACCTTGGCGTTCAGCGGTCCCTTCGTCTTCATCAGCTGTTTCCAATTAGCCAACTCTTTCCCCGGCAGATCTGGATTAATTTTGGCTTTGCTTACTGGTTGCTTTGATAGCTCCTCGGCTTTGTTCCTCTTCTACAGAATTGCATTCCAGAACAACATTGTCGAGAACCTAACATTGAAAAAATTCTTTTCTTTCTACTTGATCGTGCCCATCTTCATTTTCCTGTGCCAGGTCTTCATCATGCCCCATGAGTCGTACAAAACTATTGAGGACATTGCAAAGATTAGTGAGACCGGTCTTGATGAGAGAGGACTCCCTATTGATCCAGAAGACCCCCGCTACCTCTCAGGAGAAGTTGCATCTCTGGAGCAAAGCAGGTCTCGTCGTGGTTCCATGAAGTCCACCAAGTCGGTGTTTGAGGAAATTGCAGATCACAACTTGAAAGAGAAATCAGGAGGTGTTTTTGGTGTACTTCACTCGAAGACCATCAAGGAACAGTTCAAGTCCCCATGGTGGTTCATTATGTGTTTATTCACTACCATCCAAATGATCAGAATAAACTTCTTTGTTGCAACTATATCCTCACAGATGGAATACTACTTTGACGCCAAGACTGCCGTCACAATAAACAAGTTTTTCGACATTGCCTTGCCACTGGGAGGGATCGTCGCTATCCCATTTATTGGTTTGATTTTGGACAATCTACACACCTTGGTTGTCCTCACCATCTTACTTGGGGTTTCAACAGCCATCGGTGTTTTTGGAATGTTGTCCATCAAATATTTACAATATCTTGGTATCTTATTGCTCGTCGTCTACAGACCATTCTATTACACCGCGGTGTCAGACTACTGTGTCAAGGTTTTTGGTTACTCCACATTTGGTACTGTCTATGGCGCCATCATCTTTTTCAGTGGTATGATGAACTTGCTCCAAACCGTTTTGGACAATGCGACACATTTTACGTTTCACAACAACCCCACTCCTGTTAACTCCATACTTGTAACACTAACAGTGTTCTTCGGTTTGAGCATGCTTTTTTTTATCAAAAGCCAGGAGAAAAATGTCATTCGTCAAAACGTCATTGATGAAGCCCTTAGTGGTGAAACAGATGATGACGGAGCTGTCAACAGTAACTCCTTTTCTGCACTTCCGAGTTAATACTTTGTCTAATTCTACTTCTAGCACACTTGTAATAAACGTTATCTGGTAAACACAGACCGGTAAGAAGGCGATACCCGTTTGGGTGTGGCTGGTGCGCACCGATAAGCCGGTGGCGGTGCAGCGACACTAGGGGTTTTTAGGGTGATGAAGTCCCGGTACATCATCATCTTTACTGTCCCACACGATGACGCCAACCAAGAACCCCATTAGAAGGGACGGAATAACCATTTTACTATTACATATTTACTTAGATTATACTCGATAAGTATACTAGTGCACGTTGAGGAATTTACGTCTCGTCTTGCTGCTCGGGGAAGGCAAAGAAAACAACTAATCTTTGTTGAGTTAAATTAAAATAGATCTAAAGTACAGGTAAAAACAGTTTGAACTCACCAAAGAAACACTATTCAAGACTGAAAATATTTTACATTAGCATTTTCAATGGCCTCTGTGTTCTCTTCAGCTATACAATCGACCATATTGTCGATTTTGCTCTCTCGATTGCCGTTACATCCTTTGGACATACCTCAGCAGTCGTCATTCACACTCAAAGGCAACTCCGGCCCTTCACTTCATTTGACGGATCTAACATTAGATATTGATAGCTTACAAACACGATATTTACCACCAAGTACCCCAATCAATATTCGTCATGCGCACGTAAAAGATCTGAAGATCGCCATGAGTACAAGTGGTATACAAATACACGTTAATGGGATCACTTGCGTTATAAGTCCCAAAGCTTCGGTTCAAAATGGCCAATTCCTGGATACAGCAAATTCTATAATAATGAAGGGACTTGATGACCCGTTAGAAGGTTTAGAAGGTATGGTCGAAAGCGTCGTGGGATTTGTGGATGCCGTCAGTGGCGCAAACTCATTTAGCGCTAATAGTGAAGATGAAATTGGCAACTGGGAAGATGAAGTCCCCGATGAGGAAGATTCACAAGACGCAAAAGAACTGGATAAGACTTCCAAGTCTTTGAAACAGATATTAGATAATGATGCAGCGTTGGCAGAAGATATACAACTGAGCTTAGAGTCCGATTCCAAGCCTTCAAACACGATACTTTCATATGCAATGAGTTACATCATGGGAAAGGTATTTGTATCACTGGAGGATATCAAGATCAAAGTTGTAGCTGACCCCATTATTTTGGCTATTGGTATTGATAAAATTGAAGCTGATGGTAATAAAGCGGAACGAAAATGTACTGTTGAGGGAATCGTGGTTTCAGTCGTGAAACTCGAAGGAGAAGAAGACCCGACCACACCAAATTCCACAGAAAACTATTATAAGGGTAATAGTGAGTGTGAAAGAGGTAAAGCTCATCCATCTATCAATGAAACTGAATGGGAAAAAATTAAAACAAAAGGTAAAGAAGAACATCAGAGTAATAATGTGGATGATGATGATAGTGACAATGACAGCTTTGATGATCAGCTTATGGCATCCTCCTTTATGGCACAAAGCAAAGATGATGTTCGACAATCAATACTTGAGAGTGCATTGTATACGGCCTCTGGGAAAAGTATGTATATGAGTGCTACTCAAGGAGATTTTTATGATGCCGAAACTCATATAACAGATCAAGCATCTACAGCAATGGAAAAAGAAGATTGCGATGAGATAGAGACCGGATCGGTTCTTATGACAATTGATTTAGTTGATCTTTCTTTCAAGAAAAGACAAGCTCTTACTATCGAGGTGGGTATAATAAAAGTCTGCCTAATTCCAGTTCCTTCTTTGCTATCATCTTTCCTTACTTTTCTAATTCGGATAAACAAACAAAAAATGGTAAGTAATCCTAAACCCAAAGTTGAAAAAACAAAATCAAACTCGAATATCACGCTACAGTTATTCTCTGTGGTTGATTTAGAAGTAAGTCTAAATTCCAATCTATTAAAAGAAGGAGTCTTTCAAACCCAAGATTCTTACAGGTTGCATTGTGCCAATTTTTTTCTTGAACAAAGAAGTCCCACTTTTATTCAAGGTAATTTAGAAGTATTTGAGGTTTTATCTAAGGAGGACCTTAAATGTTTATTTTTCAATGACACTCAGAACACCCATCCAGATATAAGATTTGAGTTTCAAACACAAGGCATTTCACGTATCACTAGTGTTATAGTAGAAAAATCGCTTCAGTTTAATATAGATTATTGCATGTTGATCTCTATTTTGAAATTCTGGGATCGCTTGACTCCGGCATTTCAGAAAACTGAAGAGCTAAAATTACTCCGTCTGAAAAAATTAAAGCTTTCAAAGTCGTTCAGTGCTACATTAAAAGCTTCACCTAAGACTTTGAACGGCAATTCCTCAGATCTAACATTGCGATTCTCTGGTGTTAATGGCATTATTGGCCTTTCAACCGATGAGCATGACATTTTAAACGTTTCCATTGCTCCTGCTATCTATGACTCATTGCAAAAAATGATAACTGTTGACTTTATCAAACTTATTTTTAGTACAGCCAAGGGAGATGCTTGGTTGAGAGTAGATAAAATAAAATACTCCGATCATGGGGAAGCTATGGCCAAATTTCGAAGCTTTGATGTTATAGCACAGAAAGATGTTGTGTGCAGTACCAAACAGACAGTGATAATAGATGAGATTAGTTGCTCTTCCTCTTTTGAAAATTTAAAACAGATTGTAACTGTTTTAAACACTTTGGCATCCGAGGTTAAACATGAAGAAAAGAAAGAAAGTGTTGTCCAGTTTGAAAGTGTTCCACATGAGGGCAAAAGAATGGGCTCAAACTCCTTTACAAAACATAAAAAAATTAGCAGCTACGTGTTAGTGAAAGATGTAAAAGTGTCGATTGAAAATCTTAACCCAGAATTTGGAGGACTTACAGGAAATATGACCAATGTCGGCTTAATCTCCTTAACGGAGGGTGCTAATCACATCTCAGTGTCTCATGTCTCCTTAGAAAGAGTTAAAGATGACATCAGAGAAACAGTTATCACCAAAGGAAACAAATGGGGTACGGCACCCATGATTTTTGTCAAGGCTGAGGCATCTTATCATATTTTTCTGAATAACTGGCTAGCCTACTACAGTGGAAAATGGCTCGCAATGTTTGAAAGAGATATTGGTCAAGACAAGTATGATCTCCCTGCTGCTGTGTCCAGTATAAGTACTAATTCATCGTCATCTACGAAAAGAAAGTTTAGGAAACGGTCTTCCGCCGAAGTATTTCTTTCTCTCACTGACGTTTGCGTTGGATTGAAGCCGGTAAATTTGGCAAGCGAGGCAGTAATGGTAATAAACAAAGCAAGTTCAAATATTGTTTTTTACAATGATAAAACTACGGTTGCACAATTCACTTCAAACTCAATTTCGTTGTTGTTGATTGATGATACTGAAAGCGTCAAGAATCGTTCAAAGAGTAAAAATAAATATGCAGCTGATTGGACTTTGCTGTCAATCTGGAAAAACAAAGGCTATGTTACCATTGGGTCGTTGAGTACGGTTGTTATAAAAGTCAAGGCAGGTACTACTACCTCCCTTTTAAATCAAAATACAGTTAACGATATGAATACTACAAGACCTTTAATTGATGCGCAGCTAGATATACAGAAAGTGAATATGGACCTTTGTTGTGATTCTACTCAATGTTTTGTGCAGCTACTTAAAGATTTGAAAAAACCGGTGTTTTTCTCCTACGAGGATAAATATAAAGAGACCAATAACAAATTAGACGTTTTTAAAGATGTCCAATTAGACTTTTTTGATACGACTACAGGTACAAACGGTACTAGCAGAGCTCCGGCTCTTTTAGAAAATGCTGTAATTGTGGAAGAAGAAGCCAATAAGGACGATTTGAGTGTTGTCGAGAACTTTTATGATAATGTTGAGAAATATTCTCGTGCCTCCGGTAATCAAGAAACACCGATCACTAACAAAGGTTCGAACTCGGGTGAAGTTTCCCTTAACTCAAGTCACTTTGACCATCATGTTTTTCACGGTAAGGATTGCAAGATCATACCTCTGGCCTTGCATGTTAGTGTGTCGGAGACCGAAATTGCTTTACACGATGGTTACGATTGGAAAGAAACTAGAACACAAATAAGAAGTGCTTTGAAAAGAGTTTCTGAAAAAGCTAAACGTGTTGCAAACCAAGTTGCATCGGAAAGTGAAACGAATGGTGATGTCACTGATCAGCTTATCGCAGATGTTGGAGTGAGTGAGCATAGGAACGACGTGATTGAGGAAACATTATATGCATCCATAATGTTAGGGGTGGGACCTCGTGACGATCCAAATGAAGTTTTTACGCATATTACAGAAAGAATTGGTGGCTACCCCCTTAAAAAACCTAGAACCGGAAGACCCGATAATGCACATATCCAGACCATTGACCTTGGTAAAAGCAAAAGTAAGCCTTTGAAGTTAAAGAGATCATTGAAAAACAAAGTGCTTATCAAGCTCGAAGAGTTGGATGTCGACTTTCAATTGCTATCCAGCAATGAGCCTCATATGAAAGATAAGCCAAATTGTTTTTCTAAAAGTGATAGCACCGACGAAGCAGAGCAAGTAAACAAGATTGACATCAGTGTGAATAATTTTATTATCACTGATAATGTTCCTACATCAAGTTGGAATATGTTTGCTGGATATATGAGAGAGGCAGGAGAAAGAGAAATTGGCAAAAATATGATGAAGATTGGTATTGATTTAGTACGCCCGATTGCTAGGCTTGCCGCAATTGAAATGATACTTCATGTAAATTTGCTTCCCTTAAGATTATATGTCGATCAAGACACTTTAGACTTTTTAACCCGTTTTGGTGAATTCAAAGATCAAAGGTTTATACCACCCACTGTTGAAACCGAAGAAATGTTCTTGGAAAAAGTTGTTATTGATACGATTCTGCTAAAACTTGACTATAAACCAAAGAAATTTGATTATGCAGGGATTAGATCTGGCCATACAAGTGAATTTATGAACATCTTCATATTAGATGAGTCCGAAATCACCTTAAACAAAGTCACGTTGTATGGTGTTCCGGGATTCAGCAAACTCAATGATTTATTGAACGGGTTCTGGTCCCCGGATGTCAAGAAAAATCAATTAGCAGGTGTGTTGTCAGGTTTGGCCCCTGTTAGGTCAATAATCAACATTGGTTCTGGAGTAAATAATCTAGTTACAGTTCCCCTGAAAGAGTACAAAAAGGATGGACGCCTTGTGAGAAGTTTACAAGTTGGAGCAGTTGCCTTCACGAAAGTAACCAGTGGAGAGCTTCTGAAATTGGGAGCCAAGTTAGCTGCCGGCACACAGACCATACTCGAAAATACAGAAGAAGTGCTTGGTGGTAGTGGCTCTTCGGCAAGAATTGTAAAAGACTCTGCTAATCCCAATAAGTGGAAGGGTAAGGATGGAAAAACCACGGATCGGCGTAGAAGGAGTTCAACGGCATCTTTTGGTGATGAAGAAGAAGCGGATTATCACAGGTATTTTTTCCGTGATCAAAAAAATTTGATCAAGTATGAAAACAGCAGCTCTAATTTGATAAATGAGTCAGGATTGGGTAATGATGCAGATGATTACCCACCATACAATGAAGAGACGATCTCTGATTCTGATTCTGATTTCCTATCTTCTGATGAATCCCAAGAGGCAGAGAATGGGAATGCACCAAACGAAACTTATGTTGTCAGCTTGTATTCCGATCAACCAGCATCCTTCAATGAAGGACTAAAAACCGCCTATGGTTCTATTCAGAAGAACTTCAACACGGCAAGAGATGCGCTGTATGAAGCAGGAGTGAAAGCGTCAGGGTCGGAGAACGCTTCAAGCGCAATGATGGAGCTGGCTAAGGCGACTCCGATTGTGTTCATTAGGCCAGCAATTGCTGCAACAGAAGCAATTTCACGAAGTTTACTGGGAGGAGTTAATGATATCAATCCTGACGAAAAACGCAAGGCGGAAGAAAAGTATAAGAAGGTGGATAATGGAGAAGATGATTAGGGGTCGAAAGGAAATGTAATGCGAGGATTGCGATTTATTGTTTTTTCCTATTATTTGGAGATAAAGGTATATATAGAGAGCAAAAAAATAAATAATGGAACAGCCGATATTTCATGTGTATTTATTTAGCTATGATACTTTGGTTTTCACTCATGGTGTCAAAACTATTTTCATAGCCTTCGTAGTTTTTGCATCCTTGAAGACTTCATATGCTTTTTCGATTTCGTCGAGCTTGAAATGATGGGTGATGATCAAGCTTGGATCTAAGGTGCCATCGACCACTTTTTCGAGCAACTCCTCGGTAGTATTAGCAGAAACCAAGCCAGTGGTGATTTTACAGTTTTTGATCCAGAGATTCTGTAGCTTCAACTCGACGCTTTTACCATGGACACCGACATTTGCAATGGAACCGCCTGAAGCTATCAAATCTTCGCACAGTTCAAAGGTTGCAGGAATACCAACACATTCAATGGCAACGTCAACACCTTGTTCTCTGCCGGGAGATAGGTTGGAGGTAAGCTGCAAAACTTCGCTTGTCAAAGCTTGGGTGGTAAGTTTTCCCGTATTAATAGTATGAGTTGCTCCAAACTGCTTGGCCAACTCTAGTCTTTCATCATCCATGTCAATAGCAATGATTTGAGCTGGCCTTAGAGTCTTTGCAGAGAGCAATGCAGATAGGCCAACAGGGCCTAAACCAACAATTGCAACTGAATCGCCCTGTTTCACACCTCCAGCCAAAACGCCGATTTCATAAGAGGTTGGCATTGCATCACAAAGCATCAAAAGTTTGTCGTATGAGACACCTTTTGGAACCTTAAACAAAGAGGTGTCACCAAAGGGGACCCTTACGTATTCAGATTGAGTGCCGTCAATTTCGTGACCGAAAATCCAACCAGAAGTCCCTTCGTTACCGTTGCAATGAGATTGAAGGTTTTTCTTGCAATAGTAGCAGCTGCCACATGAAGTTATGCATGAAACAATGCAGATGTCACCTGGTGAGAACTTCTTGATGTCTTTCCCCACACTCTCAACCTCAATGATGGCTTCATGACCAAGGACTAGGCCCTTTTCGGGGTTTTTACTTGCTGCTGCAGTGGTTTCGGGAACATCACCTTTCAATATGTGGAGGTCAGAACCACAGATAGTGGTAGCAACAACTTTTCCAATGACATCTGTTGGCTGGAGTATTTTTGGCTTTGGGATTGAGTGCCATGAGATGACACCGGGGCCCATGTACGTTAAAGCTTTCATCATTCTGAAAATTGATTGTTTTGCTGTTGTCACTCAACAGTAAATGCTGACACCGAAATAGATAGGAGTTTCGTTGCGAGGCGTGAACAAGAGGAAACTGGAGCTATATGAATAGTTGCAAGAGAGTGCTACTCCACCCTTTTGACGCCCGATGCAGCACGTAGGAAAAAGTGGGGTCAATGTGGCATAGGCTGACAGAAGCCTCTCCCCTCACAGAGGGACTGCCGAGGAAAGCAACCAGTTACCGGCTGCAATAAAATCTGCTGTTTTTCTATCATGTGTCCTAATCTAGGGCAGGTATCTCACTGTGCCTCTTGTATCATGCCGGACATCACGATATGCGTTTGGAAGCGAAAAGACAGAAACCGACCAGAGGCCGAGACCGAGACCGAGACCGAGGCAGTGCACAGCCGCGTTTATATTCAACGTGGGGTGCCCTCACTTTCGGTGTCGAGGCCAGCGGCGGCAACAGCGAGACCGTTGCCTGCGTCTTCGAAATCGACAATGATGTCCAGGTCGAGGTCCCGGTCCAGATCCAGGTTGTCGTCGTCCGGAGCGGAGGAGTAGAGGATCTGGTTGACGGTCGAGATGGGTAGGTCCCAGACGCCGCTTGTGCCGCTGTAAGCGTACTTGTCGATGTCCTTGGCCCGGAAGTTTTCCAACTGGGTGACGACGATGCCGGAGTCGTCGACAACGTTTCTGTTGTCGTCGAGCGGCAACGTCAAGTACTCCACGTCGTAGCAGGCGATGCCGACGTACATGTACATCATCAAGACGATGACGTAGGAAGGGATGGCCAAGGCCCACCACCGCGACGGGTAGTAGTAGACGCCCATCTTGTTCAAGACACGGTCGGGCATGAAGGACCAGCAGATCCAGGTAAACAGGAAGATGCACGAGATCACGTACGAGGCAAAGCCCTTGTACTCCGCCTGCGGCGTGACGTTGGTCGAGACGGTGACGTCGGACTCTCTCGCCAACTCGTCCGACACCACGTTGAGCGGGTCCTGCGTGAAAAGCGTGTCCTTCAGGCTCAGGCTGCTGTGGTTCGTGCTTGCCGGCTGCTCACCGTAGAGCGGGCTGCCCGGCGTGTTTACCAGCGTCGGCGACGAGTTGTTCCCGCCCGTGATCGAATAGAAGTTCGGAATCAACGACTTGATCGAAGTCGTCGACAAGGAGAGCACCTTGTTGTGGAGAAACCCCGACGCCGCTATCGTCGGGCCCTGCGGCGTCGCCTCCGTCTCGTTCAGGTCGCTTTCGTCGCTGTCCTTCGCATCCTCATCGTCGATGTAGATGATGGTGGTCTGCGTCTGCGTCTGCGTCTGCGTCTGCGTCTGCCCCAGACCAATGCTGGAGCTGTCGAGGAGCGTGTCGGACATGGCGTGGTACCGACGGGGTGCTGGGGGGAGATGCCTTGCTTTTATACCTGTGGCAGCCCCCAAGGTGCTCTGGCCCTTGCCTCCTTCTTTCTCCTGCTGTCTCCGTCTCTCCACAAGAGCCCCCCGGCGAGCCCCCTGCTGACCCAAAGCGGCAACCCTGATGGTGCCCCGCGCCGTTGCCCTGGGCCGATCGGCGCAAAACGTCCGAAAACAGCGCTGGCGGAGGCTCAGCGGAGCGCCGGGGCCCGGGAGGAACACCCCGTCGCCAACAGGGACACGTCTTTGGACACAGGCCTGGTATTCCACATCCGTTTTCAGCTTGTGGACGCAGAGACGCCAGTAGACGTGTTCCAGCAACAGGTTGTCCGGCGAGAAGTGTGGGGCGGGAGCTGCCGCCCCAAAAGGTGACGGCTCAGCAGCTTCCTCGCTCGGGGGTGTTTTACCGATGCTGCCACCTCCGCCGACTTCCAGGGAGGTCTCCAACAGGCCGACTCTCCTCTGCGGTGTTCTCTGTAGTTGGAGCAGACCACCAGACCTCTGTGCTCTGGACACTGTGCTCTGGCCGACTAGGGGCTCTTTCAGCCGGCGCCGGACCTGGCCGGCGTGGCGAGACGGCCCGAAAGAAAGAAACGGGCCGGCTGGGTGGCGGCAGGGACGTCGCGGCCGGGTAAGCGGTGTTGCCGCCGTTTCTGTTCTCTCTGTCGATGCTGGGCCTGTAAGACAATAACAGACTGCACCACGATGGCGGGAGGAATGGCAGGCTGCGCCAGAGGGGGGCAGGACGTCGGGTGGAGGCTCCCGGTAGAGCCACTAGAGGTAAGAAACACGTGCGATTAGCATTGGTGTGGAGACGAGTATTTGTCAAGTTTTCTGCAGTCGGGAATACAAACAAAAATGGGTATGTGACCAGCGGAATACAGGAGTGGTGTGCACTGCGACGGAGCCGGAAGCCGGATAAGCGATTGCGGCGTCGTGGGCCATTCAAGCTGCACCCGAGAAAGCTGTCTTTCTCGTTGTGTATGTCTCCTGGTCTCTTTCTCTGCGCAAGCTTGAGATTACTAACACGGACGTTGACCGATGCCATCATCCTCCCCCCTCCGTGCGACGGACGTGATGCAAACAGGCACAAAGAAAATGTCGTTGACCGAGTTCATGGCGGACCCTAGTCTGGGAACGCCCTCCTGGATTGAGGACGACTTCGATATCACGAGCACGTTGAACTCGAACCCGTTCAAGCCGGCGGCCCCGTCGCCGTTCGGTAACAGCGGCAACAAGAGCAACCTTTTTGAGCGGAGCCATAACGGCTTCGGCATGCGAGAAGCCCGCAACGGCGACTTCCACGAGCCCGGCGCCGGCACCTCGTGGCGAAGCTCGGCGATGCCCCGAGGAGGGCAATCCCACAACTACAAGAACTCGAACATCATTGTCTTTGACAACGTGCCTCCCTTCTGCACCCGCCAGTTGATCAAGGAGTTGTTTGAGTCAAGATACACCAAGTTGGAAAAATGCCACGTCTTGCTCGACCCGTCTGACCCGACCCACAAGAAGAAGATCGCATTTGTTTTCCTGTACACGCCGCAAGACATGCAGAAGGTGTTGAAGTGGAACGGAATCAACATCGAGAGATCGAGGATCATCATCGACTCGGCCTCTTCCAACGAGTTCCAGGCGATCTTGCAGTTCAACCACGAGCTTAACTTCGACGAAGACCTGGAGGACAAAAGGATTGAGGATGAGCAGAAAGAACAGAGAGAGCAGCGGTTGAAGAGACAAATGAGCCCAACACCTATCACAGCAACAAATACACAGCCAAGTATACCCAAAGTGAACCCATTTGGAAACGCTAAACCTGTTGTCGTCCCGGAGATCCCAATCATTTCCGAAAGCACGAAAGAAATCGCCAAGGTTCTCGACCAGGCTTCCAAACCGAGCGGCGAACCTCACCGTGTCCAGCCAAAGGTCAATCCTTTTGGGAATGCCAAGCCGGTTCTAGTGCCGGAAATCCCAATAATATCGGAAAACACAGCAGAGATAGCACGAAAGCTGGAGCTGAAGGTGGACTCGTCGAATAAAAGCAATAGGGCCAATTCGATCTCTAAGTCCCCAGTGAGGGCACCTGTCCACCCAAAGCCTAATCCCTTTGGAAATGCTAAACCTGTCGACACGTTGGCAAAACAGCTAGAAATTGAGAAGAAATTGACAAAAGCTGCAGTGAACGAAACTACGTTCGATATGACGTTGATCCACGGGAAAAAAAATAAGGAGAAGGCTGTTGCAGCGGCAGCGGCAACAGAGAAAGAGAAAGAGAAAGAGAGTGATGGAAAATCCCACAGTCCAGGGTCTCCGGTTAAAATATTGAGGAGGAAGGATTCTGTTGGAAGCGGTGCAGTTGACAGGAGAAGGGATGTTGAAGAATCGAAATCACCGTCTTCCTCGTCATCTTCGTCCTCTTCGGGGAAAGGATATAAAACGACGTCTGGATTCGAAAGAAGAATTGCCAGAGATTTGAGTGAGGAGGAGTATGAACAGGAGATGAAAAAGCGTAACGAACTACGTAGCCACTCTGCTGGCAAGGAGAGAGGACGAGGAGCAAGTAGACGAATGTCGGCAGGCCGCTTTGGCAACAAGCAGCGACACAATGCCCCACCAGGCATGGCTGCCCACGGCGGACACGGACACGGTGTGTCAGATAATCATGATGGTACTCCGCAAGAACCATATACCAAGTCCGTGGAAAAAGGCAAAGATGAAGAAGGGGAGGAAGGAGCCGGAGATGAGAAGCCGTCTGACGGTTTCGAGAACTACGTCCAGCACGAGCACAACAACGAAGAGAATGTTGAACCAGCCAATCTCGATGCCGTCAGTGGCGCTGGTGAGCGGGCTGCTTCCGACGCCCAAAACAAAGAGGAGGGCAAGCCTACATCTTCGGAGGATCACAATTTGACGAAGGCCAGCGAAGAAACCCCGGTTGGAATCGAAGAAAGAGGGGATGCCAGAGAGGCCGGTGCCGAAAGTCCATCTTCTCCCTCCTCTCCGTCGACGGCAGCGATGTCCAGAGGCCGTGGCCGGGGTCATGGTGGCCGTGGTGGAGGACCCAGAAGGGGGCGTGGCGGACGTGGAGGCCGTGGCGACTATAGTGAGTCCGGCTGGGGCCGTGAGGGGTATGGCGGCTATGTACGTGGTCGCGGCAGAGGGTCCAGCAACCGCAGTCGTGGCGGATACAACGGCCGGGGCGGGTATCGGAACCTCGTCTACCACAAGCCCACCACCGAGGCTGGGGCCAAAGAGGGCTCCAAGGAAGGCGCCGATGCGAACACGGAGCCAAGGACAGAAGCTAGCGCAGCAGTCCCAGCTACTGCGCCTGCAAAGACTGAGTGAACGTTGCAATGCTGTAATGCAGCAAGAAGCTCCTTGAACGAGTAATGTGTAATAAAGTGTATAGTTAGTTTGTGTTGTGTTAATTGGATCCCATTCCAGCGGATCCTGCCTGTCAAAAAAGAAAACCCCCAAGCCGGCATAATGATCGGTATCGAGTTTCCCAGCCAGGCGGCTGGGATCCATGCATTGCACTCAACAGTCCGGCGGCCGCGAGGGCCGCCGGGCCAATCGTCCGCAGAACGCTCCCATTGCCGGACCCTTCCCGCGAGGGGGGGAGTCCGGCAGTAATTTCTTGTGGAACTGCCCGGCGCTTTCACGCCCAGGAAACCTCTCAGGAGGAGCCGGCGGGCGGCAGCAGGCTGTCGCCGCCGGCGGCTACTACCCCCACAGCGGACCGTGGGGGCGGGACGGGGTAGACCACCGAATTTCCCACTCGCGCTGAAAATTTGCCGCCCCCCGGGGGGGGCGGCCCTTGTGTGGGCGAGTACGCATGGATTAGTGCGGGCTCGGGGGTGGAAACGAAACGGTGGAGAAGCGCAGTGTTTAGCCACTGGGCCACACCGCTGAAAACCACAGAATATACTTCCGGGAAAAGTATAGTTGTAATGTGCGGTGCACAGATGGGATTCGCAAGTAAAGTCGTGGGGAAGAGGCTCAGTATGCATGATATCCTTAAGGATGATCATATTCTTTTCTTTCCTGTGAACAGAGCTGAATCCACTTAGATTAGAGTAAAATAGAGGGCGTCCATGTATGAGAATAGGTTGTTTCACCACATGGCGTCTCTGTTTCTGCTTGGATGATGTGCGCAGTAGCTGGCTTAGTTGGTGTATTCATACTTGCCTGATTGTTTCGTTGTGAGCTACAGTAGGTTGTGCCTTCTCCCTCTTGTCTGCGGTCAGCGACATGAATGCAACTTTTTGCTAAGCGGGAAAATGCCAGTATCTGAAAGTCGCCTTTCTATTCAACCTGTGGTTGAAGAGTATTCGGCCGGAGTACCTCTATTGGCAAGGAACAAGAGAAGTCGCTCTGTCCAGAGTATAAAGCGCTCTTCTGGTTACTTAGCTATGCAAATAGGGAGACGTAGTGGTAGTGGCAGCAAGAGACAGGAAACATATATATGCTAATCTCGGTTCCTGCCCATCATCAGCTTGGGCTTTTGGTATCAGCTACAGGCCTTTGGTTTTTCACCGCGAGGAAGAAAATCAATCAATTTTCGTTTCATGAAAATTTTTTTTGACTTGATACAGCCTCTACATCAACGGAGGATGTCTGCTGAGAGAAAGCAAGATCCTAAACACTGTACGAAGTACAAGTTTATTTTTACAGAGTAACTCGTACATACCAGTCATAATGAACAGAGGAAGAGGCGGTTTCAGAGGAGGCCGTGGAGGAAGATCTTTTGCTCCACAAGGCCCTCCAGACAGAGTTTTCGAAATGGGCGCTTTCCTTCACGAATGTGAAGGTGACATTGTCTGCAGATCTACCAACGAAAAGATTCCATACTTCAATGCTCCAATATATCTAGAAAACAAGACACAGGTGGGTAAGGTTGACGAGATCCTTGGTCCTTTAAACGAGGTTTTTTTCACCATCAAGCCTTCCGAAGGTGTCCAAGCAAGCTCTTTCAAGGGAGGAGATAAATTCTACATCGCAGCCGACAAATTACTCCCACTCGAGAGATTCTTACCAAAGCCAAAACAAGTCGGACCTAAGGCTCCAAAGAAGAAGGGTGCTAGAGGTGGTGCTTCTGCCGGTAGAGGTGGCAGAGGAGGATTTTCCAGAGGTGGTGGCAGAGGTGGAGCAAGAGGCGGTTTCTCCTCCAGAGGCGGTGGTAGAGGTGGTTTCTCTTCTAGAGGCGGCTTCTCTTCCAGAGGCGGTTCAAGAGGCGGTTCAAGAGGTGGTTTCTCCAGAGGTGGCAGAAGATGATTATCAAAAACAGTTTTTTTCTACTGTCACTCTTACTGTTTTACTGTCACCAGTTCTAGCTTCTTGCCAAAGATACTTACTACTTTAAATCTGGTTTTGAATGGATAAAATTCTAAAGCCGCAATTTTGTACAATTTCTTACCCTAAATCAACCTAAGTTATAGTCATACGTTTAAACTACAAAAGAAAAGAAACACATAAAAAGGATGGAGCATAGTCTGATAAAAAGGTAGGGGTCTATACACTGGTGGAGAACTCCTACGGAGGCCAAAAAAACTAAGTAAAATCCTCGTCGATGTCTGCAGGAGCTGCAACAACGTTGCTCTTGATCGTATTTAGGATTCTCACCTTCATTCCGTCAAGTCTTGAAAACTTGTCGAAATTCTTCGATGCAAGTGCAATGTCATCAGAGCTTCCGTCTTTCACTGCGTCTATAAGCTTGGATGCTAGTTCGTACTCCTTCGTCGTTTGGAAGCTTGGGTCCCATTGTAAAAACCTTTGCAGAACCGCATTAGCACTTGCATAGTCATTGCTGTCCGCGAGTCTGCACAAAATGGCCTTCAAAAAGTATTCCTTAAGCGACCATTTAGCAAGACTGTTGTTTAACGACTCCTTTGCCACCCTTTCGTACGTCGTCGCAGCCTTCGTGTAATCCTTGATTGAATCATCACAATACAAGTCGGCCGCCTTTAATGCGCATTTGTTAGACAATGCCGTTGCCGAGTCTCCCTTATACCATTCGCTCGCATCCTCATAACTTTGGATGGCTTTCTTTATGTCTTGTAGCTCATTCTCATAAAGCTCTCCCAAGTCTGTCTTGAAATTGGCACTTCTTCTGAATTGCCCTCTTTGAACAAACATACCGATGGCCTTTTCCAAGCAGTTCGCAGCCTGTTCCGGTGCCTCTAATTTGTAGGATTTGAAGGCCTCTACAAGAGTATTGGCCGCTTCGTCGGGAGATTCTGCTTTGAGCTGACAATCTGCAGCCTGTTCAAACGAACGCCCTGCTTCAACACTTCGACGTTGAAGTTTGTATAGGTTAGCTGCTTGTGTCAATAAATCGGACGCATCTTCATACTTGGAAACACTGGAGCCTCCGAGAAAGGAGGAAAACAGCCCAGAGCTCTTCTTCAGCTTCTTGTTGGCCTGATGCAATAAAATTGGTGGATCGATGGGTGTGTTTGTTAGTATACCGGCTGCTGATAAGCTTCAAATCGCATCGGGAAATAGGGGTGGGACGGGATTCGGAAAACAGAATACATACCTCTGCAATTAGTTCTTCTGGGTTTGACATGATTAAATTGACTGAATCAATGAGATTGTTTGTAGTATAGTGCTAGATTCAGAACTTGAGTGCCAGTAATCGTTTGCTGGCAATGCGTGTGGAGCTAGCCGGTAAGAATTACTGACGTCTTCTTTGATTACAGCTTTATAGCCTCTGACAGAGACGGTGATAGAGCTTTCGTGGCTGAGGCGCGACATGTCCAGGAGTTGCCCCCCCCCCTCTTTCATTCGGCGGTAGGGCGGCAAGTGCTTAGAGAAACAAAGGGGAGGTGAATTAAAGGCAGGTTGGAACCAGCTTGGAATTAGCTAGTATTAGAACTATAGGGGCAGGCACCCAGATTACAGCTTCAACAAATGTAGAGAATTACAAGGGAAAAGTCAAATCGAAAAAGCTAAGATATCCAAAATTCATTACTTTAACTACTGAAATTTGAAAATTTACTATTACTTCTACTGCTCATTACTTGATGTTGAAGTCTTTTTATTCTTTATAAGGATTTTTCTTTGTCTTGCAATGCTTTATTCTCATCTTACTCTTATCTCTTATCTGTTGTTTGTCTAGATAACTCTCAAGATACTCAGCATTGCATATCTCTAGTTTCTTAACGGCTTTGGCATCTTATCTCAATAGTAAATGTTGTAATCTAGCTATTCTATTATGAATATCCATTGTATATGTTCACTTTTTCTTATGTTTGTTGCTTATTAATATATAACTAATATAACTAGCCTACAAACTAATATTCTCAAACATAAATACAAGGGACAAACCTCTTGTATTTATACACTTACACCTTCGGTTAAACTTGCCATTATTCATTTATCATGGCGGCTAACTTTCCAGTTTTAGATTACTTAAGATGCCTTATCATGATAAGACTCTTATCTCTTATCACTCAATCCTTATTGGCCTCGGCATCTTATCTCAACCCTAAGATACCTTATCATGATAAGATTCTTATCTCTTATCCCTCGATCATGATTGGCTTTGGCATCTTATCTCAACATTCTCAAACATAAATACAAGGGACAAACCTCTTGTATTTATACACTTACACCTTCGGTTAAACTTGCCATTATTCATTTATCATGGCGGCTAACTTTCCAGTTTTAGATTACTTAAGATGCCTTATCATGATAAGACTCTTATCTCTTATCACTCAATCCTTATTGGCCTCGGCATCTTATCTCAACCCTAAGATACCTTATCATGATAAGATTCTTATCTCTTATCCCTCGATCATGATTGGCTTTGGCATCTTATCTCAACAGTAAAGCACAAAACAGTCACCAATAAGGGCAAATCAGTAGGAGCAAATCACAAATACAAAAAGAGCGATAACTTTTAGAAATACAAGATGATACCTTATGTCTCACTTCCAAGGCAATTTTGTTGCTGTAATGGCTGTTGTCGGAAGGGTCAAGACCTTGTCGCGGCTTTGGTCCAGCGCTTACAGTTTGAGGTGTCCTGTTCGATTCCTGCGGTCGGCGTGCGGCAGCTATGGGAAACCTGGTATTGTCGTCGCCAGCAATGAGCTGGGGTACCGCTGAAGGGTAGAAATACAGCACAGCGTCCAGCCCGTGGCGAAGGCGAAGGGGACCGCATCTCGCTGGTGTCTACGAGCGTTGGGGTTAAGCCGTTGGTTGACTTCAACTGCGACTGATAAAATTCTTTTTTGCTAATCGAATCACATTTCATAAACTGTTTTGAAATGTATGGTAGTTCATTCAATGGGTTGTATTAAGTATCACGCTGATTCTGCTACTATAAAGCTTATTATTAAACGGACTCAATTTACATTTAGCATTTTTCAATGACGATGGCCGATGCTCCACCACCACCGTTACAGATACCTGCGGCACCGATCTTACCGCTCTCTTGTGCTAAGACAGACATCAGAGTGACGATGATTCTCGCACCAGAGCAACCCAATGGGTGTCCAATGGCAACGGCACCACCGTAAACGTTGACCTTGGCAAGGTCCAAGTTGAGCAACTTTGCGTTGGCTAACCCGACAACGGAAAAGGCCTCGTTGAACTCGAAGTAGTCGATGTCGTCGAGGGTAAGACCGGCGTGCTTGACGGCCTTTGGAACGGCAAGCGAAGGAGCGGTGGTGAAGTCGACTGGCGCATGGGCTGCATCACCCCAGCCGAGGATCCTGGCAATTGGTTTGAGACCAAGCTCCTTGACCTTCCTCTCCGAAACCAGAACCAATGCAGCACCACCGTCGTTTATTGGAGATGCGTTCGGTGCAGTAACGGTACCGTTTTCCTTCTTGAAAACAGTTCTTGCGCTTCTCAACTTGCCCTCGTTCAACCTGCTGCTCTCCTCATCTCTCTCCACAATGACATCGGGCTTACCTCTAGTACCTTTGACTGTGATTGGCGCAATCTCGTTTTTGAATTTGCCCTCATCATGAGCCTTCTGCGACTTCTTGTATGACGCGATGGCGAAATCATCTTGCTCTTCTCTCGAAATCTTGTGGTCAGATGCACATTTTTCTGCAGCAACACCCATTGCCTTGCCATCGTATGCATCGTTTAGACCGTCTCTAGAGATACCATCGACCACAGTGCTGTCACCGAATTTCAATCCGCCTCTAGCATTTGGCAAGTAGTATGGACAGTTGGTCATGGACTCAGCACCACCAGCAACCACTATGTCTGCACATCCAGTCAAAATGGTCTGTGCTCCAAGAATAACGGCCTTCATAGCAGATGCACACACCTTATTAACTGTAGTGGCCGGAGTGTCTTCGCCCAAACCTGCCTTGATGGCAACTTGTCTTGCCGGTGCTTGTCCAACGTTCGCCTGTAGCACATTTCCAAAGAATATTTCTTCAACGTCTGTTGGCTTGATCTCTGGAACCTTTTCGAGGGCAGCCTTGACAGCATGAGCACCGAGATCAACATATCCTAGTGAAGACAACGAGCCCTGAAAAGAACCGATTGGAGTTCTTGCCCCAGCAACAATGTACACGTATTCTTTAGACATTTTCTTTATCTATCTATGTGATTTTTTGTTTTCTTTTTTATGGCCAGCTAGGTCAGGTTCCTATTTGATTTCAGCACGCAATCTCTGATTAAACTCGTTAAATGCTCATCTGTAAAATGCTCTGAGGCGAAACACCTTCTTATATACTTGCCCCTATTTTGGAAAAAAACGACGAGCCTGAAAAACTGAGGAAAACGCGTCGTATAGTAGCGGAACGAGACTTACTACCTATTTTTACATAGATACACTTGGACAAAATATTACTTCGCCGTACCTCGACTACTAATCGTCTAAGCCATGATCTCATCACCGTCTATGTCTTTTAGTTCGTCGATGTACCTATTCCCTTCCTGCTTTTTTTGGTGATCCAATAGCTGTTCGTAGGTCCATACAGATATTCCACTTTCTTGGTTTTTAATGTCGATAGGTTGGGCAGAAGTACGCAAAAACTTCTTTGCGGACGCAATGGCCATATCCGTCGAGAGGTTTGTATCTGCATCTAGTAAGCCCTGTGCAATCCATTTAGGCAATTGGCCCTTTCTCCGTGCAAATCTCCGATCTGCCAAAACCATGACCCCGTAATCATCTTTGCCTCTTAAAACTCTTCCCAAACATTGTGCTGCATGTCTCATTGCATCGAAGGACAAGAAATCATTTTCTCTGATCTGATAATTGTCTCTCAAGAATTCCAACCTAGCCTTCAAAATTCTTGATTCGGTGTATTGAAACGGAATACCAATCATCAAAACAGTTCTACCATAATGATGATCAAAATCAATACCTTCGGAGACTTTACCTCTTGCAACTGACAACAAAACTGCACCACGTCCATTAGAGCATGCCTTCCTGTATGTCTCCAATGCCAATGAGGTTTCTTGTGCATCGGGAGTTTCCACCAATATTAACTTATATTTCCAAACTTCATCCAAAATACCCATAGTTTGCCACTGCGAAATAATACTCTCCATATAAAGATAAGAGGGAAAGAAAACAACCAATCCGTCTGGCGTGATCTTTGAGAACTCAATCAGTAAGGTGCCATAATTTCTGACAACACTAGGATCGTTTCTAATTTCGAATCTAGAAGAAATGGCCACCTGATCTGAACCCTTAGTAACAATCATAGGTAAAAATGATCGACGGTCCAATGTCATACTGTATGACTGTTGAATGACAGTGTCAAAATTTAACATCTTTGGATACATATCTAATGGGGAAATAGTACCGGAGGTAATAATCACTGATGAAAATTTCTCAAAAATTGGTTTGATCGCAATGGATGCATCCAAACACGAGAAACGTAACAATGGGTTAGGAACCGTAGCATTTTCAGTCTCAAATGGTTCCAAAATAAGAGTGAATCCTGAATCGTATGTCGCAACTAGTGATGCAAATGTAGCTATATCTTTTAGTGCCATGAATTCTTCAATTTGTGTAATTTCCAAAGTCCTTACCAACAACGATAATCGCTCAGAGCAAAATCTCAAAGGTTTCCTGTCTATGAATGTGAGCTGTTTCAAATGCTGAAGAAAAGATGTGGGGGTTTCTGCTATAACGTGAAGAACCTTCATCCTAGTTTTCAAGTATTCAATTAGCCTTTTCATAAAGGATATAAAGTGCTCTGCTCTTCTGATGCTGCCAGGAATAGCCTCATCCAAAACATCACTAGGCAAGACAGGATTTGCAATAAACGTTTCTTCACCGGGATTGACAATATCATTCTCACGTAAGCCTTCTACAAGTTTCTCGTACTCATCCTGAAGACGTGTGCTATCTATTCTTTTGACTTCCTCCATCCTTTTACTTAAGTTGTTGGCACCCTTGGTTGCTTTTTTTAACAAGTCATCTGTTATGTCCATGGATAAAGACTCGATGCAGACGTTATCAATATTATGCGCTTCGTCAAAAATTACTATACTATCTCCTGAAAGATCCTTGGATACTCTTTCTGCAATTTTGGGGTCAATCAAATAATGGTAAGAATAAATGACAATGTTACACAATGGCATCATACGTCTGATCGTAAAATATGGACAGGTTCCCTCGGCAGAACAATACTTTATTAATTGTTCAAAAGAATAGACTCCTGGAGGAATTAAGTTGGTGGGGTCTTTCTCATATAGTTTTTCGTGGAAGGAACATAAATCTTCTATGTCGCCTTCTCCATTCTCAATCTTCTGTTTAAGCTCACCATTAGTCATTCTTCTACATTTTTCATCGACAATGATACCTGTCCTTTCTTTGCCAACGACGGGATGGAGGCATAAATTTTTTCTACTTGTCAAACCCAATCCTCTGAAATCTTCAACATAACCTAACTCTTTCGATCGGAAATCCATCAATTTGTGCAATTCAATTAAAGCCTTCTCAATTTCTGACATGGTACGTGAGCAATAAATTACTTTCCTATGTTCTGGATAGTGCATCTGATACGCCACCGTGACAGATAATAATGAAACAGTCTTTCCTGTACCAGAAGGCATCTCCAATATACAGTTTCCTCCAACATCTAATGATTTCTTTATATCACACATATAGGAGTACTGCTCCGGATATATACGGGGGTAGGGGAAAATTACCGGTAAATCGTCAATAAAAAATCTGTGAAATATGAACTTGATATGCTTGCATTTTCATCGTGACTAACAGTTAGTATTTGAATTCGTAAGCTTAGCAGTTGATACTAACATGATTCAAAACATACTTCATATTTGCTAATGGATGATTATGGTCTCTTAATCAAAGGCGATATACTTTGAAAAGTGATAAGTTATTGGCACGGCAAAGTATAAGAAAGTGAAGAATCATCTACAACACCTTCATCGCGATTTTTGTTGCGAACTCTAATCGCCTTTAGGAACGAAAGATTTTCTATAAATCCTCAAATTTATATGAATTTATTTTTCTTTATCAAGTACCTCATCAGTCGACCTTAATATACAAGTATGGTACATAGAATCAGACATCCTTTACAGTCAGATCTTTGATTTCGACCTGTTTGTCTGCCTCGAGATAGGAGTCACAAACGCACCAAATATACACATTGTGCTTACCTGCTTCAGGAATTGTAAAATCCATTCTTACTTTTTGGTTTTCTTTGGTAATGGTCAGTTTTTTGATTGAATACAACTCATTATTCGCTGTGTTTCCAATTACTATCCACCAACCTTCAAACTTTTTTGTAGGGTACGTCGAGGAAACAATAGAAAGATCCTCGACGCTTTCATCCCTGCTTATCTCTATTTCAATATCTTTGTTTTCTCCAGCAAAAACATCACCTTCTAAACGATAAGTTATCTCCAGGTTTGGATATTTGTTGACAAAGTCTGCAACTTCTGACACTTGTGTCGTCGACAAGCCTTTCAGGATGTCTTCTCGGACATTTTCGTCAAGCTCCATGATGTCATAAACTGAGTGGACCTTCTGTTCTTTGCATTTTTCAATGATGTTATCATTAAAAAATGGTATTTGCTTCAAACCATTATCGTTATTCCACAAGCCTTGAGTTACCATTTGACACAAGTCCATTGCTAGCATCGCGTTTAGGTACCCTTTACTTGATAAAACATCTACGCAAGCGTACAAGATCTTTGTGGCTTTAGGTAATATTGTGCTTAGATCCGCTAGGTGATCAGGTTTTAGTTTCAAACGCGAAAAGTGTGCTTGTAGTAGAATGAAAACTTTCAATCCTGCGGACTCAAAATCAACATCAAATGACCATTTCAGTGGAAGGCTATTGTATATTTTGAAAAGCAAAGTTTTCTCATCGTCTCTGATTAAAACATCTTCAAACTCAGTTGCTAAACAAACGACCTCAAGAATTTTTTTCAATCTCATCTTTTCATTCAATTGCCCTAACATTTCCATCGTTAGGTATGCGACATTGTAGTAGTTGGCAATAAGACATCCATTGAGCGGCCTTAATTCTGTTTTTTCATCTTCATTAATGCTCTCATCCTTGTCATCATTGTACTCATTATCAATATCTAGCTCTATGAGCTTGGCTGACTGAAGCTCACCCAAAGTCTTTTCAATCAATTCAGAAAGATACTCTGATAAACTGTCTTCTGAATTATCTTTCAATTTGTAGAAAGATGGATTCAGTTGCAACCTTCTATAAAACAACGAGTATGTGATCCAGTCAACGGCGTACTGTCTATTTTTTATCAAGCCGATGTCACTTATCAGCGCATCTTGAATGAAGTTATTCAAGTGGCTCTCAAGTGGAAGTGATAAAGCCACAAATCTTTTATAATAGTCCAGTTTAGAGGAGTTTGTGAAAACAATTGCTCTGGAAATGTTTTCCTCATTAATTCTAGCAAGGTTTACCATTTCCAATATATCATCAATACTGTAATCAACATACATATGCTCTCTTCCATCATACTCCTTAGTTCCCAATACTAGAATCATATTCGCAAAGGGACACCAGCGGGATGCATCTTTAGTAGCCAACAAGCATTTTAAAGCCCCGGCTTCAAATAAATTTAGCACAATCTTTTGATCAGCGACAGCCATATTTTCGTGGCAGTAACCAATTCCAAACTTCAAGCTTGTGCTTAGTGCCGGATCTTGAACACTGGCCAGAAGCAAATTAATAGATTCTTCATCAGTTTGAAGCCAGCTTAAACCGTCTATTTCCAATTTTTGAATGTAGCTTCTAGAGAAATCAACTAAATTTTTTCGCTCTGGAACAAAAACTAAGCATGTTTGTTCACCCTTACGGTAATTCATACCATTGATAGCTTTATAGCTTGGTTTGATCAAACATTTTAGTAATGATGGATTGTGAGTGATATCAAAATAATCAAACTTAATTTCCAATGGAAAAACTCTCTCTCTTGGATCGAAAACAAAAAGATTCTGCTTTGGTATATCAACCCAATCAGCAAAATCCTTGTAGCTTGCAATAGATGAGGACAACATAACAAACCGTATTTTCTTCTCAAAGTTGGTGGCAAGATATCTGAATCTATTTACAACAATTTCGTAGAAAGTACCTTGATGGCCAGATCCAATTGTGTGACAATCGTCAGCAATGATGAGCTCAATAGCTTGTATACTCTTCCTTTGCTGCCAACGTCTTGAAACAGTTTCAATCTGCTCTGGAGTGCATAGAATCAAATGCGACTGGGATAGCAATTGAAGATCCACACTTAAATCTCCGCTAAGTTTGGATATAACTTTTCCACCTGCCAATTTAGAAAGCTTTTTTTTCCACTTTTTCAATAAAAGGTCCACAAAGGTTTGACTGGGAGCAATGTAAACTGCTCTACCACCGTTGCTCTTCCAATGTCTCAAGATTGATAAAATAGCTGTAGTCGTCTTACCATTACCTTTTGAACAGGCGAGCAACAAACTCTTTTCATCATTATAAACTGTATCAAAAACCTGAGACTGGAATTTGTTAAAAAACTCGAAATGGAAAACAGAAGCAAATTCTTTGATACCCAGTTCCGTAATGGGAACCAAGGCACAATCAATAAGTGGAGTCGTGATAGGGAATTTCTGGGGGACGGTGATGTTAGATAGAATAGCAGGAACTCTTGTCTCACAAAAAAGCCATTTCTCACTAACTAAAGATATGAAGTAGTTTGGTTGCTCAATTTCAAATATGGGGACAGTAAAGGTCCGAGAATGGGTCTGGTTAATATAATCTTTATGGACCACAAATCTATCAACATATAATATTCTTTCTCCATCACAGTCTTCAAGTAAAAGGATGAAAGATTCGGTGAAACCATGTAAACTAACGTCCCATTTCCAATGAGGGGTGATATTGAGATCTACCTGTAGCAAACTAGGAGTGATCGGTTGTAAGTTGTAGTCAACTTCAATCTGAGGAAATTTTTTCACTAATTCTGAAGCCAGGTTACCAAACTTTTCTGCTCTCAATGATCTGACAATTATTGAGGAATCAGTTAACGCAAGGTAGTATTTCCAGGGTGTCAAAGATTTTTCAGCCACGTTTATGAGGTCAAACGGGACATCTGGATACTGCCTCAAAGGCGTACCCGTTAGCCACAATTTCTTCTCCACCATTTTACACACGCTCAATAATGTTCTTGAAAGTTTGGCCCAACCCTTTCTCAAGGCTAATTCTAACAAAGCACGAAATAGCCTACCTGCTGATTGTGATATAAATATCATATCCGCCATCAAGGCAAAACCGTCTAAGTTTAAGCCAGAAATATAAGCCTGCAATAAGACATTGATTTTAGATGAAGGATCTTCCACATCTTCATTAATTGGTATAGGTGCTTTTTCCACAAGTTTTTGCAACTCAGCCTTTTCCTCCCTTCTCACAGGCACATACTTGAATTCTTCAGAACTTGCAAAAAGCCTAAATAATTCAATCTCCGAAAAATGTGGTTTGATTTGGTCTTCAAAGTTTCTCATGTTTCTATAGCTGATGTAGTAATAGGATGCTATCCTACCCAGGCTAGTAGGCAAGATCAAGTCTTTTGAGAAATTGTATTTTATCAGACCATTTTTAGCAAGAATGAGAAGAGCTGAATACCCAAGATCTTTTCTCCTTTCAATAAGCTCAGGATCATTGTCATATGATGGTCCCACATAATAAATATCTCTAGAATGAAGCATACGTACATAAAGATATGTATATCCCATCCAAGAAATACAGTCTTTTAATGATCTGATTGACCCAGCCACAATTTCTGCATTAATGCTATCAGTGAGCTTGGAATACATTTGAGACTCAATTGGAAGCTGCTGGTTTAAAATTGCTAAATAATATTTAATTTGATCCTGGGAAGTAATAATAATACCGTCACCATGAGTATCATACCTTGGACGACCGGCTCTACCAAGCATCTGGAGAATATCTTGGGGCGATAGATCTACCCATGTTCCTTTTTCCGGTGAATATACACTTGTTCCTTTTATGATAACAGTGTGAGCAGGTAGATTGACACCCCAAGCTAAAGTGGCAGTAGAAACCAAAACCTTAATATGCCCCTCGGCAAATAGATCTTCTGCAGTTTTCCTATCATCTCTATTCATACCAGCATGATGAACTCCTATCCCTGAACCCAAAACAGACTTGAGACCTTTATTAGAAGCATTTTCAGCTTCAATCTTCAATATTTCTTTGACACCACTTGAAAACTTCATTGAACTGGTCAGGTTTTCTTCTTCTATCAATTTGTTTGCTAGCCACTTTGCAGTTTTTGCTGTCTCTTTTCTAGAATGGACAAATATAATAACCTGATTATCTTCGGATAAATTTTCAATAATTTTTTCATAACAAACTTCGTTCATTGCCTCGTATTTCTTGAATGCTTTCTTTTCAGTGATACCAATAAACTGCTGTGCAAGAGGACAAGGTCTGTAAGAGGCATCAAAGTAAAATAAACCGTCCTTTTCAACTCTCAAGAATTGAGCAACATCTCTGTAATTCGGTAAGGTTGCAGATAATCCTACAAACCTGACTCTATTTTCAAGGTTTTCATCCATATTTTTGATAGTTCTAGCAACAATGCTTTCCAATACGGGTCCTCTTTCATCATGAAGTAAATGGATTTCATCGATGATGATCAAACGAACCAAATTGATATATGAAGCATCATTATTTTTTCTGGTTATGACGTCCCATTTCTCAGGAGTCGTGACGAGGATTTGAGTCGACTCTATTTGATGCTTAGTCAAATTAGAATCACCTGTTAATTCATTGACAGTTAAACCAAGATGAGATAATCTTCGGTCAAACTCCCTGACTTGCTCTTGAACCAATGCTTTCAAAGGTGCAATATAAACGACTTTGAAGTTTTGTAGCTGAAATTTTCCACTCGTATTTCTAAAATTCGACAATGTTCTCAACACAGTTAAAATTGCAACATTCGTCTTACCTGCACCTGTCGGTGCGCACATCAATATATTACAGTCGCTTTTGAAAGCGCTCGGGTAAACTTTTGATTGTATTCGATTCAAGGTTAGCATTTCTCCAGAAGGAAACACAGATTGACTCCATTCTGGCAAGTCTGATATCGGAACAAGTACCTCATCTGGTGATTGCTTTGCTTTTTCCGGAGCCGGTATATGAATCTCTTCCCAACTTTTTCTAGTTCTTTTGAATGATCCTTTTGGCAACTCAAATTTGGACACCGTCATTAGCTTCGACCCTTGCGTGAAAACCAAGTTGTTTATATCTATGTTTCTTGGATACTCACTCAAGGCTTCTGAAGAAGTAATGTCCGATTTGATGACTTTCTGGCGTTTCAAAAAGTTTTGTGAGCTACCAGAATCAAGCAATCGTTTTCTTGTACTTGTTGTATTCAAGGATGCTAGTATAGATTCCAAATTGGCCTTCTCATTTTCATCATCTGTCCTGGAGAGCTTTATTGCATAGTAAATTTTTTTATAATTATGTAGAAGAGTGTGCAGGAAATCATTCACTTCAAAATCAGGAATAGATATGATCTCACGTTCAAAAACCCGCAAGTCAATTTTCCCAGCTATCAGTAAATCTAGTTGTTCGTAGATATGTTTTGAAATGTCGGCATATTTATAGGAGTCTATCTGAGTCTCGTATTTTGACAATTGTCGATTGAGCCAATACTTGTCTATCGATTTATAATCTAATTGTTCAGCACTGGTTTTGTTATTCACTAATTTTACCACAGACTCAGGGTCTTCAACATCCGCATTGAGTAGCTCATGTTCATTCTGGTCTCTTTCCCAATTTTCCCTATCTTCATGGTCATTATCGTCATCGTCATCGTCTTCTCTCTCTCCGTCATGATCATCATGATCGTCATCATCGTCGCCATTTTCATCATCATCAGAGTCTATTAATATTCCCAAACCGTCTCCATCCGTATCACCTCCATTTCTGGGCTTTTGATCATAATCGGATAAGCTATTGACCAAAGAGTACAATTTTAAAAAATCTTCGTCAGACACTTCTTGCTTAAGAATATGCAATATTTGCTGTTTCTTGACTAGCGAGTTTGGGTCACCAGACTTCAAAATTTCGATGACTATGTCTGCTAACGAGTTTACAATATCATCTGGTAAATCGTTGTCAAGTTTCTTACTGCACCATTCGACAATCTGATTGTACACTAGAACATTTGATTCAGTTGTTGGAACATAGTTTACCGTGTCAATAATATCTGTTTCTAACAACGAAGCCGTCTTGCTTCTAAGCCTTTTTCGTTGCCTGTCTCGAGTTGTTTTTGCGCTTTTATTGGAGCTCTCAACATACTTCACAATCTCTTCTTGCTCCTCGGAGTCTCTTCGCACTTTAGAATCTTTTATATTGGAGCCAAAGTCTTGAGCAGTCACTCTTCCCTTTATCGAATGTGGATTAGTGTCTGCTGAATCAGCAAAAGAACCAGTATCCAAGAGTCGCTTATCAGTACGGAGCACTTTGTTTGAGATTTCCTCATACTTGTACTTCTTTATATCGTCTGTCATTCTCCAACAATTCAAAAACTCAAGTCGATATTTTAAATATGTGGTGAGTGAGGGAGTAAACAGTTGAAACTCACCCTTTTAAGTGCTGGTAAGGCATGGACTTAGTAGATACCAAGTGTTGCCTTGATTCATGTTTGGAATAGACCTGAAAAAATAAAACGCCAAAAATGTAAAATTAAATGGATAATTTCAGGTGTACGGATGGAAAGTTTTTTTCAAAAAATAAAATAGCTGACGTAAGATAAAATAGCTTACGTTATCTATATCCCACTTCTCCACTCCCAGGCAGACTGTGTTCCGAAATTAACCTCCCACGCTCTATGCACAACTACAGCCCGACTACATGAACCTGCTGATTGATAGGCGTGCGCCGGGACAGTACTCGGTAGGTCAGATTAGCACTTTTCTACTTTCTGACTACTTGGTGCTTTAATTCTTCAGCAGCAGCCAATTGGTGATTTTGAAACTACAGACACTTCAACAACCAAAAAATGCTACGTCTATTGCCAAAGAGGGCTGCTACGATCAAGGTTTTCCCTACCCTTGCAAGAACTTTGGCAACCGAAGCCACCACAGAAGCCCAGAACTTGGATGATGTGGTCGACATCACTTTGCCAGAGTTCTCCTTTGAAGGTTACAAACTGGACCCTCCATCCTTGGATTACCAGACCGAAAAGGGTACTTTGCTCCAAATGTACAAGGACATGATTATCATCAGAAGAATGGAAATGGCTGCCGATGCTTTGTATAAAGCTAAGAAAATCAGAGGTTTTTGCCATTTGTCTGTTGGACAAGAAGCAATTGCTGTTGGTATTGAAAATGCAATCACCAAGCAAGACGACATTATCACATCCTACAGATGTCACGGTATTACATACATGAGAGGCAGCTCTGTCCAGGAAGTCCTTGCTGAATTGATGGGTAGAAGATCTGGTGTTTCACGTGGTAAGGGTGGTTCAATGCATATGTACACGCACGGTTTCTACGGTGGTAATGGTATTGTTGGTGCCCAAGTCCCTCTAGGTACTGGTTTGGCCTTTGCACATCAATACAGGGACAACAAGAACTGTACATGGACTTTATATGGTGATGGTGCTGCTAACCAAGGTCAAGTTTTCGAATCTTTTAACATTGCCAAACTTTGGAACTTGCCATGTATTTTCACCTGTGAAAACAACAAGTACGGTATGGGTACTTCTGCTGCAAGATCATCTGCGCTGACTGAATATTACAAGAGAGGTCAGTATATTCCAGGTTTGAAGGTTAACGGTATGGATATTCTTGCTGTCTACCAAGCTGCTAAGTTTGCTAAGGACTGGTGTGAATCTTCCAATGGTCCTCTTGTTATAGAGTTTGAAACATACAGATATGGTGGTCACTCTATGTCCGACCCTGGTACCACTTACAGAACCAGAGAAGAAGTTCAAAACATGAGATCAAGAAACGATCCAATTGCAGGTTTGAAGGCTCATTTGCTGGACTACCAAATTGCAACCGAAGATGAGATCAAAGCCTTCGACAAGTCTGCTAGAAAATACGTTGATGAACAGGTCAAGCTTGCGGATGCTTCTCCACCTCCAGAAGCTAGAATGGACATTTTGTTTGAAGACGTTTATGTTCCAGGCTCTGAAATTCCTATCCTTAGAGGTAGAATCAGAGATGACTCTTGGTCGTTTGAGAAGGGTGGTTTCGCATACAAATAGTTCACCTTATAATTAAGTAATGAAAGAAAAAACGTAAGTTTTTACGTCAAGATAGTGAAATAAAAGTTTTTGCTTGATATTGATACAATTATAAAACAAAGTAACTGAAAAAAGTAAATATAGCACTAAAAGAACATATCCAACAATAGTAGTAAACAGTAGTGAAAAAAGCAAAATAAAAAAAAATAGTTTTCATGTCAATCGGTAGTAAAACAACCAAAAAAGAACTCAAAAAGTGTTTCTATTGAAAACCTCGAGTGGCAAAACCTTAAGAGTGTAAAACCATGTAGTTAGGATCATCCTTGTTTTGCTTGTACTCGTTGCTGCTAACTGTCTCCAGAGTAGAAACTTCAACATAGTTTGACGCATCTGCAGCTGGCTCAGTGTTAGCAGTTGTAGGTGCAGTCTCAGTAGTACCAATCTTTTCAGTGAAAACAGGATTAACCGTTGTAGGAGCGAGGTCGGAATCATCATCATCATCGGAGCTATCTTGTTCTCCACCACCAGAAGCAACTTTTTCAGGGGATTCATCAGTTGATGGCTTGATTTCAACTGCCTTTGCTTCAGAAACCTCTGCAGCTTCAGAAAGACCAGATGGAGCAATACTCACAGCTGAGGCAGGAGTAGTTGGAACAGGAGCAACAGCAGATGACGATTCAATAGTTGGAGTAGCTGGAACGGTGGGAGAAGAAGTGGCAGCTGCTGTACCAGCAGTTGATACAGGTGCTGCCGCTTTTGAGGTAGTAGATTTAGCTAACTTTGGGTTATTCTTCTTGGCTGTTACTGTCTGCTTTGGGGTTTCATTCTTGATCGAATTAGACCTCGACTTTGTCTTTGATCCTGATTTTTTAAACTTGAATTTTGAAGTCAAGGAGTTTGATCTAGACTTGGACAAGGAGTTTGATCTCGATCTACCTTCTGCAGTTGTTGGAGTCGTAGGCTCCTTATTCTTGATTTGCTGGGACAAAGGAGTGTTCATTCTCTCAAGTTCTGCAGGAGTCATATGAGCAATTGCTTCGTCAACCATCGATCTTCTTCTTGTTGCAGAAGTCAGCGCAGAATCATCTGCTGGCTTCATTTCCGCAGGAATAGGATACTTCTCGACTTCAGAAACAGGCTCTTCATCATCGGCAACGAGAAGTTCTGAAGCTGCAGTTTCGAGAGGAGAAGCAGCCTTTTCTGTAATAGTAACATTATCGTTCAATGGATCTTCCTCAACTTTTTCGACCTGCTTTGTAGCGACAGGAGTAGCTAATTTTTCCAGTTTCGTTGCATCTTTACCGACCGGTAAAGCGGCTTCAACTTCCTCCTCTTCATGGATGGTGGAAGGAAGATCATCCTCCTTCTTATCGTTGAACTCACCTAAGTAAAATGGATTGTTAGAGCCAAAAGAACCTGTATTACCAACGTCGGATTTTGCAAGTTCCTCCTGATAAGAAGGAAGTGCTCCGGATGTTGAAGAACCTAAAGGATTTCCAATGCTACCTGCAACACCTGAAGCAGCAGAACCTGCAGCTGCGGTACCAGTAGCAGCAGCACCAACCATGGCAGCGCCAACACCTGCTAGTATCCCGGCCCCGGAAGAAGATGTTTCAGAAGACTTGGATTTCTTTTCCGACTCGTCTTTTGCATTTGCCGAAGCAGCGGCTTCCGCCTTCTTATGTTCATCCAGAGACTTTTGCAGCTTGATTTTTTCTTCATTCAGCTCCTTCAGTCTCTTCATTCTTGCCACCTCCTCAGCAACTCTAGTAGCCTCTTCTTCTTCCTCTTTCTTTTTCTTTTCGGCAGCTATTTTAGCGTCTGCCTTTTCCTTAGCAAGCTTAGCTTCTTCCTCTTCCTTCTCCCTAGCAAGTTGGGCTTCCTTTTCTTCCTTCTCCTTGGCGATCTGGGCCTCTTCCTCTTCCTTTTCTTTTTGTAATCTAGCCTCTTCTTCAAGCTTTTCTTGCTCAACTCTCTTTCTCTCTTCTTCAGCTGCAATTCTTATTTGCTCCTGTTTCTTGGCTTCATCCAGTCTCACTTGAGCCAGATGGTCTTCCCAATCTTCTGAAGCCTTCTTCGCTTCTGCTCTTTTTGAAGTCAGAGTGTCTTTGGCGGTCGTATTGAAATGGTCAATCTTGGTGGAATGAGCAGCAAGTCTATCATTCAATAAACCAACTTGGTTCGAGAGAACAGCAACGTTGGCAGCCGCTTGAGTATGCTTTGCATCAATAATGTTGAAGGATCTGTCAGCAACCTTTCTTCTCTTGATTGAAGAACGGATGGTTTCCTTCCTTTCATGCTTCGCAGCAATCAGGGCCTCGACCTTCTTGATCTTTTCCTCTAGCTCGGCCTTTTTGGCGTCCAGCTCAGATTGCAGATCAACTTGCTTCGACTGTAACTCGGTGGCATCGGTTTGGAATTTCTCGGCCAGTTCAGTTTCTTCGGTTTGCTTTGCCTTTGCATCTTCCAACTCTTTGGTCTTGTCTTCTTTCAACTTATCCGCAGTTTCAATCAAAGTCTCTTTGTCGGTGATGTGCTTCTGGGCTGCATCTTCTTCGGCTTTTTCGGCGTCCTCCTTGTCCTTGACAATCCCGTCTTTCTGCTTTTGAATGTGCTTCTCGGTATCGGATTTAGACTTTGCGGCTTTATCTGCGAGCTCCTTCATCTTCTTTTCGTGGTCAGCCTTGACTGATTTAGTTTTCGCATCGACAGTTGACTTGTACTGGGACAATTCTTTGGCGACAACGGCTTCGTCGTTCAATCTGATACCTTCTTCAACCTTGGCTGCGGCAGCCGCATCACGGGCATTGTTTTCGGCGACACGCTCGTCAATCTGTTTCATCAAAGGCTCCAACTTCTTTCTTGCCAACTCGTAGATCTGCTCCTCGGTCAAGATCAAACCGGCTCCAAGGTTGACGCGGCGGTCCAAGTTCTCGATCTTGTTTTTGTTCATGATCTGGGAGGTGATGTTGAAGTTGTCCTTGTATCTGCGTAACATTTTAGGATGGCTCTTAATCAATGCTGGGACTTCTTGCATAGCAGGAAGAGTCTTTTTCTCCTTTGGTTTTGTTGCTGCTGCCAATTCGGAAACTGGTTGTGCAGCTGCAGGCTCTTCTTCTTCAGTGGCCTCTTCGCCTTCTGCTAGCTCGGTTTCCGGAGCTGCCGCTTCGGCGGCATCTTCTCCAATTGGCTCTTCGGCTTCTTCAGCAGCGTCTTCGGTGGTGGCTGTAGGCTCCAAGGGTTCTTCGGTTTCATCGATTGGGGCTTCCTCGTCATACTCGGCGTTTGCAACACCTTCTGCTGCCTCTGCAGTAGTGTCTGCCGGTGCCTCCTCCTCTGCCTCAGCTGTTTCTGCTGGTGCTGCTTCCTCTTCAGCCGGCTTCGCAACGACAGGAATGCTGCCCGCACTGATGTAAGACGAGTGGTTTGCCGGGTTCTTGCTCTTCACCTTCGGGCCGACGGCGCCTGACACTCTGAAAGGGGAGACCCACTTGGAGTCTTTCGAAACGGCCGAAACCGTTTTGTGCAATTGCGTTCTCTGGTGGTTCACCGAGCCGGCGGTGGTTGTGGCGGCAGCGGGTTCGGACATCTTGTTGCGTAGACTTGTTTGGTACGACTACGTTCGGTGTCTGCAACAATTCTCTTTTCTTCGAATCAGCGGAAGCACTGAAGAATACAGAGAATGTCTTCTCTTGGTTCCCAGATAAGAAGGAGGAGGACACCGATGCCATTTGCGAACGGGGCAGTGCAGTACAATGCAACACACCCTGAGGAGGAGCCACCTTTCCTTGGCCCTCCCGAGTTGCAGAAAGCGAGGCCGATTGGGCAATTGGCGATTCCCCGATTCAGCAGGAGAATAAAATGCAGCACAATAACAACAACAACAACACTGGGCAAGTCGCGATACGACAGAAACCTTGCAGCAGCAACATTGGCCTCTTTTTTTTCCTGCGACAGGATCCCGGGTCGCGGCCAACGGCCCGGGATCACGTGGAGATGAGGGGGATTTTTTTTTAATTTTCTTCTTCTGTACGTTTCCTTTCCTCCCTGGCGCTCCGGCCCGCTCTTTCCTTTTTTTTTCCTTTCCCAAAAATTCTCCGGGGCATTGGGCCCTGCGTGATTCACTTGAGGCCCCGAGGCCCGCGGGGCCCGCGGGGGGGCAACCGCCACTTCTGCTCTATTGCTTGCGCTGACTCCGGCTGCTTGCACGGCGCTAGCGCCGGGTCTCTCCTGCCTACGAGGCCTGCGGCAGCGCGCAACGCAGATGATTCACGCAGCCGCCGCTGAGTCATCCGGGGGTCTGCAGGTTGGCAAGCGAGAGCGAGCAATGCCGCTTGCGTGTACCATGTCTCCGCATATCACAATAGAACAGCGCACTCGTGAGCGCAGCGGGGTCCCACCATCAGGACGACATGTAGCCGAAGAGGGGCTTCCAGCACAAGGCACCACATAGTGGCAACGACAGGCAGGCAGGCCTTTGACAGACCGGACAAACCAACTACGGGGTCCTCTCGAAAATTCCGGGGCCGGCGCACAGGCAGGCTGGCGCCACCCTGGCGGCCAGCCCCCCGTAGGCGGGACGCGGTTCCGCCCGCTATGGGCAAATGCGAGTCTCGGAGAAGGCCTGCGGGTCGTCGGACAAACGGTGCAAGTCGCGGTGCGTAGAAAGCCGGAGCCGTGCTGGCGCCTGCGGCGGCTAGCTCTCTCGTAGCAGCCCGGGGCGCGGAGGGCCCTGGGGGTGTGAGTCGTCTCGGGGAAAAAATTTGTCACTTTGGACGGTTCTCGAGTTCCGAGGCCTTGAGGTGCTTGCATATATAAGTAAAACACCAAATCCGTACGTGTCTTGAGAGGTGTGGGGAGAATAAGGGGAGCCCACAAGAAACAGGAGATATGTGTTTGTTTTTTTCTTTCTTGCCTCCCTCCTTTTGTTTCCTCTTCGATAACCGCATTGTTCAATAGCAACGAAAGCGACAACAGCTGCCCCGTCACTTCTTGATACAAAAAGGCTCGCTAGTACACAACGCAGAACGCATAGCATACCACCCAGCATAGCAAACACTCCACGATGCTAAGATCACAGTTCAGAAACGTTTTGAGAAACGTAAAGCCCTTCCACGCGGGGGGCAAGAGAAGCGTGGCGTCGTCCACCCTTTCCTCGTCGTCCACCCACAGCAAGCAGCAATCGAGAAGCTCCAGAGTGCTGGCTGCCTCGGTGGCCTCTGTGACAGCAGCAGCCGCTTCCTACTTTTTGGTCCAGCCTTCTCTTGCGAACGACGAAGCTGCAACCGCTTCCTCCAACAGAAAAATTCCTGTCGAAGAGTTTGTGAAACACAACACCGCCGACGACTGTTGGATTACGGTCAACGGTAACGTGTACGACTTGACCGACTTCATTGACATGCATCCCGGTGGAACCACGCCTCTAATCCAAAACGCTGGTCACGATGCAACGGTCTTATACAACAAGATCCACCCAAAGGGTACTATTGAAAACTTCCTTCCTAAGGAAAAGCAGTTGGGCGTCTTGGTTGGTGAAGCCCCAAAAATTGAGATCATCATTGATGACAAGGAAAAGCACAGATTAGAGCTGTTGGAACACTTGCCTGCGCTATCCAGAATCCAAAACATTTACGACTTCGAATACATCGCAAGCAGGGTCTTGACTGAGCAGGCTTGGAACTACTACTCTTGTGGTGCGGAAGATGAAATCACAATGAGAGAAAATCATTACGCTTACCAAAGAATCTACTTCAGACCAAAGTGCTGCGTTAACGTCCAAGATGTTGACACCTCCACAACTCTTTTGGGATCAAAATCTTCTGTGCCATTTTACGTTTCTGCTGCTGCATCTGCCAAACTCGGCCACGACGATGGTGAATGCTCCATTGCCAGAGGTGCAGGTAAGGAAGGCGTTATCCAGATGATTTCTTCTTTCTCATCTTATTCATTGGATGAAATTGCAGAAAGTAGGATTCCTGGTGCTACCCAATGGTTCCAGTTGTACGTTAATGAAGATAAGGATGTCGTCAAGAGAACTATTAAAAAGGCCGAGGATTTGGGCATGAAGGCCATTTTTGTTACTGTTGATGCTGCTAACAGAGGTAACAGAGAAAAGGATATCAGAATGAGAATTACTGAAGACCACGATGAATTGGATGAAGATCATTCTGTTAGAGCTGGTTCCACTTCTGGTGCCATGCCTTCCTTCATTGACAAAAGGCTGACCTGGGATGAAGTCAAAGACATTATCGGCCTCACCAAACTACCAGTCATGCTGAAAGGTGTCCAAAGAACTGAAGACATTGAAAAAGCAATTGATATTGGTTGTCAAGGTGTTGTTTTATCCAACCATGGTGGTAGACAATTAGATACTGCTCCACCTCCAATTGAAGTCATGGCTGAATCCGTTCCAATTTTAAAGGCTAAGGGTAAGTTGGACCCAAATTTCAACATTTTCGTTGATGGTGGTGTCAGAAGAGGTACTGATATCTTGAAAGCTCTTGCAATCGGTGGTAAAGATTGCAAAGTTGCTGTGGGTCTCGGCAGACCTTTCTTATATGCCAACACTGGTTATGGTGAAAAGGGTGTCAGAAAGGCCATCCAAATTTTGAGAGAAGAAATGAAGGCCGACATGAGAATGTTGGGTGTCACTAATCTGAACGAATTGGACGAGTCTTGTATTGACACTAGAAGATTAGTGGGTAGAGACGCAGTCAACAATGTCTTCAACAACAATTACTACCCAATGTCTCAGATAAAGTTCAAGAACGAGTAGGTCAGATAGACAACTCATTGCATCTTCCCACTCGATATCATTCTCTATCCTACCGCATACAAATATTATTCCATTCTTCCTTTTCTTTGAGGAGAAAACAATATTAAAAAGAAAATAACTTAAAAAAATTACAAAAAAATGAAATAAAATATATCAAGAAACGTGCAAAGGAAATTAGTTCCGGTGGTAATACTATCATTATTATTATTCTTCATCATCTTTTTCCCTTTAATTCTATTTACTATTGTTTTACACTGTATATTCCGGGTTTATAAAAGATTAATTTGTGCATTCTTTCCATTTACATATCAGCGCCAAACTTACTGTATTTGTTTTTCTTTTCAAATCGATGTTTAACTTTTTTATACTATACAGGAAATTTATATTTCCATTTTGACTGCGGACGAAGTCAGAATGGAAGATTTTGCATCTGTGGCCGGTCCAGAGTCGGCAGCATTGGCATCAGTGGCAATCTCTGCAATCGCTTCTAGATTAGTTACCGAAGGTGTTGCTGACTCGAGCCCATTACTGACTTTCGTTGGACTGTTTTTCAAAGATGTGGTTTTGGTGTCTTTCTTTTTCAGATTCCCTTGCTTACTGTCACTCGTACCGTTTAGTTTCTTCTCCAGATTGCCCTCTTCCGTTTTGTGCCAACTTGGCCACAACATCAAATATCCGTTGAAGCTTCTGACTACTTTGCGACCTCTCTTTCTAGCCTCCTCTATCAGTTGGTTTTCCTTGCCTATCAGTTCGTGTTCTTTGAAGCCCCTCAGGTCTCGCATGCTAATCACACCGTTATTCTTATCGAGCTCTCCAACTTCGGGAATTTTCTTGTGTGATGACACACTTATAGAGTTGGCCTTAGCAGTTATAGAAGCTGCGTTGGCTATTGTAATATTGGCAGTTTCAATCGTAGTTGCATCTTTCTGAGTTTCGCTGACGCCAGCGCCATTTGTAATGCTTTTGTTAGCCAGCTCCCCAGTGTTTTCATTACTATTATTATTTCCTTCTGTTCCAGGAATGGTATCAAACTTGGCCCATTTGCTCGTCCTCCGTCCGCTTTTGTCTAATTCTCTCACAATACTGGTATTCATAACCAAACCACTTACACCTACACGAACGTTGGATGACAACTTTGAGCCAGCATTTATGTTGCTCGTAGCACTAGCACTACCAGTTCCAACAGTACCACTGTTAGCGTTATTGTTCCCAATATTATTGAGGTTTGACAAATTACCCACGGTAGCGACAGGACTATTGCTGCCGTCCTGGACATCACTCAGTGATCCTGCTGGCTTCAATGACTGTTCTCTGGATACTACTTCTGGACTGCTCAGATTCAGTTTCAACTTTGCCTGTGGAGCTTTGGTTGGTTTGCTTCGTGGCTTCGGCTTGTGAACATGTGCAGCTAAATCTGGAAAGCCCGAGAGTTTTTCGGGTGATAATTTCAACGTGACAAGTTTTGTCTTTTTGGCTGCCATGACTATGCCTCTTTGTTTTTCAATACAAACTTGCAATACTTTATGATACAAAAAGCTTACAACGGCCTATAACTAGTGGCGAGATGTGAAAGGAGTAGAAAATGTGGACATCCTCCACTCTTTCCATCTGTAAGTATCGTATTTATTGATTGATTGCGCGTACACCTGAATATTGGTACCCTGTATAAAGTAGGTATTTCCTGCGCTAGACTTTTCTTTGAGGTACGGAGTATAGACTCAGTGTCAGAGACCGTATCCAAGGCTAGCAAATGATATGACCTTAAACCGTTTTAACATTTTATATGTAAATAATGAAAATCAGTGTATTATTAAGTGACTATATGGAAATAAATAGGTCTAATACCTGGACGTAAAATTACAGATGCTAACGTTAAACATAAGTGCTGCATGAAGTAAACCTCTAGCTTGTCTATATACCAAAGTTTCCTGTCATAAATGCATCTCTTGCATTCCTCTTGTTAAGGTTTTGAGGCCCATGTAATTTATCAACACGGTTAGACGGCGGTAAATGCTGAATAATGTTCTTGCTATGGGATGAGGTCTTCTGTTCTTCATGCGAAGGATGGGCTATTTGGACACCAAATTGATTTGGAGGCATTGGCGGATAGTACACTCCTTGAGGGTATGGAGGAAAAGGCTTACCCATATTTGGAGTTGGAGATGCATAGTGAGGTGGCATTTGGTTTCTCGGGGATTTCGATACACGCTTCCCGGCAGGGTTTGGAGGAAACTGTGGAGGCGGATACTGTCTCGGGGAGAATTGTTGTGGAGGATACTGCCTTGGAGAAAATTGGGTCGGTGGAGGAAAATATCCTTGTGGAGAGTATTGCCTTGGTGGGTATTGCTGTTGAGGCGGTGGAGGGAATCCTTGTGGAGGGAAACCTTGAGAAGAATATCCTTGTGGGGGAAAAAGTTGTGGCGGATATCCTTGTGGAGAATGTGGAGGGTATTGTGGAGGATATCCTGATGGAGGATACTGCTGAGGTGGATATTGTTGAGGTGGATATTGTTGAGGTGGATACTGCTGTGAATGGTGTGGCTGAGGAGAAAAATGCCGTGCAGGAAGTTGATGATTTGGTTTTTGGGCAGGAGACAATGCCCTGTTTGGATTCGAAGAATTCCTTACCGCTTGCTTTGGCGGTAATATACCTTGTTGAGGCCCATCAATAGTAGCATTGGGTTTTGCAGGAAGAGGGGCGTTTCGTAAATCCTCAGAAAATTTTGTGTGATGATCCCTACCACCTATTGTTGTAGCAGGATAAGCTGACGAAGATTCAGAAGATACGGAAAAATTCAGTGGATCTGCCAATGGTGGAGCTTTTCTGAGACGTGACGAGTTAGAGACATTACGTGACTGTACAGTCAAAGTGTCGCTGCTGTTTTCTAAATCATCCATACAATCTTTAAGCTCTACCTCAAGTTCATCGATCTCATTAATGACTGGAGATCTTGAAAGTGCAGTTAACTCACTTTCTGACCTTTCACCGGAAGCCATGTCACCTGGCGTCCTATCACCGATTTCAGGTGGAGGAGGTAGATTAGGAATTTTTTCACATTCATTTCCAAAACTCCTACTGCTTGGCGCAGTATTAGGCACAGGATGTGGTATTTGTTGCTGGATTGGTGAGAGTGGAAGTTGTTGAGCTGTTTGATCGGCTGATTGATGAGTAGGTGACTGTAAGTTTTGCAAAGCAGGCTGTACATTTGGCGATACAAAAGGCTGAATATTTTGTTGCTGGATTGGCGATCTTTGGGGTTGGATTTGCTGTGGAGAATTTTGATAACCTCTGGGGGAGCCCTGATATTTCATGTTAAGAGCCGGCGAGGCAGAACGCGGAGGGCTTGAAGACATCTGTGGCGACTTAGAGACTGGAGAAGTAGAGTACTTCTGACGAGGTGACCTCGAAGGTGGTGGTGATTGCTTGTTATTATGTTGCTGATCAGGATATATTTGATCAGAAAATTGTCCTTTTGTTGGAGATTGCATGTACATCTCATAATTTATAGCAGCACTATTCTCCGGAGATTGTAAAGGGGAATAATAATTTGTCGGCGATGGGGTACCATTACTTGGAGTGTACATTTGCCTTTGGGCTTGTGCTCCATTGGCATGTTTTACATTGGTATGTACCCCATTGGCATAGTTCAGATTGCCGTTTTCATCCACATTAGTAAATCCATTATGATTCCCGTTCATCATTCCATTTGAACTTACATTCTCGTTGTTTTCTCCATTTGTGAACCTGTTGTTTCCAAATCCATTGCCATAAGCATATTCATTGGAGTTGATAGCAGGGACATATAGGTGTGCTTGAGTTTTCGATGGAGACTGCAGATCTGCCTCTGAAATTCCAAGAGCATCGAATCTGAGAAATGTATCCTCTGCATCCAGAATTGGTAAAGAGATACGGATTTCCTCGTTATTAACCACTTTTGTTGCGTAACGCTTAGCTGGCATGGATTGGGGCTCGGGCTCTTGGATTTCCATATAGTGTGGACTTTCAGCTCTTTTGTCAGAACGTGGAGGAGGAATCATTGTAGGAGCCGGAGCCGGAGATCCGGATACATTCGAGCTAGTTGTCCCATTTTGTGGAGGCGGCTTACGAGATTTCGAACGTGGAGGAATCTCGTCAGCATCGTAATCCTTCCGTGGCACAGGCGGAGGCGGTAAAGAGGTCGGTTGCTGGGTTTTCAGCTCTTTGACATCGACTTTTTCCAGCACTAACTTTTTCTTCTCGTGTTGAGCATCCTGCTTCACCTTCTTGGCTTCAATTTCCGCAAGTTGAATTTTCTGCTCAAGCTGCTTTAGTTTTTCCTGCTTGATCTCCAGCTCGATATCATAGCCATCTCTTTCCAAATCCTGCTCCTCAACTATGACCCACTTTTTGAAACCTTCGGCCAACTCTACTTCCATGATGTAGGTTTTACCAAAAGTTTTCTTCTTTAGATCTGTTTCCTCAACTCCTAAAGACGCTAGCCAGGTCCATATGAAATAGTCATCAATGCTGGCTCGTCCGATGACGGCGGTGAAGATTTCATGCACTCCTTTCTTTGAGGGAGCCAATTTTCTCGAGGTCATGTCCGTTGACCAGCCAGGAACTAATTTGAACTTCAGTGAGCTTGAGTTATCACCGTCGCACATGAGATCCGAGTCATACAGACAGAGATTTTCGAGCAACCTGGTGCCCTCCGAGGAGAGTTTCTCCACGACCTGATCTTTTTCCTTGAACAACCTCTTCAACAATAAAAAGTCCTCCCTGGTGTAAAACAATGTAGCATCGTCGAACTTTAACGTTTTGCTCACCCGTGTGAGTAGCTCGGCCGGGTTCGCCGAGGGGGTGTTTGCCCGGATGGTGACCATTGGGATCTCCTGCAACGGTCTCGAGGTTTCTAAGGTTGCGGATGTGGGCAAGGGTGGATAGTCGGAGCTCTTCAATAGGACCTGGAAGAGCTTTGGCAATCGTGTCACGTCGCCGTTGGGGGGCATGGCTTTCACAAAGGACAAGAGCAAATGGTACATTGCGTCGCCAGCAGGTATCCACTCGTAGAGTCCTCGCTCGAAGGAGGGGGCGCCCGAGGCCTGGTTCCTCACCGGGTTAAACGCCCACAGGCCACACATCTTGCTCAGCTTTCTGGCGGACATGAGGTTCTCCTTAGAGTTGAGCACAAGCGCCACTATCAAGTCGAAGAAGTCGTACACGATCGACGCATGCGCCCCCGACGAGAGGCAGTTCGGCATGAACTCCAAGAACGCCTTGTCTGGGAAGCCTGCGCTGTCCTCGAGCTTCACAAACTTCGTGTACGCTTTCCAGCCGATGATGGCCTTGCCTGGCAGCCGACACCAGAGAAACTTCAGTGCACTCATGAGAATGCACTCGTCCGTCTTCCTGATAATCTTCTTCGCAACCTGCTCCTCCACGGGCATTCCCCGGTAAAACACGCTGTTGAGAAAGGTCTTGAGGTCCACATCGTGGTGCGCCGGCCGGAAGGGCAGCATGAGCATCGGCGTCTTCGTGCCCTTCTTCTTGATCTCGGACGTGATGAGGTGCACAAGGTCCTTGATGTGTTTCCGCTCGAAAGTGATGTCGTACTTCTTTTCAAGCAGATACTGCTCATCTGTCTTCCGTTTGTACGTGCTTTTGAACTCCCGCAGCGCCTCAGGCGCCACGTCCGGGCTGTATATGAACGACTCCTTCGCCACGTCTTCCCCATTCATCGGCACAGAGTCCGAGACAATGAACGACGGTATCGCCGGCAGCGTTTTTTTAGGTCCAGACATCCGACTCGATGATACGGGCAACAGCAGAACTATGACACGAATGACACACCCTGCAGAGCTTTGCCTACAAGCCCCTCCGGAATTCACAAAAAACACATCTCCGCTGAGCATGCTCATGTCTGATCAGATCAGGCCCCGTATGGCTACGCCAAAACACCATTCTGCGACACACGAATTGTCAACAACAGCGAAAAAATCAGAACTGCGCTAGAAGCGCTCCGCAGACGCGACTGCACAGTTTGTCATGCCGCGACGGGTGTGTTGCAACACCCACCCTCCGCTCGAGACGGTGAGGCCCGTCGAACAGGGAAACAGACGGAGTCAGAAGGGAAGAGTGTGGTGTTGGAGCCGTGCTAGCAGATAGAGTAGAGATAAAGAGTGGTGAGGTAGCAGAAGACACAAGAGCCGCGTTGCTGCAAGAAAGGAACGAAGAAGAAAGGAGCCAGCGATACTGAAATGACCGTACTGTCGAAGGTAGATATTGAGAAGCTGAAGCAGACGAAGAAGATTGGGATCATCGGGCTTGGGGACATGGGCCTTCTCTATGCCCGGCGATTTTCAGAAGCCGGGTGGAGCGTGTGTGGATGCGACCGGGAGGAGCGCTATCAGGAATTGAAGGAGAGCATGGCATCGCTGTTGCCCGAGGTGGAGATCTACCGGAACGGGTTCTACGTGTCGAGAACTGCGGACTACATCATCTACTCGGTGGAAGCGGAGAACATCGAGAAGATCGTGGCGCTGTACGGCCCAGCGACGAAGGTGAACGCGATTGTCGGCGGGCAGACGTCGTGCAAGAGTCCAGAGATCAGTTCGTTCGAGAAACACCTGCCGGCAGACGTCGAGATCGTGTCGGTGCACTCCCTGCACGGGCCCCGGGTGGACACGACGGGCCAGCCGTTGGTGCTGATCCAGCATCGTGCGACGCAGGAGAGCTTCGATTTTGTGGAGTCCGTGATGTCGTGTCTCCGCTCGAAGCACGTCTACTTGACGTACGAGGAGCACGACAAGATCACCGCTGACACTCAGGCCGTGACGCATGCTGCATTCTTGAGCATGGGTGTGGCGTGGCACAACAGCCACCAGTATCCGTGGGAGACACCCAAGTGGACCGGAGGGATTGAGAACGCCAAGATCAACATCTCGATGCGGATCTTCTCCAACAAGTGGCACGTCTACGCGGGCCTGGCCATCACAAACCCGTCTGCACACAAGCAGATCTCCCAGTATGCAATCTCCTGCGAGGAGATCTTCACCATGATGATACAGGGGAGACGGGATGAGCTCCGGGAGAGAATTCTCGACGCCAAGCAGAAGGTGTTTGGCCACTTGGGAAAGGACCACCAGCTGTTGCTCGACGATGACTTGCTTCAGCAGTACTCCCTAGCGAAGAACCCACCTGGCGGCCACCAGCGAAACTCACACTTGTCCCTGCTATCAATTGTCGACAGTTGGTCCCAGCTAGGCATCGTCCCCTACGACCACATCATCTGCTCGACGCCCCTCTTCAGAATTTTCCTCGGTGTCTCCGAGTACCTCTTCTGTACGCCAGGCCTCCTGGAGGAGTGCATCAACGTCGCCATCGAAGATATCACGTTTCGCCAGGACGACTTACAGTTCACAATGGCCTCAAGGGAGTGGGCTAACGTCGTCAGCTACGGCGACTTCAACCTGTACCGCAAGAAGTTCGAGAACACACAGGTGTTCTTCCAGCACATGTTCCCTGAAGCCACCAAGATGGGCAACGAGATGATCAAGACAATCTTGCAGCGTGTGAAGGACAGAGAAGCCGCCCAGAATTAGAACTTTCCTTTTCCTCGTACTTAAATACACTACGTAAATGTCTATGTAAATTACAACCACTACGTAAATGTCTATGTAAATTACAATCACTGGAATAACCAAATTTTTAGAATTAGCCGGAGATGTCATTTCGGGGGTGCTTTGCGAAGACTTGGAAAGCTTTCCGCAAAGTACTGCTTGGCTATTTCTCATCCCCCAAGAAAGGAGAACGTAAAGTGAACAAAGAAGCCATTTTTAGCGATTTTTAGCGGGTGCGACAGATGTACACGTATTGCTGGAGGCTTCTTCAGCGGATGGGGGGCACAGACAGATCAACGAACATAGGGCATACCCGTGCAGTAGGAACCACTTGCCCTACAAGACAAGGTAGAGACACCAACGTATCGCCACATACACGCATACACACAGATACAGACACACAGACACACAATGGGTAACATATTCAGTTCGATGTTTGGCAAGCTCTGGGGCGTGAACAAAGAGATCAGAATCCTCATATTGGGGTTAGATGGTGCTGGTAAGACGACAATCCTATACAAGCTCCAGCTGGGAGAGGTGATCAAAACCAAGCCTACGATAGGGTTCAACGTGGAAACGTTGCAGTACAAAAATATCTCGATCAACATGTGGGATCTTGGCGGACAGACCTCGATCCGTCCTTACTGGAGATGCTACTACGCCAACACCGCCGCAGTCATATTCGTCGTCGATTCGACGGACAGAGATCGTTTAGAGACGGCCAGAAAGGAACTACACATGATGCTCAAGGAGGACGAGCTTGTCGACAGTGCGCTACTTGTGTTTGCCAACAAGCAGGACCAGCCCGGTGCACTGACTGCCGCCGAAGTCTCCAAGGCACTCGGACTCGTCGAGTTGAAAGACAGAAGCTGGAGTATTGTCGCCAGTAGCGCCATCAAGGGAGAAGGGTTGACTGAGGGCTTGGATTGGTTGATCGACGTCATCAAGGAGGAGCAAATGTAGCGGTCTTCTGCAGTATCACCTTGACATCTAACCCACTGCTCCTGAAAAAAAATATAATTAGATTCTGCACAGTGAAGCCAAGAGCACCATACGACTTCCACTCCCATTACCCCTTCCATCTGCCAACATTACTGAATTTTGTATAGATTGGAGACAAATGAAATACTCATTGTACAATTAAACCTTCTCGTTTCTTCCTCACTATGAGCAGTTTCCTCGCCAGGTTGTGTAAATTGAGTAAAAGGAAACTTTCACGCCTATCAGTCTTCTCTACTTTTTGGACTGGTTGAACGTCAACCGTTGTCGTACTATTTACTTATTCCTCCTCCATCTACTTAATAGGTATACCTTGACAATGGCATACTCGAATCTCAGGCTGTTGTCCCGCTCATTCCGACCTTGTGGGTTGAGGGGACGGGAGAATTTCTTATGCTTGCAAAACTCCTCGAGCATAAGACCTGTCCTTCCGAGGCCATTATCGAAAGCCACAGTCCCAAGTTATACTTTGCGGTCGACATACTCAACCAACAGTTATAAACACGGATCGCATAAAAGCAGATCTTCTTTTAGCGGAATCTTGATTGGATCAGTATGCTTGGCTGGTTGTGGACTCTATCTCTCTTCCTCACATTATTCACTAATTGACATAGTTCACAATGATGAACAAAAAAAAAAGAGCAAGGTTTCGAAAGCACAGCAAGTAGAAGGAGCACAGCCTTTTGTTGAAAACAATTGGCAAGATAGCCCAGATTCCCAGCCCCACAACAGCTTGAAGCCGGACCCATCGCAAGATACATTCGAGATGGGGTTGTATGCAGCCTCCAGGGCTGAACAAGAGGAACTTGAATATCAATATCGGAAAGAGCGTACCGACAGGAAGTTTACCGGATGGTTATTTCATGTAGGTTTTTTCTTTCAGGATTATGTTTACGAACCCATCGTTACTTTCGGGCGTTTTCTTGAATTGTCTGTCATATTTGTGCCTGTTTTTGCATTATACCCCATCACATTTTTTGGCAAAACGGATAAGTCTGGTGAAAGATCTGGTGCAAGGTTATGGTATTGGTTATTAAGAAATGCTGCTGAGATGGGTGGTGCATCTTTCATTAAGCTCGGACAATGGGCTGCGTCACGTACTGATATATTTACCAAAGGATTGTGTACGGAGATGAGCAATCTGCACAGCAATGCCAAAGAACACAGTTTCAGAGCAACACGGAGGATATTGCGTGAAACCTTTAACGGGAAAGAGCTGGAGGAAATTTTCGATGAATTCCCGGAGAAGCCTGTTGGATGCGGTGCAATTGCTCAAGTGTATTTGGCCAAATTGAACCAGCAGTTTGTTGGTTCTGGTGACAAACACGATACACTTGTAGCGGTGAAGGTTGTTCATCCTAGAGTCACGAAGAACATTTACCGAGATTTGAAGATCATGTCTTTTTTCGCCAACTTGATCGATGTGATACCAACTATGGAGTGGTTAAGCTTACCAGATGAAGTTGAACAATTTTCAATTTTAATGAACCTCCAATTGGATTTACGAATAGAAAGTTACAACCTTAATAAATTTAGAGAAAAGTTTGCCAAGGCAAATGATGTTTTTTTCCCGAAACCGAGATACAGTTCCAGGAAAGTTCTAATCGAAGACCAGGTCTATGGTATCAGCATGAACAAGATTTTGGAGCTCAAACATGCCAAGAATGACAAAATGTTGAAGTTTATAAGCGACAGATTAATTGACTCATTTTTGAAGATGATGATTCTAGACAACTTCACACATGCAGATTTACATCCGGGGAACATTTTTGTCAGGTTTGTTAAATCCAAAGGTTATCAAAACAGCTCCAGCGAGAGTAGCAAGTTTGAGATAGACAAGCTCACAACCAAGTTGAACGGCTTGAGCGTAGACGAACTCAACCAGGAATTGAATAACATGGTGACAGAGAAATACGTCCCACAGCTTTGTTTCATCGATGCCGGTCTTGTCACCGAGCTCAACGACCAGAACCGGTTCAACTTTATCTCGTTGTTCAACGCTTTGGCGCAGTTTGACGGGTATAAGGCGGGAGAGTTGATGATCGAGAGATCCAAGACGCCGGAGACCGCAGTCAACAAAGAGCTGTTCAAACTCAAGGTCGAGCGGTTGGTCAACAAGGTCAAAGAGCGCACATTCACGCTTGGCTCTGTCTCCATTGGAGACTTGCTTGATAACATGTTGGGGATGGTGCGGTCGCACCATGTCAGGATGGAGGGTGACTTTGTCAGCATTGTCGTTGCCATCCTTATTCTCGAGGGCATCTGTAGACAGCTCGACCCCGAGATAGACCTATTTGCAAGGTGGGTATTTGCATGGACAGTTGGATTCCCGACAATGCAGTTCTGAACTCTAGAGCACCGCTCTACCGCTCCGGCTGTGCTTATCGAATTCCTCCTTTTCTTCTTTCTCTTTCTTTTTCCCAAGGACGTCTACTAACATCATGCTCCCGTTTTACTGCGGCACCTCTGCTTCTACAGATCGATTCCGATTCTCCGCCAGATCAGTTTCCAGGAGGGAAAGCTGATATTCCAGAACACCAACAAGCTGTCGATGCTCAAGGTGTGGTTGACGTTGGAGGTCCGCCAGTTTGTCAACGCCTCTGTACACGACGTTCACAAGCTCGTCAAGTCTGACGGCCTTGCGCCGAACTACTAATGGCTAACTACTAGCCTCCGAAACTCTCCCTGTAGCCGATACATGTTTTTCTTTTGTTTACCCTAAAAGAACAATATACGAACGATAACGACATCCGCAATATTCCTGGCCGACCATGCACGGCCGTCGCAGGCCGCCCCGGAAAGGGGAATGCCCGACGGGAATTCATGCGCGGAAACGTGCACGTTCCCGGACCTGTCAATTGCAGCCGTTACCTCTTATATTTGACACGGGGAGAGGGGAGGGGAGAGAAAGAGAGCAAGTTTGCCTGCTGGGGGCAGATTCAGAAACACGGGTACAGGGTGGAGCTGCAGGAGGCGACAGGAGGAAAACATACCGCTTGACACGGTTTTATCGATTGCTTTAACCGTGCGGAGCAGCAAAGAGCACCGGGAAAGCCGCAGAACAGGATACCATAGACATGAAGTTCGGACACACACTGTTATCTCACCAGGTGCCGGAATGGCAGCAGCACTATATAGACTACAAACTGCTCAAGAAGATCGTGAAGTCGATACATAACCGGGAGGCTGAGATCCGGCTCGAGGACAGGGATGCAGACGTTTTTGCAGACTCACAGATCAAAGCTGATCTGGCGAGGTTCTTCTTCCACATCGACAGCAACGTTGAAAAGGTGGACGAGTTCTACACGAAGAAGTACTTGGACTATGAGCGGCGGTTGAAGAAGCTCATCGCGGTGTTTCCAAAGACGTCCAGCGACATCAACGACATGGAGGAGTATGATGACTTAGTGGACATCTTGCTGGAGTTGCGTAACTGCTTCAGAAACTTGAAGTGGTATGCCGAGCTCAACAGAAGAGGCTTTGTGAAAATTCTCAAGAAATTGGACAAAAAGACCGGGACCAAAAAACAGGAGTCGTACCTACGTTCGAAGATCTACCCGTTATCGTTCTGCAACGATGCAGACACCGTCCGCATCTTGTCCACTATCAACGACTATTTGAACAAGCTGTCCAACATCAAGGACGAAAACGAATTCTCTGCAACGTCCAAGGTATCCGATGGATCTGCGTCGTCATCGATCTCCACTCTCGACATCAACCCGGTCCACAACTTGGGTGGGAACTACAACTTTGGAACGATTTCGGAGCAGAGCCGCCTGCCGCCACCATCAACGGTTGCCGTTCCGACAATCAACAACATGCTTAAGAGCTCTGCTGCAGACCCGTTTCTTCACGCCATCAAAGAGGACGATGTCGAAAAACTAGAGTCTCTTCTCACAAAGGAGTACATGTCTCCCGTGTTGGCGCCTTTGAAACTCTTGCTGTCCTTGTTGAACAAATCCACTTTGGAATTGTCCTATAAATGTATCGACCAGTTGTTGAAGATCATCCCTGTGCTTTCTGATTCCAGTGATGTGTCTGGAAGAAATTTCATTCACCATCATGTGATTGCCTTGGGTAAGAAGAACTACAACCGAACTGCAAACAATTACAACATTGGCCAATTGAGCAAAACCGATTACAATGCCTCCTTGTTCAGCACTTACGGGCCGGATGGTATCAACTCTAATGATTCCTCCAAAGGGTTGTGGTACATTTTCCAGAATTTGCCAGATCATTTGAAGTTTGCCATTCTCCAAAAGGATAACTACAAAAGAACACCCCTACACTACGCGTCCCAATACGGCTTGAAAGAGGTAACCTTTATTGTTTTACAGTTCTTGAAAGAGTGGGGGATGTTTAATGAAAATGTTTCTCTCGATGATATCTCTCACTGGGGAGATTCTGAAAACCTCACTCCTTTACATTTGGCTGTTTTAGGCAAACATCCAAAGACCACAGAAGTCCTTGTTGATGCTATTGCGAAAAACATCAGCTTGACATGCCCATATTTATTGCACGTGGCTACCAGAATGAATACTCCCGACTTGCTCAGTTGCTTGTTGAAGTGTAGAGGAATTGACATCAATGCATATGAGACAGAACAGAGCAAAGAAACTGCTCTTTACGTCGCTGCCAAATACGACTTGAAAGATAGCGTTGAGACTCTACTTGAAAACGGCGCAGATTCTGAAATTGGGGAATCTTCTTTTGGATGGACTCCAATCTTTGTTGCATCTGCAAATGGATACAACGATATCATCGAGTTGTTGATCAACTATGGAGCCAAATATTTCATCCAAGATGAGAGTGGATGGACTCCCCGTGAACATGCGGCCTTGCGTGGCCATATCGATATTATTCCTAAGTTGACACCACCAGACTTCAATCCTTACGATTCATTGAACATGGTGACTATGTCTCCAAAATTATCTCCTAAGATCCTTGCAAGGAACTCCTCTGCATCATCAAGTATTCTTAAAATTGCAGAACATAGATCCAAAACTCCTGAACCGCAGTCAGATAAGATTGATTTGAAGCAGCTCCAAAACTCCAACTCTTCTTTTACACATCTTCCTGTTAACAACAACACCATTGTTGGCAATAGATACCTTAAAAAAGGCGAATCTCTTGTCTTGGTTACTATTGGAACAACAGATTTGCGTGATACCACACCAGCTCTGGAATTGAACAAAATTCCATTATCCAAAATTCACTCCACAGAACTCGATTCTGCATTGTCGATTGTAATTAGATCTCCAAATGTTCCAGATCAACCGGAGTATCCTCTTGCCTTGCCGCTTGATGATAATCATGGAAGTGCGACAGATCCAATTACTTTCAAATGCAACAATAGAAACCCGCTAGATACAGTGCTATACTTTGATATTATTCCAACATTTGAAGTCGATGTCAACGATGGAGAGAAGAACAAAAAAATTCTAGGTCGTGGTGTTGCTATTTTGAAAGACCTTTATACACCAGTTGGTCCAAACAAGCGTTCACTCTTCAATTGCGTCAAAGTTCCAATTTTAGAAATGGGTACGATGGAAGTTCTAGGTAGCATCAAGTTTGAGTTTTTGTTTGCGAAATCGTTTGAAGAAGTAGGTAAGATTCCAGAGAATGCGGACAGATATTGGAAATCGTTGGTTCACCCTAAACTTATTGGTCATAGAGGTAATGGCATGAACAGTCGTAACAAGAAATCGTTACAATTGGGTGAAAATACTGTTGAATCGTTTATTGCGGCCGCCTCGTTAGGCGCACAATATGTCGAGTTTGATGTTCAATTGACCAAGGATGATATACCAGTTATTTATCACGATTTCATTGTTGCTGAATCTGGTTTTGATATTCCTATGCATTCTTTAACACTAGAACAGTTCATGCATTTGAATTTGGATCATAAGAATGCCAAGGCGGATAAAAACAAGTTTGTCAAAGACGACTCTTTCATTGCCAAAAGGTCTAGGTCCAAGTCTGTTACTAGCGGAGCTAACGCTAAAAAAGTCGGGGATCTTGAAACTTTACCAGTTGAGTCATATGAAGAGTTTGACGAAGAAGATTTCAACCAAGGGAGGATGAAATTCACTAAAACCTGGAAGCAGAAAGAATTCAAGGCAAACACCAGAGGTGCAACAATCGCCTCCTCTTTTACTACATTGGAGGAATTGTTTAGGAAGATTCCAAAGACTGCGGGCTTCAATATTGAGTTGAAATACCCAATGTTGGATGAGTCTCAAAGTGACGATATCGGACAAGTGGCTCCTGAAATTAACCATTTCCTCGATACAATTCTTTCCATGGTTTACGACAAATATGATGGCAGAAACGTTATCTTCTCTTCTTTCCATCCAGATGTATGCATGATCATGACTATGAAGCAACCATCATTCCCTGTTCTATTCCTAACGGAGGCCGGTGTCAGCCCTATGGCGGATGTTCGTGCCAGTTCCTTACAGTGTGCAATCCGTTTTGCTAAAAACTGGAACCTCTTTGGTATTGTGAGTGACGCTTTACCTCTTGTTTACTGTCCACGATTGGCGGGAGTTGTGAAGGCCAGTGGGCTGGCCTGCTTTACGTATGGTACGGCAAACAACGACCCTGAAAACGCCAAATTGGAGCTTGCTGCAGGTGTGGATGCTGTCATTGTGGATAGTGTCTTGGCGGTCCGGAAAGAGCTCACCAAGTACGAGCAAATGGTAAAGGTCAAGCAAGAAGCATAGCTGCAAAGTACTTCTTCTCTTCCTTCCCTTCTATTTATCTATCTGTCTACCTATCTATTCATCTTTCCATTTATTTATTATTATTCTAAACTACCTCTTTTAGAAGGGAGTGCAAAAAATGAAAGTGTATGCCGTCTCTACGTGCACGCGGGACGTGCAGCGAGGCTTCTTTTCATGCCCGTGGGGCTGGCGGGGGCTCAAGCCCGGATGACTTAGTCCGCCTCGGTAGGCAAATAAATATAGAAGAATTATGAGGAGGGAGGAAATAAAGATATTGCTTCTTTCTGGAGTTTTATCTCCCATTGGCTATCGATACAAGAAGAGCAAACCAAACTACTACAAATAACGAAAACAACCATGGCCACCATTACAGCATCACAAATCCCTGTTAGTGTTCCGGAGAACAAGATTAAGGAGTTCTTTTCCTTTTGCGGCAAGATTAAGGACATTGAGGTTCTTGACAAGACGGAGAAGACCAAGACGATCCGTGTTGAGTTTGAGAAGGCATCTGCAGTGTCAACAGCATTGCTTTTGAATGGCGCTGAGTTTGAGGGCAGTCAAATTGAGGTGAAGGAGGATTCCTCAAGTGGTGCAGCAGCTGGCGCCAGTGCTGGCGAGAAGGATGTTGCTGGCGAGAGCGGCAAAGGCGACAGTGACATTGACCAGGAGTCCAAGCCAAAGAGCACGATAATTGCCGAGCTACTTGCAAACGGATACGTTTTACAGTCGTCGCTAGTGGAGAAGGCGGTTGACTTTGACCAGCAGCACGGGATCACCGATCGGTTCCGTGACTTCATCTCGGGTTTGGACCAGAAGTACCACCTCCAGGAGAAAAACCAGCAGATTGTGAACCAGGCCAACTCGTCGCTGGGCCAGGCGTACGATCAGGCCAACACCCAATGGGGGCTTGAGAGCCACTGGAACCAGGGCGTGCGCACATTGAACTCGTACTTGGACCGGTTCAAGAAGGACAAGTACGGCAGCCAGGTGCACGACTTTTACACGAATGCTGCCAAGGACGTCAAGTCGGTGAATGACGAGGCGTTGAGGCTTGCCGAGCTCAAGAAGAAGCAGCACGAGGGTGCTGATGCCGGGGCCGGTACCGACGCCGACGCTGGTGCTGCAAGCAGCGGAGCACCAAAGACCGGTGCTCCTACGACTGTCTTCCCAGCCATCAACACGATCACCCCGGATTCCTCGAGTGCTGCTGCCGCTTCGTTTGCCCCACTGGAGGAGAAGAAGTAAGTCTGGATCCAGTCTGCCGCTGCTACCCCTTCCTCAGCCTTTTTTATCTCTGCCTCTTTCTTTTTCCGTCCCCACACGTTTGCCGGCACCGTCCACGGTTACGCCAGGCCTGTCTATGTATCTGTTGTATAAGCTCTAACACTGCAGCCTTTTGATAGGGAGATGCCCCCAGTGCGGCGTGCCAGCCACATTGGGCTCGGATTCGGAGAAGAGTTTCGCTAACCAGCACGGTGCGCCACACTTCGGAGCACGCAGAGTATATAAAGGACGGGGTTGGCGCCCCAGATGAAAGGCCCACAGGGCTCTGAGGGCTCGTTCATGGCAGGTATGCTGCCTGCCGGTGCTGTTTGTTGGCGTGTGAACTATTCGTCGTCTACACAGGGGTTATAGATTGGCAAAGCCCGAGAACAAAGCCCAGAGATCCAAGACGACAGATCCCAGGCAAATACAAAACCGAAAAAAAACATGCATTGACTATACAACGCCCCATACAGAGAAAAAAAGGAACAAACAGCTGTTTTGCCTAGGGCTGGGCATCCGTCCCCTCACCTAGCTGGCCCGGCAAACATCAGGCGGCTCAACACTTGCATCCGTCGGCAGAGCTGCAGTCGCAAGCGGACTTCTTGCAGTGTGCACAGGAGCAGTCGCCTTTGCACGAGCACGTGGAGGTTGGACACACGCACTTGGTCTTGTCGTCCGCACAGGAACCGCACTTGCACTCGCCGGCACACTGGCACTTCTTTGGACATGTGCACTTGCTGGCAGCGGCGGCGCAGCCGCAGGCCGTCTTTTGGCAGTGCGTGCACGAGCAGTCGCCCTTGCAGTCGCACACTGCCGTGGCGCAGACACACTTGGTCTTGTCGTCGGCACACTGGCCGCACTTGCATGCGCCGGCACACTGGCACTTCTTTGGACAAGAGCAGAGTGCAGTCTTCTTGCAGTGCTCGCACGAGCACCCGCCCTCGCACGCACACTCTGCCGTGGCACACACGCACTTGCTCTTGTCTTCAGCACACTGGCCGCAGTTGCAAGCGCCAGCACATTGGCACTTCTTTGGGCACGAACATTTGACGCTGCTGTCGCAGCACGAATCTTTGGTTTTCGTATCGCAGCAAGACATTCTTGGTTGGTTTAGTGGATGGCTAATCGATTGATTGGTTCTGGTTTTGATGAGCAAAGAGTGTTACACACGATCTTACACACGAGTTACGCCTTCCACCCCGTCACACCTCCGACTGTTAGGGGATTGGACACCCGTCTTATATACGCCTTGCGTGCTTTTCGCCGGAACGTCTCTCTGCGCCCTTTTCGCCTGGCTGGACCTGGCGATAGCCCGTGCTGCAGCCAGGCCCCGCTGGCACGCCCTGTGCGGACCGCGCCGACGCGTCGATGCGCCGACGCGTCGGCGGTTTTAGCGGAGAGGGAGCAGCTCGCACGCCCGCAGCGGCGCCCGGCAGAGCGGGCACTCCGCTGCCGCCGCCGCCGACGCCCGGCCCCACTCAAGCACACAGCTCCAGCAGAAGACGTGGCCACAACCGGCCGCCGCCGGGTCCTGCATCGGCGAAAGACACAGGAGACACTGGCGGCTGTGCTGCGCCACGTATGGAAGCTGCGCCGGGTCGGCGAGGTCGATTGTGGCGGTGGCGGTGGCGGTGGCGGAGGACGGCTTTGCGTCGGAGTTCGAACCGTAATCGGAGCTGGAGCTGGAGCCCTTTCCGGTGCCTCGAAACACACCTTGTCCGGCATCCCTGCGTATCTGGACAGCTGTAGACGCTGCGTCGCCCGAAGTGCCGTCGCCGCGGGCGCCAGCCAGCGCCTTGCGCAGCACGGCGCCGTACTTGAGCACGAGCTGCACGACCATGAGGCCGCCCAACACCTCGTAGTTGCCGTTCCCGCCCGCCTGTCTGGAGCGAGCGTCCGGCGTGTAGTTGAGCACGTAGCGCAGGCCAAAGACCCGTTTGGCGAGCTGGTAGTACTTCCCCGTGAAGTAGAAGAGCGCCAGGTGGAGGTTCGTGGCGTCAACAAGGCTCAGAAACGACACCCGCTCGAGCAGACGCCTGAGGCGGGGGTGGCCCGTCGAAACGGCGGAGACGGACGCCGCGAGCTTCAGCACCCGGCTCAGGAGGTACGGCAGCAGCACGTACGCCAGCACAAAGAGCGTGCGCCTGAACACCCCCACGCGGCGGCGGCCTGTCCGGTCGACGTAGCTGAGGTCGACGTACTCCTCGCCAAGCGTCCGGGCGCCGACCGCTGTCGTCGCCAAAAAGTACACGAGCTTTGCCGCCAGCCCGATGGCGGCCCCATGGCCGTGGGCAAACCGGGTCCCCTTGATCTGCTTCACCAGCTCGCTGAGCTTCTTCTCCAAGTCGGCCACCAGGTGTTCGTCCTTCTGGTTCGCCCGCACGATCGTCGGCGCCGTCGCAAAGGGAAGCAGCCGTGTGTACCACAATGGACTCATTCTCTGCTCTTTCCGGTGTCGTGTTGTGTCGTGCTTCGTGTGTCCTTGGGGCCTGTCCGTGTCGGACATGGGAAGACCGAACGGTCACCAGGCTCGTAACGTTTGTATGTACCCGTTGCATTCATGTCGGGCCCTCGCTCTTTTTCACTCCCGCATTTTCGCATTTCCGCATTTTTTTGCAGGCTGCATACGTTAGTGAAGGAGCAAGATAGACATCCTGTTCAGCTTCAGACACACCCAAACCTTTGAACACGGTAGAAGAGCAGCAGTAGCAACAGCAGGAGCATTAAACACAAGCAGTGAAATGCCCAGCAGTGGCATAAGGGATAGTCCGAGCCTGACTCCCCGAGCGTATCTCGATTCCGGAGGAAAGAGGTCGATGACTCAAGGACAAGCCTCCAGCCGAGATACTGTCACCAATGACAATGGCTCTGAAACCGTCAATGCTACGTCTCTGGTTCACACTCTTTCAGCGGCGTCTGTGGCTTCGACAATCAGGGATGAAATAGCGTCTACGATACACCCTTCCGACACAAAACAGGAAAAGCTGGTGGAGAACGAGGTCACTCCGTTCCAACTGGAGTTCTGGAAACCCCAGAACATCATGTCTGTTGAAGACACACCTTTCTCCAACAGATACTTGGTGACACTCATGGTCCTCGCATTTTCTGTCCCGGGAAACCTTGCAAGAATTTCCCTTCAAGGACTCACAAAATACGAAAACTCATACATAAACTACAGCGGTGGAACTGTTGTTTGGGTTAACTTCGCCGCAAGCTTTGTCATGTCATGGTGCAATCATTCCCTTGGATTTTGGTCGCACGTCTTGGAAGGGACCGAAAAGTCAAGCATGAAACAATTGGCACTCCATACAGGACTCACTGGCGGCTTCTGCGGTAGCTTCTCCACTCTCTCTAGCGCATTGATCGAAATCTTCTTCAAGACAATTGACATAGTGCAACTCCCGTTGCCCAATAATGGATACAGAGTGATGGAGTTCTTTGCCTCGTCCTTGGTCACATTTTCATTGCCCTTTTTTGGTCACATCCTGGGAAGACAGTTTGCTTTAGCATTCGACACTTACGTCGTCCCCAGATTCTCACAATTCATAACATACAAGAACATTCGTATTTTTGAGCTCACTTGCGGTTTTGTGGGCATTGCAGCTCTCATAGCTAACCTTGTTTTGACTTGCACCTTGTCTGTTGGATATTGGTACAAAGAATCCTACTCTTTTGCAATACTAATGGGTGCATTTGGAGCTCTATTAAGGTTCAAACTTTCAGCCTTCAATGGTAGGTTCTTTGCACCATGGTTTCCCACTGGTACCTTGATGGCGAACTTGATTGGCTGTCTGTTGATTGCGGTTATAAATCTTCTCGTCACTGGTTACAAGAGCTCAACTACAGATAGCCTTTTAATTTCCAATAAAGTCCACAGGTTTATCTTGAAGGGATTCTCATTAGGGTTTTGCGGAGCATTGACTACAATGTCTTCATTTGTCAACGAATTATACAATTTAAATCATCCTAAACTTCAGCATATTTATTTCTGGGCTACGTTTACTCCTTGCTTCATTTTTATACTATTGATTGACGGCAGCTATGCCTGGACAAGAGGTTTCCAGCATAATTGAAACAACTTCTAATGCTTTTTAAACTTTTTTAATTTTTTATACCCGCAGTAATATCTGTAACTTGATATATATGTTCATGTATGGGTTCATGTATGCTACAAGGTCTATTCAAAGTCCAATACGGTAAACAACTTTCTTACCCTTTTTCCCTTTTACATTCTTTACACTCGTCCCAATAATGTCCAGATCGAACCCATCAGAGGGCGACGAATCTCTACTATCGACGGTGCCAGCACCCCAAGCACCAGGGGTAGAAACAGCAGGCTTAACCCTGGGAATAACTTTCTTTGGCTGTTCCTTGGGTAGGCTTGGAAAAAGGGTTTCATCGACTGGCCTACTTGGCGTTGTTGATCTAGACGTAGTGTAGGACGGTGAAAGAGAAGGTGAAAAGGATGATGACGCCGTAGCTGGCTTGGCCGCAGAAGTCGTCGGAAGAGAAGGATAAGAAGTAGATGCACTTGGATTGATAGTTGAAACTCTCTGGGTGGAACTCCACGGATTTTTGGCTTTGGATTTACCATTTTTAGGAGGAAGTGGGTTATACCCTGGAATACTGTATCCATTGATAGGTGTCGAGTTGGATGATATACCTCTAGTCTGCACTCTTCCAGTTGAACTAGTAGATGAACCTTGACTAGCAGACCTGGTGTTTGCCCAAGAACTTGCTCTAGGCAACTCAGGAAACAATGGAGTGTCATCAACTGGAAGCATCGGCATATTTGAAGATCCCAAAGAAGTTGAACCTGAACCTGAAAGTTTCAGCTTCGAACTGGATCTGGACGTATTGCCTCCACCCCAAAAAGACTGTTGTAACGAGTTCCCAGTTCCAGGCAAAGCGGGAAATCTTTCTTTCAACTCTCTGACTTCTAACTGCGGTCTATTGATAGCCTCTAAATTTTTTCGCAAATCAGATTTTGAAGGAAACAAACCTGATAATTCATAAATGAGTAAGTCATAATCAACATCTTTGCTATCTTTAAATATATCATGATACTTTTCAACAATGTCTTGTGCAGAAAGTGATCCATTGCGGTATTCCTCGTTGGCCACTAAAAATCTGTCAATATTGGGTTTAGAGTAATTCAAATAATGTTTGGCCCTTTCTTCCAATCTCTTCTTCTTTAGTGTGTAGTTGTCATTATCTGAGCTATCTTTGCTTGCTGCAGCTTTACCCTTCTTCTTGTTGTTAGGCACGGTGTATAATTGATTGTTGAATGTGTTGGTTGAAAATAAAATGTTGTTACCCATCAACCCAGCATGCTCTTTAGCCATATGTGTTTGTAGATCAAACTCATCTCTGAAAACGACAAATTTTTGATCTAAGCAAGATTGAACTGTACATACATAGTGGGCAGACCTAAAATGCTGTGCTAGATGTTCATAATTTCTAAAGTATTGAGGGTTATTTGGGTCTATTTGTTGACATATGTGGCACCTTTCATGGTGATCCCTCATATGCACATAAAGCTCGTCGTCGGAGTAAAACCGTTTGTTCGTACAAAACTTGCACTCCGGATGCCCGTTGAATCCAATACTGTCCCCTTTGGTTTGATGCTGGTGCAATTGCTTTCTGTTATAGAGCTTCAACTCCGATATAAAGGCCTTTTTAAACTTGGCACACAACTCACAATAATATTTATCATGAGCTTCCTTAACATGATTATTCAACTCTTTGAAATTGTTAAGTTTTCTCTCATGAAAGTTACACGACTTAATCGGACATTTATACTCTAATAATCTTAGAGTTTCATCCTTTGCGTACTCGCTTGTAAACCTTACACCATGATCACCCTTGAAAGCCGGTATAAAATCTGATTTACTTATCTCATCAAATTTATCATATTTCAGATTTTCAGTGTAAATGAAATGTGGTACTTCTGTTCGGCATACCAAACATTGATCTTTCTTGTATAGTGCTACATTTCGAAATGAACACATTTGACAAACCCTATGATTACATGGAGATAAAGAAGCAACTTTAATATTTTCTGCACAGATCAGGCATGTTTCGTCCTCACTTTTGCTCAAATCTTGATTAACATTCTTCACTTCGCCAAAACTATCTTGCAAGTTGACATTTGCTGATGAAGAGTCACTATTGCTTCCACTTCTGGGCTGCAAAACCGTATCGTTCTTCTTTTTTCTCGATTTGCTTTTCTGTGATGTAACACTCACGTTTTCGGATGCCATTGAAATTAAGTTTCAAGAGTTGAGTCAAAATATTGGCAAAAAGGTTATATCGTTAAGGTTTTGTAAGTTAACAGCCCAAGTACTGAAGCGACGGCTACCCTCTTCTTTGTTCTTTCTGCTTTTGCAATTGGATTCAGAACGAATAATAATCTGCAAAATCAGTCAAAGTTTGGCACTTCGATGAAAAATCATCGACGCGTCGACGATTTTCTGTTCCCCATGGTTTTCCACATTTGACAGGTGAACCAGGTTAATGGCTTTGGAAGCTATCTACTGTTATGGAACGAAAAATCATTTTCTAATCTTTGTGATGTAAAAATAAGTTCTTCAAATCCCTATTTGAACTATTTAAGCAACATTAAGGTAGAGAAATAATCAAAATGTCGGGTTTTAATTTGAGCGCAACGTTAAATATAGTGCGATTGGCATTCAATCCACAACTTTGCATGCCACATCTGGTGGTGCCGACGTTCAATGGTATACCAGTTCCAATTCCCAGTACTGACTCAAAAATCAAAGCAGTTGTACTTGATAAAGACAACTGTTTTGCCAAAGCTCACGATGATAAAGTGTGGCCAGAATATACTGAAAAGTTAGACATGTTGAAGAAGGAGTACCCTGGTGCAAGTATGCTCATAGTGAGCAACTCAGCGGGCACTAACGACGACAAAGAATATCTCCAGGCCGGAATACTTGAAGAGAAGACAGGTGTACGAGTTTTAAGACACACTACGAAAAAGCCTGGATGTCACGAGGAAATAATGCAGTTTTTTAAACAGCAAGGTGTCTGTCAACACCCGTCGGAAGTTGCGGTGGTTGGAGATAGACTATTCACAGATATGATCATGGCTAACATCATGGGAGCAAAAGGAGTTTGGGTTAATGTTGGAGTTGTGCAATCAAATAGTCCAATTTGTAAAATTGAAAGGTGGTGGTACTCCACTTTCAAATGACCCACACTAAATTGAGACTATAACAGTCTGATAATACGTACAGTTTTACCAAGAATAAATTACCAGTTGATTATGCTCAGCGTTTACTTTATTACTTGCCTCTCAAGAGCCCACATTTTGTAAAGCGTACCCAGGAGAAAAACTTACCCAATAATAGGTTTTTTTGCTTCTGAGCCTTTTGGTTGGCGGCTGTGCAGGGCTACGATCCTCTTTTGACACGAATAGCCCTCCTTCTTAATCATAGTTGGAAATCCCCACAAGACCTTTTGGAAGTGCTTGCCGTGTAATTTAAACAGGCTCAGTATTCATTAGGGCTTGCGTATTCTTTGCTATGACAACAAGAACAGTCAATAATTTTAAGACTTTGCGGGAAATTCTTGACTACAATGATAGGTTGGTCCAGGAGAGGAACTTGCAAGAACACCATGAAGAACTTACAACAGAATCGAATTCTGCCAAGACCTATACTCTTAAGAAAACTACTGCACTCTCAGTGCTAAACTGGGATGCTGTTTTCTCCAACCAGAAAGTTTTTGCTTGCATGATGTTGATGCTAATCACAGTTTTATCTCAGCTTGTATTCAGTTACGTTACTTTTGCACTAGTTAATGTTCAGCAGAGCTTGGGGTTGTTCTATTTGTCACAAGCTCTGAATTTGTTTTTCTCCTACGTGATGCCCCTTTCTTTGATCAAAGAAATGGATGAGGTTTTTGAAACCCCCGTTGCACAGCTCTCGAGTGAGATTGAGATCTATAGACAGTTGAAAATCAGTGTTATGATTTATTGCGTTTGCACCATAGTATCTGCTGCAGCTTTAGCAAGTGTCTTTTCTAGTGGACCTTTCATAGAATTAAGGTATAATTTTCAGGAGCTACGGGACGTTCCAGTGGATCTGACCAGTTTTGTCCGGGTACTTCAAATAATATCTTTCCAGCTAACGTTGATTAACTTAATTTTGTGTTCCATTAATTTGTACATAACCGATCGCAAAATTCGACGCTGTTTCAACAGGATTGAAAGATTACAAGATAGGGCTGATTTAGAAATTATGTTTAATGAGAATCTAATTGAACAAAGATTTGATAATAATTTTTTTTAGAGGAAGATAATTTATAAAATTGATAGATATAACTGTGTTGATTAGCTATGATTTAATTTAGCCATGATTAGTGCACAAAAGTTTACAATGTGATAAAAAAATCGATAATTATAGTATATTACAATATAAATAGAAAGCAAGAATAAAACTTCACAAATGCCAACAATACTAATCTAATAAAATATTTTCACAAGTAAGCCATCCAAAGAGTATCTGTACTTGCCAAATTCCTTGGATTGACTGCATGTGTGATTAAGTTCACCACAAATTGACTTGAAACAGATTGGCCAAAGTTTTCAGTATTAGCCAGTTGGGTGATCCTTTTGATTAAATATTCAACGTTGACTCTCACAATCTCTCTCAAATTAGGAGTATCTTGAGTTGAAGAGCGTACCCTTTGTGCATACCAGGATTGAATCTCGTCTCTAATAAACAAGTTTAAGAAGTGCTCGATTTCATATTGTGGATCAGCCAAACACTGTGCAATGATCATAAGATGCATCGATAATATTCCTTCGGAGCCAACTGGACCAATCAACTCTTGAATATTAGGAGTCAACCTGAATGGAACCAATTCCAGTGAACAGAACATTGGCGCAGCACGTTGGGCTGACACATCTAAAAAGCTGTTTTGGAAAATGTTGTGTGGTGTTTTGCCACCAACAACCTTATACGGCAACATCTCGGAAGTCCAAACTCTACCTGAACCTTGATGTATATGTATTTTTTGTGGCTGACGTGCATTAATACATAGCATGTATGTTGCAAAAATGAAGGTAGCATATTGTGAACTGAATTGTTTGCGGAACACCCAAAAATCTTCAAACTTAGGATAATAGTTCAAAAAATAATTCTTCATAATTGTATTAGGAACGAATAATGATTGGATTGAACTCAAAATCTCAGTTTTCACACTTAGAACATCAGGACGTGGCAGCCTTGGGTCGTATGCAGCATGTAACTTTTCAATTGTGTACGCAAGAGGTTCATCTCGGTTTTGGTTTTTGATCTTGCAGTAATCCTCATATATAGTAAGCATATTGATGTACTTCTCATCATCTGAAACCAATCTTATATGTGGAGATAAAGGAACCGCTACAGGCAATGTGAACTCTACGTGCCGGCGCCTAGTTTGAACTGTTCTTGCCAATTGATCATTGAATAGTCTAAACAATTGAAAAATACGTTCTTCTCTCCTACAGTGTCTTGCCGCTGGGAATTGAACTGCAAACTTGTGTAAACTACCATCATGACCACGAATGGTGATGCGCTTGTAACACGCAGTAGGGCCACGAATCATTTCTATTGTAGGCATGAACCTTTCTATTTTGATAAAATATTGATTGCTCTCTTTGTTCAACAAATACTGTCCCGGAATCTCAATATCTTCGAACTTTTGATGATGGAATTGACTTAAATGAGGACACACCCTTTCCAAATTAACTTTACCGTATGTTCTGTCCAATTTCTTTTCCAAACAATCCTTCCATTTCTTCAATTTCGAAATATAGGTCTCGAGATTAGGTTTACTTTGAATCAAGTCAACTTCAAACTCTTCTTTAATATGTTTGGGCAAAACAGTATTGGCAAACCGAACTATATTAGCCTCAGTTGATGGTGGCAACCTTGCATCTTCCTTTGGATTCGAAAGTCTATTAAAATATTGAACTCCATCATTGTAAAGCGCAACCACCAATCTGTATGCATCACCATCATGATTTGACTTGAATCTTTGGCTGATTTGATCAACCAAAGATTCCAATGATAAAGCTAGTAATGGGTAAGCAGTCTTTAGTATTCCCATAATTTCATCTATATGAATCCAAGGTTTAATCTGGTTAGATTGAATGGAAGATGTATTAGGAGCAGGAGAGCCTGCTGGGGGACTTCCGACGGGAGTATTCATACTGTTCGAGTTACTGCTGCTTACAGGAATATTGCTGTTAGGTGTCATAGTAGCTGATCCTGAGCTTGCGAGTTGCTGTCTCTGCAATACCGCAAAATCTTCTTTTGAGGTTCTCAATTGGAAGTGCAACGCTTGGGGATACGATTTTGCAATCTTTATCAACACTTTGCGAGCAAAGTTGGCTTCCTTGTGAGATAGAGCAGATAAAAGTTGAGGAATGAAAGTGACCCAATACCAGACAGGCATGTCACCTTGATGAGACTCGAAGGACTCAGTTAAAGTTCCAGTACTATCATCCAAACTGATCAACCACAAAATACGGCATAACAAACGTCGTGCTTTATTGTTCTTGTAAAGGCTTGCAGCTTGTAAATAGCAACTTATTGCATGCTTTGCAAAATTGATATCATTACTTTCTTTAAATCTTCGATCATTGAAGAAACCCCACTCAGCCCAAGCTTTAGGCAAATTCAAGTCTAGCTGCACAGCAGTAGCAAAAGCTTGATTTGCTTCATCTGGAACATTTAGCTTTGCCAAAAACATACCCTTCAATGTAATAAATTCAGCCTTTTGCTGTGCCGCAAAGTAAACGAGGTTTGTGTTACTTATAACATCAAGACCAGTATTAAGCTCTGCCGGATTTTGATAATGACACTTTGCCTGCTCTCTCAACTTCAAAAATGCTTCTTGAATCTCAATGTTTGGAAGAGTGTATATCTTAGTCAACTGGTTGATACATACATCAGGCATTTCATGTTTTCTTGCAACATGGGCAAATCTGTTAATCACCCATGCAATTTCATGGTACCCACGGAAAGCATATGAATTATTGTTGTTATTGGTTTGCTGGAGTGCAGGAATTAATGGTATGTAAACCTTATTGATAACTTCAAAAGCATGCTTCCGCCAAGTCACCAAATCATTCCAGATATTAATATCATCCCAAGTATTAGGAAGTCTTTCCCTCCAGGCTTGTAAGACACGTTTCAAATCTTGAGATTTTATATCCAAGTTTTCTGCAGTTGTTGACGTCAAGCTCCTATAAACTTGAGTTGCCTCTATAAATTCAACGTACTGTTGAAAGCTATGAAGCAAAGATATGTGCGCATCAGTCATTCTTTGTGGTAATGTATACCACTTTCTGAGTGCTAATTGTATACCTTCGTCAACCTGCCTTGTAACGTTTTGAATTGTTTCTGTATTATGCGCGTAGCCCTGCAAACACAGGAATGCTTGGAACATTTGTCTTCTTGGAGTAGGAACATCCATTACAGTTTTTGTTGATTGCTCTAAAGGCTCCCTATCAGCAATCCAATCGGCAACTCTCCATCCACATTCAAGTAAAAGATCAGTGAAACCTTCATGCTTTGCAAGTTCTGTTAGAATATCCCAGCATTGCAGCTTTTCTGCACACAAAATCCAGTTATCTTCCCAAAGTGCATATTCGCTTTCGCTGTAAGGAAGAATACTACTACGAGCTTTTACCTGAGCAGTTTCATATAACTTCATAGCTTTATCCCACAGGCCGATTTGCTCGTATGATAATGCAGCATTGGTTTCAAAATACTTAGAACGTCTACGCCACAGACCATAGAACATATCATCTTCTTGCAAGTTAGCATACATTTCGACTAATGCATCTCTGTTGGCTTCTTTGATTTTAGAATTCTCAGTTATAGGACTTGCCTCAATTTGCTCCAATACCCTGACACCAGAATACCAAGCATCGTAATTGATACCAAGGTACTTGACTAAATGGGGTGGCAGTTGCAAGTCAGAGCACTTTCCTGCCGCAGTTAGCATAGTATTGATAACATTTGGCTTACCTTCCTGTTGACGCATGTGATAGTCCTTGGATAACAATGTGACAAATGCGTATAAAAAGTCTGATTTGTCCTTTTGATCGATTGAATTGTACACTATTGGAAATAAGTTACACCAAGACTTGTGAATTGCCTCTGGACTTTGGTATGAGATGTCTAGCAAAGGATTCAAAATATCGGATACAGTCGTTTTCAAATTACTGCCGATAAAAGCTCTGTGCTTCAATAACAACTTTTTGATATCGTCTGATGCTGCTTCAACCTTATTGTCAGGTAGGACTACTTCGATTTCATCAAGGCCTGCAAGTGTATTTTCTGTATGTGATAATTTGAGAGGGTAGTCAAGATCAAAAGCACCATAAAGAATTTGTGATGCCTGGTTCAACCAAGGGTACTCAGATAGATATTCCCAGTTTTGTTCACGAATGATGTAAAATAGCCTACTTTTAATATCTTTTTCCAACGAGTTATTTAGAATAGACATCAACTCTTGACGTATTCCGACATCCGATATTTTAGTGCCGACTAGGAAAGGATGTTCCAATCTAAAGGTAAGCTCGCTATAATTCAGACTCTCATCTTTGAAAATATCCATTATAATCTGGTAGTAAATTTTGGTAAGTTCGGAATCACCTTTTAGCTCGTATGTCATCATTTTAGAAAGTATTCCAGCTTTTTCTTTGGCAGTAGGAACGACATTCGACGTTGAAAACAGCCATTCTCTGACAATGTTTGCAATGGTTGTTAGCAAAGCTTTATCAATTGATTTGTCAATAAGCTGCACCAACAAAGAAAGATAAATCCTTCTTTGATCACCAAGGGATGATATCTGAGTAGCTCCAAAAGTTAGTAATTTTTCGACTAGTTTTGTAGTCATCTTTGATTCATGCTCACCAGAATTGCCGTTGTCTACCGCGGATTGATGCTTTCCTTGACTTGCTAGTGTGACGTGATCCTTTACTAATTTTCCTAAAGTTCTGATGATCAGTGGCACTTGCGGATCAAGCAATTGTGGCTTAAATTGGGATATTGTAGATATTAAAGTGACACCAGCAGCAACAGAATTCATAATTCCTAAATCTTCTGCAACAACTGACACTAAGAATTTCACGAAATTGAGACCTTCACTGTCCTGTACATCTTCTTCCAAAGATGACTCTACTTGTACCGCTTGTAAAATCAATAAAAGAACACTTTGCAAGGCCTCCTGAATATCATGATTGTTAGACTTGATGCACTTTTCTAATAAAGTTTGCAGTTGAGATAAGTTGGAAATAATCCATTCTGAAGTTTTCCACTCAAGCGCAATGTTCAGCACTTCTAAAGCATTCAAACAGTAAACAAGCATGTTGCTTACATTAGAATCAGTGTTGACCAAAAATTTCTCAAAGAAGGTTAGCTTAACAGAAACGTCAGGCCAAAAACCTGGAGACAGTAGAATATGAAGTATGTTCAATGCACGACGACCAAGCTCATTTTCAGAAGCTCTTTGTGGACAAATGCAGACGTAACGGATCAAAAACGTAATGCAAGTATCCCGTTGGCCGAGAGGAACCGAGTATATACGCGGTAAAGCTGTTGCGGTCTTTCCTTCTGCTTTATCCTTAGTTGTAAGCTCATCTTTCTGAGGTTGCTGATCAACTTCCATTGCATTATCGTCACCAATGTCCTTCTTATCAACTTCCATTTCATCATCTTGAATCAGAGAAACACTTTCGCTTTCTTCCTCAACTGAGATCTTTGCCTTAGCCTCCCAATGCAGAATTAATTCCGCCAAGTCTATAGCTAAAATTTGATTTTCTGTAGCAGAGTTGTTGATGACCGTTAATTTTCCCATAGCCGTTATAATATTAGGTATAAACTGGTCTCTTGCAGCATAAAACAAATCTGAGTGGTTCACAATAAATTGATAAATATTTGAGACTTGGGTAACAACGAAACCATCTTCAGATAAAATTCTTCTTGTCCAATTTAACCACTCTCTACCAGGGCCTAGCTTCTCATTCAAGTAAGGCGCTAGTAGATCAAGAGATTGCCTAACCATGAACTTGACATCATTCTGATTAGCCTTCAGAAGAGCAACAAAAACTTGGATAACAATTTTAGCAGGAGTATCAAATGCTCTGATAAAATGAACAGTTGAGATATAAGCAGCCTGCTTTGATATACTATCTTCTAGACTAATGAAATTCCAGTTGAACTTAATGATATCTTTCTTCCAGTCAACGACAGCATCTGGGTAATATGTTACCAGTAAAGATGTGAGTTGTAACAACTCTACTCTGTATTTGTCGACAATACATGACTCTACTTTTGGACTATCCTTTCCAGATTTCCAAATCTTCTCGCCGAAGCAAGTGAGCCAGGGTGCGGCGTTGCCGTTACTCTTCACCAGCTTAAGATTCTCGTTTCTTCTTGCATAAAAGTAGCATAATGGAATGACTATATGTTTAAGCAAGTAAATCTTGGTTACAAGTTGATATTCTGGATCGGTTATAATCTTGGTAATATCGTTTAGATATCCCAAACTTGTGTTCACATCGTCTGATTTGATAATGTCATTCAGGATAAAGTCACTAAAGTCAGTATGGAAAGCAATGTCATTTAAGCACATATAGTCGATGAGATTTATAACACTTTTCGTGTCAGTTTTGTTTAATCTCAAGTACTTAACATATAATTGTTGAAGCTTTTCTGTCGATTGATCAAGCTGGAAGTGAATAGGGGAGGATATTGATGATTCTTTCTCGTAGCCCAAACAGTCAATTGTTATGCTAGCCAATTGCTTTAACAGACCTCCCGCAGAAGTAAACCATTCAGTGTCTTTTTCTGAAAGGGATTCAATAGAATCTATCATATTCACCAACATCACACATTTGACATCATGATTTGCTTCATTGATTAGTAGATCCATAAATGTCGTGCTAGTCTTTTTGAATTCATTTCTCAACTCTGAACATTCTTTACTTCCTATAAAATAAGCAAATCTTGAGCCATAGTTTCTCGAGCTAAAGTGCTCTTTCATAAATGCAATGGAATGTTCCGAAAATCGATTCAAAAAATTTCCAATGGGAGCTCTAAATGGAGAGCTGTAATGACGACGGAGATTAGTTTCAAGAAATAATAAAGTTTCCATCAATTCTTTTAAAAATGTGTATGCTTGAGATGGAAGAAGATGAAATATTTTAAATATCGCAACAATTATTTGAACCGTCATGTTGCTGTCAAGCTCCTGCAACGATATATGTTGCAATATTCCAGGCTGTGCCCAGGCCATTAGATGGTCTAGCAATTTTCTTCCAATTTCAACCTTGAAGTAAGATATCAATAACTCAAGCAATCTCGACAAAGCCTCTAATCCAGAAACAGTTAGCTTCTTGTAATCTGACAAGTTCATCAACATAGGACGTAAACCACTTTGTAGCAGTTCCTTTGGAAGTTTTGAATTCTGAGAAAGAACCTTTTTTAGACCCGAGTGGGCAGCATTGATTATCCTTGAGCTTTTAGAACAAAGAGTTTTGAAAAAAACACTGAGTATTCTTATTCTTACTTGACTGTTTGAGAATTCTTTTTTGGTTAAAGCCAATGAAAGTAATTCGATACAAACAATTCTCAAATTAATCAATTGTTCAGCAGTGCTGTGCTCTGATATATTATTAATATTAATCAAAGATTCGTCGTCGGCATCAACTAATGCTAAAGCTTCAGATAGCAGTCTATTGAGCTCATCGTTAAACTCCAAAAAAGTGTCATCCAATGCTAGGCAGAAAGTAATGGCGTCAATATTTCCGATCTGCATGTGAAACGGTAGTGCTCTTAATGGTTTACCAAAAATTGGCGCCAAAAGAATACCTTTGCTAGGCGAAATCATGGTGGATATTGGAACTGACGTGACTTCTGATAAGGTTTCAAGAGCTTCCTTTGCTGTCCCCCTAACTCTTATACTAGAATTGCTTAGGTCAAACACAATCTGGCTAACTATAGATTGAAATGATTGCTGAAATACTGCCTCCTTTGACACCTCTTTGTTACAGTTTCTAAGGATTTTCAAAATAATACTTTTGGCAATTGCACAAACTTCAGATGGAACATCATCCGGTGTATCTCTTAGGACAAAAAACATTGCTCTTGAAATCTCAAGCTGCCTGACGCCAAAATATTCATATGGAATATTGAGGTCTTCAATCATAATTTTTAGCCCCAAACAACCTCCAAGCTTATCATAATAAGCATCCTCAAAACAGCAGTGAATAAAGGTAGAGCACATTCTTCTAATAGGCATGAATTTTAAAGCTCCATTTATAGAACCAAATAAAGTGACACACGTGTCAAAAATGGTTTTGATTGCGAATTTGCCAACATCTCTAACAGAACTGACATAATGACTTAATGAGTAGGAGATTACTTCGTATATTGTATTAGTGTTCAAAAAATGCTTTCCTTCATTATTAGCAATTGAAAAACGTCTTGAAATCTTATGATGATCAATCATCGCTTTACTCAAACTTAACAAAACATAGTGCTGACAAATTCCTTCAATCAAAACATACGACTCATCCCTTACTTCATCTAACGATACAGAAAAAAACAATGATTTCAGTAGCCTAATAAGAAGTTCTTCTTGTCTGTCAAACTTGACTTGATCCTTGGTATCATCGGCATCCAAATGGATAATACTGTGATCAATAGGTTCTTTTCCTTCCTGAAGAATGAAATTCACAACTTGCTGGACACGAAGCTCGTAATTATCAGGAATATCATCTGAGTTTATTAGTAGCTTCAAAATGGTAGACAAGTATTTGTATGCGCTTACTCTGTAATGAAGTTTGTAGCGAACACTCTCTAATGTATTCAAAGCAGTGTTCACCGCAGCTGTGAGGGAAACAGGTACGTCATTTGAAATTCCTTCGATCTTGAACATACCATCCAATTTTTGATCTGTTACCATTTCACCTGAAAGGTCATCATGCAAATTCATGAAGTTTCTATTTCTTCCGCCTAACTTTCCGAGAATTCTAAGTGTCGTGTGAGAATGTTGATGGTAGTAAGGAAGTGGCTTCAAATGCTTCCATAATGCTTTCATAACATCTTCGATGACGGGTTCAATTATAGGATCAAAATATTCAGCTGTTAAATTATCCACACATAATTCTAAAGTCCTGAGACCTTGGCTGATCAAATCTTGGGAACCATTTAGCGCATAAACTAACGGCTTCATCAAGTAACTTAGATAAGGCACCAGGACACTTAGCCTAACTGGTACCGTCAAACATAGTTCGACATAGATATCTCTTTCATGTGGCCGGCGAGCTGTCTGGACTAGTCTATTCAGGGATTCTAACAATACTTGTAACAATGGCAAAATTTCCTTGTATAATGATTCGAATCTTCCGCCACCAATACTTCTAAACAATGTACGAATCAAATAAAAGTAAACAATTGGCTCTTTTGTTTTCATCGAATAATTCAAACAATCTAATATTAATTTATTGAGGTGAGGCAGTATGACGTTTTCATTAGCGGTGGGGAACAAGTTGACTGACATAAAACACAATTTGAAGAGCCTTATCAAAATGTTAGATTTGACTATATCCATATCTCCGAGTTCGTTCAATTTTGAGATGACAAATACAATCAATAAGCTAGAGAAATTTGATGTTGTTATCTCACTAGCAAGAAAAAATTGAGGTATGTGTAGTAAAGCAGGGTTATTTAAAGTGGCCTCAAAAAGGTTCGGTAATTCTGATTGCACAATCTCGTTAAATGCTGCAGGCTCAAGGTATACGAAAATTGTTGCCAGGATTTCCATTAAGTCTTTTTCCTCTTTTGATGACGTGATAGGAAGGCTTGGACCTGTTATATCGAATGTCTGTTTGAGTGCAGAGCTGATTGTCGTAATTTTGGAGCTCTGAAAAAATTTCAGTCCTCCAATTGATTCTTTAAACAACCGTTTAAAAATGTTCAACTCTTCAATTGTTATGATTCTTGCACTTTCCTGCCATACTTGATGAGAATAGTCCTTGGGAGCAGCTAAGTTACAGCTTTTGAATCCATAGCAAATAGATTTCAAAAAAGTCATCAGAGTTCTAAATAGGTATCTCGCACCATCCAGTGGATCTTGAGTTGGGGGCTGGAAAATTTGAATTGGTAGCTTCCGTTCGATTTCTGCAAATGTAAGGTTTGTAACAAGATCTTTTTCATCATCAACATCCATTTTATTTTCTGAAGCTTTGTCATCAAGATGTAGCTTTTCTGAAAGATTTCGAATGTGATAGTTTTCGTCTAAAGATCTACCAGTTAAGTCTTTCCCGTAAGTTTCTAGCTCTTTCAATTTTAGAGCTCTTTCCTTCCTATTGTTTTTGAAGTCCTCGTGTTGCTTCATTATATTATCGTATTGGCAGTTTAAGGATTCAAACCTTTTTCCGAATGTATCTATTATGAGCAAAATTATTTGCCTTGAGTCAGCTTTATTTTCAAGCTTTAATATTCTATCCATAAGATTCAAAAGCAATTTCGCACTCATTATATGCACCGTTTGAGCCAACGTGTCGTCTTGTAGATAACCGCTATATGTCTTGACACTTTTCCATATTTGTTCAGTGGTTAGAGAACCATTAACGTGGATAAAGTCTGCAACAATAGAGTATGCTAATGGTCTGAGTGTCTCATGTGCCGTTAAGCCATCACCAATCAAAATGTTATCATCAAATAGCAAATCAATTTTTGGAAGAAAAAGTGTTCTGAAGTTTGTGGATAATACGTGTCTAGTAGCGTGAAGTAATTCCCTTCTGGCAGCAGATAATTCTCTAGGGCAATCTTGCAAAAGTCTTATTATCAATACAGGAATTTCTTGTTGATATGCCTCAATGTTTGAAGAGTTATTTTTTCTAATGAAAACATACGCCATGAATGATGAGGCCTTAACTTGAGCAAAATTAAAATCATTATAAACTGGGTTATTATGAAAACAAGGTGCAATTTTTACAACATTTCTATGTTCAGCATTTGCCTTTTCATGTTCTGCTCTTTGAGCTGGAGCTTGAAGTTTTAGCACATTTATAACCAGAGGTAGAATAGTACCGACTGTTGAATCCAGTAACGGCTTGTATGTACTGTATAATGAAACAAGGGTGATTGGGCATTCAGATGCCATTTTGAAGGAGTGTGTAGCTTTGAATAGTGTATGTGTTGCACTAACATCATCAGTAGATGCAAAGTCTGAAGGAGAAGATAGAGAGGATTTCTCAAACTCAATATTTGAATTCTCTGATGTTAATATTGCCTCTTCTTTGGTAGAACCATTTGCTCCTGGGCTTGCTAAATCATCTTCCATTTTAACATCCGAGCCGCCCTTGCTTTCGCTTTGGTTTTCCTCTTTCTGTTCGATCTCATTTTCGCTTTCAGCTTCTTTCTCTTTTCGAACTTCAGCGATTTTGATTTCTGGCTCAGCGTTGGCTTCAGATTCAGATTTAGAGTCAACCTGCTTTTCCATCTTGACCTCTATAGACTCTTCAGAATTTGGTTCTGTTTTGCCAAACTGTTCATCAACCAAATCTGATAAGTTGACATAAACTAATTTCAAAAACTCCATGTATTCATCAACCTTAGACGACAAGAAATTTTTGTAAGATTTGTGTAATGAGGTAATGATTTTCATACATTGCAACCCATTCTCCTCGTTATCTTCTTTCAAAACGTCCATCAAGTTATCTGAGACTGTCATAGCATAAGGTTGGAATGTTTCATTGACAGGTAACCTATGAATAATATCTAAGATCAAAAATCGTAGTTTCTGCTCGGGAGAGTTTGCAACAAAAGAAACAGGGACAGTTTTCAGATGCTCAAAAAACACATTCAACAACTTTTTCAAAAAACATTCATATTCGTTAACTCCATGGTATGTTTCAAGTGTATCACATAATTCTGAAAATAGTGAATGCTTTGACTTATAATCCAGTGATTTATCCTCCAGCTTCGCAACAAAGGCATCTAGATGCTCAGTATACGAGGTCATTGGAAAAAGAGGAGGAGCTAAAGAACTGGATATAATTGGTTAACACACGTTTTTGTATAAGGTATATAAACTAGAAACAAACTTTCTGAGAAGTACAAGCTAAGCGTGTTTAAAACTAATAACATGCGTGATGGAAAGCTATCTATGTGACGGGATCGTTGCAGAGCAGTGAAAAAAAAAAGTGCGAACTTCATTTACCCCCAACACGTATCGGTCACGTGACTGTGTCTTTTGCAAAATCACCAACGTAGCGATCCCATAACCTTTCGTAGTCGTAAAGTAACAGGTGGAAATCTTCCAAAGAAACAGTAGTTCCTGATTGTTTCCGTGTAAATGTTAGATTCCAGTAGTGTTGTGGAGTGAAGAGATGTATTGCCCCGTATTTCGAGCTGGAATCACCGTATTTCTGGGACTCGAGACTATCATCACTGCCTATTAGGGGTTTCTCAAGTTCAATACTTGGATATATGTTTTCTTTATCGCTTGAGTTGTCCAGGTCACTGTCACTATAGTCACTTTCTTGTTTCGCATTAGCAGCCAGAAGTTTCGTTCGCTCAGAATTAAAGATTTCATCGTGCCCTGCAAATGGAGAAATCAAAGCAAGCGGTTTTCTTTGCAACGGTGCTCTGAACCTTTCAAAGGTTTTTTCGGGTGCAATATAGTTCTTAGAGTAAATTTGGTTGAGATTTTCAGCTCGCTCTGTATCTTCGGGGAAACCTGAAGATTCACTAAGTTCTGCCTGTTTTGTTGGATTCAGCTCGTTATCACTGGAAAAATTTCTTTTAGTAAGAACAGTATCACTGATCATTCGAAGACCACCGTACTTGTTTGATTTTTTCTGTAGTTTGGAGTGTTGCAAGTCAATTTTACTGCTACTTACTTGCTCATGTTTGAAGCACTGAAGGTTTTTTCTCTCTGCTTTTGTCTCTGGCAAATCTTTGTATATGGCAAATTCTCTATTAAGCGGATTCTCATATTTATTGCGTGCTCTAATCTCAGATGCGTACTTTTTGAACTTTCTTTCGTCTTCACCCGTTGGCTCATTAACATTCTCAACAAGTGGCTCTGCATTGAACCTCAAATCCTTGACGTCGGTACGGGCTATTTTCTCGAAACTTCTGCCATTTTCCACCATACTCTTATGAGCCAACTTTTATTCCTTGAAACTATTTGCTTTTCTTTCCTTCTTCATATATATGCTAACTACTTTGTTAATACCGTTCGTACTTCGTGCAAGGGGAAACCCATGCAGGGAATCTGATCTATTTCCCTTTTTGGCCAACTCCGTTGCTTGCTTAATACGCCACACTCAATTCAAGTTCGTGGCGCGGTAACATGTTATAAAAAAGTATTTTATTCTAACTTTTTTTTCACATCTTTTCTGATATTTTTCACTGTGTTTGAAGCACGTAAATAGAACATCTTTGAACGGTATAGTTCGATATTTCTGTTATTATAAACCAGAATATAATACCTGTGCATAGAACACAATATGGGTAAAGCCAAAAAGACGAGAAAGATTTCCGTGAAAAGGATGGTCAAGGCCGATGACCAGAGAATCAAGAAAAATCAAGATAAAACAAAAGAGCCCGAGGAAGACAAAGAATTGATTAGATCTGTGCCTCAAGTCTCTTCTGCCTTGTTTTTTCAGTATAACCAGTCTATCAAACCTCCATATCAAATTATAATCGATACAAATTTTTTTAATTTTAGTATTCAGAAGAAAATAGACATCGTGAGAGGAATGATGGATTGCTTGCTTGCCAAATGTATACCCATGGTGACGGATTGTGTTTTAGCAGAGTTAGAAAAACTAGGGCACAGATACAGGATAGCACTCACTTTGGCTAAGGATCCAAGAATTCAGCGACTTAAGTGCTCGCACAAAGGTACTTATGCTGATGACTGTATAGTCAGTAGGGTCATTCAAAATAAATGTTACATAGTGGCCACAAATGATGCAGATTTGAAAAGGAGAATAAGAAAGGTTCCTGGTATTCCCGTAATGAGTGTCGGAGGGCATTCATATCTTATCGAAAGACTACCGGACGTGTTTTAATCGTGGCAATATACCACATCAATCATGAATCAGGGATCGTTAAAACTTGGAATAAAATCTGCAAAAAAGAAATTAAATAGCTATGTATACATTTAAGTATAAAAAGTCGCATGACTACCACTTATAGGGCTTGTCAGGGCAATGGCCCTTCCAAAGTGAATTTCTCATTTTCCTGCATACTATTTCTATAGTAAGAAAGAAAGTGAGATCGAGAATCATGCCGGCGCTAACATTTGAGGCTCGACTGCGAAAGACGATAGACATGCGCCTTCGAGCTCTGGTGTAACTAACTACTCTGCTAGGGCCTTCTTTAGAGGTTATCATTGTATGTCATTGCAATCGTATTAGATCAGCAACCAAAATGACATCAGACGAAGACATCAGCATGACGAATAATTCCGACGATAAGTCCTCTGCAAACCTTGCTGATCTGCACGAATTCACCAACGTCGCACACCCAGCACACTCTACAAAGGTTCCGCCACCTCCGCCTCCACCACGTCACCCAACGCAGCCATTATCACCAGATTCTGCACCTCCTTCTTACACTTCTCTGAATGATGACTTTAAAGAGTTTCCAAACCATCTGATGGCAAGACCTAAGACAAACATCTTTCTTGACACAGAAATAAGAGAAAAACTAACATCCTCACTAAATCAGTATAATCCAGCTATTGAGTCTACTGCTGATGCTGAACAAATCTCGGTTGATGACTATATGTCAAACAAAAGTGACTTTTATACCGAGATATCCAAAATGGTGAGAAAGCAGAATGAATTTGGTGTGTTGTTGCCTTTGAGGTCAGACTTATTTGAGTCATACTTGGCCGCCTTTCTAATGGTGCTATCACAAATCCCAAAGTTCAGTAATCTTATATTGAAACATGAATTCTTGCTACTTGGATACAAACCAAATTGGTGGAATAGGGAAAAATGCTCAGATAATCCGTTGTTACTACAAGAAGTGCAACGTTTGATTGCCTTTCTAAATGGTAATTCTAACAGATCATTTGCGTCCTTATTCAATATAATCAATTGTGCAAATAAGTTGGTTAATGAAGAAATTGAATCTGGATCTGATTTCCAGAACTTCATTATGGGTAACATTGTAACTTCAGTATCATCTATTGATCCCTCTTCAAAGAAGCCCCTTGAAGATATGTTCAAAGTAGTTGGAGGATATAACACCGATGTGAGTTCAGGAGAAGAAGAATATTACAATATACCCATAACGAATGATGATTTATGTCCTGACTTGTATCAAACCATTCACAGACAGTTTTTCCAAGATGACAATGATAGCTTTTCGGATCGTATTTTCTTACATACACTTCCAGACGTATTGACAATCGTGTTTGAGCCCGGCATGAATAATTTGGCTGGTGGATTCAAGGTTGAAGAAAAATTTTACCCACAGATATACTCTTTGGAACATAGTGATATCCTTCTTAAAGTTGACAATGAACTACAAAGTATCAAACTGAGGCAGAGGGATTTGATTCAGGAAACTTTCCAATTAAGAGCTTTCAATGGTAAAAGTGTCCAGAGGCTATTAGCAGAAACCTCTAAACATTTGAAGTCAGAATCAATAAAGTTTGGTGAGGAAGAGTTGGAATTTGAAGAGCAAGGCGGTGAAAGCGGCAAGAAGGGTAACCTAAATGTTTGTTCCGAAAAAGACAAATATTCTGCCGCTGGTCAAAGCATAGAAATGATACTTTCACACGTAGGAGACGTGCTCAAACGTTCCACCGAGGAAATCAAGACGTTGAATGAAAGAACCGCCATTTTGCAGGCCAGTAAGTATAATATTGACAAACTATTAGATTCGACAGCAAAAGCGACGTTTGAGCCGTGGGTGCTCACCGGCGTTATATTGAATCCCGTTCAGTTTTACTATCGTGAAAAGAAAAGTAATGATTGGGTTGGAATTAGCATTTCTTTCGAAACATGCAAAAGCTACACAACATCCAGGCTTTCCTTTGATGACATTCAGAGTCTGGCGAAAAAATACACTGAATATGATTTTGGAGAGGGGATGGTTTTGGTTTATGTGAGGGAATCTGTTTTCTACACTGGGGAGTTTTCTCCGTTGAATCACACTCTACAAAGTTTCATTGATAAAGATAACGCGAAACTAAAGGAGCAAATGGATATTTTGACTAGAAACGACTTCTCGGACTTTTACGAAGCAAAGAGTACGGTATCTTCTTCCAATTCAAGTGTTGTGGAGACAAGCCAGAACGGTGAACGCAAGGAAGCAGGAGGCCCTGTGGCCAATGCTGACCCCTTCGTAGATCAATAATTTGGAAAAGGAGAAAACAATTGTTGAAGATAATGTTTAATAGTATATATTATCCGAACCCGGAAAAAAAACTACGGATGTAAAAATTGGAGCCGATCGGCGCTAAAAAAGAAAGCTCTTAATTCAACCCGTGCACCAGGATTATTACCTCGCACAAATGTCACGTACCGTGTACGTGTCCTTCCCAGATCTCAATTTTGCAGAAAGTCGTAGAATGTGGATGGCGAGTGTGGTTGAATTTTGGTCCTTTTTTTCAGTTAGTGTTCTCGGGGTTGTGAAACCTTTTGCTACATGATTGTTGGCAATTTGAAGATTTGATTCTTCGGATTTGGACTTTTTTGTTTGTCTTTCTGTATCGAACACAAAATGGCATCTCGTTTTTTCGCTACTGCCTTGAGAACATTCAACAGAGCTTCTGGTAAGTTTCAGTTTAGTATCGTTCCTGTTGCCAACCTTCGATGAAGCAGTAAGGAAAATATTGGAAGAAGCAAAGATGAAAGAAATGTAATACTAACGCCTCCTTTGTTTATATTCTTCTTATTACGTGCAGTTGCTAATGTTCCAAGATTTGCACCAAGAGCTGCTGTAAGATTTGCATCTTTCGACAGATCCAAGCCTCATGTTAACATTGGTACCATTGGTCACGTCGATCATGGTAAAACTACCTTGACTGCTGCCATCACCAAGGTTTTATCCGAAAATGGTGGTGCTGATTTCTTGGACTACTCTTCCATTGATAAGGCTCCAGAGGAGAGAGCAAGAGGTATCACTATCTCCACTGCTCACGTCGAGTACGAGACTGGTAAGAGACATTACTCCCATGTTGACTGTCCAGGACATCAAGATTATATCAAGAACATGATCACTGGTGCTGCTCAAATGGATGGTGCCATTATTGTTGTTGCTGCTACTGACGGACAAATGCCTCAAACCAAGGAACATTTGTTGTTGGCCAGACAAGTTGGTGTCCAACACTTGGTTGTTTTTGTCAACAAGTGTGACACTATTGACGACCCAGAAATGTTGGAATTGGTTGAAATGGAAATGAGAGAATTGCTTTCTGAATACGGTTTTGATGGTGACAACACCCCAGTCATCATGGGCTCTGCCTTGATGGCCTTGGAGGGCAAAAAGCCTGAAATCGGTAAGGAGTCGATCATGAAGTTGATGGACTCTGTTGACACTTGGATTCCTACTCCTCAAAGAGACTTGGAAAAGCCATTCTTGCTCCCAATCGACGAAGTTTTCTCTATCTCTGGTAGAGGTACTGTTGTTTCCGGTACTGTTGAAAGAGGTACCTTGAAGAAGGGTGAGGAAATCGAGATTGTCGGTGGTAAGGATGGTGCTGTCAAGACCACTGTCACCGGTATTGAGATGTACCACAAGGAGTTGGACCAAGCCCAAGCTGGTGACACGCCAGGTATCTTGTTGAGAGGTGTCAAGAGAGAACAAGTCAAGAGAGGTCAAATTTTGGCCAAGCCAGGTTCCGTCAAGGCATACAAGAAGTTCTTGGCCTCCTTGTACATCTTGACCAAGGAAGAAGGTGGTAGACACACTCCTTTCTCCGAGAACTACAGACCACAGATGTACATCAGAACTACCAACGTGAACGTCACGTTGAAGTTTCCAGACACCGAGGAGGATCACTCCAAGCAGGTTGCTCCAGGAGACAACATCGAGATGGTTGTCGAGTTGTTGTACCCGGTTGTTTTGGAGGTTGGCCAGAGATTCAACTTGAGAGAATCCGGTAAGACTGTCGGTACTGGTATGATCACCAGAGTTTACGAAGAGTAGGTTTGCGGTTCGCCTTGCGTTGATAGATGATGCCGAGGCGCGTTGCTGTACTATCCATATATATACACAACGAGCCGACTCGTTTTATTTTCATGTTTATAGTATATCAATACACTCCCTACGTACGTACCTACGTACGTACCTACGTACGTGCCGAACTCAGTCTGCCGCGCATCCTCTGCGCTTGTGTTTATTTCCGTTCCCCGCGGACGCGTCTGCCGCTGTCGCCACGTCAACAGTGCCGCCAACGGCGACTGCCGTGCTGGCTATACTAGCAAAGCCAGCAGCACGGCACAAGGACAGGAATCTTACGGATCGCCCCCACACCAATGCTGGCCAACCGCCAGCCCCAACACCAGCGGCAGCAACAGCGGCAAAGTCCCTCCGGGTTCTCACCGGGTTCTCACCGGGTTCTCCCCGGGTTCTCCCCGGGTTTCCGTCTGTTTCGTCCAAAAAAAAAGACCCTACACAGTAGACGAAATTGGCGGGCGAGAGACCTCCCCCCTCGCTCGTCCTGTTGGCTTCCCCCGCCTCTTCCCCCGCGGTCGCACTGCAGCCTGGGGAAAATGCAAACCCTAAACCGCAGCACGGCACAATGCCGCCCCGCGCCCGCGCGAGTCGCCCCGCACGCTCTCGTTCGCTCCCCCACGCCTCTCCAGATTCTGGCGCAATGACGTGTGAGGCACAGCCATCGACGTAGTCTCGCAGCGGTGTGGGGGCGTGCGGTGTCCTTGGCTGCTGTCTGGCCTTCTCCTGTCAGCGCTGCCCTACTGTGGGCTACCCTGCCTTGCGGGATAAATACGGACGGCGGTGACATGTGTAGTTAATCCGGCCGATGTGGGCCCGGATGGGAAGTAGGCTACACGAACGGGTGTTCGTCCGCTCCCTGTAAGGTCGGAGACCATCTCGGACGCTTCGGGCGCCTCGGACACCTCGGACACCACCTGGTTCCCCGGAAAATACATGCACCCACCCGCTGACCTTTCCCCCTTCTCACCAAAACACACCACCCCGACACCACGAGAGGCGCAAACGCAGACCCTCGGTCACCGCCAACCAAAGCCGGCATCTGCGCCGGCCGCAGGAGTCAGCGTTCTCGTGACGGAACAACTCCACTTGGCGCCAGCCGCCAACAGCTGATTCCGGATTATCCTTGCTCGCGGGAGAACAAACAAGGCCGAAGGGCGGAAATCACCCGCCTCCGCGCAGGCTATTGGGCCCCTATCCTCCGAGCAGGCTCGCGCCTGGCGAGGCAAGCACGCCTTTGTTCTTTTTCTTTTTTTTGCTGGCGGGGCGTGTCAGCGCCCAGCACGGAAAAACTCGCCAGCGAGCACCGCAGAAACAGAACAGAGCAGGCCTCCCACACGATAGCGTTTAAATATTTTGACTTTTCCACTTTTTTCCTTCTTGCCTGCTCCACATTCTTCTGTTCCTGCTCGGGTTGGAGGTACTACTTCCCCAGTCTTTCTTCTCTCTTTCCTTTGCCCTCCTTCTCTTCTTTTTTTCTTCTTCCTTCTCTCGAACAAAGTTGCTAACATTATTTGCTTAGACACTCTGTTACATCTTTCCGCATACACACATATATAACAACACAAAGATGTCCTCGAGTTCCCTGTCTGAAAAGCCAGCAAACAACTTCGAGCACCTGAACTCTCCGGAGGAGGAGTCTTCAGACGAACAACACAACTACGATGCCGCTGTTGCCGCACAGGCAAACGTCGTGCCAAACACATCCAAATCTAAGTATGTTATGCCAGCTTTCTTGTGCCTCATGATTGCTTTCGGTGGTTTCGTCTTTGGCTGGGATACCGGTACGATTTCCGGTTTTGTCAACATGCCTGAGTTCCAGCACAGATTTGGTCAGATTGGGGGTAACGGCCAGTATTACTTATCCAAGGCCAGAACCGGATTAATGGTGTCCATCTTCAACATTGGTTGTGCCATTGGTGGTGTCACCTTAGGTAAGACTGCAGACATGTACGGTAGAAAAAAAGGTTTGATGATCACCATGGTGGTTTATATTGTTGGTATTATCATTCAAATTGCTTCCGTCAAGTCCTGGGTCCAGTACTTCATCGGTAGAATTATCTCCGGTTTAGGTGTTGGTGCCGTCTCCGTTTTGGCCCCTATGTTCATTTCAGAAACCTCTCCAAAGGCCATCAGAGGGTCTTTGGTCTCCATGTATCAGTTGATGATTACGTTAGGTATCTTCCTTGGTTACTGTACGACCTACGGTACCTACCACGGCTACGTGGACTCCAGACAATGGAGAATTCCATTGGGTCTCTCTTTCGCATGGGCCTTATTGATGATTGTCGGTATGGTTTTTACTCCTGAGTCTCCAAGATACTTGATTGAAGTTGGCAGAATCGAGGAGGCTAAGGCTTCTCTCGCTAAGGTCAACAAGACTGAGGCCGATAGTGACTTTGTCCTCAGCGAATTAGACGTTTTGGTTGCTGCCATCGAGCTTGAGCAAAGCGCAGGTAACGCTTCTTGGGGTGAACTTTTCACCGGTAAGCCAAAGATCTTCTACAGATTGATGGTTGGTGTCTTCTTGCAATCTCTGCAACAATTGTCAGGTGACAACTACTTTTTTTACTACGGTACTACTATTTTCAAGTCTGTCGGTTTGGAGGATTCCTTTGAAACCTCCATGGTCTTGGGTGTCATCAACTTTGCCTCCACTTTCCTGGCTCTATGGGTTGTCGACCATTTTGGTAGAAGAAAGACGTTGATGGGTGGTTCCGCCGGTATGCTAGTCTGTTTGGTCATTTTCGCCTCCATTGGTGTCAAGGACTTGTACATTGACGGTTATGATGGTGAAGCAAGAAAACCAGTTGGTAATGCCATGATTTTCTTGGCATGTTTCTTCATCTTCTTCTTTGCCACCACTTGGGGTCCATGCGTTTTCGTTGTTGTCTCCGAAACCTACCCATTGAGAATTAGATCTAAGGGTATGGCCATTGCTTCTGCAGCTAATTGGATCTGGGGTTTCTTGATTGCATTCTTCACTCCCTTCATCACTAACGCTATTCACTTCGCTTACGGTTACGTGTTCTTTGGCTGTGTCCTATTTTCCTTCTTCTTTGTCTTTGCCTTTGTTCCAGAAACTAAGGGTCTCAGCTTGGAAGATGTCGATGAATTGTACACAAATTACACTCCAGGTTTGGCATTCATGAACTCTTTCAGGAAAGAAAAGTTGGAAGAAAAGCATGCTGATTTGGATAACTCGCCAAACGTTTAAACTCACATTTTTCAAACTTGATTCCCTTTTTCTTTCCCTTTCCCCTTAATGACACGATAAACCAAAGAGCTTCTCTTCATCGAATGCATGTATATTAATTATTAGTTAGTATTTAGTTATTGTTACTACAAAAATATCTATAGATAACCTAAATTATTGATTTCATCCTCATAAAAACGAGTCTAAAAAGTTGATCTCCATAATGGTAAATTTCTTGAAAAGTTGAACGGCTCTTGTGAGTTTGGCATCACTCAAACAGTTGACTCTGAACTTAGTATTCAAGTCTGCTTCACCCTTTATCCAGGCAGAAGAATACCACTCCGACTGGTTTTGCTTTAGCCAATCTTCGTATAATTCTATTTTCGTGTCATCACTACAGATATCACCGACCTTCGGGTAATGCTTAACATTTGCGCATGCTGCAAGATATCCATAGAAACAGGGGGTCAAAGAGACTGCAATGTCAAAAACATCACCTGCATCTTTGGCAACATCTAGCAGAGCGTCAACGTATACTTGACATTCCTTGGTTGCCTTCAACTTTTCAATTAACTTATCAGAATAGCCTAGCTTCTTCAGTATTGTTGTATATTTGGAAATCTCTTGCGCCATGGTTGTCAATTTATCAACAACTGCACACAAATCCTCCTTCCATGATCCTTTGGCCGCCATGTACATGATTATATGTGAGTAGTTGGATAGGTAAATCACATTTTGTTCAACAAATTTAGTGAAGTTTTCCAACGGAAGTGAGTAATCTCCAACTTTTTTCATGAAGGGATGATGTGTGTATTTCTCCCAAAAGGGACTTATTTCTGGATGATTACACATATATTGCACTGCTTGGCCTTCCTTGAAAGGCAGAGCATATTTTTCATCGTTTACCAAAACTTCATAATTATACTGTCTGACACTTTGTAAATGGTTAAGTGGGCCATGTCCAGATCCGATATTGGGAGCAGTTTTGATCCCATTTTGAACGTAAGTGATACTGTTGCCAACTGCATTGATCAAAGACAATCCATGGGCCAGATTGGAGGCGATGGCAGAGGCCAAAGTACAGCCAGTACCATGAGTACTTGACGAATCCAGCATTTCCGAGTAGAACACATAATATGTATTTTTCTCTGAGATATAGAGAACGTCTGTCAACAATTTAGCATCATTCTTCCACCGCTGATGTCCACCCTTAACCAAAACATTTTTGATTTTTGTTAGTTTATGAATTTGGTTGCAAATGGAGAAAACATCTTCCAGTGCTTCCAAGCAATTTCCATTGTACTGGACTTTACCGCTCAAGGTATTAATAATTGCCTTGGCCTCAATTAAGTTTGGAGTGATCACTGTGGTATAGGGTGCAAGATACCGAGTTAAAATTTCCAAAATCTTATTGTTAACAAAATCGTAACCTGAGGTACTAACCATGACTGGATCAACAACCAAATTTCCATGAAAATGATATTTATCTAGTGCATTCTTTATTTCCGGAATAGACTCTTCTGTCAATATACCTGTCTTTATTGAATCGATATAGATATCAGAGAAATTCTCTTCCAAAATCGATGAAGTCATTGTTCCTGGAATATTTGTAACATCACAAACACCTTTTGTATTCTGTGCAGTAAGAATGACAATATTGGTCAGCGCATAACATTTATGAGTGGTTATAGTTTTAATATCTGCCTCAATACCTGCTCCCCCGGAGGAGTCAGAACCGGCAATTGTCATCACAGTAGGGATCTTTTGATCCCTGAGCGGGGTGATTGATTCTAATTCACCATGGTCATCCAAATGTATCTCTTTGACTTGATACTGATTCATTGCAAAATGTGGTTCAATTGTATTTATAGACTCTTATCCTGGGTTTTTTTGCCATTCGGCGTATTGTTGATTCAAATTTATTTTAGTCCAAAAATCAGTATTTGATTTTTCAGCCGAGGCCACTCAAGTCAGGAATCATCAAGCGACTATCAGTTGTTTGCATGACTCACGACAATAAATTCATTCTGTAGACAGATCATAGGAGCACAGAATGTGGAGCAAATCAGACATAGATTACTCAGTGTATTTAGTAACCATCAATGAGCTGGTTCCGGAGGGATTGACCATTTATGATCAAGTTGAGAAATCGTTGCAAAATGGTTCCACTATTGTTCAGCTACGAGAGAAAGAATTGGACACTGGTGCATTCATTGACAGGGCAAGAAAAATTCATGAAATAACCCAGAAATATGGTGTTCCACTAATTATTAATGATAGAGTTGATATTGCAATGGCAGTAGATGCCGAAGGAGTTCATGTTGGCCAAGATGACATGGACCCTGTTTTGGTAAGGGAAATGATTGGAAATGACAAAATTTTGGGCGTTTCTACTAGATGTGAGGAAGAATTAATGAAAGTTATTAATTCTCCGGCATTAATTGACTACGTAGGAATGGGCACTGTTTACTCTACATCCACCAAAATAGTAAAACGGGCTCCACTAGGGCCAGCTGGTGTCAAGGAGTTGCTTAAGGTTATTTCCCTGAACAAGCCAAAATTGAAAAGTGTAATTATAGGCGGTTTGAATAAGTATAATATCGCATGGACTTTATCTTCGTGCGCATATCAAGGGCTGAACACTAATGGTGTTGCGGTTGTCTCTTGCATAATGGGGCAATCTGATGCTGGTTTAGAAACCAAAGAAATATTGGAAAGTGTTCGTCTCGGTTACGGAAAATCACTGGCTGAAAATCAAGTTGTCAATATCAAGCAAGAAGCAGCTGTTGTTCACTTCATTACTAATTCAGTTGCAAAATACTTTTCTGCAAATATTTGCATAGCAGCTGGCGGTTCTCCTATAATGTCTGAACTCGCCGATGAATTCAAATCATTTTCTAAGATCCCAAAAATTGGACTAGTACTCAACACTGGAACGCCTACCTCTTCTTCCATTGGCATTTACAAAGCAGCAATAAAGGCATATAATTCTCAGATGAAGCCAATCATTTATGATCCAGTTGCATGTGGTGCTACTAAAGGAAGACAGGAAATCATGCAGGAGGTTCTGTCGGCCGGACAATTTACTGTTATTAAAGGTAACTTGGCTGAAATCTGCACTGTTGCCGGAGTCGATGGAAGTAAAATGAGGGGTGTTGATTCGGTAATGGAAGTTGCTATTGAGGAAATAGTTCCAATCATTTCAAAACTAGCCACTAATAAGAAATGTGTTATAGTCATGACAGGCGAAACTGATATCGTTGTTGACGGTATCATACCCACACCTGAGCCAAGAGTCACTTTAGTCAAAGGCGGTAATCCCTTAATGGCCGAGATAACGGGCTCTGGATGCGCATTAGGTGGCGTTATAGCTGCTTATGTCGCCTCAACCTCTTTCCATAACGCCTACGAAGCTACTGTCAAAGCAGTGACATTGTATAAAAATGCAGGATATGAAGCTGGAAATATCAGTAGAGGGCCAGGAAGCTTCACAGCTAACTTTTTAGACGAACTCTACTGTATGAAGCAGAGAAATGATAAAAGCGATGGGAATCTATCATGAGTGAATTCATGGTATAACTATAGCGTATATAATTACTTATTTAGAATGGCAATTTACTTTGTGTCTTATCAGCCGTTGAAGGGGTAGCTTTTTTGGGCTTACTTTTGTCGTTCTTGCTCCTGTCGGATCTTTTCAGCAAGCGCTCACCATAAGATTCTTCAAAGTCCTGGTTAATTTTGGTTTCCAAGTCCAACGCCACATGAAAATCTTGATGTGTCTGCCACTCCAATAGGTCAATGGCTTCATCGCATCTATTGCAAATACGCTTACTATCTTCATCAGCAACCTCATCAATTTTCGGTACATCGGATTGGTCCTTCGAAGACAAAAAATAATCTAGTGTGTCTTTTTTTACAGTAGAAGCAATGTCAGATCTTCCCTCAAAAGTTTCAACCGGATCCAGCTTTCGCTTTTTCACATTAGGCATTAAGTCATCAAGCGTGTTTACCCCATTCATGTCTACGAAATTTGATACCGAAAGACTGGCATTATATATGGGAAACATCTTGTGGTTGGGGGATTGTTCTTTCCATAAAATTTCGAGGTTTTGAAAAAGTTCAAGCGAAGTGGTGTAATACAACTGACGGAGTAGCTCATAGTCCTTCGGAGGTCGATTCAACGTGCATTGCTTGGAATGTCGTGTCCCCGAGCTGCCTAAAACGGATAAGGTCATTTTCGTCGGCCTTGAAATTGTGTTATATTCGTCATCCAAATCTTGAATTCGAAGAATCAACTCCCCGATAAAAACATTAATCCAAGGTATTAGATCTGCCTTCTTGTAAATTGATTGTCTGAAGTTTTTATTTGCTGCCATGGACTTCAGCAGCTCTCTTTCTTCTAACGGAAGAGCATATTCTCCTCGAATCATTAGGAAAATTTTAGATGCAAGATCATAGTTTTTATCCAAGGCCTGAGCTAATTCGGTAGGTGATGAATATTGATCCCTTATCGAGCTTATTGAAATATCCTCGCCAAGCGTTTCCTTCACATAACTACCAGTTTTGCCACCCATAGACCAGAAGTCAGTCAACCTGAAATATTTTAAAAAACCTGGAACGGAGTCATTTCGTACTATCGTCTGTTGATCCGGCTTTTTGAACCCACTAGCAAGCTTCGCAATCGTCTTCACTTTTCCCACTCCACCCGAAGTCTTATACCCAAGTTGTTCCTCAACTTTCTTTCTCAATTCGTAGCAAATCATCGAACCCACCAAGATCACAAGATCGTCCCAATCTTCGACTAGGAAGGAACTGTCTTCATCTGCTATCGCCGACTCATTCTCAGCATCATCCTTTTTCGCTATGATATATCCCTTAAAGTCAATACCCTGCGGTAAATGATCAATTGGCTTCAATGTGTCCGATTTGCTTGTCATTCCTTCCAGTATATTCGGAAACAAGGTGAGTATTCGCCTGAATACTAGCCTTCCTAGATCCATGAAACTCTCATCGACACTTGCCTTTTCCACCAGGTCACACTCACTTCTGAAGATATTCAAAACCTTTTTTCCCTCTCGACGGTAAGGATCAAGTGATACCTTATGGGTAGCTGGAGAGGGCATGTGGTCAACATACTTCCAAAAAGGTTCGCCCTTTTTGAAAACTGCAGTGTGGGCAGGTATAAGGTTTGGGCATTTCTGTTTTGCCTGTTCAAGTCTGTCCATCCTCGTTATTCCATAATCACGAGCAGCATATGAAACAGCAATCAAAGTATTCCATTGCACACAAACGACAGGGTCCTGTTCAGAAAGTCCCAACCTCAACTGTTCACATTGAGCAAAGAACGCGTTAAGATCTATGTGGCAAATAACAGCCAACGGGCTCTGGTACGCTTTTCTGCTGTCATTCAAGTCCAGCAAATTCTTATAGGTGAATTCAGATTTATTCTTGAACCTCAACACCGCCATTCCTACCACCTTAATCGCCAGTTCATTCCTGGAATCTCAAATCTCACCTCAAAGGCGGATTCATGCAAGTGGCGAAGTAGAATTTCCCTTTTCGGCTGCACATCTTACCCGGCGCCTTAACAAGAAACCCTCTTTTCTGTTTTTTTAAAAAGTTTTTGCATTTTCCTCCCCTGGCTATAAAAGGCACGGCTCTCCCAGTTTTTTACCAACAAACACGTTACGCTCATAACCGAAAGTTGTATCAAACTGCAGATTATATTAAACAAGGGACCTTACCATTCTGCAGAGCAGCAAGAATGCTGGTTTGAGGAATGGAGGTTCTTTGAAAAATTCGGCGGTTTTTACCCCTACTAAAATTTTTCATTTTGTTGTTTTTCATGGTTGATAGAACTTAATATACTGTGATGACCAACTGTCGCCCCAAACGGATATTACATGACAGATTCGACAAGCCAAACACTGAAAATTCTGATACGTATATTAAGTTTTACCAACCTGTTTTTATCTGTGCCTCATAGACGCTCTCTATAATATTTCCTCTTCGTGCCATATGGTATCTATGCGTCTGGAGTTCCAGTTCGTAGTTACCCGTGGCGAGCGCCCCCTAACCTCCTTTTCGCTTCGCCTTATCTCTCGTGATGTAATAACAAATGTATTTCCATGCTAATCATGAAGTGGTACCTCTGGTACTGTAAGATTAAACTTATTCGGATACTTTCTGAAGAGATAAGAGCCCGTAGGTTAACCAATATACCCACTTACTCTTGAGATTCTAATCACGTGATACGGCCATAGGCTTATTATGCCGGACGTGTCAGAATTTTTTCCATTTTGAACGTGTTGTTTTCTTTTCCGAGTTTAGGACGGTGGACTTCGGGAAGAAGAAGCAAAATCGGAGTATTCTAAAAGTAGGATAGGAACACTTATGTTGTAGCATTAGAAAACATGTCTGAAGAAGCTGCTGCAACGATTTCTGCTTTTGATTTTTATCTTCCGCTTCCGTACCGGGTGGTGATACTAATTAATGCAGGTATACTTTTCTGGCATTTGAACCTGCTAACCTGCAGAAATTTTAAGATTGGTGTCTTAAATGTTCTCAAAGTTTCCCCACAGGAGCTGACCTTGTCTAGACTCATTGACAGAAGTCGAAAATGTTTGGTGAACATTACTTTGTCCAACATCTGCAACTATTCAATATATTATTTTTTTGCATCCAACGGCTTTGAGTTGACACTCATCGATTGGCTACCCCTTTTCGGTATTCTTACCACTTTCTTCATTCTATTGCATGATAAATCATCCTTTGAGTCTCAAAGATTATTGCAAACGATGAAAAGAGTCATCAAAGGTGATATCGACATATCCATGAGAAACAATGATATTTTACTAACGGATACATTCACATCATATAACAAAGTCTTGGTGGATTTTCTGGTCTATGTATCTGCATTAGTTCTTGGAATGTCTACATTGCCATCTGGTGCTAATTTATCCAAAGAACTTTCCAAAACTCACTTACAGCTGTACAATATTGATCTACTGCTTGCTAATTTTCCATCTCTTTTGAGATTCAGGCAGTGTTTAAAAGAGTATAATCAAAGTGGGAGGCAGAACATTCGACATTTACTCAATGCAATCAAGTACTCTACAGCATTTTTACCAACCATTTCAATGATCCTTTTTAAGGCTGGGTATTTGAAAACTCGCAATCTTTGGGTATTTTTCACATTCATCAATTCATCTTACTCCCTCTATTGGGATATAACCAACGACTGGAATTTTGGCTTTTTTCTTAAATTTTTATCTGATAAACCAAATGTGAAGCTGTTGAGAAATAAATTGCTATACAGCAAGGAAGCCTACGTTTTAGCCATTATCATAGATTTTCAACTGAGGTTTATATGGGTATATGGTTTAGTATTTGTTGACCCGTCGTCTCCTTCGCCGAGCACGGCAGCCAAATTTTTCACCACTATGTTTGCAACAGAGATGGGTACATTTGTTCTAGAATGCTTGGAGATATTCAGAAGATGGGTCTGGGTCTTCCTGAAGATTGAAACGGAATATGTAATAATGAGCTCTGTTAGCGATTTCATCGAACTCCAAAGTTTTGATTGAGTTGAGATTCTATAGCATTTAGTATACACGATTATTTGGTCGAAAAAATTATATGTAGTCTATTCCTTCTTTCTTTTTTTGAAAGATTTATTTTTTTCTTTCATATTCTTCATCTTCCTCTCAGTCTTGCTTAAGTACCTGAACTTCTTTTTTTTAGGTTTCGACACTTTTTCTTTTTCCTCTGGTGAGTCACTCATTCCCATAAGCCTAGCGTATTTCTTGGCTCTCGTTATTGAACTGCTCAAAACGTCATCCGTCTTTGATAGATCAACATTCATTTTCTTTGTAACCGCATCGAGGTCGAACGTATTAGGATTGTCCAAACTTTCAATTACAACCTCTGACGTTCCAGAGACAGGAGCAGAATCATTATCGATCTCATAGATCTGCTTTTTCAATATTCCTGTAGTCATTTTGTTGCTTTCCCGATCATTTCCTTGGTCATCCTCATCTTTACCATTTCGTTCTTCAATTTCAGTACCTGATTCATTATCGCCTTCCTCAAATCCAACATTTTTCTCTGTCAGTATATCACTGTCGTCATCGCTGGTGTTATCACTACTATTCCCTTCCTGATCCTTTTCCAAAAATGGATTCAACTCCATCGCTTCCTTCATTTCTGCCAACTTCTTCTGTACCTGTAATTTCCTTTCTTCACGAATTCTGGCCCTCTCCTCGAGTCTGTCCTTTTTCGCTTGTTCCTCCAAGTAATCCTGTGCCTTCTTTTTTCTTTCTAATTTACGCTTGTGAAACCCAGTAAGGTAATCTTTACGCTTCTCTTTATCGAAAACCACTTCACTGACTCTGCTTTTAAACTTTTTGGCATCTTTGTAACGTTTACCACCACTAAGAATTTCCCTATTTGGTCTTCCCATACTTGCGGTCACTCTTCTTCCTGCTTCGAATTAACTTCTAGATTGGCTATATATTAAATCCTAAAGAAGAACAGTTTAGATATAACACGAAGCAAGTTTCAGATTAAAACTTTTAAAATTTTGAAAATCCGAAAAACTTCACACTTGATATCAAAGTGATTACATAAGCATGTAACGAATTCTGTAATGCTATAAACGCTTATTCATCTACTTATCATCTGGCTCAATTCCCATCTCATCCATAATACCTCTTAGTGTGGACTGTTTTTGATCTGCAATAAGCTGTATAATCCCCATTCCCAGATCTTTCAACTCGTTGTACTTTTTCAATTGACGGATATGTCGTTTCATTTCTTTATCGTAATCTTTTTGGAACGATTGGTTAAACGAGCCGTCGGTTACACCTTTAACATATCCTTTTTCCCTTGATAACTCATTCGAAAGCTTCAAATGTTCTTCCTTCAACTGTATCAATTCGTGTTCTAGTTTTTCTATTTTGTCTTCAAGCTTGTTGCCTTGTGCCTCAACAAAAATTTCTTTCCGTGATTTTGCCACATCAATCTCGGGGTCTGCGTCAGCGCTACTTATGTTCTCTCCGGCATTTTCTTTATCCTCCATAATAATATATATATCTCTAGAGGTTTAGAACGAAACCTAACTAAATTTTGAGTATAGCCTGCTCGTAAAGACTATGGCTACTGTAAAGAGAATCGCTTCTCTAAAACTATCTAAATAATTATAATAATAATAAAAAAAACACGGAGAGAAATCTCCGGAGCGCAAAATCGATGCACGATTTTTTTTAGGATGCAAGCAGAACTGAGAAATAGGAGGTAAAAGTACGAAGCTATTAATCAGGAGCAACCAACAAGTGCAATCAAAGTAAATTGTTATGAGTATATTCTCTTTCCTTGAGTTTGCGTAATTGAAGCTCCATCATATCAATTGTGTCTTTGAGTTCTTGCTGAGACATTCTTTGCTTACTAGCTTTTTCCAGCGGTTCCTTAAATCTGTTTCTATGCCTTCCCTTTTTGTAGTGGGAGATGTTCAATCCCTCGGGAGTTAGTTGTGTATCCGACATACGCTCACGTTGTTCAATCCACTCCCACAAGCTAGATTCACTCATAAGCATTCTGTTGTTGGAATACAATTCATATCCATTCGTGTGTCTGGCTGATTTAAACTTATCTGTTATCACGATAACAAACAATAAAATGATCAAAAACAACTTGAGATCGACTTGCTCTAAAATCAAGTCCGTATAGGTTTTTGGCTCAGGTTCAGAAACAGCGGATGTACCTTCCTCAGCTACCTCTGAGGTGGTTGTTAGTGGTGTCTCCTCTTTTGGTTTCTTGTTCCTATCCTTTCTTCTCACTTTGCTTGGTGATGTATTGATTGTTCCTCCAGAGCTGATTTTCTTTTTCAGTTCCGCAACCAAAATTCCAAGTGCTTCTTTCTGTCCAGATATTGCACCTCTTTCAATTGCACTTTTAATCCAGGACTTTCCTGTCCATACAACTGTAGTTACAATGAGAATATTCGTTGCGTTTTGTGGTCCCCAAGAGAGAAAAATCTTAGTCTTCACTTTGAATGCATTTCCAGATGGAACATCTGGTGATTCAGTCAATTGTACTATCAAACAATATTTGCTGAAGTCTTTATGCTCGATACTTTCCTCGACAATGCATTTTGTCTGTTTCGGGCCCACCGGACCTCCATTCACAGGCTTAGTATAATGATATGTCCGTTTGTTGTTGACAAATTTTGGGATTTCTCCAATGTTAAAGTTTTTTTGCACTTTGAGTAAGTTTTTCATAAACGTAGGATCATCCCCAAACATAAGCTCATAGATCAATCCCATAGGAGCAGGAACATTTTCCTCAATGATTTTTGTTTCCGAAGAGTCGGGAGAGTAACCAGCGGAGGTCTGTGCATGCACTTTGGGCCCTTCAAAAGGTAAACCATTGAAAACGCTATCCTCTTCTGGCTGTGCGGTGACATCCCCATTTTTGGAAATGTCCTCATCATCCTTAACCATATCTTCTGCATCAGATATACTTGTATCAGATGTGTCATCATCAACATTATCATTCCCATTCCCACTCGCAGTAACTCCATCACTTTTCCTGCGGGTCTTTGAGTAGTCTTCACCCTCTTCATCATCCGAATATCCTACAGAAACCGTGTCCAAAGAATCAACCTCATCATCTAAATCGAGATCAATTGTGTCAATGCCTTCATTATTGATGTTCGACTTCCATACTTTGAAAATTAAATCGTAAGATGGGTCTCTCGACATAAAAGAAGCAAAGATGTATTTGTTGTGTAAGTTACTGAACTCAATTGCATTAGGAATTCCTACGGTTTTTTTCTTCTGTATTTTCAAAATGGCGTTCAAAGGAATAGTTAAGCGTGTCACCAACCCAATAATATTGGAGTGGAAAGAAATGTGATGCTCACTAAGATAAAGTTTCCCTTGAACTAAGATTTCTTTCCTGTATGCACAAGCAAAATCTTCAATGAAAACTTCATAAGCGGGAAAACTTGGAAATAGCGTATGAAAAGCTTCTTGTCTTTTATCACTGGGTGCCTTCAAATCTAGCTTCTCAAAAGGAAAATCTTTCTTTCTGCCACTTACTTCAACCTGATCCGGATAATCTTCACCGCTGCCAATATTTGAATTCAGTCTACTCAAATTGTTTCCACCTGAATCCAGAGATTGTCTTTTTCCCGCCAAAGGCAACTTTAACTTCTTCTTGAAGCTTAGGCTGTTGCTCATCGGAGGGGCAGAGGGTTCCTCTTCATCGGAAGACAGTATTGAGGTTAATGAGTTTCTTATAGTAGGCTTTCTCGGCAGTGGAGATAAAGAGGGTCTTGACCTTTGCTCTTTTGAAGAAACGGCTGCTCTTGTATTTTCTTGGTTTTGGTCAATCTTCACACTAGAATTAGGGTTGGTAGGCGATTTAACGTCAGAGTACGATATATCATCATTATTATGATTCTTCAGCTGATGTAATCCCTGGCTGTTATTGTGCACCGAGCTGTCAGGAATACTCAGATGATTTTGATCATGCAAAAGTTGAGTCTGGTTTTTAGGGAATGCGTCCAGAGTTAAACTTCCCTGCCCTAACGTAGTAATAAGAGCCTTCTTGATTGGAACAAAATTCACCGCACTTAATGGTTCATTTCTAGCAGTGTCATTTTCAGACGACACAGAAGAAGACACGGCATCGTCAATGTTGTTCACATCCTCTTCTTCATCATTGTGGTTTGCCAATTCAGTGAATGATTTTAAATTCAGTGTGTTCATCAAAGTCGAAAATATACCATGTTGACCAGATGCAGTCTTGTTATTGTTTTCTGTATTATCCTGTTCGGCATTTGTGCTAGCTTGCTCTAATGAGTTTGAACTCTCCTCTCCACCATTCTCATTATCCTTATTCAACGATGTTCTAGAAGAGACTGAATGGTTGGGAGTGGAACTATGTATGTGCATCGATGGCTTTTGATGGAGATGCTTGCTCAATCTCCTACCTAAGGAGTTGTTAAGAAAGTCGTGGTGCTTCGAAGCATGCCGATTGTCTGTGACATTTAGCCCCGTACTGTCTATTAATAAATGGTCGGGTTCAAAGTCACCACCTTCATCATCATCAAAATCCTCATCGTAATCGTCATCCTCCTCCTCATCATTTCCGATATCGTCGTCTTCGTTCTCACCATTGTAATATCCCTGACGACGAGCCGAGTCTTTATGATTAAATCCCATATTTGTGCTCCGAAGTCTAGGGCTCAAGGAAGAATTACCAATCAGCTTTCTTCTGACAGCATCGAACTCTTCCCTTTTAGAAGGTGTATGATTTATTGACTGCATTGCCGGTAACGGAGGAATTTTAGATATATCCAGTTGATCACCGTTTACTGTGATTGTTCTGTTTCTTGGAGGGGAAGACAAAGCCAAGCCATTGGGTACAGAACTAGACTTTCCCATTCTACTGTCCGGTTTGGTGGCATTCAGAGGAGAAATGTCCATCGATCCTTTGCCTATTAATCGCATTGACTGCGACTTTGGTAGAGTATCTGACTTGTCCCGCCGCTTGAACAAGTTAGAAAAAGAGTGATTCTTCTTCTTGGCACTTGAAATTGAATCCGAGTCTGAATCCTTCCGTTTCAAACGAAAGCTTCTGCTGTGGCCGCCAGGCATGATATCGAGTGAATGGCCGATAGTAATTGCCGGGTATAGCTCAAATGCAAGTTGGATTGGTTTCGCAAGTGCACTTTAATCCGACTATTCTACAGCTTAGAGCCGACTCTATTTCCAGCCTAATCTCTTCGAAAGAAACGAAATTCAAAATAAGTGGCGAGGGAGGATAAAGGGATGGGTGGCACAGTAAGTACGTACTATATCGGACAAGCTATACAAATGGAACTAGAAATAGAGAAGGAAAAAGATAGGAAACAGGAATTAGCGGTCCTCAGCCCATTCATTTTCCCTTCTGATTGCCGCCTCCTCCTCAGGCGTGAAGTCGTTGACTATGTTGAACGTCTTCCGTATCTCTTCAGGAGACTTCCCTCTTATCATTTCGGCAACGATTTTGCATCCCGCATTGAGTAAGGGCTTGATGTTTAGGTAGTTGGCGGCCAAAATGATTTCGTAAAGCATCTCCTGGTCGACGTTAAGAAAGTTCTTATCCCATGGGTCAATAGGGGCTGATTTCTTCGAATCGTCCTCCTGATCATCGTCCGGAAAGTCTGTGTTCTTGTAGTGTTCACACCATTCCAAAATGTTTTTCATCACTGCCGACCGCACGTTCTGTGTAGGCACCTCGATAGTGTCCTGGTCTTCATCGTCCGACTCCTCTTCCCCCTCGGCAGGAAGAAGGTTCTTGAGCATGTTTTTGATGAGAAGGGACTTCTCTGCCACCTTTCTCTCCACGTTGAAGCGGTCATTGTCGGACGTGATGATCACAATCGATCTTTCGGCAGTCATCTTATGTGTTTAGGTTGCTGTCTGATACCCTTTGTTGTTTCTTGCTCTGGCCTCTCCTCGACGCTTATCCGCCGCAAAATGTGTCTTCTCTCTTGAAAGTGGAAAGGGCAAAAGGGAAGGGAAACGACATCGTGGTAATGTTACGTAAGCTGCATCACTTTAAAATTTTCCCAAATTTTTTTCTTGTGCATCAGTGAAAAGTTTTTAGATCCTTAGTTTTTGCTTGGAACCTTGATAACGGAATGCCCTTGAGCACGAGACGTGGAGACAGAACAAGGGCAACAAGAAAAAGTACAGATGGCTGCTACTAAGGAATACGTGCTGGGAAAAATTTTCAAGTATCTCTGTGCGGAGGGCTTACAGAGCTCTGCAGATACTTTGCTGAAGAATGCCGCTGATAGTGGTATTACAATCGACACCAAAGAGACAGGTGCAGAGCGTGTGGGATTGGACAGATTCTTCGACAACAAAGCCTTGATTTCTGAAGATGAGAAGCTAGCAAGTGCTGCAGAAAAGAAGGCATCTGAAGATAGCTCGGACTCAAGTGACGATGACTCTTCTTCGTCTTCCTCTTCCTCTTCCTCTTCCTCTTCCTCTGAAAGTGATGACAGTTCCGACAGTGATTCTTCTGACTCATCTGATTCTTCTGACTCTTCCAGCAGTGACAGTGATGGTGATTCCGATTCCGATTCTGATTCCGATTCTGATTCCGATTCTGATTCTGATTCTGATTCTGACTCGTCATCGACCTCAAGCCCTGAATTTAACGTTGAAGCAAAGGAGGAAAAATCAGACAAAGAAGAGAAGACAACAGAACTTGCCAAATCAAGCGACACTTCCTCAGATTCTTCCTCAAGCTCTTCGGACAGTGACTCAAGTTCTTCAAGCAGCAACTCTAACTCTTCTGACTCCGACTCTGATTCTGATTCTGAATCAAGCTCAAGCTCAGACTCCAGCTCAGATTCCAGTTCCAATTCCGACAGTGATTCTGATTCCGACTCTAGCTCCGACTCCGACTCTAGCTCTGACTCCGACTCTAGCTCCGACTCCGACTCTAGCTCCGACTCCGACTCTGACTCCGACTCTGACTCCGATTCCGATTCCGATTCCGACTCCAAGAATGTTAAGAAGAGAAAGCTAGAACAAGAAACTGAAGAAAAGACCAACAAAAAGGTGAAAGCAAGCGACACAGAATCCGAAACGCTAAGCGAAGAAGTATCCCCTGATCCCGAGCATATTCCGGCAGCGGAGGAAGAACTGAGACCAGGGCAGAAGAAACACTTTTCCAGAGTTGACAGATCAAAAGTCTCATTCGAAGCGAATGAGCTCACGGACAATACATATCAAGGTGCTGCAGGAACATGGGGTGAGATTGCAAACCAGAAGCTGGGCGCAGTGAGAGGAAAGGACTTCACCAAAGGTAAAAACAAAATGAAAAGAGGTTCCTACAGAGGTGGCTCCATCACCATGGCTGTTGGTAGTTACAAGTTCAAGGATTGATCGTCGGACGACATGCGAGTCACCGGCAAACATCAACACCTAATCACACTTCTATAGATACTCATGTATATCATATAACACACCAAACTCATCTAATACTAATAATCAAAACTGAAAAAAATGAAATTTTCGCCGATCGGCGTAAAACTGGTTTGAACTTTTTTTTCTTGAGCTCTTAAGTGCATTCATGAATAGAGCAGTTAGTAATATAGAATTTGCCTTGGGCAGTTAATCTTTGATTTAAGCATCAATTACTGCCAGGGCCTTTATTTGTCACGTCCATACATGCCTTCCGAAGCAGCACCGAGTGCAGACACCAAACCGAACAAGCTTGAAAACTTGTTCTCGGATGATAGCTCTACTGACGACACAGATTCCGAAAACGATCAGTTAATTATACCTGCTGCCAGCTCGAGAAAAAGACAAAAACTAGCTCCGAAAACACAGGAAGCAATCAACACAATCAAGGAAACCAATGATGACAACGAATTTGAAGAAGGTGAGCTGGTGAAGATACCACTAGATAGACCAAGTGACTTTATCCCTGATGCAGTATCTCATATTTTTGCCAACAGTGATTTTTCATACTTGAAATTGAAACCTGACCATTCAGCTCGTCCTATCTGGATCAGTCCATCCGATGGCAAGATATACCTTGAAAGTTTCTCACCTTTATCGGAGCAGGCTCAAGATTTTTTGGTCACCATTGCAGAACCCGTCAGTAGGCCCAGTTTTATGCATGAATATAAGATCACGACACACTCTTTATACGCCGCAGTTTCGGTTGGATTGGAGACCGATGACATAATTTCGGTTTTGAACCGGTTGTCGAAGGTGCCAGTGGCGACGTCAGTTGTCGAATTCATTAAAGCAGCCACACACTCCTATGGTAAGGTCAAATTAGTTTTAAAGCACAATAGATACTTCGTTGAATCTTCTTCGGCCGAAATTTTGAGAATGTTGTTAAAGGACGATGTGATTGGCAAGTTGAGATTACAGACTGTGGATGAAGTTAATGGCGCTTCTGATGGTTTAGTTGAAACACAAGCTCCAAAGCAAGGAAATTTGGTCATTCCAGGTACGAAAAAGAATCATGAAAACAAAAACTCTAAAGAGAAAGGGACGGATGCCAAGAATGAGACTAAAAAGAAAGAATTTGTAGAAGGTGTGGAAGACATCTATGCTGATGTGATTGCTGATGCAGAAGATGAAAATGCGGATGATACTGTTCATTCCTTCGAAGTAGCTGCTGAGAACGTCGAGACAGTGAAAAAGAGATGTCAAGAAATTGATTACCCAATGTTGGAAGAGTACGATTTCAGGAACGATACAAGGAACCCCGACTTGGAGATTGATTTAAAACCCTCCACACAGATTAGACCGTATCAGGAAAAATCGTTGAGTAAGATGTTTGGTAACGGACGTGCAAGATCGGGTATCATCGTCTTACCTTGTGGTGCTGGAAAAACCTTGGTTGGTATCACTGCAGCCTGCACCATTAGAAAATCGATCATTGTTTTATGTACCTCTTCTGTTTCCGTGATGCAGTGGAGGCAACAGTTTTTGCAATGGTGTACCATTCAGCCTGAAAACGTCGCTGTTTTCACATCGGAAAATAAACAAATGTTTCGGGGCGAGTCAGGCTTAGTGGTGTCTACTTATTCCATGGTGGCAAATACTCGAAATAGATCCCATGACTCTCAAAAAGTGATGGATTTCTTGACGTCCAGAGAATGGGGTTTTATTATCTTAGATGAAGTGCACGTTGTTCCTGCTGCAATGTTCAGAAGAGTTGTTACCGCCTTGGCAACACATGCGAAATTGGGATTGACTGCTACTCTAGTTAGAGAAGATGAAAAGATTTCTGATCTTAATTTCCTTATTGGTCCTAAGATGTATGAAGCAAATTGGATGGAGCTTTCTCAAAAGGGTCATATTGCTAAAGTGCAATGTGCTGAAGTTTGGTGTCCTATGACAAGTGAGTTCTATCAAGAATATCTAAGGGAGAGTGCACGTAAGAGAATGTTGTTGTATATTATGAATCCAACTAAGTTTCAAGCGTGTCAATTTTTGATCCAATACCATGAGAGTCGGGGAGATAAGATTATTGTCTTTTCAGATAACGTTTATGCCCTTCAAGAGTATGCTCTCAAATTGGGTAAGCCCTTCATTTTCGGTTCGACTCCTCAACAAGAAAGGATGAATATTTTGCAGAATTTCCAATATAATGATAGAGTTAGCACAATTTTCTTATCAAAGGTTGGTGATACGTCTATCGATTTGCCAGAAGCAACATGTTTGATTCAAATCTCATCGCATTATGGTTCAAGAAGACAAGAAGCACAACGGTTAGGACGTATTTTACGTGCCAAGCGTAGGAATGATGAAGGTTTTAATGCATTTTTCTATTCCTTGGTTTCTAAAGATACACAAGAAATGTACTATTCCACGAAAAGACAAGCTTTCCTTGTTGATCAAGGTTATGCTTTCAAAATTATCACTCACTTGCATGGTATGGAGGAACTACCAAACCTTGCATATGCCTCTCCCAAAGAACGTAGAGAATTGTTGCAAGAGGTTCTATTGAAGAATGAAGAGGCAGCTGGCGTGGAAATGGGTGAAGACGCAGATAATTTGATTGGACATGGAGTTTCCAGGAGACTCAAATCCAGCTCTGTGAAGAACCAAGCTTCTATGGCTGGTCTCGCCGGAGGTGAAGATATGGCATATGTTGAGTATTCCAGAAATAAAAACAAAGATTTGGGTGTTTCCCATCATCCATTCTTTGAAAAGAACTATTACAGAAGGACGAAGAGATAAGTATATTTTGTTTCCACGCTTCAAAATTTGTTCATCACCTCCCTGCCATAACAAAATTACATTTAAATTTTTGCTACATAGTTTACATCATTAACACATAAATATATACGAACGTATTGCCTATTACATCGAATCCTATACATTTTAAATATTATACACAATAAATAATACACGCAAAAGAAAGGTGAATCACTCCTCCTGTGATTCTGCATCTAACTGTTGCTTTAATTCTTGACTTACCTCCACAGCTGTGTTTTCCAAATCCGTCATAACGTCACTTTTGAAGCTTACAACATAATCCAAACACTGGGCTATGTCGCAGACCAACTGTGTACGATTTTCGCTGATCATTGAAATGGTCTTTTTATAGTCTCGCTGAGCATCTTTCCATTTGCTTTCAATGGATTTTCTGTTCTCAGTGTTTTGTAACTTGAATAAGCGTATTTCCTTAGCTTTTTCTTCAAGATCAAATTGCTTGTTTGATGAATCCGTGGTATATTTATCATTGAGCTCAGAATATTCCTTCCTGGATTTGGACAACGAATCCTCCAATTCTTCCAATTTATCGGTGCAAGAAACAATAGACAACTTTAAGTCATCAACGGTTTCTTGTGATTGCAATATATCATCTTGGAGTTTTGTAATATGAGACTGCACTTTGTTCTTCAAGTCGCCAAGAGAAGATCTAAGTTTTGGTAAAATAGGAACCATTTCATGTGGTGAAGTTCCAATTTTGGTACTCTGGTACTCTTCATCTAAAGAATTGATAACCAGGGAAGAAGTGTCTGGCGGTGTTTCAAGGCTCAAGTCATTCAAAATCTGGTAAACCGTATTATTGTAAAAATTTATTTTTGCTTGTAGATCATTGAATTGTAGTTTGAGAGCTTCAGATTTGGATTCTATCAACTGTTTCGTCTGTCGCTGCTTTGAATCAATCAAATTTAAACTTGTTGTTAGTCTTGCCCGATCTTTGTGCAAATCCTCTATATCCTTAAGTGTGAGGTTCTTCTTCTCCAAATCAGATATGATATCTTGTTTCTCCTTATTGATATTTTGAATAGACTCCATGATATTACGGATATCTGAATTAGCTTTTTCAATGACACTAGGCCATTTGAGTTGTCGCTGTTTCTGTATATCAATATAATTCTGGAATTTTGTAACATCTGTCTGCAACGCATTAGCTCTTTCCATTTCATCAAAGAAAAGGTTATACGTTTCCTTGCTAGAGTCCAATTTCTGCTGCAACGTTTCGTGTAGTTCTTCATCTATGTTCATTTTGGATTGCACTTCTTCAATATAAACGAGGTACTCGTTCTCCATTTCTGCAAAATAGCTTGAATAGTCGTCTTCACCAGTAGTCAAAAAGGCCCTATAAGAGTCGAGCACATAAGTCAAGAACAACTTATTCATCAGGGATATCTCATTTGAAATTACTGGGTCATCTGTTAAATTCGTGTCAGTTTTATTTGACTGTTCTTCTTGGAAGGAGTAGATATCCAAATCGTCAAACTTCAGAGTTTCTTTGACTAGTTTTAACAGCCAATGTAACATGCCTAGAAAGACAGGCCAATTCGATCCACCGACAGCACTTATTTGAGATTTGTTGATTGTGTCCAAATAGGGATAATCTAAAAACTTCAAAAGTGTATAGACGTCCTGTTCTATGGATTTGTTAAATTTGAAGCCCGGATCCAGCTTTTTATAAAGCCATTGGAAAATTAAAACAAACTCTTTCTGTGTGGGGGTTTTCAAAGTTTTTGGCGTGAGTGGCTGTTTCATCTCAATGTCAAATTTTTTGGTGGATAGATAATTGTAGAGCTCATCTTGTACTTCAGACTGGAATCTATGACTTCTCAATGGTCTCGGATCCTGTGGTTTACTATATGCAGAAGGGCGGTGTGCCGGAGCTGGGGTTTCATAGCGATTCCCCGACGCGGACGACGGAGGGAGCACTGATTCTCTCCGGCTCCCTATTGTGGACCTTCGTTGTGTGTTCAACGGTATGCCCGACCTAGTGATGGAGTTCTGCACCAATTGTTGTACTGTGTTTTGAGTCGCTGCGTTGCGGATGGTGAAAGGGGTGGAAGACGTGGAGTTTGAAGCCAGCTGGGCTTGGAGGGCGCTGTTGAGGCTAGGAATGCTGGAAATGTTGCCGTTGTGGTTGTGATTGTGACTGTTGTTGTTGTTGTTATTGTTGTTCATTATCGACTGTCGACGAAGGTTGGGCGGGTTAATCAACCTGGGCGCCCCGAGGTGCGCATTGGCAGGCAGAAGACTCAACCTCTTCCTCTTCCTATCCCGGCTGGACTCGGTGCCGTCCGGCGACCGCAAGAGCGACGACCGAGACGAAGACAGTCTTCGGTTCGTGAACGTCGTGGACGTGATCGGAGAGAGAAAGCTGTTTTGTCGCTGGACCGTCCGCTGTTTCGGCTGGCCCGTCTGCGACATGGTCTCTCTTCGTGCAAGCAGAGACTCTCTCGGGTATTCCATGCCGTGCGTCTGCCCTTCAAACGCTCTCCGGACTGCGGTGCCAGATGAGCCGAATCCTGTGTCACGAAACGGTAAACATCTCGACAGAAATGGCAGAACCGAAATCATAACAAGAAAAAACATGAAACGGGTACCACCTCTGCGGTGCACGGGTGTAATTCTTGGAGCTCTCTGTGGGTTTTTTTGGGTCGATCGGTGCATTTTCCTTTTTTTTCTCTTTTTCTCGTGTTCCGCTCGCATGATCCAGCTAAGGCTGGGGTAAATTGTCAGCTTTTGTTCTCTACGGAAAGATGTCACCAAGGGCCAGTAGGAAGAAGCATTTCGGGGTTTCTAAAGAAGGAGAGTTCTTAGAGGCAAGCCGAAACCCAGAGGCAAAGCCAGTATGTTGAGAACAGGGTACTACAGAGCTGGAAACTCTGGTTTACTACGCAAACAGTTTGCGAAAAAAGCAATTTTCACGTCAGCCAGATTAGAATCTACGAAAAGTTCTAACCCGGAGCTGAACAAGAAGAACAACCTGGCAGAGGTGCTGCTTGAACATGAGGGCATCGGACATCACCCAAAGAGAAACAAGCATGTGGTAGCAGAGGAAAGTCGTTTCTGCGGAGGCGAACACTCTTCTCCTTCGTTATCGGTGCTCGAAAGGAAGTTGCGGGAACTGCAGTCTAAACCCGTGGACTTCCATTATTATCTCCGGTCGTTGCACAAGATCCAGCGAGGCGACAAGTTGCCGTACAAATTCGGTACCAACCAGCTACACACAGAGGCAAGAGAAGAGTCGACCATGGATGAAGTGCTGCAGGGGATAGTGCAACGGTTCAGAGCCCCGGTGAACTACGCTTTTGGCTACGGATCGAAGGTTTTCTCCCAGGGCTCTTCGATCGATATATCGAATTCGCAGATCGATATGATACTTGCGGTGTCCGACCCGTTGGAATGGCACAAACAGAATATATTGCAACACGGCTCGGACTACTCTTTTCTCAAGTTCTTGGGGCCCTCGGCCATCAACTACGTGAGCGAATTGGGTGCCGGAATCTATTTCAACCCTTTTGTCGACGTCAATATCAACGGCACGCCGCTAGAACTCAAGTACGGGATAACGTCAGTAGATACGCTTATCGACGATCTTGCAAACTGGTCAACCATGTACTTGGCCGGAAGGTTGCACAAACCTGTCGCTATTGTTCAGAACTCGGCCCAGCTGTTGTTTCTGAACCAATACAATTTGACAAACGCTGTTAAATTGTCTATTTTGCTACTCAACAAAAGATTCATCAAAGAAAGTGAACTATACCTGAGCATTGCAGGTCTTTCTTATATGGGTGATCCAAGGCTAAAGGTCCAAGGAGAAAACCCAGACAAAGTGAAGAACATTGTGGAGAACCAATTCTCGCTGTTCAAAAACTTGTACAAACCTATACTCGACAATTACTTCCCTAACCTCATTCAATCGGCTCATGAAGACTCGGATTCTGGTGACAGAGTGTATCATGTCAATTTGTCGGAGGAGCAGATTGCAAACATCATCATAGAATTGCCACGCAAATTTAGGTCAAGACTCTTCAACATGCTGAAGGAAAAATACGGAAATGAATTGTCAAAGGATACCCTAGTGCAGGAAATGATAGCGGAGCCCTCGCTTAAGGTGTTAACGTCGAAGTCTGTTGGAAGTGAACCTATTGTTTCATACAATGACATACTTGGACTGACTCAATTATCGTCGGCAAATTTACTTGCCGACATCCCAAAACGTGACTGGGAATATCTTCCTACAGAGTACAAGGTGGGAATTTCTCCATTCATAAAAAAGATGGCTTCTGATTTAAAGCAGCATCCGGAAACACTTCGCTGGGCCCTCTCTCAGACAGTGGAAGATACAGTAGGGTCTAGTGCCCTGGTACAGAGTCTCAAAGGCATTCTTACTGCTGGTGTGGTCCGTAGTTGGAAATATGCATCCGCTAAGCGCAGAAAGTATCTGCAAGCCCAGCAAAGGGGCAAAACTGGACGATGATGAAAACGAACTTTATGACATTGGTAAATTTGTAAACTCTATATAGTTGCAAGTTGTGTATATTTAGCGTCTGACATGTAACAAAGACAAGGACATTAATAATGTACGTTTGGTTTAATTGGTATATAAATTAAAATCAAATGTAGCTATAATACAAGTGTTAATAGGAGAATCTAGAAGAAAGAAGAAAAGAGAAGAAAGCATGTAAAAGAACTGAATGAAAAAAAAGCATATACAGAATTTTATGGTATACCGATCACGACACTTTTCCCCACACTGAAACTAACGGCCACTTTAGAGCCATCGCTACTCCAACTTATTTCGGACACAAACCCGGACTCTTGAGGTTCTTCATTAGTTTCCTCAAAATGTTGGTATAATCCGACCTGTCGTATTTTGATATTGCTTTTGCTGTCACCTTCGATGCACCAAATACAAACCGATCCGGAGGAATCCCCTGTTACAATCTTTTTCCTCGTATCGTCCTCTCCTTGATAAAAGGAGGCGCAAAGAATAGCTTGACCTTGGTCAACACTCACCAAGTCTATTGTTTCATTTTGGACAAAGTCCCATATCCTCATAGTTCCATCCAACGCAGTGCTTAGTAAAAACCATCTGTTAGAAATAGTGATCCATTCTAGCATAGAAACGGCTAAGGCATGGCCTCTTAGGATTTGCAAACTATTGGTTGAGTTCCCCTTCCATATTCTAATCACGCCATCTTCGCTGGCGGAGCACAAGAGTCGTAATTTAGGATCATACTTGACGCAGCAAATCGATTCTTCGTGTCCAGTCAATACCCCTATGATACTGTTGCTATTATCACTAGTCACTTGGCATACGAGTAATGTATATTTAGGTCCTGGAATGACAAATTTATTATCATCTAGCCAACATGTGTCAGTGCCGTAGTTTTTGTAAAGCGGGCTGCCAGTCGACGAGGATTCGTTATTGGCTGAATCTTTAGAAATGAGGTCGTTGAAACTTTTGTCTGCATGTGACCAGCTCTCTTTATCCAAATGCGCTACCACCAAACTTGAGGTTATATCCCATACCACTGCCACATTCCTGATGTCTAAAGACAGAAGGTACCTTCCGCTAGGCGACCAACGTAATGACACAATTGGCCAATGATGCATGGCCAGCGTGCTCAGCAGTGTGCCCTCAATAGACCAGAGACGCAGCTCGCCATTTTCGGAAGCAGTTATCAAAGAAGAGCCTTTCGGAGACCAGGACACTATAAGCGTCTCCTTACACGCTAAAGGTAAGGACAACTTGGTCTCAGAGTTGGAGTTGAACGAATATATCACTGACTGATTGTCTCTTTGTGACCACGCAATAAGCTCAGGGTTGTTAGGCGAAAAAGAGACGGAGTATGAGGAGTCGTAATTCATCAACCCTTTCACTACCTGGATAAATCCAGATTTTTCCTGCTGTGCCTCCAGCGGTGTCGACCACGTCGAAACCTGGCGCTGCAGTTGTTGTTGCGCATGTTCGTCGGTATGCATCAAATCTCGTACCCCATCTTGCGCTTGTTCTTGTTGCTGGCCGTCTTCTTGTTTCACTTTGGTCTCCTCCTCTTCCGAGGACCTCTCCCGGGTCTGTTTGGAGCCATTCAATTCCTCCAAACTCAGTATTTTCCTATCCTCCGTTGGCTCCTTGGTGTTTATTTCATGCAAGGCCGTGAAGAAATTGAAATTTAGATTGATGATGTCATCTTGCATAATGGTGTCCGTTTTCACTGCCGACACCAAATCCGTCATTTTCGAGTACAAGATCCCCTTCTGCACCAAGTCCACTAGGCATCCGAGCGGCACGTGCGGAGAATACACGGAGTCCAGCTGGTTGATAGTGGTTTCGTCCTCCAACGCATAGGCAGACACCTCGAGACCCGACTCCTGAAGGTATCTCCATATCAGGTAGTTGATCTCGTTGACAGATACAGACATGTCGGTCGTCTCTTTGGAATGCTCTGTGTGCGTGTGTGCAATTGTACTTGCATGCAAGCTCTGGGAACTCCCCCAGAAGACGGTCCTGGCAGTTCTACCCGCTGTGAACGTACACACCTTTTGTCTGTATTTGTCACCTTTAGGGGAAAAAAACGAGAACGAGCAAGCACGATGAAAAAAAAATTGAGTCGATCGGCCCTGTCTGAGTCAGACAGCAAGTGAAAACGGATTGGAAGCTTATCGGAGAAGGGTAGGAAGGAAGGGAAACAGGAGAGGCCCTGTAAAGCGAGTCCAGACGTGGTGGCAAGTACAAGGTCAACAGCTGTAGAAAGAAAAAGTAATATGCTGAGGTACTATGATAGTGGCAAAATTATCCATGGTTTCATTTTTCAAAACGCCTGCTCCGGAACGATATGTGGAGAAACAGATAACGCTCGAAAGACGTACGGAGGTCCCGTTTGTTGCCGGCAGTTTGGAAGCTAGGTCTGCGGAGGACGCAGAAGGAAAGGATGGAGCTGTGGGAGAAAAGGTACTCTGGTTGGATGAGGGAAAAGCGTTGTTGAAAGAGGGAGGTTCGGGATACCTTTTTTCAGGGCAGATCGAAATTCGTCGAGTTGACTGTGCGCCGAGTCAAGACGGGGTGCTCACCGAAGGCTTGGAAGTGGTCATCAAGAAGTACACCGGAGAGTGGGTGGGAACGATAGTGTACGACTATGTGTACTGTGGCGGGAAGAAGTGCTACGACATGGCGCACCGGAAGCTGGTGAAGACCGTGCACCACCTCGAGGACGAGCAGTACCACGTCTATGTGAACTACGAGGCAGACCGTAAGATCGTGCTTCGGATGGAGGTGTGCCCGGGGGACGAGGAGGTGTTGCAGCGGTGCTTGCAGGATTACGAGGCGGAAGTTGTGTTCACGCCGTGTAAGGGATAGTCTTGGGTGTATAAATAGAGAGCGGCATGTGTATAGGAACTGACAATATGAAATGTATTCATTATATATCTATAAAAGAGTACAGCTTTTGTATTTCGTGGTGATAGCGTGTGTATCAGCTATGTACATGCGTCAGAGCAAAGGGTGTGTGTGTTTGATGTCCGGAGGTGTTTTTGCTCGTCCCGGCCTCACAGGTCTCTTTCCCAATGGGACTTCTTCACCTCCTTCAACCTTCTCGCCTTGAGCGTCTTGGCGGACCACTTTCTGGCAGATCTCTTTAGCAGCTTCTTCTGCTGCTGTTGGGTCTGGGCGTTGGGCTTGGTGACCAGGCTGATGAAGTTGTCTGTGACGCCGAACTCCTCCCTGATCTGCTTTCTGGACACACCCTGGTCCCGCAGCGTCTGCAGCTGCTCCACTATCGACGCATCAAACTTGTAGTTCTTAGGCTGGCTGGCCTTGGATACGACCGGCATGTACGCGACGTTGGCGGTCACGAGCGAGTCCTGCTCTGGGTAGTACAGGTCCGAGGCGGCTCTGGCGTCCGACTTGGGCAAGAAAGCCTTCGGGGTGATCTCTGGGTTTGGTGCTGCTGGTGCTGGGTGGAAGAAAAGACCCTCAGGCAGCTCAGGGCGGAGGTTGAATGCAGACGACTTTGCGTTGAACTTGTTTGGAGTGGTGCCGAGCTTAGGGATGCCGCTCGACGACGAAGAGTTGAAACGCACAGAAAAGCCCTTGCACTTGGACAGAGCTGCACGACACTGGAACATGGTTGCTGCGGTAGGCGGGAGCTTGCTGACTGGCTGCTACTGTTCGTGCTGTTCCTCTTCTCAATGCCCAGCTGCTGAGCATTCCATCTCTTTTGCACCCCTGTTTGCTTTTTTCATGAGAGCAGGGCCAGCGCTGCGGAAGCCGCTCTGGCCGACGCGTCGACCAGCGGCGGGGCTTGTGCGCCGGGTAACCCGCAGGGGTCTGCTGCAAACCCCATGGCGCCCACTGCAGCCAATGGGAGACGCGGGAGAACAAAACGGGCAGTGGGGCGTGCGGTCCTGCGGTGTTTGCTTTGCCATAACGGCTGTTCGGACCACTTTACGCTTACGCTTACGCTTATTCAGAGCACCATCTTCGTTCGTTCTTTGTTGACCCCGTGCGTCTACACTCTACGATTTCTGTGCTTCCGTGTCTGTGAGATCAGCAACTTCGACGGCTGCCTGGCATTTACACAGCGACCCACGCGGACACCCACACGCTTAGATATACACTTGGACTTAGACACACATCCACTCTGAAAAATGATAAAGGCATCTAGCAGAGCAGCTATCTCCAGGTCGATCTTCTCGACAACGTTTCTCGTCGCGTTCTCCCTCGTCGTGGCTAACAGCATTGTGCCCTGTCCTGTCGACAGAGGTGTCGCCAACGACTCGAAGATGAGTCCGGCCCAGATGCAGGAGCTGATGGAAAAGGAGACGAAATAGATTGGCGTCGTCACCCCGGCCGACGCCGTCCTCTGTGCACATAGCCGCATCCCGTATACATACTCTCACACTTATACCTATACATATCCGCCTCCAGGCACATGGACAGCGGCGGAACTCCAAATTACATATATGATTTTCTCATTGGACAGAGCTGCCGCCGAAGTTTTTTTTTCATTTTGCACTATTATTTGCATTTTCCCCAACTCTATCAGTACCATCTCCGTGGTTCTGGTCTCTATTATTCTCCACACAGATAGAGCCGGACGCTGCAGCAGACGTGGGTCTGTACTGCTCCTCGGCACATCGTGCACATACACTTATATTTACTGCTTCCCTCTTTATAGATAAGACCCCTGTATAACGACTAAACAAGCCAATCCTGAAGTCACGTGCGCATCGAGAAGGTTTTTTTTTACTCGCTTCCTCGCCTTGTCCCCTTCTCTTTCTTTCCCTTATTCCTCCTGTCGGTTCTGTTGTTGTTTGTTGCCTTCGCCGTCCCTTCGCCCCCTTCCTTTCCTTTCCTCTCTGCAACTCTTTTGGACCAGGGCCTCGTTCTTGTTCTTCTAAGTATCCGCTCGCCGCCCCTTCTATCTCTGCGTCAGCCCTCGACGAGGCAAAGGTATAGCGCCATCCACTTCTTCCATCTAACCTTACTTCAACGAGCATGTCGGATGAAGAATCACATACCGTCACTTCGATCGATGACGATTACAAGCCCGAACTAGGGTCCTCCGCCACCACCTCAGCAAATGCCAATAGCGATTCTAATACCGTTGATGCTAATGGTGACGATGACGACCTAAACCCTGAATCTGTTTCCCAAACGCAGCCTCCCGCTCCCCCTTCTTCTACTACTCCTACCCCTACCCCTACTTCTATCTCTGCTTCTACTTCTGCCTCCGCGTCTTCATCGACTTCAACGGAAGGTCCACCTTCGAACCCTCTCCAAGGTATTCTATCTACCTCCAACTCCTCCAAGCCTACAGCTGATAATGCTGCATCCAAGCACTCACCACCTCTCACACGTGTGAAAAACGTAAAATTTGCCGATCATGCAATCGAGATCATCGATTCTAGCAATAACGTGTTCAACGACAGTAACGACGACAACAGTGAAAATGAAGCTGGCAACAATCACAATGACGATGGTGACTCCGGTGCCAACGTTGCGTCGAAGTCCACAACAAAAGACGATGCTGAAAATGATGAAGACTATGGCGCAATCCAAGTAGTCGATGACAACGAGGATAATAATTATGATCCTAAAGCATCAAATCTTCCTCCTAAACCTACCACTGCCAATATAGATCGCACAACCCCTATAGATGAATCCAGATATTCGAATATAAATGTTCCTCTATTCAATGAGATAGTCCAATTTTTCATCACTAGTCCTCTCTTCAATGATCCTCAGTTTGACTCTCTATCTTCAGCAGAGAAGGAGACCACAGTATTGGAAGCCTATGAAGCCTCAACCGGTAGGAAGATAAATCCGGATGAAGTGAATATCAATTTCAGGGCAACAACGTCCTATAACAAGATCAATATGAAACCAAGTGATGATCGCCAGCTATTGGTGCCAATAAACCCTTACTGTCGTCGTCCAGATCTAACTCTGGGAATGGACACCGATGAAAAGTATCAGTTTGATGAGTTCAAAAGAGACGCTGAAAAGCACTCAAAAGAGTTTGAGTGCTTGAATTTCCCTCCAGGTTCAAGGCTGTTTGTTGGAAACTTAGCCGTTAACTCTTTGAAAATCTCAGATGTTTGGAGAGTCTTCAAAAGATATGGTGCTGTTAAAGCTGTGAATATGAAACAAGGTTACGGATTTGTTCAGTTCATCGACGCAGATTCTTGTCAAAAGGCTATCCACGGTGAGGAGCACGTTCCCTTGCACAATCGCTTAATGCATCTCCAAGTGTCTAAGACTCATGAGAAACATACCGAAAATAGATCAAAGGAAACAAGTGAAAGAGAAAGAGAAAGAGTAAGAGGTAGAGAAAGAGAGAGGTCGCCAAAAAGATCTACTAATGAACGTCAAAGGTCTCCTCATAGATCTTCCAGAACCGCAAGTCAAAATAAGAAAGTTCGGGTCATTATTTCTCTGGAGTCTGAAGCAAGTTTTAATCATTTATTGGTGAATAGCTTGAATGAGGTGGGCTTGGAATGCAGCATCAAGCATGTCGATTCTACCGCAGAAGAAGTTCCTCAAGAAACAATTTCGGAATCTGCTTATGCTGGAGTTGCCGCTGCTATTGTTACAAGTAAGATGGAGCTAGTAAATTTATTTTTGTTCCAAAGAGATACTAATGATGGTGCAATAAAATTCGATGAGTACGAAAATATTTCCATGGAAAGCGCCATAAACTTCATCGCCAATCAAAGTAAAAAGGATAAAGTTTTTGATATCAATAATAGTAACAGCAGTAATGCAAGAGGTAATACAAACAACTACCGTCCTGAACAAAACATGAACTCGAATGATAGAAGAAGGAATCAAGGTAGAGACAACAACAACAACAACAACTCTAGGGGCGACAGAAACCGTAATGATAGACGAAGAAATAATCATAACAGGGATAACAGGGATAACAGGGACAGCAGAGACAACAGAGAGAGATATGTTGCTCGTAATCAAAACTATCCCAATAACATATACAACAATGGAAATGAAAACAACAACAGCAACAACAACAACATTGACAACAGTGGTAATCCTAGCTATCCAAGTTACTCTCCAAGACAGCAGAATGAGCAAAAGCATTTGCCGCCGCAAGTTCCTGGCATGGGTACAAACTACACCCCAAACCAAATGTATCAACAGATTCCCACCCCTAATCCTCAGCAGTACTACGGCTATAACGGTCAACCTCCACCCCTGCAGCAGCAGCAGCAGCAGCCACACTATCCGAACAACAACCAAAATGCCGTGGCTTCGCAGTTGATGAGCCAACTATCATCGCTTGACGAAGGATCGCTAAAGGCCATGCTAAGCTTAGTAAATCAGCAGCAGCAACAACAGCAGCAGCGCACTGCGCTGTCACCACACATGCCAATGGGGAACGTAATGTATCCCTCACAACCGGCCAGCATGTCTATGCCACCACATATTCCATCTGGTCCTGCCGCTACTGCAGGCGTGGGCGGCCTATTAGCTCAACTACAAAACATGGTTCCGGGAACCAACGTGAACAACATGGCTCCTGTGGCTGTCAACAACCCAAACAGTTTCCCAGCCAACCGCCACCTTCCTAACAGCAACCAACAGCAACCAAGTGGAAACAGGGAAAGTCAACAACAAAATGGCGGCGAAGACGCAAGTAGATTATTCGAGACACTAGCCCGTCTCAAGAATAACATGTAGAACAATCCTGCCTCCTTTTGTATTTTTCCCCTCCCCTCTCCCTTTTGATTCGTTTAATTGTCTGTATCTTGTAATTCTAACATGTTCTGTCATTCGACAGACGCTCCCTTGTGTCTGTGCAGAACCCCTCTTTTCTCCCCATTCTTTCAGCCCCTCTTCTTACTCTCTCCGTTTATCTCTAGCGGCTCCTCGGCTTTGGTTTTTCCGTAGAGCGAGTGGAGAAACGGTTTTCTTTCCTCTTTGTTTATTTCCCCCTCACGCATCTCCCAACGTCGTGTTTACTCCACAGTTGATCCGCGTCTCGCACGCTGGAAGGTTAATCCGCCTCGGTCAGCTGCGCTGCTCTCGTTTGGCGATTGCCCCTCCAATCGGCAACAACAAACGCCAGGGATGGACGGCGGACCCGTGCTGGGTGTGTACTTGTGGGGCCGACTTTTTGCAAGTTGTGTTTTTTGAACAAACACGTCGTCAGCGGTGGTGTCTGTAATCTTATACAGGGGGGATCACACAACACATACCATTGTCTTGCCTAGCAAAGATGTCCTTACTTGATGCGTATGAGAAGACCAAGCAGGAGCTCACCGTTACTCCAGAGAAACTCACTGAAATCACCAACCATTTCGTAAGTGAGTTGAACAAAGGTCTCTCCAAGACGGGAGGGAACATTCCAATGATCCCAGGATGGGTCATGGACTATCCTACTGGCCAGGAGACGGGGGACTACTTAGCCATCGATTTGGGGGGCACTAATTTGCGTGTTGTCAAAGTATCCCTTTTGGGGGATTCTAAGTTCACCTACGAGGCTGAAAAATACCCTATACCTGTGCCAATGAGAACCGGTAAGTCTGAGGACCTCTGGAACTTCATTGCAGACTCATTGGACACGTTTGTCAAGAAACACTACGGCTCCAGAGGCTCGTCGATGGCAAAGCTCCCTCTTGGGTTCACTTTTTCTTACCCTGCGTCCCAAGACGCTATCAACGAGGGTGTGTTGCAAAGATGGACAAAAGGTTTTGACATCGACGGAGTCGAAGGTGAAAACGTCGTTCCACTGTTACAGGATGCAATCAACGTCAGAAATACCCCGGTTGAGGTTGTCTCGTTGATCAACGACACCACCGGTACCTTAGTTGCATCCAAATACTGTGATCCGGAAACAATCATGGGTTTGATTTTTGGAACGGGCTGTAACGGTGCGTACTACGATGTTTGTAACGATATTCCAAAACTTGAGGGCAGACTGCCAGACGACCTGTTGAAGGAAAACTCTCCCATGGCAATCAACTGTGAATATGGTGCCTTTGACAACGAATGGGCAGTTCTACCAAGAACCAAGTACGATATCCAGATTGACCAGGAATCCCCACGTCCTGGCCAACAGTACTATGAAAAGATGATTGCAGGTTATTATTTGGGTGAGGTTTTGAGATTGATCTTGTTGGATTACTACTCTCAGGATTTGATCTTCAAGGACCAGAACATCAAACCGTTGCAAGTTCCATTTGCCATGGATACTTCGTTTCCATCCAGAATTGAGCAGCACAGCGCAACATTTGTTGAAGGCCTATTTTTAGACTCGTTCAACATCAAAACTACAGAGGAAGAAAGAAATATCATCCACGACCTTTGTCTTTTGATTGGTACACGCTCAGCCCGTTTGTCTGTTTGTGGTATTGCTGCCATCTGTAAGAAGAGAAACTACAAAGCTGGGCACTGTGCAAGTGATGGTTCTGTTTTCAACATGTACCCTCACTTCAAAGAGCGTGCGCATGAAGCTTTGAACGACATCTTCCAGTGGAACTGCGATCCAAAAGATTACCCAATCACTTTAATCCATGCAGAGGATGGTTCTGGTGTCGGTGCTGCTGTTATCGCATGTCTTACCGAAAAGAGACTGTTGGCCAACAAGAGTGTCGGAACCATAGAGAGCAAGTTGTAGTCATCTCACCTGTATATTATTCCGTACCCTCTTTATACATATATTAATGCAAGCATTATGCATTCTCAGCTACAAGGAGATCCAGCTTAAGAGTGGAATCGGGCTGGTGCCGTTGTTAGCAAAGAGTACTTGTTGGAAACAGCTGTCAAACATTCATCTACCTAACTATTCCCAAAGTGTAATAAAATTTCAGCGGTATGTAGACTTTTTCCCCATCATATTCAAACATGGCTTATGTAATAGGGTCTGGGTTTCCAGCACGGGGCATGAATTGAATCTTTGTTGATCTCATGTTTACAAGAAAGAATGATTGAATAAAGGCCGTAAGTTGTCATTGGAGAAGGGAGACGTCTATTTCTGATATATTGAGTCTTTTTTGTGGCTACTGTGACAATATCTCAAAAGAATAAAACAATGAATATTTCAGATCAGTCGGCGGCAGTGCTCAAACCATTGATTATTTACTGTCTAGAACATGATATGTTAGACACCGCCGAATTCACTGCCGAAAGACTACTTGCACAGGAGAGCCGATCAGCCTACTCGTTGAATGAAGTAGTGAATGCCAAGTCGGGTGCTGTTTTCAGTGGGACTAATGGGAATGGGGCGGCTGGGGATGTTGGAGTTGGCGCCAGTAGTATCAACAACAAACTTAACAACAATGCCATAGGCACCCCAACGCCTCATTCAATTCACAACAGCAGTTTGCGTATTGATTCAGATGCAATTGGTAAAGACATAGATTTTGAAGGCACTAAGCATGCTCCAAACAGGAAATCTTCACTTGCAGGTTTGACCACTGGGGTGAGCACTTCAAAGCTAGATGCTATCCACTTATACGCGTGTGTTCTATTCCGCCGAAACCGATTCAAGGCAGCTTACAATGTAACCTCAGAGTATTGCACTCTTCATATCGGTTGCTCATATATGTTTGCCAAAGCCTGCAAAGAGCTACAACGTGAAAATGAGGGAATACGAGCCCTACTACGAACCATGAACCTGTGGGAATCAAGAGTGGACGGTTTGAACAAGAAAAGCAATAGCAATATCATTATAAATGGAAATAATTATTTGATTCCAGATTCTGTTGCATGCTATATGCTTTTGGCTAAGCTATATTGTGCGGTTGGTGATATCCCTAGGGCAAGCATGCATTATTCACAAATCTTAAAGTTAAATCCTTTCATTTTCGAAGCCTTTGAAGAATTAGCTCGTCTTGGTGTGCATGTGAGAGTTGATGCAATTTACAAAAATAAGGATTACTCTCCCTCGGGCACTTTATTTCACTCGGATTATGGAACACGTTTGGATGAACCAATATTAGAAGCGGAAATGGAGCAAGATCTAGATCTCAACGATGATACAGAACTCAGTGAAGTTGGTGCCAACGAAGAACCAAGTGAAAAATATGATGATGGGCACACTGGCACTAGACGAGGCAAACTGTTTCCATCAGGAGAATATGCAGATAAGTCAAGGGAACGTGGAAGCAAAAATATCATTTTTAAGACTCCCAAAGGCAAACCCAAACCCTCGAGTATACCCACCAGTAGTCCAGAGTCAACATTTATCACTCCTGTTACCAAGAGCTATAGTAAAGTACAGGCATACAATAAGTCAATACCAAGTAAAAGCTTACCAGGTGCAAAAAGTTCAAGCTCTACTTTAAATAGTTCAATACCTCGGAAGGGTCCTTCAATTACCTCAAGATTGCTTCATAATCCAACTAGTAGTGGTACTGTTGTTGCTTCAACTAATTCAGATGATGACATCAATTTCCTTAAAAAAGATACCACTGCTGGCTCCAAAAGGGATATGCTTAGCGCGTTTGGTATAGTCAATGGAAACAATGATGTATTCACTAGCAGCTCAGTCAATAAAAATAGTGGATACAAATATGTGAGAAATAACAGTTTAAATGGTGGTCTCAATGGAATAGGAAATTCGTCCACGTTATTTGATGAGCATGATGTGATGAGAAATTTGAGCAATGAATATTTATTATCAGTCTATTATAAGCTTGCTAAGGGATACTTGGCATCAACCACGTATGACTGCTTCAAAGCTATAAGAATTTTCGATTCACTACCGGAAAATGAACGAAATACGCCATGGGTTCTATCGAAATTAGGCCGGCTGCATTTTGAGATTGTCAATTACGAAGAAGCAGAAAACTATTTTGAAAAACTTCGTAAAATAGATAGAACCAGACTGGATGATATGGAGTATTACTCTACACTGTTATGGCATTTACATAAAGAAGTCGAGTTGAGTTATTTGGCTCATGAGCTCTTTGAAGTTGATCCTAATTCTGCAATCTCATGGATAAGCATAGGTAATCTTTTCAGTTTTAGAAAAGAGCCTGAAGATGCTGTAAGGTGTTTCAGCAAAGCCATCGAATGTCAATCTACATGTGCATACGCTTATACATTGCAAGGCCATGAATATCTTGCTACAGATGCGTTTGAAAATGCTCTGAGCAGTTTCAGACATGCAATAGTACTGGACAAAAGGCATTATAATGCATTTTATGGTATAGGTATGGTATACCTGAAACTTGGAGATTTTCGAAAAGCGGAGTTTCATTTTCGAAAAGCAGTTGAGATCAACCCTGTCAATGTGATTTTGATTTGTTGCGTAGGCATGGTTCTGGAAAAGTTGGGGAGGAAAGAAGAGAGTTTGAAACAGTACGAGTTTGCCACCAAACTGCAGCCGTTATCGATGTTGGCACTATTCAAAAAGGCTCAGGTACTATTCAGTCTGAAGCAATACGATGACGCTTTGAAAGATTTTGAAAAGCTCGAGAACCTGGCGCCTGATGAAGCCAGTGTCCATTTCCTTCTAGGAAAATTATACAAGCATTACGGTCGCAAGCATGAAGCTATCAAACAATTTACTATCGCATTGAATTTGGATCCTAAAGGCTCGCATTTGATTAAAGAAGCCATGGAAAACTTGAATGACGATATGGTTGAATGATGACAACTTAATCTTGCTGATGATCGATAATAATAAGTTTATTATGATGGATGATACATCCTCTTTTTTTATTTGTCTGTTTCAGTTATAAGACTCTAAATTCATATATATATATATACAAGAAGATGGCAGGAATCAGTAACCTTTTCTGACTGCATCTTTGACGACTTCGAATAATTTTGCGATACCAGATTCAAAGACTCTCTTACGATTGGCGACTCTCTTTGCCAAACGTCTCTTGTTTGGCTTTGTGTAGAAGCGCTGATCATATGAAACCTCCCTCAATCTGTTTGATCTCACCAGGGAATCAAATTGGTAAACAGCCCTGTCCAAGTCTCTGTTGACAACCGACACTGAACGTCCTGCTAGCTTGTCGGAAAGTATGAATCTGGTTGCATAGTCGTACGGATCAGGTTCGGTGCTCGAAAGAGGTGCAAACGAACGTTTGGAGAAAAAGCTCGAGCTGTAGTCGGTAGAAGGTGATCCCAGAGCTTCGGAAATGATGTTGTTTGTCTTCGTTTGTGATGGGTTCTGGCCGGATTTGACTGAGCTGACCATTTTCACGGTTGTAGCAGTGTTTGAGAGGGTGCTGTTACCTCTGGCCGCAAATCTGGCTGCCTGAACAGCCGGGTAAACACTTCTGGTGAACATATCTGCTATCTTCTCAGTGGTTTCTGGTGCCTCTTGTCGTTAAGCCGCCTGATGTGTGAGCCCGATACAAGACAAGCTTTATCCTACTGTCGATGTACACTGTTTTTCCCCATCGTTGGCGGGTAAGCTGAAATTTCGTGAGGAAACGAGGGAGGAAATGAGGGAAGAAAAAAGAGTGGCACTTTTTTTGTGCATGGTCATATTCCTTAACTGCGAAGAAGTATCGGAGAATGATGGTTATGGTCTCTTTGGGAGGAGAAATATTTTAAACGGCACGCAATGCTACAACAGACCAAAGACGGAGAAGCTGAAGCTGCTAATGCGGCAACAGTTGAACAAGTTGCGAAGCAGGTTGGAGATTTGACTACTCAAGATGACCCGGAAACAGACACTGCGGTTGACAGCGGTGACAAGAAAAAGAAGAAAAGAAAGAAGAAGAAGAAGCCAGCACAGGTTTTTGAAAAGGCTATTGCCAACGAGTATAGAGGCATTTATCCACCAGGTGAGTTCCAGGACTATAACTTGAAGCGTACCACCAACGAAGAAGTGCGTGCCGATGCCAACCTCGAAGAGGCAGAGAAATCATGGAACAAGTTCCGTAAAGGTGCCGAGATCCATAGAAGAGCACGTAAACACGCCCAGGAGAACATCAAGCCGGGTATGACTATGACTGAGATTGCAGACTTGATTGAGAACCAAATCAGGGATATGGCGGGCACCAACGACACTTTGAAAGGTGGGATTGGTTTCCCAACGGGTCTATCGCTTAACCATTGCGCCGCCCATTATACCCCTAATGCCGGAGACAAGGTTGTGCTTCAGTATGACGATGTTATGAAGGTTGATATCGGTGTTCATGTCGATGGGTACATTGTTGATTGTGCTTTCACTCACACCTTTAATCCAAAATATGATGGGTTGTTAAACGCGGTCAAGGAAGCCACCAACACTGGTATCCGTACAGCAGGTATTGATGTGAGATTGACTGACATTGGAGAAGCCGTTGAAGAAGTCATGGAGTCTCATGAGGTCGAGATTGACGGTAAGACCTACCCTGTTAAGTGTATCAGAAACTTGAACGGACACAACATCTTGAACCGTCGTATCCATGGTGGTAAGAGCATCCCTATAGTTAAGAACGGGGATCCAACCAAGTTGGAGGAAAACGAAACCATTGCTATCGAGACTTTTGGTTCCACAGGTAAAGGCTATGTTGTCCAGAGTGGTGAATGTTCACACTACATGAAGAATACCGAACCACCTGCTAACGCCTCTGTGAGATTAGACCGTGCAAGAAAGTTGCTAGATACTATCGATAAGAACTTCGGCACTTTGCCATTCTGTAGACGTTATTTGGACCGGATTGGTGAGGAGAAGTACTTACTTGCATTGAACCAGTTAGTAAGGGAAGGTTTGGTTACCGAACATCCTCCGTTGGTCGATGTGAAGGGTTGTTACACAGCACAATTCGAACACACCGTTTTGTTGCAACCTACTAGAAAAGAAGTTGTTTCCAGAGGTGATGATTATTAGTGGCGAAGCGGCGCCTTTTGATTGATCTAGTTTGGGAAAATGGTTATTAGTGGTTATTAAGTAACATTTTATAAAGAGAAATAAACTCAAATATACATTTATCATAGTTCGTCTTTGCTCAGATACTCTTCTATTTTCGTAAAAGCAATTGTGCTAGCTGTGGTGATGGAAGTGGTGCCATCAGGTATTGTTGTTGATATTGTTGCAGCTAAAGTTAACAGGGTTGAAGAGAAGATTGAGGTAGCATTCAACGGCTGTGATTTGCCGTACGAGGTGCTCCAAAAGAGCAGCTTTATTGGTGACATCATCAACCATAAAAGTAGAAGCACAGGTCTCTTGAAGATTCGTCGCCACAGAATCCAGCAGCATACAGATATGAAGAAGTATAGAGAGCGATAGATCATTTGCCTCTCGCTTTTGCTTGCCTTGTTGATCGACTTGACCAAGGTGTTGGTCTTATTTAGAACACTGCCAAAAAATGCATAGCTGTCTGCCAAGCTCGAAAGCGTCGATGTCGAAATTTCCAGCTCATTGAGGTTGATTTCTCCTGCTAGAAGAGTGGACTTCATCAAGTTATTCACATTCTGTAACTTGTCCGTGAGCATGTTGTTTTGCTGAAGTAATCTTTCCTGTGCAGATAGCTCTTCCAGCTGATCGTCATCAATGGAGCTGTATGCGTTAGTTCTTCTTGCAGCAGAAGAAATAAAAGGATCTGCATCTTGCGACAAAGTAGCTTTTGTCAGATTCCCGTCATCTCTCTTATCTCCGTTGAGAATGCGGAGCTCAGCTTCGTCGAATGATCGCAGATATTGAGACTCCAGGTACTTGCTCTTCTCATCTACTTTTTTCCAGCGATACATTGCACGGACATCTCTGTAACGTTCCTTCAGCTTGTATACCGAGAACTGTACTTGCTGTTTCGCCTTGTTGGGAGGGAGAGACGGAACGATAGTCGATTCCAACAGCGATAGATCGATTTCGATTTTTGTGTATATTTCACCGATGGTATCATCATATAACGACTGCTGGCCTTCGTCTGTCGTGTACACGTACTGCACCACGAAAGCGTACGCCTTTCTCAGTGAAACATTCAAGCTGTCAAGCTGCTGTATTTGGGTACTCATGCTGTACCCCAGTAATGTTTTCGCTGCTTCTCTGGGGCAATTCTTCTTATTTGAGTGAATTCATGTCTGATCTGATGGTCTCGTTTTCTTCCCTCCTCAGAGGACGCGCCTTGGGTTGAGAAAGGGCCCAGAAGAAGGGAAGCTGTTCAGGAGGGTGGCAAACTGTGTTGAGCAGAGGGCGGGGACAAAAGAAGGCTACAAGTAAGCGAACACTATTGATAGAGCTAAAGAGCATGGCCATTACCACAGACGACATAGAGACAAAAGAGGTGCCTAACTTCAGGCTTTCGGAAACGGTGTTCCTTGCGCAACACCAGCAAGAGCACCCGGGAAATGAGAAGCTCATTGGGGAGATTCTAGAAACGATCCGCAAGGACAGCATGGGGCCATATTACCATTACCTCTACTATGAACTCAAGCTTCCGGGCTTTGAGTGGGACCAGTCACTTTACGACTCGCTTGTAGCAGAAAGCTCCAAGCATATCGCAGAGATTACGGCTGAGATTGAGAAGCTTGATAAAGAAGACGAGTCTGAGATGGATATCTTGAAGAAATGGACCGAGTTGGGCGAGTACTATGCGACAATTGGAGACAAGACCAAGGCAGAGAGCACGTTGCTCAAGACAATTGAGCTTGCGCCAAGTACAGGGTCGAAGATCGACTTGTACTTGATGATATCCAGAGTCGGGTTCTTCTACAATGATGCCGTTTTTGTGAAGACATATCTTGACAAGTCGAATGCGCTAATTGAAAAAGGCGGTGACTGGGAAAGAAGAAACAGATACAAGACCTACAACGGGATTTACTTGATGTCTATCCGGAACTTTGCTGAAGCATCCAAGTTGCTCAACGACTCGTTGTCCACCTTCACATCTACAGAATTGACTACGTACCAGGACGTTGCCAAATATGCGCTAGTTTGTGGCGCAATCATTTTTGAAAGACCGGACCTGAAACACAAATTGATTGAAAACCCCGAAATTTTGGCCATAAACTCAACCACTGACGAGTTGCTTCCTATTTACAATTTAATTAAATCGATCTACTTGACCGAGTACGAAAAATTTTTCCCTGCTCTGCTTGAAACCAACGACAAGGTTTTGCTCACAAACAAGTACCTCTATGCACATGCAAACTACTACTTGCGAGAAATTCGCTGTCGTGCTTACTCGCAGTTGCTGGAGAGTTACAGGTCGCTTTCTTTGAAGTCAATGGCGGCATCGTTTGGCGTTAGTGTTGAGTTTTTGGATAATGATCTCTGCAAGTTCATAACTAGCAAGAAGCTCAACTGTGTCATTGACCGTGTCGGAGGAATCGTGCAAACGAGCCGTTCCGACAGCAAGAATGCGCAGTACCACACTTTAATCAAGACGGGAGATGCCTTGTTGACCAAGTTACAGAAATACGGTGCAGCAGTGCGTATGAGTGGAGCAGAAAAGGTATAGTTAATTGTTTGTAAGTTTAAGACGTCAACCGAGAAATACTCCTTATATATAGAGCAAGATATGGGCGGTTGGTTGATGCCGAATCAGTTGCAGTACTGTTAACTAATACTATATAAAAATTGTTTTCAAAAGACAGAGAAAAGCTTGCCACAGCCAGACCCAAGGAGGGCAGAAGTGCAAGAGATAGACACTGGGTAGGAAGAAAATGTAGTGAGAACGAAATGGTGGCGCAAAAGTGTTGGGAAGTGAGGTACGGCAGACAGCCAGTCGTTGCTTCAAACCGGAGCTCCGTCTAAAATGGCCTCGGCCTTTGCGTTTGCAACACTGGTGTCCTCTGTATCATCGACGACCTTGGTTTCCGCATCGACAACAGGCAAGATATATGCTGGGTGTTCAGGGTCTTCCTCGACATTAAGAGGTGCCTTTTCGGCGTTGTCAGGAACGACAATCACCTTTGGAGAATCAGATTTGTCCTTCTGATTGTCGAGCTCAGCATTTGCAGCACTGTTGCCGCTGTTCTTTTTGTTATAGAGGTTTTTGATCGGGTTGAGGACTTTCTTACGTTGCGTTGCTGGCGTCATGCCGAGTGTGGCCACCATGGCCAACACTATGCAGACAAAGATAAAAAACTTTTTCGTGGAACCCTTGAGCATATTGTGAAGACGTCTCTTTGTGTTGAGTTTGATTAAAATTGCTTATGAAGCAGTAACAGTAACAGCAGCAGATGCATTAGAAAGTGCAGAGGCAGAACAACAAGAAGCCACTCTTCCCGATCGCAGCTGTCCTGTCCGGCCGGCCCCCTGAACGCATTGTGATGTTTCTTCCTGCTATTTTGCGAAATCGCCGGCGCGTCGAAAAACAGAGCCTTCGGTCACGTGCAGACATGAATCGGGTACTTTTTACAGTTAAGGGTACATACGGTAGAGTTACAGATGAGAGGAGAGAATGGGTTGCCAGACGTGGACGGAGTTGTCGTAGCTGCAAGAAGCCAGCACACCCGGCTCGGAAGGACACCATACTACGTCCGAGACAGAGAGAAGGTGACCGCCGTGGGTGAAGACCGGACTCTGTTGCTGCCAAACCACAGCCGTTGCGTCGACAGAAGAGGTGGCGAAGGTGTTGCGCAGGTGGGGCGAGAACCTGCTGGAGGTAATTGGACCCGTGTGGGCTGTCTGATGTGCCTCGTGTGGGAGCTGGTGTGGACTGCGAAGGTCGAGGAAGCGGACCGCGCCGCTCGCCGTGCCCGAAATGAGGTTAAACGTCTGGAAGGGATCGACGTCGACGGTGTTGAGGGCGTCGGTACCGTCTGCGAGAATGAGGGGTGGGAATTCGATGCTGGGACTTTGTGAGGTGCTTCGCACGTCCCAGAGCTTGCAGGAGCCATCTTCGCCGGCAGAAACCAACAGCGAGTCGTGATCGGGCACCCAGCGGACCTCGTTGACCCCGTAGTTGTGTGCCGGCACGCTGTGGTGCGGCGTTGTTAGAGTGCAGGTGGAAAACCTGAACTTAGAGTCGAGGGTGGAGAACTTCTGTCTGGGCGGAGCCTTGAACTGGTCGTCGAGGTTCCAGACGGCGATCGAGCCGTCGTTGGACGCGGTCGCCAGCGTGTAGGGCTTCTGCACGTTCCAGTCGAGCGTCCACGTCTCGGAGGTGTGGTACTGGAGGAGGATGTCGGAGGTCTCGACCGCGGCGGCGCACGAGGCGGGGTCGCTCCGGTGGAAGTCGGAGTCGTTGTAGTTGTTGGGCTTGCGGGTCCTGTCGAAGATGCGCACGGCGCCGGAGTCGGACGCCGTGGCAAGGAGGTCTGGGTTGTGCGGGCAGTGTTTGACGCGGTGGACGTCGCCCAGGTGCGGGATGCGCTGGAGCAGGCCCAGCGAGTTGTTCACCTTCGTCCGCTGCGTCGCCAGCGGGCCGCCGTCGGGTGTCTCCGTGGCACCCTCGGTCTCCCTCTTCTGCGGGGACGGGCCGCCCGCGTCAGCACACGCCGCCGTTTCCGCCCCCGTGCTGCTCGGGACCTCGGTGAGCTCCCGGGTGTTGTCGAGCCGTGGCGTCGGCAGCGAGTACGTGAACTCGCCTGTCGCCGGCGAGTAGTCGTAGTTCTGCAGCGTGGTGCACGGCGCCGCGTGCAGGTCCACGAGGTTCAGCGCTGTGAACAGCACCGACTCCAGCGGGTTGGCGCCTGCGGAGAACGTCGCCAGCACAAGCCGGTGCCCTGTGTACGTCGTGTCGCCCTTCTGCGGCGCCGTCGTGTCCGGCAGCCAGTCCAGCGTCAGCGACGGCCACAGCAGCGACGACGTCTGCAGCTGCCGGTACAGCAGCGGCGTGTTCTTCTTCCACACAGCGTATCTCTCCTGCGGCAGCACTTCTGGCTCTGCCATCTCCGTTCTGTTCTCGTCCTGCCTTGTCTTGCCTTTGCCTTCTTCCTCCACCCCTCTTCTTCTTCTTCTTCTTCTTCTTCTTCTTCCCCACGCACGAGCCTCCCCGACACGTCGTCTCCCTCTTGTGCCCCGTCTGCATCGGGAAACGCCAAAACCACCAGAGCCGCCTCCCGTTGCCCCGCGCTCCGCCGATCGGCCCAAATGCCCCGTGTCCGGGCGTTGCAGCGTCGCGCCGCCCCGTGCGCGTAACCGCGGCGCTGGTGCAGATCCCCGGGCCGGGCCCCCGTCCCCCAACGGGGCCAGGCCGAGAGCACAACAACAACAGCGATGACAACAAATGCAGAGCCAGGCGTCAGGAGACGAGGTTGTGTGCCTTGCGACCGGGGTGTGGTTCGGAGGTGGTTGCTTGGTGTTTGTGTGCAATTCGTTACGGCCTGCGTTTTCCGTTCCACGCCTAGCATCAGCTTCGGACCCTGCTAGAACTAGATCCATTTACGTTCGCCGTTCCACCCCCACCCACGCCCCAGAAACGACCCGACAATGTCCAAACACTTGAAGTCCCAATCAACCTTTGCGTTCGAAAACACCTCGTCGAACGTTGCGGCCTCCCAGATGAGAAATGCACTGAACGCGCTAGTGGACTCTCTCCCTGCGGAGCTGAACAGCCAGGAGAAGCTGCGGTTTGAGAACGAGATGGACTCGTTTTTCGCCTTGTTCAGAAGATACCTGGCGGACAAGGCCACGTCGTCCAAGACGTTGGACTGGGACAAGATCTCGTCGCCCACCAACGGGAAGGTCGAGTCGTACGCGTCGTTGAACGACGACAGCTCCAACAAGAACTTCGACAAGTTGGCGGTGTTGAAGTTGAACGGAGGCTTGGGCACCTCGATGGGCTGTGTCGGCCCCAAGTCGGTGATCGAGGTGAGAGAGGGCCAGTCCTTCCTCGACTTGTCGGTCAGACAGATCGAGTTTCTCAACAAGACGTTCGACACAGACGTTCCGCTCTTGTTGATGAACTCCTTCAACACCGACAGAGACACGGAGTTGATCGTCAAGAAGTACCAATCCCACAGAATCAGAATCAAGACGTTCAACCAGTCGAGATATCCAAGAATCTTCAAAGACAACCTCTTGCCCGTGCCTAAGCACTTCGACGACCAGTTGGACGCGTGGTACCCACCGGGCCATGGTGACTTGTTCGAGAGTCTTGTCTCCTCCGGCGTGTTGGACTCCCTCTTGAAAGAGGGCAAGGAGATCTTGTTTGTCTCCAACGGTGACAACTTGGGTGCCACCGTCGACTCCAAGATCTTGAATCACATGATCGAAACCGGTTCGGAGTGCATCATGGAATTGACCGACAAAACTAGAGCAGACGTCAAGGGTGGTACCTTGATCGACTACGACGGTCAGATCAGACTTTTGGAAATCGCCCAAGTTCCAAAGGACCACGTCGAGGAATTCAAGTCAATCAAGAAGTTTAAGAACTTCAACACTAACAACTTGTGGATCGACTTGAGAGCCATCAAGAGATTGGTCGAGTCCAACTCCCTACACATGGAAATCATTCCAAACCAGAAGTCAATCACCATTGGTAACTCTGAGATCAACGTCATACAATTGGAAACTGCTGTCGGTGCAGCAATCAGATACTTCAACAACGCCCACGGTGTCGTTGTCCCAAGGTCAAGATTCTTACCTGTGAAAACCTGTTCAGACCTACTGCTTGTCAAATCCGATCTTTTCAACTTACAGCACGGCACCTTAGTCATGAACCCGGCAAGATTCGGTGGTGCTCCATTGATCAAATTGGGCTCTCATTTCAAGAAAGTCTCTAACTTCCAACAGAGAATTTCCCATATGCCTAAAATCGTTGAACTCGATCATTTGACCGTTACAGGTAACGTCTTTCTTGGTAAAGGCGTCCAATTGAAAGGCACAGTGATCATCGTTTGTTCCGATGGCCAAAGAATCGATATTCCAAACGGTTCCATTCTTGAAAACGTCGTTATCACCGGTAATCTCCAAATCTTGGAACACTGATAACAGTTCCTGTCTTTGTTCGCAGCGTTTTATATATAGGTAAAGAGCCATATATGTATGTACCTACATTGCTTAATGTATACATATATATATAAACACATATTCATATATTTATGTATCGATACACTAGTGGTTGTATCTTCTATACATCTTCGTCCATCATTGTTTTTTTCCTTGTCTTCCATTTGCATTTGCATTTGCCTACTCATTCAACAAGTGTAACAATTCTAATAACAAATTCGTCATGAACTATTTTCTCTGCCACTCTATCCTCGTGCACCAGAAAACTCCAACGCACGCATCTCTTTACCGAGCTTCCGCTTTCTCTTCCTCTCGATAGACTTCGTTTGTTGTTTACTGTTCATGTGTTCAAACCTATCCACAAGCAGAACCTTCCGCTTCTCGGCCCTAGTGAGAAATTTCCCGTTATTGTCGTTCTTATGCTCTCTTAAATACACCTTCAGTGCTTCCTTCTCCCTGTCCTTCTTCTTCAATGCTTCAAGTTTACTACGGGTACTCTGTAGCTTGTATTTGATATCTGCGACTTCAGACTCGTCCATTCGGCTCAACAGCTTTTTGTTCTTGAGGATCTTCTCCATCTCAGCAATCTCCTTCTCCCGGTATCCGTCAAGGAAAGAGTACTGTTTACGCACAACTTCGTAGTCAACAGACTTACCTAATGCCGTGTCGAATCTGACGTCTCTGTTCCCAAACAGCCCAGAATCTCCGTCACCATCTCGATCACGCACAACAAGACCGGGAATTTCACGCACAACAGAAACAGGTCGGCGGTTGATACGTGTCTCCTTCGGAGCATGCTTACTCTTCTTTTTCGTTTCATTCTGTTGTCCTCGTCCTTTCTTTCCGTGCTCGGCATCTTCGGCAGAAAAAAAGTCATCCTCTTCAGAGTCTTGTTCCCATCCTCTCTGTCCTGACCCTTCTTCTTCTGGTCCTGAATCAGACTCCATATCCTTCACAGGTGCCCTCTTGTGTGAAACTTTGCTTGGCACATTACGTTGCTTTTGTCCGTATTTGTTTGATGGTCTGCCCCCTCTATTGCCTGAGTATTGTGGTCTCTTCGACACAAAACTTCCTCTTGTACTGCTCCCACGCATTTTTTAGCTAGTATTTATATCTTTTGAAGTTCCTTGATACTATTATTCTCTTCAGATTCAGTATTAAAGCAATGAAAATAGATTTTCAGCATTAGAATAATGATGAACCAGAGATAAAAAAAAAATATCAAATTTTCATGGCGAGCTAAATTATTTCTACTCCCATCTTCGCTATCGTGTTGTCCCGTTTCTAATTTTTAAATGCTTTTACTATTAAACGGCCGAAAAAGGCTTTATAAATACTTATACGTAGTATGCGAAACTATTCAACAAAAGCAGAGGCTCAAACCTTTAATGAATAATACTTGTATAACCCACGGACAGATAAATCGTTGCCAAAATCCTCATCTTGTAACGGATAATCTATGTCCTCACAACAGTTTATTTTAACACTGGCTAAACCGAGCCAGTCAACTTTTTTAACTTTGTTTAACAGCAAGTCACCGCTGTTGATATCCCACTCCACCAATCTGCCTCCAGCCTGCTCAGTCTCATAATTATCGATTAGGATGCTCTCTTCTACTGACTTAACCTTGTGAATCCAACATCTTCTTGATGTGCCTTTATTGTTATAAGCTCTCCAGTATTCTTCGCTGTAATCGCCGGATTCATCGATCCTGCTGAAAGTAAGGAGGTGCGATAGTTTGTCACTCAACACTGGTTTGATTTCAATCGCTTGTACAAAATCAAGTTCCGTGATAAGATTCTTTAATTTCTCGAAACTCCAAACACTTGAAGAAACGTCTAAAAATTTCAAATTTTTTAACGAATTCAACTCCTTGATGATTTCCAAATCATGCGCATCTGAAAAATTCAGATTAACGTCCGAAATATTCAAGCTTTCTAACTCTTTGAAGCTTTCAGTAATTTTTCTGACGTGCTCACCGTTCAAATTTGCAAAACCGTTCAAATTCAAGTACCTCAAAGCAGGTGCACCAGCTGCTATAATGTCTAGAATGCTGTTGAGTTTTTCATTTGTTAGAACGTCACTGGAAAAACATTGTTGAATATTGAGCCAACGTAGCTGGAACTTTTCACTGTAATCGTCGTTGTCCTTGTCATCTCTTTCATATTCGAAGTCGTCCTCATTGCTTCCACAAATCGCAGGATGCTTCAAAAATCTCATGAACTCCGTGAAAGTACCGAGGTGGGAGCATTTGCGTAGCGAAAGATGTGTCAACCTAATTTTTTTGTTCAAAAACTGGTTCAAGGTCTTCAAGGTAACCTGGGTGTGGGATAAATCGAGTCTTTTCAAATTTGGAATGAATGGGAGAATTTTGCTATATGTTGTGGTTGGTAGATGCAAGCATTCATGGAATGATAATTTTTCTAGTTTCAAATTTTCGTTGTTGATCGTAAGTTTGTCGAAATACGAGATAAGGTTTTCATTGGAACAACCACAGAAATCTAACGATTTCAAATTCTTCAGATCGTTGAAAATAAAGTCCAAAACTTCAAAACTGATGTCGCTGTCAATACTTTCGTTGAGAAGTAAAGTCTTCAAGTTCATGGAGCAGAGTTGCAAGCACTTCAAAAGGGTCACGCTTGTCAAGTTCGGAATCTTGAAGATGGATTCGACGGATTTACCTAAACCAACTGCTGTGAATTCTTGGAAATCCAGGTACTCAACATAATAACCAAGTTCGTTTGATTTGAGCAAGTTGAGCAAAAACTTGTGGAAGCTAAAGGATCTGATGAAGCTACAGTATTTGTACTGGTACTGCAGGCAAAAAAAGTAAAACCCACTATTAACTAGCATCAAGTTGCTCAAGTTGGAGTACCTCCCTCTAGTGACATTTGAGGCGCTGCTGGAAACCGCTGTCTTGAGCATTTTCCTGCTGCTGGCGCTATTTTCGTAATCTTCGTATGTAATACCATGAGCCACATAATTATCAGTAGTTACATGCGGCGAATCGAGGTAGTATGCGTAGCCGATGATCTTCTCAGTGATCTCAGGCGAGAAGGGAAAGAGCTTTGCTAGTACTGCTATCTCATCGGTGTTGCCGACAAGAATGTCGCTGTTTAGGATCTGGTTGCTTGTGCTGTTGCTATTGTTAGGGTTGCCTGTGTTGAAAGTGCTCAGCGATGTGTAAGAGATCGTTGCCATTAAATCGTTTGTGCTGAAGATATTTTTGTAGTCCGAGATAACAGAAACAAGAAGAAAGAAGTAACAGAAAAAACACCAGAAAAAGGAAGGAATGAAAACAAAGGTCAAAGAAGGCAAAGGGAAGGGAAAAGGAAAACCGAGAAACCAGGAGAAAAAAAAGTCGAAAACATGAGGTGCCACAGAAAACGCAATTGTCACAGCATTACCGACAACGTTAAGTGTCAAACGGGAAAGCGCCTCCTGTGGTTAATAGCAGCCGCTGAATCATCTCCATCGCAGACTTTTTTTCTCCGCCTCGCGCCTGCCGAACTCCACAATGACCGGGGAGTGGGGCGCCGGACCGGAAGAGAAACTAAGTCCGGGAGATAGCGGGGCAAACCATTCGGCGCGCCGGGTCATGTGCGGCTATATTACGTAAGTGTGTTGGGGTTGGGCCAAGAGGAGGAACCGAGGGGAACGTTAGTTCGTCTACGCAGAGTTGCTTGAGCTTGAGTAGGCTTGCTAATAGGTTGTAATCAGTTCGTTTGAGGACCTCGAGACAAAGGAGAAGAGTTACTGTAAAATTTTCAAACCTTTTTGTGTAAAAAAGAAAAGATTTTAAGAAGGAACCTATGGGAGCTCGTAAAACTTTTTTTGAACTTGGATACATGTGAAGTTTTGAAAGAAAATTTGAAGCATGCTTTGAAAGGCTTTTACATCATGTGCTTCAAATGATTTTTCCTTTTTCCATACTCGGGCCACCAGGGCATCAATTTTACTCGTAAAAGGGTTAATGGTCTAGTGGTATGATTCCTGCTTTGGGAGCAGGAGGCCCTGGGTTCAATTCCCAGTTGACCCCTTTATTTTTTATTTTTTCTACCTTTCTTTTTCCGTCTTAGAGTTGGGTTAGCCAACAAGAGTACAAATTAATGATCGACTCATTTACTCCTAAACAAAAAGAGAAAAAGAGAGTAGCACATCGATGAAAGCTTTATTTTTCAGCCTCCCCACCTCTCCGAATGTTTTGGCTGCGTAGCGTAAAGATTATCCAGCGTAGTATTCCGTAGCATTATTTTTCCCCTTAATAGAAAGACAGAACTTCCACAGCATTAACTCGCCCGAAAAAAGACGAAATAAGGCACAATGGCGTGGTCTCATTACCTATCTATCCACCCTGCCTCCAGCCCAGCGCTGCTCTGATCCGTCAAACTCGACGTGTCAGGTCGGCGGAGTCCCAGTGATGGGGCGAAGAGCGGAAAGAGGAGAGGGAGGCAGCGGGTGCTCTCACCTTCCGGATTCGGCATGAGGGTCCGCCATATCTGGCGTGCACGGAGTTTCCGAGAAAAGGGCGCCCGCTGGAGCGCTCCCGCTTGCGGATGTTCTTTCCCAATGCGGCAGCAGGACACTGATAAGCTTATTCGACTGGCCCATCCCCAGCACCCTGCTCTCCAACAGGACCACACACTCTCTACAGGATATAAATAAAGCAGTTTCTTTTCACTCTTGTCAGACTTTCTTCACACTCTTTAACTCATTTTTTTTATTCTATCCTAGCTTTCTTTTTAGTATCCCACAACAATCCTCCATTAACCAAACACACAACTGAAAATGGAAAGATTATCTCAAATTGCAAGACAGGCAACAGCCTCAGTTGCTCCTCTCGCAAGACCAGCTCACCCACTTGATCCTTTATCCACTACTGAAATCAAGGCTACCACCGCCATTATTAAGGAATATTTCGCCGGCCGGAATATTTCGTTCAACACTGTTACCCTCAAGGAACCTTCTAAACGTTCTTACCTTGAATGGAAGGAACAAAATGGTCCATTCCCTCCAAGAATTGCTTACTACGTCATCTTGGAAGAAGGTGTCCCAGGTATTAAGGATGGTTTAGTTGACTTGGTCAACTTGCAGGTTCTCTCTGTTCAACCATTGGCCAGCAAGCAACCAATCTTGACTGTTGAAGATTTGGTTGGTACTGAAGAGATCATTAGAAAGGACCCTGCTGTCATTGAGCAATGTGCTATTGTTGGTATCCCAGCTAATGAAATGCACAAAGTTTACTGTGACCCTTGGACCATCGGTTACGATGAAAGATGGGGTTCTGCCAAGAGATTGCAACAAGCCTTGGTTTACTACAGACACGATGAAGATGACTCCCAATACTCTCATCCTTTAGACTTCTGTCCAATTGTCGACACCGAAGAAAAAAAGGTTATCTACATTGATATCCCAAACAGAAGAAGAAAGGTTTCCAAGGCACCAAATGCCAACTTCTATCCTAAAGATATTGTTGCTAAGTATGGTTCCATGAGAGACGACTTGACTCCAATTAATGTTACCCAACCAAAGGGTGTTTCCTTCAAGATGGACGGTAACTTGATGAGCTGGAACAACTTCAACTTCCACATCGGTTTCAATTACAGAGAAGGTATTGTCTTATCCGACATCCACTACAACGATCACGGTAAGAACAGACCAATCTTTCACAGAATCTCTCTTTCTGAGATGATTGTTCCTTACGGTTCTCCAGACTTCCCACATCAAAGAAAGCACGCTTTGGACATTGGTGAATATGGTGCTGGTTACATGACTAACCCATTATCCTTGGGTTGTGATTGTAAAGGTGTTATTCACTACCTGGATGCTCACTTTGCTGACAGAGCTGGTGACCCAATCACCATTAAGCATGCTGTCTGTATTCATGAAGAAGACGATGGTCTGCTTTTCAAGCACTCTGATTTCAGAGATGCGTTTGCTACTTCCATTGTCACCAGAAGTACCAGATTGATTATCTCCCAGATCTTCACTGCTGCTAACTACGAATACTGTATCTACTGGAACTTCTTGCAAGATGGTGCTATCCGTCTAGATGTCAAGCTTACTGGTATATTGAACACTTACATCCTTGACGATGAATCTGGAGAAGGTGCTGGTAAATGGGGTTGCAGAGTCTATCCAAACACCAACGCTCACAACCATCAACATTTGTTTGCTCTTAGAATTCATCCAAGAATTGATGGTGACGGAAACTCCGCTTCCGTTGTTGATGGTTCTGCATCTGAACACCCACTTGGTTCACCAGAAAACATGTATGGTAACGGTTTCTACGCTAAATCCAAGACTTTCAAAACTGTCGAAGACTCTTTGACTCAATATGAAAACGGAAGATCCTGGGATATCTTCAATCCAAACCTCAAGAACGAATACTCTGGTAAGCCACCATCTTACAAGTTGGTATCATTCCAATGCCCACCTTTATGGGCTAAGCCAGGTTCTCTTGTTTACAAGAGAGCTCCATGGGCACATAACACTGTTCAAGTTGTGAAGTATGAAGAAGACAGACTATATCCTTCTGGCGATCACGTTCCTCAATGGTCTGGAGAAGGTAACATCGGTATGAAGAAATGGATCGGTGATGGTTCTGACAACATTGAAAATACCGATATCTTATTCTACCACACCTTTGGTATCTCCCATTTCCCAGCTCCAGAAGATTTCCCATTGATGCCTGCTGAACCAATCACATTGATGTTGAGACCACGGCACTTCTTCACGGAGAACCCTGCTTTGGATGTTCCTCCTTCTCATGCTATGACTACAAGCCAAGCAAAAATTGCAGGCAACACTGAAATTTCAAGTTTGACTGACAAGTCTTCCAGATACGCATTCCAAGATACATCATCTTTGGGCTGTTGTACCAGATTTACCAAAGAAAAATGATTTTTTCTTTCGTTTCTTCATATCCTTCATCCACTTTTATATTTTCCGTACATAATATTTTTTTCAGTTTTATAATTTTTTAGATCCTAATTTAAACAACTGATCTTTTTCCTTTCTACACACACCTATATATGTAGCTAGATAAATACGTCAGACTATAACGATACCCAAGAGGCTCAAATACCGTTTCCCACCATCTCGTCAAACTGACTGAACAACTGCTCCATTTGGTCTGCGGCCAGAGCATCATCATTCATCTCGTTTTCGTTTTTTGAGTTACCCGAACCACCTCCGTCTACCGCCATATTCTGCATCAGATTACCCATCTCGTCATCTTGTAAGAAGTCGAGATTCAAATCTGCCAGATCGGAGTCTTGGCCAAAATTAAAATATTCGTTTGCTCCCGAGTTTGCATTCGTTGAGGTTGCATTTGTGCTGGTGTTCAAATTAGCATTTTGATTAGTATTTGCATTATTGTTCGTGTTCAGATTTGTGCTTAAATTTAGGTTTGCCATTCCACTTGCATTGGCATTTGTGTTGCTGCTTTGGGAATTGTGGCTCGTTCTGTTCGTATTCATCCCGCTCTTAACCCCTTGCAAGTTGCCCTTATCACTGCTGCCCATAGACATCGGGTCGTTGAAATCAAAGTTCATCATGTCGGCACCTGTGCCGTCGAAGTTGAAGTTGTCCAAGTCTAGGTCCAGCATCATATCATCCCCATCGTTTCCGCCATTGCTGTTACCCCCACTGGTGCGACCGTTGGTATTAGTAGTAGATGCAGGTGTAGATCCCATGTTGAACAGGTCTATGTTATTGTTGCTACTGCTGTTATGGCCGTTGCTGTCCACCTGTGTTAGACCATTCTCGCCATTCAACTGAGCAGACTGCTTTTGTGCATTTTCCTTAGCAAACCTTTCTTTCTTCTCCATGTCCTCTTTCTCCTTTATAAGTCTAAGCCTTTCCTCCTCCAGCCGCTGCTGCTCACGCTTGGCCTTTATCACCTTCTCCTTCTGATTCTTAGTCTTCATGCTGTTCAATATGTACACGCAGTTGCTGAGATCCATGCCGTAGTCGTTCAACACCTGGTTAAACGTGTCATAGTCCTTTGCAAGCTGCTCTGTCAGCGGCGCAGTGAGCGAATCGTTATTATTTGGTATTGTCACCTTTGTCGCTGTGTTCGAAAACCTGTATGTCAATGTATCCAAAACATTTGCGGAAGTTATAAAGATGTTGTCGGCAGCGCTCTCCAACAAGTTGTTCATAATCAGTTGTAGTCAGTATTTAGCACTTGCTATAGTTTTGACAGCAACAGCACACCTGCCATTCTTCTGTCCTCTCTTTTCAATCCTCTTCTTTATCATTCTGATTGATGTCGCCATATTGAAATTACCAGAAACGGAAGCCCCACAATCTTGAGCCGATCGCCGCAGCACATGTTCCGTGTACACAGGTGTAGCGCGCCCGGGTGCCGGTTGTTTGCCCAATCAGTGCGTTTCTCGCACTTGACGGCGAGACAGAGTGTGAGGGAGGAGAGACAGAGTGTGGGTGAGGTGGTGAAGACGGTGCTGTAAGGAAGAGAAGGAAGCTGGCTAACGGGGAAGGCGTACGGGAGGAGGAAAACTCAGAAATCTCTTTGAATTATCGTCAATCCACCACACAATGTTCAGACAATCATTCAGAGCAATCACCAAGGTCAACAGATTGGCCGGTGTCAGAACCTATGCGGAAGCCGCCACTACCTTGAAGTTGTCCTTGGCTATGCCACACGACGTATGTATTACCCACTGATGATTCAACAGGGGAGTTCCAGTAGAGAAGAACAAGGTGCCGAAGATAGCCACAAATTTGAGCAGTACAGGTTGCATAATGCCCAAGCAAGCACGTTTTGAGATAAGATCTGTGGAGAGACAAAGACGTCTGCGAGAGAGAATTCATTCATTGCGCCTTCACAAGCCTGAGCGACAGATGTTTTGCAAACAGAGACTTGTATTTGCATTAGGAGAGAGAGAGAGAGACCTTACAAGCCTAGAGGGGACACCCTTTCCACTATTACGCGTGAAACCATCTGAGATCGAAACCACGTCCGAAATGCAATCTTGAACGAATAACAGCACGTCTTCTAGACTTTGACACCGCATGGCTTTTTTTTGAGTTGTAAGCACCTGTGACAGGAATACTAACATGTTGCCTCTCCGTTTTTTTTTCCAGACCATCTTCAACAAGAAGGAAGTTACCCAAGTCAACGTCCCAGCAGTCTCTGGTGACATGGGTATCTTGGCTAACCACGTCCCAATCGTTGAACAATTGAACCCAGGTGTTGTTGAAATCTTGGAAGGTACCGCCTCCTCCAAGTTCTTCATTTCTGGTGGTTTCGTTTCTGTCTTGCCAGACTCCTCCATCGCTATCACAACTGTCGAAGCCTTCCCATTAGACGCTTTTGACGCCTCCACCGTCAAGACCTTATTGACCGAGGCCAAGAAGAACGCTGCTTCCTCCGACGAAAAGGTTGCTGCTGAAGCTTCCATCGAAGTCGAAGTTTTGGAAGCTTTAACTACTGCTTTACACTAGATGCTCTAAAACCGTCCTATAGCAATGGGCACCTTATTTATTGACTCTAACATGTTATAGTTGTTTATTTATTTTTTTCATGCCATGATTTATTCAGTAACATAAAAAACTTCTTACGATCTATTTCTCATCTGATGACGCTGTCACATAAAATAGGCGATACCTCCAGCCAAACATGGTTACGTAATATTTACAGACGCGTTGATCTCCTGCGTGTGGCTCATTCAATGTTTTTCCCTTGCCTACAACGACTTCTACCTTTACCCCCTCATATTAAGGATTAAACTTGTTGGTCTTGGCTGTCGTAAAAACTTCATTATTTCCAGCAAAAGGCAATCCACCACTTCAAAAATAAACAATGCTGTCCGGCTCTTCCAGATTGAGGCGTCCTCGTAATTCCTCCACGAGAGCAAAGGCAAAGAGTACCGACGCGTTAACAATTCTAGACAAAAATGTTAACTACAGCAAACGGAGCAACAAAGGTGACAAGGCAAACAGCGGAGGAACAGGGAAACGACGTCCCGCTACTTATGACTCGGATATCGATGAAGAAAGTGAGAATAACGAGTCGAATGATGATGATGCAGATGAAGATGAAATGCTAGACGATGATAATGATGATAATGATAACAGTGGCGACGATATTAATGACGACGAAGAAGACGAAGATAGTTATGTTCCTAATAGGAAACAAAATAAGAGACGGAAGGGGAGTGCCAAGACGTCAAACCGAAGTGGAAGAAGTAATCGCTATGCTTCTGCTAAAAGCAAATCACTTGTTTCTAATATTGACGACGTTGAAAATTACACAGAGAATCCTTTATTTGAATCATTGAGTAATGGTGACTATTCTCCTGCTGATCTAGCCCAGTCTTGGATTGATGATTTTGTAGCATTGGACATGAACACCAAATTTGATGCTTTGAAAGACTTTTTGAACTTTATCCTCCGATGCTCAGGATGTATTGTTCAGTTCAACCGCCATGATGTTACAAATACAGAGAGTGCCAAAGATACCGTGAATGAGCTACAAACTCTTTTTGCCAGACAAAAATATCATGAGTTTCCTATGATGTATGCTCCTGCAGGAGGCAACAAAGATTGGAAGGAGTTCCCGGATAATGCAGTAGCCTTTATCTCGCAAATTATTGTTATTGCAGGGGAAACCGGATCTCTTTACGAAGAAGAAGATCAATTTGTTGAGTTGCTGTTGGAATGGATTAGTGCGATGTCTACTTCTAATATAAGGGCTTTGAGATACGTTTCTACTCTTTTTGGCTTGACAATACAATCGGTATTATGTAAATTATCAGTCAACATTTCGAAGTTCATAGATAAGTTCTTGAGACAGTTGAAAAAGGAAAATGATAGTTTGAAATCTTTAGTCGAAAACCCAAAGAGCTCAAACAGACAATTGAAAAGGCAAGTAGACTCTGCAAATGAAAGAATAAAAGTTATTGAAGATAACCTGGAAATGTATAAAAAGCAGAAGAAGTCTATTGATGGCTATATCACTGATTTTTTCAACACACTTTTTGTTCACAGATATAGAGACACAGCACCTGAAATTAGGTCCAAATGTGTCAACTATCTGGGTGAGTGGATGGAAGACTATCCTGAGCTATTTTTTGAAAGTACTTACTTGAGATATCTTGGGTGGCTTTTGACTGACCAGGATTCGACAATCAGATCTGAAGTTTTCAAAGTTTTGATTAAGTTATACAAAAAGCGCTCAACAGTGACAGCACTACGTCAGTTCACATCTTATTTCAAAAACAAGCTTATTGAAATTGTCATCTACGAAACAGATTTCAGTGCAAGATTGAATTGCTTGCAACTTTTGAACGAGATTATTGAAAAAGGTTACTTAAATGACGATGATATCATCTGTTTAACAAGTTTAATTTTTGTTGATGACGAAGATTTGATTTATCCGTTTCAAGGATCCAAGTTGAACCCTGGGAAATTTATGAAAGAGCTAGCAATATTTGTCTCCAAAGTAGAACATTTGAATAACACAGAAATCCTAGAGCGAGATGAAAAGGAGCTGGAAACAATCAATGAATCTCTACCTTTTGATTGCAAAAGAATTTTGAAAATCAAGACTTTGCTGACCATTTTATCTGACTCCTACGAATACTATTTAACTAGATATTCTACTTCCGGTATTAAAAAGAAAATAGAAAACTCCAAGATTGAAAAGTTTTCTAACATTTTTCAATACCTTTATCACTTGAGGACATACAATGAGAACAACGAAATTTTTGAACTGCTATTGACATACACTAATTTTGATTTCTCGGCTTATGCTATTTCCGAAGAAATCAAAGAGAACTTCGAATTGGATTCCAAATTGCAAACTCTATTACTAAGTCTGATCAATGGTGCCACAATGATATATTCTCAAGGTGCCGAAAACAGATTTCACAAAGCCCTTTTTCCAAATTTTACCAGAAAGAAAAATTCCCTAGCTAATTCAGACAAGGACAGCAATTATTATGTACTGAAGCTTTTATCGAAATTACCTGATATCTGCTATTATTTCCATGATGACATCGAGAAAATTTCGATTCTTGTTCATCTGACAAGTAGTCTACTGAAATATAAACCTGTTGAGGTGACCAACAAAGGGTTAATCGAGACAATAAGTCAGTTTTTCAGATTTTTTCTTGTTATCAATTTTCCACTTGCGACAAAAGATGACCAAGATTCAAAGTATTATGATTCTATCACTCATCAGTATATATCCTTCTTCAAACTGGTGAAGACTGAAGAACTAGATCTGATATCTCAGCTCGACTCGATTTTAACTGAAGTGAACATGACGCTCCAATCTAAGGTAATAATGAAGTCATCGACTATTATAGAGAACTTGAACAAACTCTATATTCTTTGCTACTGCCCTTACATCACAAATCGTGTTATTAAAGAATTCAATTCAGTCCTTCCTCTGTTCTCAAACTCACTTTATTTTTCAGTTGAACATGATGAAAGATATATTCGTCAAAAAGATGCAATTTTGTTATCGTTGACAAAATCAGAAATATCTGCGTTCTTGCGTATTTCAAGCTTTTACACCAACATATCTTTACTACAGATATATGAGGGAAAACTTCATCATCATGACGATATACTAACCTTGAACTCAGATACGATAGGTACTATTAATTGTATTCAACGGAATTTGAGTTTATTAATTGAACCTGATTCCTCCACGCTATCTATGGACTTGGTGCATGACATTGCTGCCTCATACCTTGACAACGTTCTTTGCATTTCTGCTTTCAAAGCTGAATTTGGCTCGTTGATTAACCAAGCTTCATCTTCAACGGATGTTGAAGTTAGTGAGATTCAGTTATTACGTTCACACATAGGCAAATCAATTCAGCAACAACTAATGAAAGTGTTTTGTGTTCGTGAGTACCAGTTGGCAGAGTTATTGGGAACAGAAGCTCAACTTGAAAGAGACGCCGATGAAGACGTCAACTTCAGCAACTATAGTGTCATGAAATTAGATAGTGAGGATTTGGATGCTGATGTTGAAGAAGGAGAAGATGAAGAAGAAACTGGCGAAGAAAGTGAGTATTCACAACGCTCAAACAAGAAACTAGAGAAAAAGAATGAAAAGTACCAGCTATTACTTTGTGAGATTGCATCAAAAATCATTCTCTGCTGCAACCTAGAACTTGTAGATGATACGAATGACCGCACCATTATAATTGAGCGTGTGAAGAAGAACTCTGAGTTTCTCGGTGAGCTCTTCAAAAAAGTTCTTGCAGGAGTGGGACTATTGGTCACCTACAATTCAGATGTTACTCTTACGGGAATCAAATCTAAAACTGGTAAAGGGAGTGCCAAAGCTGTACAACATCAACTTGTAGGCGAAACAGGGAAGCTGGCAAAGATAATCAAGCGTGGCAAAAAGAGACGGTTAAGCGATGGCAGCATGTTAAACTTTTCAGGAGTGGATGATGAACAGGAACAAGAAGGAGAAGATGAAGATGACCCAATTGAGAACTCGGATGTTGACGACGACAATGACCAAGAAGTTGAAATAGGGGCTGAAAAAGAGGAGCAAGATGAGACTGAAGTTACCCCACAGGCAGATGAGGATATCGAGTTTAGCGGCATTGACGATGATGATTCTGTTCTTAACAATTCTAGGAGCGGAAGAAGGGCTATTACGACATCAAGCGAGATAAGTTCATTTGCATCTTCTTTTCCATTCACCCAGTGAAAAATCAATAACCACGATTGCAACAATTTGCTAAATTTTTTGTCTTTGTTATGTAGACTCATTTTTTTGTACACTACAATCTATTCAGTTGGTATCTTTCTAATTACCAAGAGTTTTTATAACTTTTTTCATTGCTTTTCTAGAAAAAATTATTTAAAATAATTACGTGAACTATATAACATGAAGAAATGGAAATGCTATTCTTTTCTTTATTTTCACGATTACATTAATGTATAGTGTAAACTAGGATCAACAAGGAATCAAAAGCTCTTTCCTATTGAACCCAAAGGTTGTGGATCTTCAGGAGCGACATCAAACTCTTTCCTAGTGTTTGGTCCTTTGATAACCTTGTTTGTCATGACTTTTAATTTATCGAGTTTCTCACCACGAACCACCTTTTCAATTTCGTCCTTACTTAATGTTTCATACTCCAAAAGACCCTCTGCCAAACGTTTCAATTCGATACGTCTATCGTTCAGCAGTTCTCTACAACGTTTTTCAGCTTCAATCAAATAATCCCTAGTCTCTTGGTCTGCCAAGTCTCTTAATTTAGGTGACCACGTTTCCCACTTGTCACTCAACTTGACAGGACCGACCTTGTCACTCATACCATAAGATGTAACCATTGCTCTGGCCATACCTGTAGCAGACGATAGATCCGACGAGCAACCAGAAGTGACATTATTTGGACCGTATAACATTTCTTCGGCTATCTTACCACCCATACAGACATCCAGTCTCGCAAAACACTCTTGCTTCGTAATATCGTGTTTGTCCATTTCAGGTAACTGGAAGGTGACACCTAAGGCTCTACCTCTTGGCAAAATGGTAGCTTTGTACAAAGGAGTGGCACCGTTTGTGAACATTGCTGCAATGGCATGTCCTGCTTCGTGATATGCTGTATTTCTTCTGGTTTCTTCAGTCATGACCATTGTCTTTCTTTCACCGCCCATCAGAACCTTGTCCTTGGCCCATTCCAAATCGCTCATGTTGACACTCAAAGCGTTATTCTGAGCTGCATACAAGGCTGCCTGGTTGACCAAGTTTTTTAAGGCTGCACCAGACAGACCGGTTGTACTTCTTGCGATGACAGAAGGGTCCACATCTTTCGAAACAGAAACCTTCTTCAGATGTTGCTTCAAAATCTCGATACGTCCACGAACGTCTGGCAAATCGACAGGAACAATCTTATCGAATCTACCTGGTCTAGTCAATGCCTTATCAAGTGAGTCTGGGAAGTTGGTTGCACCTAAGATGATGATACCTTCCGATTGAGAGAACCCGTCCAACTCGACTAGCAATTGATTAAGTGTTTGTTTAGCGTAAGCTTGATCTCTTGATTTTCTCTTACCTCCGATGGCGTCCAATTCGTCAATAAAGACAATAGCAGGAGCTCTTGCTCTTGCTTTGGAGAAAAGTTCTCTAACTCTTTTTGCACCAACACCGACATATAATTCATCGAACTCCGAACCAGACATGAAGAAGAAAGGAACTCCCGCCTCGCCGGCAGTCGCTCTGGCCAACAAGGTCTTACCTGTACCTGGAGGCCCTGTCAAAAGGACACCCTTTGGTAGTTCTGCTCCCAAGCTAACGTACTTCGAAGGGTCTTTCAAGAAATCAACCACTTCCTCAAGTTCAGCTTTTGCTTCGTCGACACCCTTACAGTCGGAAAATCTGACATCTGAGTCGGTGACCTCTATGGACTTATCGTCAGCAGATGCACCCTTTACTATGGAGCCGTTTTCGACCAGGACGTTGAAGCCATAGTAGGCGGCGTAGGAGAGCAATCCCAGAGGCACTAACCACTTGATCCATCTGGAAAGAGACATCCAGAAGGTCTCCGTGACGACGACATGGATAGGGTCTTGTTTCGAGCCGGAGTGGTTGGTATTGTTATTATTGTTGTTATTGTTGCCGCTATTGCCGCTGGTGGCATTAGGCGAAACGGCAGAAGGGTCGAGAGCTGGCAAAGGCACGTTTAGCGACTTGGAGAGCGTTTCGGCCTTCTCCTTGTTGCCCATCTTGAGGAGGGCCTCCAAGTAGAGCTTCGCACAGTCATTGTCGGTGGATATTCCCGGCGTCTCGTATCTCGACACAACGATGTGCGGGTAGCTGGCGTCCAGAAGTGACCTGTAGAAGGCCGCCTGGATGCTCGGATTTGCTATTTCGTTGTTAGCCTCCTTCTCCAAGGCGGCCAAGTCCTGGGTGGAGGGCACCGTGGAGGCAAACCGCTTCACCAACGAGAGTCTTTTGTGCAGCAGCGCAGCCTGCACCGCTCTGCTGCATCTGGTAGGACGCAGCATGTGGGAGGACGAGAGCAGGAAGCTCCCGTTTTTCAGCATCAATGAACGTGTGGCGGACACTGACGACATGGTCCTTGTGTGTGTAGCTTGGCGTGGTAGTGTGGACTAGTTCCGTGCTGTGTATGTATCTACAGATACATGCAACGAGGGGTGTGTGTGTGTGTGTAGATGTGCGTGTGCTTGTGCAGGCTGCTTTGTGCGGAAGACCCATGCAACCCGTACGCCCTCCAGAGCCGCCTTCGCCCTTGACCGATAAAGCTCGTCCGTCCGCCAAACGCCCGTGTCCCTGTCTCACACGCCCTCTGCGTGCGTGTGTTTCCCGGTGGCAAATCGCTGAGCATCCGTGCCGAAACGACAATGCTCAGCGGGTGACCTGAAAACAGAACAAAAAGAAAAAGAAAAGAACAGATCCCGGCTTACGTAATAGTTAAACGCCAACCACGTGATTTGGCCGATCGACTCAAAATTTAGGAGTCATCCACGCACCCCCCTTTCCTGCCTGCCCACCCGTGCACTGCGGCCTTCTTTTTTTTTCCGCACCATTCCACCCGGACAAACCCCGTATTCAGCCTCTTGTCATGCCATGCCCTGCCCTGCCGTACCCGCCCGGGCTCGCCCGGGCGGCGTTGCGTGCCCGCCCGACCGGGCCTGGGACGGAACAGACGGACGCTAGCCAATCGCCGAGCTGGAATTAGCAATGTTGTTAAAACGGTGTCTTTCATTTGCGCAACGGGCCCCGCTGTACGTAAGCACACGGTGACGCTGCCGGGGGGGCAGAGACACAGCACAGCAGCACTGCTCCTGTTTCTTCCGATTACCATTTCGACGTTCCTGTTTGCTGTCTATATCTTCGTGGGCCTCCCTGGCCTCCTTCGCTTGCGTGCTTCCTCTCCCGCTTTTCTCCCTCTTTTCTCTACCTCTTCTTCTTTTACTCTTCTATTCTTCTGCTCTTCTGCCTCTACCCTTTTCTCCTTTCCCTTTCTTTCTCCCCCCGTATAGATATCCAGATCAACACCTCACATAGACAAAATGCCAGCTCCATACGAAAAAGGTTCCGCCAAGAAGGGTGCTACTCTCTTCAAGACCAGATGTGCACAATGCCACACCATCGAAAAGGGTGGTCCAAACAAGGTTGGTCCAAACCTTCACGGTGTCATGAGCAGACACTCTGGTCAAGTTGAAGGCTACTCTTACACCGAAGCTAACAAGAGAGCCGGTGTCGAGTGGTCCGAACAAACCATGTCCGACTACTTAGAAAACCCAAAGAAATACATTCCAGGTACCAAGATGGCCTTTGGTGGTTTGAAGAAGCCAAAGGACAGAAACGACTTGGTCACTTACATTAAGGAAGCCTCTTCTTAAGTGTCATGAACTCATCCTGTTATATTATCACCACGAGTACTTCAAATGCTATCTCCTTATCACGTTCATAATCACCTTGTCCCCTTTCCCTTCTCATTCTTAAATTATTTATTTATTATTTGTTAACTTTATGATATATTCTATTTATTAAAATTAAATGAAATCTAAAATTCAACGATCTTAAATGAAATACACCAAAATCTTTATTATTCAACTACAATATTAGCATGAAAATCTCTCCTTGTCCTATAATTTGTTTAGATTTTACATTATATATAGTATCTAAATATACAAAATCTCATCAACAAAAAGAAAGGGAAAAAAAAAGAAAACCTCATTTTTTCATCTTTGCTTACGTAACTGATCCTAGCAACGTCTTTAAGCTGTAGGTTGGAGTACATAATCTGTCCTAAACTTGTAAAACTCGTAAACTATTGTCCCTACTGCCAACAGCAACAACTATCTTAGCACTGCACTGTGCTACGACCACAGGACTGATGCTTACCCGACTGATGCCACCGCCAGGTAACAGCGTCTGCTCAATTTTCTCAAGCTCTTCAAACTCGAACTTCTCCACATCAACTCTATAGACGTAAACCTCACCATTGTCCAATCCTATGACAAGCTTGAACACACTTCTCCCTTCATCGTTGACTTTGATCGAATCGATGGCCGTAACAGCACTGCTGAACTTGACACTTGCTTTACAGACAACGTCACCGCTATCGCCTGCTTCCTTGACCCACAACCTCACCTCTTTGTCTCTAGAGCACGTCACAAACGCAACTACATCCTCGTAATTGACCCAGGCACAATCCCAAATAATTCTGCTGTGTGCCTTTTCCATCAGCTTCACTAACTCAAATTTCTCATTCACTCCTCTTCTCCACAATGTGAACTTACGATCTCTAGAAACGGACAGTAAATACTCTTGTTCTCCGGCAAGACTGAATCTCAACCGAGTGATGGTTAAATCGTGTCCCTTCAGCGTATCTTCATACTCAAGCCAGTTGCCGGTATCAAAGTTTCTGATCACTGCATGCTTGGCGACATTAGATCGACACGCAGATGCAATGATCTTCCCATCTCTTGAAACATCCAATGTGGTAATCTCAAACCCATGTCCATAAAGCTTTTCCAGTTCTGGCCATAACGTGTGACGTTGTAAGATATCTTCTACAGGGGGCTCGTTTAGCTCACTCATAATACTATTGCTGATATCGTTACCAACACTTCCTCCAGCCTCACCCCCTTCATCTCCATTGTTGCCCCCGATGACATCACCATCCAACGTGGCTTTATTACTTAATCCTAAAACTGGCAAACTTGCAGACTCAGGTAAATTTTCCTCAATTTCGCCTTTCTGAAACTCAGTCAAACCACAAACATTGCCCAACATACCAGCAATACTCTTGGGCATATCAAAAACTCTGATGACTTTCTCGTCACCAGCACTGACAAACCTTGTTCCGTTGATACTTTTCACCGTAATCATGTCAAATCCATGGATCTGCGGACGCCCAAATTCAAACCATTTCTCTCCGTCTCGACTCCACTTCGCATATAGTCTTGTAGATTGATCTAGTGAAGTGGCAAGGAAGTATTCGCCACTAGCAGCCCATGATATATCTGTGATGGCTCTAGCTGCTCCAACAAAGGTTGTCCGTGAGTTGTAAACTTTGTCTTTGACCAAATCCTTCTCCCAGCAACGGAACGATCCTGTCTTACCATTGCTCAAAACAATTTCAGTGTTTGTATCCTCATCAAAAATCCATTTAGAACAATAAAATCCACCCGATGAACCTGTAGCTGTTGAGGCACCTTTTATTGCCATCTCACCAAGCCTTACTTCCGGAAACCACACACCACTAATAGGATCTGATTTCCACATCATTATAGAACTGTCTGCACTTGACGACAACAACATAAGATCGTTTTCGTTTTCAAATTCTTTTTGACCTTCGTTCTTTCTGGGTTTCCAGGTGACTTCAGAAACCCAGTCATCATGACCCATTAGGATTGCATCTAAGAAAATACAACAACGATTGGTTGCTGTCTCAAATCTGTATTCTTTTGAAGTCAAGAGTTTCAACTTATTGGTTTCCACATAGACAGGGTTGCTGGATGCTTCAATAGTCAATTTCCACAATCTAATAATACGATCCAAAGAGGCAGAAGCAAAAATGTATGTTGTTTTAGGATATGTAACACCTTCAACAGTTTCCATTGTAGTAGCCAATTGACGAATCGCAATGGATCTTACCCAGTCATCGTGTCCAGGGAGAGAAGCTTTTAATGTCATTTTCATAGTACACATGTCCAATGATATCACATTGATAACAGGTTTGGAGCCTCCGGAAAGAATTATGTATTCGGCGTCAGACAATTTAATCATGTTTAAAGCCATTGCATAGAATCCATATGGCAACTCAAAATTTGCAATCTCTTCAAACTTGTTGACTTTTGAGTCAAGTGAATAGATGTATATCTTACCGTTACTATCACCAACGGCAAATTTCAGACAATTTGCATCATTGGAAACAAGCCCAATACATGAAATTGCACCCTGTGTTGGTTTAAGTCCTTGGATGAATTGAATATCCAGTATACCATTTTCCTTTTGACTGAACATCCAAACATTGACCACACCATCTTGGGATCCCGATAACAAAAGGTTAGTGGATTGAATCCATTTAATCGCAGTTATTTCCTCAGTGTGATTTTTCAGAGTGATATAAACTTGTGCAGTAGGATCATACCCTCGGGAATGAAAAATAGATGTGCTAATCGAAACAGTGTTAGACGAACCATATGCAACTATTTTCAGGTTAGCATTGTAATCAAATATGCCAAGGTTCTTGTTACACCCTGCAAAAATGCTTTCTACTTTAGCCATCTTTGTTTTGAAGGAAGTCTATATCAAGATAAACACTATGAGTACAGTCTGCATAATTTGTATGTTTACAGCAGCAAAGAAAAAAATAATCAAAAAAGTATATCATGTTGAAAAAAAAAGTCAGGGTGCACCAAAGAAAATTATCTTCTAGCGCAAGCGTACTCAAACAATTCCTGCTAGTAGTATTCATTTTCAGCCAGCTTCTAAAGTTTGCCAAAAACTTCAAGTGTATGGTTAGATAAATTTTATTATTATACAAATCCCTAACAAGGAAGTAAATCAATGCCGGCTTCAAACCATCCTTCACCGCCCAAAATACTTTCTAAACTACATCCTTCCTCCCATACACGCATTACGATGTCCATGTTACTTTTGATGGTACCCATTTTGACAGTTTCGTACAAAACTTCTAAAGCTTTCCAACTTTGTTTCCGATTTTCATCAGTGCTAGAGCATAATGCCACATAGAAAATGGGCCAGACCATTTGAGTGATAATCGGAGAAGATGACGGAATTGTATTGTAAACCGATAAAAACTCAGTAACTATTGCAGTAGCTTTTTCCGAATGTATATGTACTGATGGAACAGCATCTGGAAACTCACTGGCAGAAATCATATTTCTATTATGCTCTATCATTTTAGACATTTTGGAAAAATAGTGCAGCTCCAATTGGATCGTAACTAAGATTGCTGCCAATGACCATAATTGAGCACACTTTAACCTATCAATGTAGCTAAATGCAGAGCCATGAGGCAGTATATATAGTACGTGATCTCTATAATGCAAGCATCTGTCCCTGAGATCCATCAAGTTTTTATGGCTTAGCTTTATTTGTTGTAATAGACATTCTTGCTGAGAAAATAACGTCATAACTTTCTTTCGGTAAAGACATAAATCATACAGAACTCTGAACATTCCGACAGGACAACCATTCATCTTGTCTGTCGAAATTATATCACTGCTTTCACCAAACCACTTTGGATCACAGTATGGAATCCTACAATCGGGAGATACTATTGCTGAAACAGTATCAAACCATGATAGAACACACAGTAAGGATTGCGATTGCTGAATTTTCTTCATTTTCTTGTTGAAGAGTGGATCAGATGCAATAGATGCGGACAACTTGAGAAACATTCTTGCCAATGCAGAACGCCCACTTTCCAAAACGGCAAATAATAAATGTACATAGAGCAATAACAAAATAACCATGAAGTTTGTGCCTTTCTTTTTATTGGATTCTGATTTAATTCTAGAAATTATTTTGGGAACATTCAAATCTAAATCATTAGAGTCTTTCATTTGCTCTTCTGAATTCCGTTCATCGTGATCGTCATCATTACTATTACCATTGCTATTGTTTTGATCATTGCAATCGACATTGTGCTCGGTTTCATTCTCGTCAGAATTTGATGCGGAACCTGAAGTCGAGCTGTTTGCATCTGAATGGCCTTTCTTATCTCTTGTCACTGTAGTGCTTGTGTTTGTGTTTGTGTTTGTGTTTGCAATTCCACCGGTTTTCACGTATTTAATCAAATACTCCATTGTGTTATTAATATGCAAAAGACCCTTTTTATAAAATTCGTCTCCTCCATTGTTGACATATAGGTGCATCGAGGATAAAGACAAAAAGCATGATTTTGCCAAATCCATCGATCCAAACTTCATCATTAATTGAGGCCATGGAGTTTGTGGATGGGCGTCTAAAAGATAAATCACCTTTTCAAAAAAGTGTTTCAGAATAAGAATTTCTTCCCTTTTTTTCAACTGGGGACCAAGATGGCTAGAGTCTAGCTCTAACTCATTATGGCTATTATTGTGGTATGGTAAGTTATGACTATCAACGTTGCCAACTCCATTATAAGACTGAACATTGGACAAAGAGGCACTAGGAATTGCTGGAGAAATTGATGCAATGTTTGAATAGTTTGGGCTTGGAGGTAAGTTCAAACCCGAGCTTGAAGTGGTCATATTCATATTCACATGGTTATTCATGCTAGTGTTTGAATGCGAGGAATCGAGAGGTAAAAAGGAAAAATCGACAGAGTTCAGTAATCCATTATCATAGTTGTCCAATATATAGTCTAGACCCGAGAAAAACGCACGTTCAAACTGTTGGGGATCATTAAAGTCTAATTCAAAATCTCGATCCGAAGTTGTTGAGACAGAATTCGTATTCTTCCCAGTGTTTGGCGCAGACAAAATGTTTATATTGGAATTTGTATTTGAAAGAATTGTGTTTGAGCTAGAATCTCTGGATACCAGTAGGCTAGGTGAATCTGAAGGAGTAAGGTCTATATTCGATGGGTTTAGCAGAGAATCCACGTTTGGTAACGAACCGGACTTTGAATATTCATTTGAAGAAATCAATGATTTGATCTGAGGCTTTGCATGTTTCGTAACCCTTGGGTGCTTAGATTTTCTCACACGGTCTTCATTGTAAGAAGGAGACTCTAGCTTTCGTCTAGTTTCTGTACGACTTTTATGGTTTTCAAAAGTTGTGTCTTCGACACCATTTTCCTCCATTTTGACCGAGATCTCTTCCGCTGACGGATTGTGGGGGTTATGACTGTTTATTATAAAGGTGTCTCCGGCATCTTTTAGCTTTGGACGACCTCGGAAACCGTGTTTCTTTTCTCCTCTGATATTGAAAGAATCATTTGAGTTTCGGGAATCATCGACGTCAAATACCAACCTAACCCCATAGCCTGCACAGACTCTTCCCGACTCCGTGCAGTTTTTGCAATATGGTTTTGTTTCATCGCATTTTCTACGACGCTTTTTACAGGTGAAGCATCCGTTTCTTGACCTGGTTATCTTTTTCTCCATCAGGGACTCTTCCTTGTCTTGCTCAAGATTCATCATGGGCAAGTCTCTCTTTCCGTGACAAAGAAGAGGTTACCAGATTGAGTATCGCTATGGACAAGAAATATTTTTCAAGGCTAAGCGATGCCTGTCTTGACGTGTCTAGTTATGGCAACAAGAAACACCTTTACTTGTAGTCTACTAGTGGCTAATTTTTCCATCGATGCCATCATAACCAAAGCTGATAAGCTTAAGAAAAAGGGACACCTCGGCGGCCAGCGCACCGAGTTTCCCGATTAGGCAGCCATATTCGCAGACGTCTACTTATGATCATATTTTCACCATATTATTATTCATTAAACGGAATTTAAGATATTTTACACTATACACGATATATACTATCATAACTAGATGACCAGCTTATAATTTTTGCATAGCAGCAACATCAGTAGATTGAACCCAGTCTTCACCTTCTTCGATGAGGTTTTGTAATTCTTCAAGAGAAACCTTGTCATCTTCAACGACACAGTTGATTTGTAACTTCTTGATACCGAAACCGACAGGGATGAATTGGTGAGCACCCCAGACCAAACCTGGCATCTCGACACCCTTGACGTGAGCGAGCATAGCGTCTAAGTCGGTTTCATCATCCCATGGCTTGACATCTAATGTGACAATGGACTTAGCAGCAGGCTTTGGACCCTTAGCAGCCTTCTTGGCGTTGTAGGCAGCGACTCTTTCAGCCTTTAATCTTTCAACTTCGGCGTTATCTTCCTCGTCGTCAGAGCCGAAAAGATCTAAGTCTTCATCGTCTTCGGCAGCAGCGGCAGCTGGAGCACCAGTGCCCTTTGGAAGGGTTTCGAATTCTTCAGAGAAGGAAGCAATGTGGTTGAACCATCTGGAGAAGTTTGGGTATGCGGATTGGAAAGCCTTGAAAGCAGCAACGTCAGCTTGAGTGGCAGAAGTACTATGGCAACAAAAATAGTATTGGCATGGCAAAGGAGGAGAGACTAATGTTAGTATGTGTTGGAAAAATTTAGTCATTTTCGAGATTTTTTCCCGCGCACGTGATTTTTTCCAAATAACTTTTCAGTATGAAAAAAAGTAACCGCTAGATGAATGAACTGGGCCAGAAAAGAAAAGAAGGTAGAGGGAGAACAAGAGAAAAGGAAAAATGGGGTGATAATAATGTGCTCAGGGTAACGACTGCGTCAACAGCCTTCTTTTTGATACTCATACAGCGGGTCTTGAGTCCGCCTCATAAACATGGACCAAAGAATATGATCATCATCGATATTATTAACAGTGAAGAAAGTGAGAAAAAAACAGAAAAAGGAATAAGCCAAGCAGGAAAACGTAGAATGCTGAGCCAGCCCAACAACCATGTGCATCCACATCCACCTGCTGCCACAGCGGCAGTGCAGAGAGGAAGGAGGACGGCGGAAAAAAACGCCCGACCACCGTGCGGTTCGGAATTAGTGCTGCAGTACGTACCCTTCGACGTAGGACTTGTCCTTCAAGTAGTCGTTCAACTTGGAAACGGTTTCAATCTTAGAGAAGTCTGAGAAAGACATTGTGTTTGTGTGTGTGTGGGTTGGGGGAACTGAAGAAGAGATTTATCAGCGGAACAGCGCAGAAGAAAGAGAAGGACAACGCAAGAACAAGAAACGTGCCAGCAGGAGGCAGGTGGCAGGCAAGCTGGCAGCGCTGTGCTTTATTATTTCTCCTCGCCTTGATCCTCGACGTCGAGATTCCGCAGCGAGCGAAAAGTGCGTGGGCCCCAAGCTTGTTGCAGGGTTTTTCACGTTGCGGCGGGCGCGAGAAAACGATGTTGATTCCACCCGTGCACCTGAACAAGGAGTAGCAGGAGGTGAGGGCCGCAGCAGGAGACGGAAGGAGGAAAGAAGGTGAAGATGAAGCGGAAGGAGACGCCAAACGGGGCAAACGGGGCAAGCGGTGGACAGAGAGGGCGCAGATCGCAGGCAGCGAGAGAGCAACCAGCAGATGTCATCGAATATCACGTCGAAGCCGCTTTTCCCACAGGCCCTCACGACCTCATTCTCGCACAGACTCTCGCAGTCAAACAGTGCGCTGTTCTCGAACCTCTCCACGTCGAGAGCATCCAAGAGACAGGCGACGTCGAAGGTGAACTATGCAGAGGACTACCCAGACATCGACTTTGACTTTGAGGACTCCAACAACAACAACGGCGTGGGCGGCGGTAGCCTGAACGGGGCCGGCGGTAGCGGCATCCTCAACAGCGGGGCCGGCGGCGTGCTCGTCAACAACAACAACGGCGGCGGCACTTTCAGCGGCAGCATTATTGACGGGAACCATTACGGGACAATTAACGGACTTGGTGACGTGCTTGGCGGCACTGGTGCTGCTGGTGGCGACGTCAATGTCAACGCCAACGGCGCCAGCGTGAGCGGGAACCGAGACTTTGAAGACGACGACGAATACGTGGAGGACGACGACGAGAAGAACGACGCCACGTACGAGGACCCGAACGCGGCGTTTGACATTTACCGAAACTTGATTCTCAACTCCAACAACAGCTCGATCAACCTCTCGAACTACCACGGCAACAAGGAGGCGCCACAGGACCTTCCGCAGATCGTCTTCACGCCTTTCGAGGTGTTGTCAAACTCCGCGAATCCGGAGGTCATCATACCGATCAAGTTGAAGATCAACACCAGCGGGGCTGTGATTAACGACTGCTTCCTCTGGAACCTGAACGAGACGTTGATAACGCCCGAGACTCACGCGGCCATAATGTCGCAGGAGCTGGACCTCGCCCGAAACACAGAGTCGTCCATCGCCAACCAGATCAAAGACCAGATCCAGTCGTACAAGGATCTACTTGCAAACCCGAACAACGCCATCATCGATCAGTTCCTATCGAACGAGAAGGAGTTCCACGTCGTTTTGGACATCTCCGCAAACATTGGTGAGGACTTCTACACAGACAAGATCGAATGGAACTTACTCGATGACACATACACCCCGGAGATGTTTGCTAAGTCTGTGTGCAACGACATCGGCCTCAAGCCTGAGTTCGAGACCGCCATAGCTGTCGCCATCTACGACGAGATTTACAAGTTCAAGCGAGAGCTCATTGAAAACCCACAGCAGGTGTCGCAGAATATGGATTCCTTACCTTTCTTCAACCTCATCAACCCTGACGACGCGTCCAAATCGATTGTGCAGGGACTTCGCTACGATACCAAGAAGTACGGTGAGGAGTTCTCCCCTACAGTGGAGAAGTTGAGTGAGTGGGAGATCGAAAAGAGAGAGACCGAGAAGGAGCGTAATTTGAGAAGGAGAAAGAGAGAAACCTTACGTGTGGTCAGTGGGGTTACCAGGTGAGTGATTCCCTTTGGCAGTTTCCTTGTTGATCTCCCTACCCGTTTTTCTGTAAGCTAGATGTAAATTCTGTATACTAAATCCAACTTCAAGTAAACACTCCCGTGCACGAAATATGGAGATGGTCTAGAACCCCGCGTGTGAATAGTTGCGACGCGTGCTAGGAGAAAAAACTATTGCGTAATGGGCACTGCCGCCACGTACGGGGGAAGAGGAGAATGAGGCTTACGGGACAACTAATCGATTGTGCCAAATCTGAAAAAATGCTATTCAGGGGATGCCGGGAGAAAACTTGTTCTTGATCTGATTCTTGTTCTGGTTCCTGTGCTTCTTTTAAGCTTTCTCGATCCATTAAAAGCAGGAAACAGCGAAAAGGAAACTACAGGCAGCGTTACAACAGGCACCGACGCCAAAGATGGATTACATTACTATCCCCGATGACACTGCTTCCAAATCGCTCAAGAAGACGTTATGGAGATTGAAGACAGACGTCGTCAACAACCACAGGAACATGCGCAAGAAGCTGTCGTTTGCAACCTTTGCGTTCTTCTTCCTTTGGTATTTCATTGCTCCGATGTTCACAACTAGCTCACGCCATACCCACACAAACAATGGTACGAAGTTGTTTTCTTCAGACACAGCCAACTTCAACATGAAAACACACTTTGACCCGCTAACCTATATATACAACAGACTTCCTGCCAATGCGCCGCTACGTGCGCAATTGGCGTTCCAGTTCCCTTACGACGAACATAGCTCGATTCCAAACCATATTTTCCAGACGTGGAAGGTTGCTGCTGACGACAGCCAGTTCCCAAAACACTTCACGAGACCATACCAGTCATGGTCAAGCAAGAACGAGAACTTCACGCACACGATCATTACAGATGATATGATCGACGAATGGATTTTTCAAGAATTCGCAAACGTCCCGGCGGTCATTGAGGCCTGGAAACTCATGCCTAGATTTATTTTAAAGGCCGACTTTTTCAGATATCTCGTCATCTTTGCTCGTGGAGGAGTTTACTCCGATATGGACACATTATGTTTGAAACCAATTAACGAGTGGGCGATATTCAACCCGAAGTATCTTCCTTCCAACAGCAGGCTGAACGCCATAGGGTGCGCTATTGGCATAGAAGCAGACCCGGATAGACCAGATTGGGCTGAGTGGTATGCTCGTCGGATTCAATTTGTCCAATGGACCGTCGTTGGAAAGCGTGGCCACCCATTTTTACGTGAGTTGATTGCCAGAGTTGTTGAGGAAACTTTGAGAAAACAGAAGCAAGGAATGCTAAAACGCGTTGAAGGTAAGGACACAGGCGGTGATGTCATGCAATGGACAGGTCCTGGTATGTTCACAGACACCTTTTTTGACTACATTAACAACATTCATACAGACGGGAGTTATGGTGATGGGTTTGGTATCGGCACTAAATACTGGACCGATGGCAAGAAATACTCCTTGAAACAGCAGGAGTTGAATAGTGAAGGCCTGCCTTTACACTCAACCGACATGGAGATCAATTGGTTGAACTTCACAGGTTTAGAAAAGCCTACAGTTTATGACGACATCATGATTTTACCAATAACCAGTTTTAGTCCAGGTGTTGGACAGATGGGAAGTAAGAGTCCTAAACATGAGCTTGCCTTTGTCTTGCATATGTTTGAAGGAAGTTGGAAATCATAAATATTCTTTCTACTTCTAGGCTTTTGGGTCCATGCTTACGTTGCTACCTCCAATGTTCTCAACCATCGTTATCAACAAAGAAGAATAATCGATTATACCCTTAGAGCTCATAAAGCACCCATTTCGGAAGAACCCAAAATCTCGATTTTACATAGAACTAAAGAAAATACAGCATGTTTACGCATTTATTTATATATTGTATAAAACCTCACCATTCTAATAAAGCATAAGATTAATCAAAACTGTCGATCAGATTTATGAATTCGGTTGGCACAAATCGCTTTAGTATTCGACACCTCTCATTCATCGAATCTACAGACTTCAATATATATTGAGAACCTATCTCCAAGTAAAAAACAGGATTTTCTCTGGTGACCCGCTTGGTGATTGTATGGAATACTCTTCTTATCAAATCTACAGCTGCCATGTATTTTTCATAATAATCAGGGTATAGTTGATGGAAAAACGGAAGCAAGTCATCTTTAACAGAGAAGTCTGTGATATTTCGAATAGTGAAACTTTGGTCCCTTATACCTATCACCACTTTAAGGTCATTAGCAAATTTGCATTGGATCAACAACCGAAATAAAAAACTACCAAAGTGCACATTACCTTTTGACAATGACTCCAGTACTGACTTTTTGTTTGTAGTCTTGGCATGTGGTATATTGGACTTGCATAGTATCATCTTGATTTCAGTGTATGCTCCACTTTCTTTGTCATAGGAGTCAATTTCTGCACAATAAAGGCAGCTCATACCATCAATTTTCGTTTCAATAACACTCTGGTATAGATTGTAGTTATTTATCGTCTTTTGGGACGTTCCATGCGTCAGAAGATCTTCAAATCGGATCCCAGCATAGGACATTAAGACATTCTGCCCCTCTCTAGTCTCATTGTTTGCAATGATATACCGGTTGTTATACCACATGATGTAGAACCCAGATTGGCGCTTAACGGAAACATATTGAAAAAACGACGAGGGACAAAATACCTTGTACCATGAAAGATTCACGCCAGAATTTTGGACCTTGGAAATTTGGACCAAGGACTTGAGAAAGTTGTCAATAGTACTTTCATGGGATTTGAAAATTTTGGGCGTATAGTTTTTATATCCGAGCTTTGTGTTCCATCCAAACGGGTTAGCAAAACATTTACTATTCGGAGGAGAGAAAGAGTAGAAGTCGAACTGTTCTTTATCTAAAGTGACAGTTCCAGCCCGATCTGAAAAGAAAGCAACCTCTTTTCCATAAAATTTTGACAGAGAGGAAACATCAGTTCGGGGTATTTCCAGTTCAATTATATATTCAGGCATTGGATAACTCCGAGACTACTATTTTTTTACTGAAGTAAAGAAACGAACGCCGACACCGAAAGGAAGTAAGAAAAATCTCAAATATTTTTCTCGATCAGGAAGAGCTTCACAAAAATCATGCTCGACTAATCTGTGCCTGCTGTACTAAGTACCAAAAGTTAAGTCAATCGTAAAGGAGGCAGCTGTTGTAATCAGCTGTAGTCAATTCACGATCATTTTTTTATTGTGGGCATATTAAAGAAATTGGAACACTAGACATGATGAACCAAATACTAGGGGAATTACTTAACTGTGAGAATGAGAGAAGTGAAAGGGACGAGGGCGCTGAAAGTAATAATGCTATCCAAAATGATAACGATAATGGTGATAGCAGCAAATCTGTCCATAATGGGAAAAACACACATAGACGTGTAAGCTCTACCCCAATCTGGCCGACAGAGCTACCTGACGTTTTTCTTTTCCCGGACACTTTTTTCCAATTGCAAAAAGATTTAAACTACGGTGTTCTTGAATACCTCATAAGAATGGGCTATGCCGGCGCTGCTGACACATTCAGTAAAGAACTTCAATATGAGGACAAAAACATACACAATAACGTAAAACAGGATGATGACTTTAAAGGTCAAGATGATAAAGTTGTAGAAGACGAAGATAGTAATGAGTTTACCGAACAAAGTTTTGATCTACAAAAAGAAAAGATGAGCCAACTGTTCAAGACGGAAAACTTATCGGCGGAAAGTAATGAGACACTTGAAAAGTCGAAGCTTTCCATCAAGCAGCAGAGAGCCACGATTGGAATGGAATCTGTCTATGAGCGGAAGGCCATGATGATTATGTTGATGAATGGACAGGTCAAGGAGACAATTGAATTTATTTCTCGTAAGTGGCCACATTTCTTTAACGAATTTCGGATATTGAAACTTCGCCTTTTACACCTTCAAGCAGTTGAAATAATCCGAGAGTTCTTTGACAGCGATGTTAGCGACTTTACAGGCGAGGAGCTAGAAGAAAAAGAAGAGACATTTTTCAACGAGTTTGTCGAGTTTATCAAAAAAAACCTCAGTGACGAAAACATATTAAAAAGTTCAAGATTTATTAAAGATATGGAGCTCACTATGGCATTAATATCATACGGGACTTTCAAGGAGAAAGAATCAAAAGTCAGCTTTACAGAGCGTTTGCCACCAGAGTTGAAGAAGCTCGTCGATATTTCACTGAGGGAAACCATTGCTGTTAGAGTCAACAAAGCATTGTTGACCTACGTAGATGGCGTGTCATTCAGTGATGAGCTTGATGGAGGATTTGATTTCAGTGCGGCTTCAGATAGCGTTGCGAGCCACGAGGAAGAAGAAGACGAGAACGAAGAAAAGTTATGCCAAGAGGGGTCCGGATACGGAGTCGGTGATGATGACCCGAACGATCCACTCCTGCGTGCCGGTTATGGGGACTTCAGGGTCCTGCAGCGTTTCAGCAACGGAGACAGCAAACTTCTACAACTTGTCAAGCTCTTTGTTTGGTCTTACAAGCTGAATAGCAATAGTAATAGCAGGCTCAGCAACAGGCAGAAGCTTGAAAAGATGGCTGAAATAACACTTGGTCAATGAAGTGCTAGCTCTTGGGAAACTTTTTTACGTTCGATCATGTTTGTAAATCAATGAAGCAGGCTCGAAAACAGAACAGATAACAACCATGACTGTCGGTCTCGGGTAGATAGCCAATTGCGGGACCGGAATCCGGATGCGCGGAGGCCCTGGCGAGGAAATCGAAATCAAGAACGAATAAGGATGGGGGGGTTTGTCACCGTGTGGAGAGGAACTGAGGCCGAAAGAGTGTGTGAGCTGTGGATGTCGTTCGGTCTGTAGCTTTTCAGGGGGATTCAACACGCACTGTACAGCTATAGTGAGCGTGTTACGGAATCTCTCTAATAAGTGGTACACAGGAACGTTCTCTTTTTTGTCTCAAGTATGGTGGACGTACAAACACATGCCGATGTGGAAGATGACTTCCACAAAAACAAACATGAGTCACTGAAAAAACCAATAATAATACCTTCAGCAGACTACGATCTGCACCAACTGGATTCTTTGGAGAGTAAACATTTGAAAGAAACTAAGATACGGAAAATGCAAGCAGAAAGGGCTGTACAAAAGTCAAGGGCAACGGATGTTGTTGCCAACGTAACGCCGATAGCTACAAAGCCTGAGAAAAACAGTTCAAATGCCCATTCAACATTGCTTAACAAGCAGAGTCAAGAACACGCACAAATAAACAAGCAATCATTTGAATACGTTTTACGAAGCGGACTTGCCGGAGGCTTAGCTGGGATATCTGCCAAGTCTTTGATTGCTCCTCTTGATAGAGTGAAAATTCTTTTTCAAACAAACAACCCCCACTACAAACAATATGTCGGATCGTTTAAAGGAATGTTTAAAGCAATACAAACCATATACTCTAGGGACGGAATTCTCGGCTTATATCAAGGCCATTCAGCCACATTACTGAGAATCTTCCCCTATGCTGCAATCAAATTTGTTTGTTACGAACAAATCAGAACAATCTTGATACCTAATGATGAATATGAAACAGCAGGACGTAGGCTCCTTGCAGGATCATTGGCAGGTGTAACTTCCGTATATTTTACATACCCATTGGATTTAATCAGAGTTAGATTGGCATTTGAGACATCGCATCATTCAATACATCACGGAAAAGGAAAATTGTTCCATACGCTAAAACTGATATACAATGAAAAACCTAAAACTATGTACACAACAGGAGGTTATCCATTGCAAAGTGATGCAATTTTTACAAGGCTTCTATACAGATCCAGAGTTGCTGATTATTTCCCATGTGTTCTTTCACTGTCAAACTTTTATCGAGGGTTTGTTCCAACAATCTTAGGCATGATACCGTATGCAGGTGTTAGTTTCTATTCGCATGATATTCTTCACGATTTTTTTCGAAACAAGTGGTTGGCTCCATACACAGTCATGAGCGATAAGTCCAAATCAGCCACGCGATCAGACTCTTCATTTGACCATAGACCCCCTTTAACAACTTGGGCGCAATTGCTGGCCGGTGGTGGCGCCGGTATGCTGGCCCAAGCATCCGCTTATCCATTCGAAGTCATTCGTAGGCGTATGCAAGTCGGTGGAGTTACGAACAAATCTGGTGAGTTTTTTGGTTTGGCACATACTGCCAAACAGATATTTAAAGAAAGAGGTTTTCGTGGTTTTTACGTTGGTTTGGGAATAGGTTTCTTGAAAGTTGTTCCTATGTTTGCATGCTCTTTTTACGTTTATGAACGTTGCAAAGAGCTCCTTCTCATTTAAGGGTCATGTTTAATCACTTTTTGATACCACATCGTGTTAATGACCAAAATTTTGGACTCTATATAGAGTTTTTCAACTAACATTTAACTTGTTTTTTCTCAAGATTGACAACTCCTAATTCGATGTCCTTTCTGTTCTGAGAACTACAATATTTAATTTACTAACGCTATAATAAATTTTTTATGACTACACACATTTTCCCGAATAATGTAAATCGTTTTCAGCTGGGTTGAAAGTCGTTTTCGTCAATCCCGGACTTATCGCACATGCTACGGAATATTCCTTCCGCCATCCACAACTTTTTTGGAGTGTCAAATTCGGCACATTCTCCCTTATCCATAACGAGAATACGGTCGTAGTTGAGGATTGTTCTTAAACGATGAGCAATGCACAAAATAGTACAATCTCTGAAACCGTTTGAAATCGTTTCTTGAATTCTCGCATCAGTCTCATAGTCTACGCTGGATGTTGCTTCATCAAGGATCAAAATTTTGGTATTTCTAATCAATGCACGGCAAAGTGCGATAACTTGCCTCTCCCCTAGTGAAAAATTGGCACCATCGTCTTCAACAAAAGTATCCAACGAAAACTTCTTTTCATTATCAGTATTACTATCCGAGGCCTGAATTATGTCAATTTCGGAATCTTTATCATGATCGCTCGACGCATATCCAGATGCAATATCTAAAGCTGATTTCAGTACCGAGTCACTCAGTTCGCCAAACGGATCCAAATTTCTTCTAATATCACCACGAAATAATACCGGATCCTGTGGAATAATCGCTAATCTTGAACGCAAATCGAAAAGCCCAATACTCTGTATATCAACCCCATCGATTTCAATGTTTCCCCCCTCTGGTTCGCTTAGCCTATACAATGCAGTCATAATCGTAGATTTTCCTGCTCCTGTACGGCCACAGATACCAATTTTTTCACCTGCTTTGATGTCCAGTGTCATGTTTTTCAAAACTAGTGGTAGCTCTTCACGATATTTCAATGAAACTTTATTGAATTTGATAGCACCCGACTGAGGCCAAGATTTTGGAAGCTCTATGCTTTCTGGAGTGTTGTAACTTGCTTCACTGGGTAACTCTGTGGCATATTCACAAATGCGTTCAACTGAAGAAAGTAGCTGTTCGAGCTGACCTAAAGCTCTTGTTGAACTAATGATTTGCATACTAAATTGAACTGCAAACGAGATTAGTAAACCCGAACCTGCAGCGGATATGGGGTAGGCATTGGAAACACATAACATTGTAATTACCAAACTGATAGAACCGGCTGCGCCATGGAGAGGAATAGAAAACCATCTCATGAGACAAACGGCTGCAAAGTATGATTCATTCATGACATTGATATTTTTAGAATTCCTATCCATGAACCTTCTTGAAGCCGAAAACAATTTAATGGTAGACATACCTTGTAAAGCTTCATCAAAATTAGAGAACACAAAGGATCTGGCAGCTCCCTCAATACGCTTGATTTCTCTTGACGTTGCCTGATAGTATGAGAAGATAACTATAACAAACAAAAATAAAACTGGAATAGTAATTGCAAACCACGGTAAGTAAATGATACAAAGTATCAACACACCAATGACATTTCCAAAACCTAAACATGTCAACCTTGCTTGTTCCGCAATCTCATTATCCAAAACATCTGTGTCCTTAGTGAATCGATTCATTATTCTTCCAAGTGGTGTAGTATCGAAGAATGACATTGGGGCATACATTATGTTTCTCAAGCAACTTAGATTGAGGAGTTTTGATGCTCTATTTGAAATGAAAGCAATGGTACAAAATTGCCAAATAGCACAAAGTACGAAGAAACATGTTACCATGACATAAATTCCAATGTAAAAAGGATCACCATAGGCTTTGAATTTTCTAAGTGACCAGAATGATAACCAGACATTTTCAAATAACATGCAAAATGAAGTTAAGATAATTGCACATAACAAGTTTGAAAGAACGATCCTAGGACCAAGTTTGCCACACCCTGAACGAAGGTACGCTGCAAACATTGTTTTTGATATTGCATTACTTTTGATATGCTCTACTTGGATCATTCTACCCTGTCTTTCATCTTTAGTAGTTTGCTTTCTTATCAATTTGAGTTCACTTTCTTTGACATCTAAATCTTCGTCATCTTCATCCTCTTCTGCTTTAACTTCTCCTTCCATTTGGAAATCCATCAAAGCTCTGAAACGATCATTTCTTTCAACCAGCTCTTCATGAGTGCCTATATCGGTAGTTCCATCACCATTCATGTAGACAATTCTGTCGGCTTCACCAATGAGAGACAATTGATGAGTTGCTAGAATACGTGTCTTATCACGCAATAATCCTAGAATACATTCTTGCATAATGTGCTTACCGACTTTTGCATCGACAGCACTTAGAACGTCATCGAACATCACAATGTTGTATTCTTTCAACGTATATGCTCTGTAAACAGTACGGGCCAAGCTTATCCGTGCTTTTTGACCACCAGAAAGATTGACACCACGTTCACCAATTTCAGTCATATCACCTGCGGGCAAAATCTCGAAATCACTAGGCAACGCACAACTTTCAATAACTGTTTGATAGGTTTCCCTATCGTAATCTAAACCAAAAGTGATATTTTCTCTCACAGTAGTGTTTTGAATCCAAGGATGCGAACATAGGACTATACTGCCCGAGATTTCGATTCCACCACATAGCCTGTTCATGTCGCCATTAATTGCGGATATCAAGGAGGATTTACCAGATCCAATTGAGCCCGTAACAACAACAAATTCACCATGCTTAACATTGAGGTCTACGTCCTTTAAAACCAACGATGGACTCAAGGTAGAAACGTCATCTGAGTTTTTATCTCCATCTACCGAGATCTTTTCCTTGATTTCCACAGAGTCGGTATCTGAAAGTTCTGAAACATCAATGTCCCAAGTAAAGTCCCCGTTATCAATCAATATTGCTGGCCTTGAAAAGTCAAAGGGATATTTGTGATACCCTAGATCTAACTCTTCTTCCTCGGCAAGCAGGAACTCTTGAATTCTTTTGAAAGCAATGATTGCGTCACCTGAAGAGCTTAACGCCAATGGAAAAAATGAAATGTGTAGGGTCAAAATATTGAATAAAGTCACTGAAGAAAAAATATTAGCAGCATTTTTCAATCCACCTAATTGACCATACATACACAAAAATCCAATCATTGCTGAAACGAGTGGTAAAGTTACCGCACAGCCAGTAATGATATTTCTCGCAAACTGAATTTTTAGCATTATTTTCATTTCCTTTGACCTAACATCTGATATGAGATCAAAAAATGGGATTTCCCAAGCATAATATTTTATCATTTTCATATTGTTCAAAATCTCCTTGATATAACGTACTCTGGAATCGGTCTCAAGGTTAGCGCTTTTCCTCCATTTCATCAATCTTTTGGTGAAGAAGAAAAAACACATAGTCGCTAACAAGAAGTAGCCTACACCTGCTAAAGAAGCACCACCTAAACGGACAGCTAGCATAACGATAGTAATTGTCAAACCGATTGGTAAACACAATGCGAAAGGTAGATAGCTGGCTGCTAAATCAAGTTTGAAAACATCGTTACCAACTAAAGATGTTATTGTGGAATGTGGAAATTGGGATCTGGATTTTCTGCTCAAACGAAATGACTTATCAAGAATTAATTTTGTAAAAAGTCCCTTGGCTTCAGCACCAATAATTCCAGCTCTGTTGAACGCATGTGCTGATGTTACACCAACAAAGAAGACAATACATGCAACACCTACTGCGTAGCCGTATCCCGTTTTACTATTGGTTAGTCCGGCTTTTTTATCCGCAACGTAGTTGATCAATGCTCTGATTTGAAGAGTATTCAATGCCGCTGCAACGTCACTGGTTGCTTTTAATAAGATACTTATCGTGTAGTCCCAACCTAATGTTTTGTACAAAGCTTTCATAACCAAATGATCCGGATATTTGAAATTAGGATCTGATTTAACAAAAGTCCTATTTTCAAAGGTGTCCTCGAGACCGCATTTCGCCATATACTTCAGTTCCGCATCCCGAACACTTTTTTCGAAGGCTTTCATGAAGTAATCTGATATGGTCATAACATCGTATTCAGAGTCCTGCATAATTTTTGGTAGGTCTTCTGCCACCACGGTTCTCCGATAACCAACTCTCAAGAGCGGATTGAGCCATGTTAAAAACATCTCAGAAATGACGTTGTTTCTTCGATAAGAAAACGGAATTCTCTCTTCTTCGGTCGGTATAGGTAAAATTCTCTTATCGAGCAGCAATGGCGTTAGAAGTCTTTTTTGAGGATTTATCCTCTCGTCACTTACAACTCTCTTTTCAATATCTTCTTCCGCATACTGGAAGCCTTTGGTGGTTTTGAAAGTAAACAATTCTTTCTCAAATCTGGCTCTCATTTTGAAAGTTAATTTAACCTCAGAATGTCTCTAATTCTTATCTACCTTGACTCCTTTTCTTTTTTTCTAAAACCAGAACTTTAACACTTCAATGGATGTAAAATTTCACAGCCACACTTGTTTTTCTTTCAGTTGCTGAGAATGAGTTCTAATGAATGCTACTTTGGCTGAAGATGCAGTGTATCGACTGAGATGAAAACCGCTCAAATGAACTTCTATCGTCAGCAGCACATTCCCTTTCTTTTCACGTCTTACACTCCGCATTTACACACTAACCAGGTCATAACCAGACTCTTCTGTGACCACAGGGTCTTCCACTCCGTAGAACCAGTGAGCCATACCCTTACTGAATGAATCATATGGCGGAAGCAGAGCGGAAGCACAGGCGGCAATTCTTTATCCGCTCGAAAAATGATGGCGGTCGGGTTGTGGAGATCCCGATCGCAAACAATTCCTTAATGGGTCGTGTCGTGTGCAAGCATGGACGCAATCAGAAAACGGAATAAATTACATTATTAAATATTATAGATCGGAGACATGTACACAGGCATATAAACATGCATTCGATTAGAACTCGTCCTCTTCGATACCGGACTTGTCGCACATGCTACGGAAGATTCCTCCCTGCAGCCACAATTTCTTCGGGGTGTCGAACTCGGCACATTCGCCCTTGTCCATCACGAGAATCCGGTCGTAGCTCAGAATGGTTCTTAAACGATGGGCAATGCACAGGATGGTGCATTTTTTGAAACCGTTGGCAATTGTTTGTTGGATTCTTGCATCAGTTTCGTAGTCAACGCTGGATGTAGCTTCGTCAAGAATCAAAATCTTTGTCTTCCGGATCAATGCACGGCAAAGTGCAATAACTTGTCTCTCACCTAGTGAGAAATTGGCACCACCGTCCTCTACGAAAGTTTCTAAAGCAAACTTACTATTGTTCGAGGAGCCACAGGACAAATCAATGGCCTTTTGTAAGACAGCATCCTCAGTTTCCTCGAAGGGATCCAAGTTGCTTCTTATAGTGCCTCTGAAAAGGACAGGGTCCTGCGGAATGATGGCCAAGTGAGAACGGAGTTCGAGTAACCCGATTTTTGTAATATCCACACCGTCTATAAACATCTCTCCCGATTCCGGCTCACTTAGTCTGTATAGAGCCGTCATGATCGTGGATTTACCAGCCCCTGTACGCCCACAAATCCCAATTTTCTCTCCCGGCTTGATGTCCAGGGTCATGTTCTTGAGCACCAAAGGTAGTTCCGGTCTGTACTTCAACGAAACATTGTTGAGCTCAATATGTCCCCCCTGGGGCCAGTTTTCAGGGATTTTTCCATCTTCTTCCTTGTCGATGTATGCGGCTTCCTGTGGCAGCTCAGAGACATACTCACAAATTCTTTCAACGGAAGACAAGTATTGTTCTGCTTGTCCAAGGGATTTCGAGAAACTGATCAATTGCATACTCAACTGCACAACGTAGGAGATCAACAAACCGGAGGAGGCCGCAGAAATTGGGTATGCTCTTGCCACACTTAGCATTGAAATGATTATATTAACTGCTGCGGAGCAGCCGTGCAAAGTAACTGCGAACCAACGCTGAACTGAAATTGTATAAAAATAAGATTCATTCATTTGATTGATAAGGTCTGTGTTCTTTTCAATGAATCTTGTTGATGCAGAGTATAATTTGATTGTTTCCATACCCTGAAGAGCTTCGTCAAAGGAAGAGAAGACAAGCGATCTTGAAACACCTTCCAACCTTTTAACTTCTCTGGCAGTAGATTGATAGAAATTGAAAGCGCATACAACATAAACTACCATGACTGGGATGGCAATAGTGAACCAAGGCAAGAAGATACAACACATGATCAAAATACCAGACATGTTACCAAACCCGAAACAACAGAGTCTCGCTTGTTCTGCAATTTCATTATCCAAGACATCGGTGTCTTTTGTGAATCTATTGATAATTCTGCCCATAGGGGTTGTATCAAAGAATGACATTGGGGCATGCATTATGTTGTTTAAAGCCTTAATATTGAGCAATGTAGAAGATCTATTCGTCATGAAGACAATCGTGCAGAACTGCCAGATTGCGCACAAGACAAACATGATAGTGAACATCACATATAATCCGATGTAAAAACCATCGCTACGATCTGGATAGCGTTTGCTTGACCAAAATGATAACCAGACATTCTCAAAAAGCATACAGAATGCAGTGAAAGCAACTGCTAAGATTAAATTTGGAAGGATAAATTTTAATCCTAATTTACCCGAGCCTGATCTAAGATAGGTGACAATTGTTTGTCCAGAAATACCATTGGATTTAATTTTTTCCGCCTGGATGGTTTTCCCGTTATTTTCATCTTTAGTAGTCTGCTTTCTAATCAATTTGAGTTCACTTTCTTTGACATCGAGGTCTTCATCTTCGTCATCCTCGTCGTCGTTGGTTTCTTTCTCGTCTACCTGGAAATTCATTAATGCTTTAAAACCTTCATTCTTCTCAACCAGTTCCTGGCTAGTGCCTATATCAATGGTACCGTCCCCATTCATGTAGACAATTCTGTCGGCTTCACCAATGAGAGACAACTGATGGGTTGCTAGAATACGTGTCTTATCACGCAATAATCCTAGAATACATTCTTGCATAATGTGCTTACCGACTTTTGCATCGACAGCACTTAGAACGTCATCGAACATCACAATGTTGTATTCTTTCAAAGTATATGCTCTGTAAACAGCACGGGCCAAGTTTATCCGTGCTTTTTGACCACCAGAAAGATTGACACCACGTTCACCAATTTCAGTCATATCACCTGCGGGCAAAATCTCGAAATCACTCAGTAACGCACAGCTTTCAATAACTGTTTGATAAACTTCTCTATCGTAGTCCAGACCAAAAGTAATATTATTTCGTACTGTGGTATTTTGAATCCACGGATTGGCACACAAGACTAGGTCACCAGAGATGTCAACTGCCCCAGTTACTCTAGTCATAGTGCCATTAATTGCAGCTAATAAGGAAGATTTACCAGAACCAATGGTACCTGTAATGACAATGAATTCACCATGCTTGATCTGTATATCAATGCCGTGCAAATTAAGCGTTTGCTTTTCGGTAAGTTCATCAGTCAAAGAATGCTTTTCGGAAGTCACGGATTCGGTTAAGCCTGAACCCACTGAACAGGTATCATCGCTTGGTTTGAGCCAGTCAAAAGCAGCATTTTTAATGTTAATTGCAGGTTTTTGAGGGTTGTACTCAGTTTTGTGATAATTTACATCAGGCTTTGACTCTTCGGCAAGTAAAAATTCTTGGACTCTAGTAAATGCAATCCATGCGTCACTTGCAGAGGTGAGGGCAGTTGGTAACATTGCCACATGCATTGTCAAAATGTTAAACAAAGTGACAGATGAAAAGATATTTGAGGCATTTTTCAAGCCACCCAATTGACCATACATTGACAAGAACCCAATCAATGCAGAGCACATTGGGAGTGTGACCGCAATACCTGTGATCATGTTTCTAAAGAACTGGACTTTCAACATGATTTTCATCTCTTGAGATCTCAACTTGGAGATTAATTTGGTGAAGGGAATCTCCCACGCATAGTATTTAATCATTTTGATGTTGATTAGGACTTCTTTTGTGTGTTTGACTCTCGCGTCTGTCTGGACATTGACAGATTTCCTCCATCTCATCAAGTATCTCGTGGAGTACATTATGAACCCCGTGATCAATATGAACCATGCAATACCGGATAGGGAAGCACCACCCAAGTTGACTGCGAGTAAGGCGATAGTTATACCCAAACCTATTGGCAAACACACAATGAAAGAGAAAAAATTTGTTGCCAAATCGATTTTAGATAAGTCATTACCGAGATATGCAGTTACTGTGGAAGAAGGAAACTTTGTTCTCGAGTCTTTACTGAGCCTGAAAGATTTATCCAACAATACCTTGGTCAACACACCTTTGATTTCGGCACCACAGAAACTTGCGTCGTTGAAGTTCCTTGCATACAGCAAACCGATTACAAAGACGACGCATGCAACACCGACTGCTAACCCGTATCCGCTCTTGCCAACCTCTTCATGCAAAGCCTTTTTATGGACATAGTTGATTAAGGCTTTGATTTGAAGGGTATTGAGGGCAGAAGCGACGTCAGCCAACGCTTTGCAGAGCGTGGCGAAAGTGAAGTTAAAGAAGTAGGTCTTGTAGAGCGCCAATAGAACCAGGTACCTCGGGTACTTGAAATCTGGGCTGAACTGGAGCTGTTCTCTATTTTCAGGCGTATCTTCAATGTGATATCTTTCCATGTGGTGTGTTTCTGCGCGTTCTTTCATCGCGTAGAAGTGTCCCAAGAAGATCTTTGTTCTACTTTCAACGTCATAGGTCGAACCTCGTGGGATCTTGTACAAGTCTTCCGGCTGGATGGTTCTTCGGTAGCCGACGCTCAAAAGCGGAAGACACCAGAGATAGAAGCTCTCGCTGAAGAGATTTGTTTTCCTGAAGGGGAATTCAATTCTCTCTTCTTCTGTTGGAATGGGTGGAACCCGCTTGTCAAGCAAAAACGGGGTGAGCAACCTGTGCTGCGGATGAATCCGAGAATCCCGTGCGTTTCTTCTTTCGATGTCTTCGTCTGCATAGTGGATCGATTTGGTTCTTTTTGTCGAAAAAAGGGTGCTGATCCCCATGCTGGCGTTTTTCTGTCTTTTCCTGTTTCTGTGCTTTTCTTTTTTTTCCTCTGTGAAGTGCGTTGGAGAAGAAGGTAGAGGGGAGCAGATTTCAGGCAAGGGTCGTTACAACTAAAAATAACATACAAAGCCTGTCTCCAGGAATAGCAGAGGAGTAGAGACAGAGAAGCGGAACAGAGCCGCAACCGAAGAAAGAAAGGGCTCTCTATATACATTATATCATCGTGCAGCTTAGATAGGAAAGCACCCGTGCTGGTGAAGAAACCAGAATTTTTCACTGCGGAAGTTTCCTCCGTCGCATTGTCCCCACGGAGATTCCGCGCCTAACGGCACCTGCTGCAACGGCAGAGGGATAAGCTGGCCGGCTGGTCAGAGATAGCTCCAGACGGCGCTGACGGCGGCGCCCAGGACGGCGTAAAGCAGCAGCGTCTTGCTCTTCTCTACGGGTCCCGGTCTGTGTCCATAATGTACATTTTCTCTTGTCCTACTGGAATCCCCCAGTGCTGCCATCTGACCGGCCACCCATTCCTCCCCCCAGAGGGGTAGCCCAGGACGCGGACGAGGACGGGGCCCGGGCCGCGGACGGGGAAAAAGTCGAGGACGTGTCTCCATACGGCAACGACGGCGGCGGATGTGCAAGTTCCGCCCGCTATGCGGGCGGAAGGGCTTAACTGTCGCCTCGGCTGAGTGGGCCTGGACACTCTGGGGGGCTTGAACAGGGATGGATTTAGAGGTCACCGAGGGTCTGGCGTGCAGACGTGCAGGATCTTGGATTAGACTGCTTCCCATGCTGAATGTAGTTAGCTGCGGTAAAGCAGCCGCAGCAGCGGAGGTATGTAGCGGAGGAGTCAGGGAGCAGGCCTGGGAGAAGAGCACGGAAAAACAACGAACGGGGGACAAAGCAGAGTAGAGTAGAGCAGAGCAGGATAGGGAGGTAGGCCACTGTGTCCATCGTTTTTCTCTGATGTGATCCGTCACATTCCTGTGCAAAACACCCTCTTGTCCTGGACGTTTAATCACGTTCGGGAAGGTTCCCATAGTAAATTTTCGGGCGAGTACAAGGTTTCTGAAAAATGGCCATTTTTTAAGGTTTAAGTTTTCATAGCTACGAGTACGCTGCTTTGTAGGTATAACAAGGTACATCATTCAACTCAGGAAAGCTAGTTGATAAGAATGATGTAAGTTTCAAGAAAATCTATAACCTAAGCTTAAGCTATCCCACAAGCTGAGCATCTTCGATGGTAGAATCCGAAAATGGCAATAAATTACGTAATAATCACGAAGAAAACTGGAGATAAGAGTGAAGATGAGCCTTTCTATTTCTTTAAGTCTTTACGTGTCTCAATTAATTCTTCTTTCAACAAATTGATCAACTTTTTAAACAGTAAACACCAAAAAAGATGGATTTCAATAAAGAAAGATTTGAAAAGCTTGCAATCGAAAGATTTCCTGAGATTCTAGTGGAGAAAATGGACAAGTCTGATCCAACCAATACAAGAATGTTGAGAACAGCCACGACTATTTTGCTACTCGAGTATGCTCAATTGGAGAATGTGAGACTCCCGCAGTACAAAGCAGAAAAACAAGCAATGGAGCTTGTTGGAGTTTTTGATTTTTACTATGAATATTACATTATTGGAAAACACCACCCTGCAACGGAAGAGGAGATTGAGATATCTAATACACTTATTAAATTATTATCATCCAAGGAATACAATCCAACATATCAGCAACTTTATAGAAAATATGGTAAAGGTGCTGCTTCTCCGACAGCTTGTAGAAAAATGTTTGAATATCTCCAGAATCATAACTTGCCAAAATATGATTTGGCTACTCAGACCCTTTCTATTGATGGAAAAAATCTTGGCGAGTTTGCTATGCTACCTATGGCAAAAAGGAGAAAAATGGAGTTCAAAGATTTGAAGAAAGTTGAGCCAGGCTCATTTGATCATCTTTGCAGAGAAAACGACGATGCTGAGCTCTTTTTTGGGGGGCTTTTTACAAAATGTATGGAAATTTTTCATGAAAGAATAGGTCTAACATTTCAAGGAATACAAGCCACCGGCTTTCCTAATATTAATGATAGATTTAATCTTGCTCGATTTGAAAAAGATACAATATCAGACCGCAGTTCACCTTCAGATTATATGACTGATTCAAATGAAGAGAATGAAGAAGAGGAACAAATGGATGATAGCAGTAATTCGGAAGAGATAGAGGAGGATTTTGCTTCCTTCTTACCACCATCAGATAACGTAGATAAAGAGCCAGATTGTTTTGGTTCTGATCTAGATGATGATTATAGCATAAATAGTCCAGAAGTATTGAATCTGGAGAATATTGGGCAAGATGAAACTCTTGTGGCAGCTGAAATAATTGCCACAGATGTTCAAAAAGAAATTACTTGTCTTAATTCGACACAGGAAATAAAAAGTCGGTTTGAGAATAAGGATGAAATATTTTACGAGCAGATACCACATACTTCGGTGTCAGCTTTTACAAGTTTTTTGGAAACAGGATACTACAATTTGTTTGCCACTCCAACTTCTTATTTTACTTACTGCATTACTATAAACGGAGTAATGAGCTATGACTGTGCAAACAGATATTTAAAGTTGGGTTCAGACCGTGGTCTAGTTGAAAAACAAGATCGTGAAATAAGACACCTTCATGAGAGAGTTTTTGAAGCTTGGGAAAAATTAGCAACCGGTGTAGAAATACCATTTTGTCCATGCAATACCCATAGTTACTTTTTTGAGAATACCGCAAAACCTTGTCCAAGCGTAAAGTGCAACTTACAGAGGACTGATGCTTTGAGCTTTAAATATGAAAGCTTGCAATCAATGATGATTGCAATGTATGAAAATTGCTTTATTCGGGAAGAAATGTCAACTAACAAGTCAAATTCTCTTGTTGGCTCAAAAACATTGAGCTCGGTTTTCAACGGGCGTCAATATAGAGAGTCTGTTTTAAAAGAAAAATCACAACACAATACATTTGTGTACAATATTGGCTTATCCTTGGATGACTGTAACTTGCTTTCCAAAAGCTACTTAGGAGTTAAAGTATTTCTTGTTACTTTCTTTGATTTACCCGAGTCTTTGAGATATGAAGAGAATTGGAATCATATTCCACTAGTTTTAAGTACCAAGCGTGAAACAGATGGTTCAACTGGAGAAATGGCTAAAATCTTAATGAAGGAAATTGAGTTTCTAACAAAAATAGGTATCAAGATAGTAAATCAAGGCACCAAAATAACTTTAAAAGTTAACTTGATTTCAATTACGGGAAATACCGTTGCTTTGAAAAAAATTACTGAGACTTTGAATAGTGTATCCCATAATCCCTGCCTTTACTGCAAAATTCGGAGAACAGAAGGTAAAATTTACTTGGCTTCACTAAATTCTAACAATGATTCATCTGCGGATACAAACTATAAACACTCAGTTGCTAAAGTAAATCAATCTTTGAAAGTAATCAAAATAGAAACAGAGTTTTATAGAAAGCTCGTTTCATCTGGCGAATTTGTTGATTCGAGCGGTTGGAGGATCAAGGCCATCCCTTTAGTCGTGCATCACACAAATCTTGATATTTTTAGAGTTCTTTGTCCAGATTTAATGGATATAAGCTATAAAAATGTTTTCAGTCTCAGAATATGTGGCGTGGTTTGTAATAAGAACATGAAGAATTTGGATTTGAACTTGCACAAGAAAGTCGTGAAGAGAAAAACTGAAAGTGTTGGATATCTTTCAAAGAGTCATCTTTTTGAGGACATGAAAGAATTGGATAAGATACTTACTCCAGCTATGTTGACAACGATGATTAAAGCAGTTGACATGAAAACTTTGTCGCATTTGTTCAGCTTTTATTTTGTTCCTTTGATGCCTTACATTTTGATGGAAAACAATTCAAACCCATACATTCAGATTCTTAAGTACTTATTGGAATGCAATTGCTATATAGTTGCATTTGTGTCTAGAAAAGTTCCACTTGAGTTTTTAGAAAGCCAAAATGGCACTAATCCTTTGAAAAATAGTTTTATTGCTTTAATCTTGAAGATTGAGGAAAAAGTTGCTGAACCAGGATTTGAATGGCTTAAGCTTTTTTTTTCTTTACCAACGCATCAGTTAGTACACATGTTCGATAAATGGGCAGACTTTGGCTCTTTCAAAGACAACTGGTGTTTTGAAACAGAACGTGCTTGCAATAGAGTTAAAAAATCGGTTAAAGCCAGCACTAATTCCTATACAACACTAAACAAGCGGTTATCCATCCTCACCTTAAAAAAATGTCTTAATGTAAGTAGCCTCAAAGGAAACGGCTTTCTATGCTATTACTGGGGAAGATGTAAAAAGATCAAACCTGTTGGTGAACTAGAAAGCAAGGTAAATGAGTTCCGTACTAATATTGGGCCTTTATATGATGAATTGATAACAAGAGATTTGAAATTTTGTATGTCAAGGTCAACACGGATTGATACCAACGGAGTCAACAATTATGCAAAACTTTTGATTAATGACTGCTGGGTATACTTAAAAGTTTTAAGGCTGGTGGCGTTTGAAGCAGAGGAAAAGAAAGGTCTTTTATTGAAATATAGCACTGTAACAGTTCATACGACATGGATTCCCACTGTGCAAAAAGTGTTTGACTTTGGCTTTTACACTAGGGTAATTTCTGAGGATAATTGTGTGAAATGGATTTGGCTAGACGATTCTATTAAAATATATGGGCTATGCGTGCTTGAAGAATATGAGAACGTTATAATAGATAAGAGTCCTGATTTTGGGATACTCTTTAGAAAACATGAATGACTTTTTAGAACATCCGAATTGGGGAACTAATGCGATCCATTTTCAAAGTAAATAGGTTGCTCTGTCATGTTCCCTTTTTTGAAATTTGCCACCCAGCTACTTCTATTGCTCAACTTCAAATTATAGTTCTTTTTATACCCGTTTGAGAATTTATATATCCAAAAAGTGTGAATAGTCATAATGCATAATAATCAGGTTGAAAATGTCGCTCCTGGCAGCGAGTTGTAAATATTATACCTGGGATGTTTATCTGACATTTCAATCACTTGAGGGCCCTTTAAAAACCTTATCAGTAAAGTTTTTCCTAGTAAACTATTAACACCTAACAATACAAACTTTAAATCATGCTCAAACTCGGATAAAAATGTTATAATAGTCAAAAAATTTCAAATATATTGAAAAATTATGTTATACTCAAGGTCCAAAGCTGCGAACAAAAGACAATTTCGAATTTTAATTGTAATTTATTGCCGTTTTCTCCAAGTATAATTCTGCCGTATTTAAACTTGGAGTTGCCAAATCCTTAGTAAAAAAAATATGCTTAACTCCATCAAAGGGCTATAAAGTTGAAGCAGTACCACCTTTCATTATTCTCAGTACTCATTCCGAAAATTATAACTAATTTTCGCTATTATATAAAATAAGCTGAGAGATGTAATACTTATACAAGATATAAAAAATAATTCCCAATTAAAATCAATCTAAGTTTCAAACAAATAAGTATTTGATTGTTAATTCCGCCTTGGTACTTCAATAGTTTTGCTGTGAGGTTTGGGCAAAACGCTGTTATTGTCAATTTTCATCTGACCCATTCATCTTTTTTAAACCATATCGAAACTTCAAAATCTCTGGTTTGAGTTTAACCCTTAGTGTTATGGACTAAACAGAAATGAACTATTGAAAATAGTTGACATGTTTTCTTGAAGTACCCACAAATAAGTTCAAGACCATGAACCGAAAACTTGTGGCCATTTTCAAAACCCTTTTTGCCGTTCCATTTTTAATACTAAACGTTGACAAATCAAATTGAAACTGTATGAGTGATTCTAAAAACAAGAGAACAGCTACAGAATAATTTATATTGAACAATTGAAACGTCTAGCAGATAGCAGGCAGAACTATCTACTGGAATAAGATTTCACATCAAGTCTTGGCTCCCTTGTTCTCAATAGATTGTTCAGCTACCTTGACTCTTAAAATATCCCAGGTTTCTATAAATTGACAAAGTTACGTTAATAATCTATACTATTGTAAACAATCGCTGGAAGCAGGAAAGTAAAGTTAATTGTTCAATAATTCAAGTTATCATGTTTGAAAAAGTGATTTGAATCGATTAGAAAAGCGGTGACGATATATGATAATTTATTTGAACTAAGATTCTGTGAACTTTTTTTGACCCGTAGGCAAGTTTTATGCAATAAATCTTGTTAGGTGAGTGAAACAAGACACTGACAGGGAAAACGGAAGAAGCAATGCTACAAGTTCAACGCAACATAAATGAAAAGCGCAAAGTGAGATTTGAGCATCTCAGATCTATTAATAACCGTTTTCTGCAGGTACATTTACACCTTTATGAATGAAGTAAGCGCTTCGCCGATGGCTTTGCTAGGCTTCTCTGCAATCTTATATGCTTTTATTTAACTAACTCCGGTAAGGAATGGCTCTCATCAGAGACATGGCTCGCTGTTTTCTTATTATTCCTGTTATACAACCTCTATTCTTGCAGCTTTATTTTGTATAAACTTTATTGAAACAGTACGATGTTAATAAAGGGGCTCATCGTTTTTTTACAACCCTATATCCGAGAAGTATACCGCTTTCTCTGCCGAACAAATTAACTATGGCAAAAATTATTAAAAAGTTCGCGAACTTGAGAAAAATTTCTCATATATAATTTTTCCCACCGCTGACGTGATCCGTGAGGGGGGGGGGGGGGCTCCATGAAACGCGCAATCCGGTTCTTCAACTTCGATTATTTTTCCACATTCGTCGGTTTCCCGGCCGCAGTGTGAGAAACGGTGTTTTTTCCCCCCCTGCGAGACACACTAAAGCCCGATTGCGGACAGGGCTGGACTCGTAGAGCCGCCCCACGTCTGTATCGTAGAACACTCCAAGCCGCATTTCCACATACTTCCATACAGTTGTTTCCAGTCAGACAGTCAGCGAGATAGAGAGGAAAAGCTAGACCAGCAATCGGATGCCAGCACACTCAGCATGTCCGGAGCTACCACACACAACTACCCCACATCACAGTCCCAGAGCAAGCAAACCGCTGCCAAGCACGAGCATGCCGTCACTGAAGGGGAACACAGCAAAGGCTATTTTCATCGGCCGGCAGATGCCACCAGGCACAAGGACCAGGCTCTGCAACCTGCAGAGACATCCCCGCATCCCCGGCAGCCCTCCGGCACCACTGATGCCGACGTCACAGACAGTGCTACCGGCAGCAATATGAAGCCAACTTCCGTGAAGAACGACACAAACTCGCCGCAACATTCAGGTCCACCCTCGCCTGCCGATGCCGGCCCCGCAAAACAAAACAAGAAGAGAAAGAAGGTCGGCTCTGCTTGTGTATACTGCCGCAGATCCCACATGAACTGCGATGAATCAAGACCGTGCAAGAGATGCATCAAGAGAGACATCGGTCATTTGTGCCACGACGATGGCCCAAAACCAAAACCAAAAGATGGCTCATTTCTCACCACCAATGACCCCCACTCCCCAGACGGCTCGAAAAACGATACCAAAACTGCGTCATCAGGCGCTCTCGATAACCAACTGGCTTCATCCCTGCAGGCAAACTTCTTACCTTCGTCGACAGCTTTGAACCAGCAGCCCTTTTTCTATTCTGAACACGCAGGTTCGGAGTTTAACTCCTTGACAGAGTTCCTATCGATGATCGACGATAACGATATGATGGATACCATCAGTCTGACAAATGATCCCATGCTACAGAAGCTTGAAGCAACGAACTATCTTAGTGGCTTTACAAACTCAACAGCAAACCTTCAGAATATGATGAGTAACAGCACTAATAATATGAATGCTGACAACAACCATAATATAAATGGAATTCAGTTCAACAAATCTTCAACCGATGCTTCCAATCACTTGAATATGTCGGGCGACGTTAACCAAAATCTTTCTAAACTCGATCAGCACCAGCTTAACTACATACAGCAGCAACTGAATGCTCAACAGCAAAAGCTGTTGCAGCAGCAGTACCAGCAAAAGCCAATGCAGAACCAGCTGCAGTTAGATCATCAACTCAACGGCCCATCCCAGTCACATCAGTTTCCAATGGAGGATGGGAAACTGCAGCAGCAACAGAAACAGCAACAACAACAACAACAACGCAATCTTCCTTACGAAGCTACAAATTATCAAGATGCTCCTTTCAAAACTCCGAGCCAGCAGCAGGCTCAGCTTTTTTCTCAAAAATCCCCAACACTTCAAAAGGCTCCTCAAAACACACCGCACATTTCGGACGCAGCTCGGGATAAGTTCTTCCTCACTGCAGCGGATCCGACTACTGAAATTTCACCCGAGGAGAGGTTGAAGCAAGTCATTAATGCAAAACTTGAAGCTGGACTTTTAAAGCCTTACAACTACGCTAAGGGATACCAAAGACTTCAAACATATATGGACAAGTATATGGCAACTTCAAGCAGAGCAAGAATCTTAAAACCTCTCTCGACTTTTAGACCTGGTTTCAGGGCTATTGCGAAAACTTTGAAAGATATAGATTTGATATTGGTAGAGGAGAGCTTTGAAAGAATGTTGTTGGACTACGACCGTGTTTTCACATCTATGGCAATCCCTGCTTGTTTGTGGCGAAGGACAGGAGAAATTTACAGAGGAAACAAGGAGTTTGCCTCTTTAGTTGATGTCTCTATTGAAGACTTGAAAAATGGGAAACTGACAATCTATGAGTTGATGACTGAGGAGAGTAGTGTCAACTTTTGGGAAAAATACGGTTCAATTGCTTTTGACAAAACACAAAAAGCTGTTTTAACAAGCTGCAACCTAAGAACCAAGGACGGACGAAAAAAGAAAAACTGTTGTTTCAGTTTCACTATCAGGAGAGACAGATATAATATTCCAAGTTGTATTGTCGGAAATTTCATACCTATCAGGTAGGTTTGCTTTTCACCCACACTACTCCTCTGTTATCATGCCATCCTCACTGTCTCACAATATACACTGTAATTTTAACGTAATCCTTTATGCATGATGCAACATCTATAAATCTTAATATCTACTCTACAAACTTTTCTCAGCTTCAGAAATCAAATCATAAACCTCACACTTTTCATTGCGGGCAAAAACTCGTTTGATTAGCCCGTAAGTTATTTCACTTACATTAAGGAACTTATAAGTTTCATCTTGCTCGTTTTTAAAAGGAACAATTGTTTCTAAGCACTTCACAAACTGGACAGGCTTACTCGTAACATCAACAAAGTTATCAACCACACGTTGACTGTTTTTCATCACCACAAGACCATTCAAGTTACATACCACAGGAACATATAATACATCAGATTTTAAATGAATCATGCTTTTTAGTTCCTCTTTAATATCATTGAAAATAGGATGGTGGGCAGGAACTTTTGTATCGAGCCAGACTTTACGTATTTTACTCCTCCATTGTTTTGAACGAACTAACTCTTTCTGAATCTGATCTAGTACAGCTATTTTTTCACGAAGCTCAGCTGCATGTCCAGAGACAACAATTTGCCCATAACCATTTACGTTGGCAATATTGAAATGTATATCTTCTTGACACACTTTTGTTATGCTCTTAAAGTCACGATCTTGGAACATTAGTGCAACCATTCCCCAGTCGTCTTTGGGTATATTGCCATGTATATCAGAGGTATTCACTAACAAAGCTTTTTCCATTAGCTTGCCTCTTTGATAAGCAACTCTCAAACCTTCTTCTAAAGAAATTACATCCTGCACAACCAAAGCACTTAATTCACCAAGTGAGTGTCCCAATAAGTAATTTGCAGACTTGATATCCCAGTCGAACATATCCTTGAAAATAGAATAGTTGATATAAGTTGAAAGTAAAACTAGAGGTTGAACAAACGAAGTTTGTGAAAGTTCGTTTTGAGACAATACTGCATCTGGATATGTTTTACCGCTAAAATATTTGGCTATTGGAACTTCAGGTAATGTCTCTTGTGCCCACTGTATCAATTCTTGATATTTTGAGTTTTTAAGTTGGTCTATTTGATGATGTGCAAGTGAAAAAAGATGTGGGGAAATGTTTCCTTGGCCCGGACAAACTGCTGTCACCACATTGCATAATCGAGAAGTTACATGCAAGGCACGTTTCTGTATGTAATTCATGTGAACTTTTTTTGCCCTGATTTTGAATGAAGACTTCATCCTCAAAAGATCTAGAACAAGTATTCAGGTATTGTGCCTAACTAAGCATTCACGAATTATACGCAAAATGCACGTCTAAAGGAAGATCACGTGATCGTTGATTATGAACAATATATAAAATGTTGTATTAAGTAACTTAACAGTTTACATCCACAGTCATCTGTTTGTAGACAATCTTCTCTTCTTCATTATTTACAGAGCCCACTTGTGACCATATAACAACACCAGTTAATTGCTTTCCATATACGCAACCGGAATCCAATCCATTAGAGAACTGTTTTGTAACAACACCACGCTTTGCATCGTGCCCGTAAAAAACTTTTGTACCGATTGTCAAATTTTTATTATCAGCCTCTTTTAGCTCTTTATTGTATATTTCTAGCTGATGCTTGTTCCATATTTTGGTCCATGCAACGGATTTTTCACCTCCCAATTTATCATGTCTGTCTTCAGTGGGAGTTTTCCAATCCGGAGGTAATAGATTTCTTATCGTCGTTACTTCTTCAATATCCTGATGGTAGATATCCTTATGCCACAAAAGCCCAGCATGAACAGCTATGCCGTCAGCCGGAGAAGAGGCATGCCGACTTTGCTTGACATTTGTGTAAAGAGGTACCGGCCCGATTTTTTTGATAGGACTGCAGGAACTTAAGAAGTCAATATGCTCGGGAGTGATTTTTTTAGCTAATCTCATCAACTCATCGAGATCATAAGACTCTTTCATTGTTAGAGTTGAATTTGTATCTTCGTCGTTATTCACGAAAGTCGGAGATTTAAGACCATGAAATTGTGTGTATCTTTTCATCATCGCTAACTCATGATTTCCCAGAATGCAATCAAGCTTCTGCTCTATTGCAAAGTTTATAACGCCAATAGAATCTGGGCCTTTGTTTGTAAAGTCTCCGAGCAAGATAACGTGATCTTCTTCACCGCCATCATACTTTACATAGTCTAAAAGTTTCTTCAATTGTTTAAGGCAACCGTGAACATCACCTATTAGAATCAGCCTTTTCTTTTTCGTTTTATTCGAAAGGTCAGTAGTTTTAGAAAGCTTGTGCAGATGTTCCTTGAGTATAGGCTCAGTTGCTGGTAAATAAGGCAAACCACGGAAGTCGGGAACAATTTTCACTGGATCATCAGGATCAGGATTCTTACCCTTCAACGTTTCTGGCTTTATCGGATGTAGATACACGTTTGACTCTCTCACCATTGGTATATTTGGTATCTGAACCCCTTCTGGAGCCAAAGATGGGAGTAGGATAATCATAACATACAAAAGTCCTAATGCCATGAGTCCGGAAAATAAAAACAATCCGTATTTTACCGCTCTGTTCTTTTGGATGAATGAAGGAAGCATACTATCATCGTTAATTTCGACATAGTAAACGTCTTCTGAGGTCACCATTGGCGTATACTCTTCACCTGTCATTTTGCTAGCACAATTTTGAATGACTACTGCGTCATTACAGCTGAATAAGAGTTCATTAGAATAACAGCAGGTGCTTGTGAAATTAAATAAATGTCAAGTTGGTACCGATAAGATGATAACCGTTACGTAAAAGCACGTGCGCCTGCTGTGGGCCAAAAAAGGGTTTGTTAGGTGTGAAACAGATTATCTATGTACAAAACGTTTAATATCAAGGTAGGCTCATCTACATACACGGAGACTATTTTGAGGATGCAGAATCTTCCTTTGTTTCCCTGTCATCAAAAGCATCAAGCAGGTTACCGTTTAATATGCTGTCCAAAGAATCTGTGATTTGTTTGGTCTCCTCATCTTCTGGCATGGCTTTCAATGCCTTTTCGGCATCGTAGCCTCCTAGAAATATCTTCATTCTGTAAGTGAATTCTTTCAAACTGGATATGTCAAAGTACCAGAAGGCACCAGAGGCAAGCATGCCGAGAGAGGTGGTGGCCAATAAACTTGCGTGGGTAACCGCTACCATTGCATCTTTGTAAAAACTGAACTTAGGAGGAACATGATTGTGTTGATAAAAAGTTGGGTTATATCTTCTCTTTATTACTCCTCTATATGCAATCTTTGAAGCAATATATGTGGCAAGAGTGAATCCATAAAATGTAGCCATTTGGTAAAATCTTCTCTCGTTGTACTTCAATACAGCATCGGTTTTTTTCGAGGGGTCGCCCCTTCCAAAAAGCTTCCCGAAATCAAAACTCGACGACATGTTCAATACCTAGATGTGTATCTTGAGACAGAAAGCACTAATTCCCTTTCCTCTTGACTTGTGCCTCTTCCTTGCTGCCTTCAGCGGTGAACATTTAGTTGTAAGCTGAAGCGAGCAAAAATGTTGAAGCACGCACTTAGCAATGAAAAAATACCTTACAGCGACAGGGCTCAATAAGATAACTAAGTACCGTATTCTAGTGTTAGCGTGAAAAAGCATTTCAATTCCCAGTCGGGAACAAACGTACCTTACACTACATACGTACAAATCTACAGATCTGCTCATTTATTAATTTATTTTGGAAGAAAGGAAGATTTCTCCATACGAAGAAATATAGAAGTGGTATATATTTAGCTACTGGTAACGCTTCAAGACCCCCTGACGGGCTGATTTTTATACTTGCCAACGCTTCAGCATCTCACTATCGGACGTAATGACTGTGACATTGTGCTTTTCATAGTTTTCCGTAGTTTTTTCGTCTTTATCGGGGAAAACGGATTTCGTGAAATCTTTGATGACGTAGGTTTTGAAACCATTCTTGGCGGAGTCTATGCATGAATTCAGCACACAAAAGTCGTATGCAATACCCACGGCAACAACCTCAGTTATGCCATTGTCCTTCAGATACTGGGCACATTCAGTCTTGTGGAGCCCCCACACGTCTTCGAAGCACGAGTAGTACTCTCTATCCTGAAGATATCCTTTAAGAACAATCTTAGTCGGAACACTTTGCGAGCTCAACCATTTTTCAAACACATCATTAAACTCTTTTGGAAACTCAGATCCGACAGTGTTCTGAACACAGTGAACAGGCCATAAGGTATGCAGTTTGGTCTTACCGGAGCGGTCCGGACTAGAGAGAACTTTTGTCGTGTAAGGTTCCGCGGCATGTGTTTTGGCGAAAGAAATGTGGTCAGAAGGGTGCCAATCTTTGGTAGCAATTACTGCATCCCACTTGTACTTCTTGGACATTAGAAGATCAATGATCGGTTTGATGATTTCACGACCATTGGCAACAGCCAATGATCCGTTGGGTGGAAGGAAGTCTTCCTGTAAATCGACTATTAGTAGTGCTATTTTACCTGCCATTATATACGTGACTGTGCTGTTGAGATTCAACGCTAATAAACCACCACTCTGGCAACAAAGGAAATACAATCAACGACGAGGAATGGAGGGAGGATTGAATTTGCAGAAAACAGGTTGTTCTTATAGCATAAGTCTACTTTTCTGCTAAACGAATTGTCAGTAATAATCTTACTGAAACTGGATCAGCAACCCTGTAATCCACGCTTGATCAAGGGCATAATATAGCTCAGTCGTCACGGCCTCTTTCTGTGACATGTGTTTATCCGGTGCATCACGAGGTGGAGATGGTGGGGTCGTGGTCAGCCAAGTCCGACGCACAGCCATTTTTGAGCCGATCGACCTGCCTACTAGTAATTCCTAATCTAGCGGTTGATTGTATTTTTTGACATGCTTTTCCGACTGGATTCTATGAGCCACCTTTTTCTCTCCTCCCAGCACACTGTTTGCCCTCTTGGCTGGAATAAAAGCTCAGCTACTCTCAACCGGATGATGCTAGGAGTACTTGGGAAAAGGTGAAAACTTGTGTCTCTTTTAGCTTGGGAAGAGGTTAATAAGGCCCAAAGCTATCAATATACAAGTATGGATTCGGAGTTGAATCCACATGGTCAAGAAATGATGCGTTTGGACGAGATCATTTTAAAGTTATCGATCCATGATCCAGGAAGTGGAACTGTGAATGGTGACAGTGATGCGTTGCTTGAGGATTTAAGACGCTATTTGTCGGTTTACGTAGACTCCTATGACACTGCTGTGGATGAAAGAGTTAGACTATTACTATCAGAACAGGACTTAAATATCAGGGATGAGAACAAGTTGGAGTTGATCACTATTTTTTCCATCATTAAAACTATTAAACACATAGACTCTTTATTATTGGAGCTGCTGAACGTTGAATCGGTTAGAAAGATTAATGCGCTTCTATGTTCTTTTTTTGGCCTGTTCAGGTACCATTTCCAGCTCCCTGTTCATCACAACAACTACGCGTTCAGAAACTTTGGTTCACTCCTCACATCACCAAACATAAACGTCTTAACTCCATTCATCACATTTATGAGTCGCTCATCTTTGTCCTTTTCCGAGGTAAACAAATCAGAGACATTAGAAAAAACATATTGTTTGCTTCTCGTTTTTCATTGCTTCAATAAAGATTTGTTCAAATTCCTTTCCAAAACTCTTGCCAGCAAATCTAATGTGGCCGATCTTATGCACCATTTCAGTTTAACTCCCATTACAAGTAAAGCAACAGAAATTCCAACACTTTTCACTCTTTACCAAAGAGTTAGAATGTCTGCACTGCTTGAAGAATCAACTTTAGTTGTCGACACAAAGTCTAACAACCTTATGAACATTTTATTTTATTCATTGTTTCACAAGCAATTTTTGGTGCATATGATCACTAGTATTCAAGTTATGCATGATTTTTTTCATTTTCCTCTTCCTGGAAATCTTTTTGAGCTATCAAATAAACTACTTCTAGATGCTAGTCTATTGGACTATCTAACCATTTTCGTTGCAAATGATCCCGGTAATATAGAAGCGTTGGATAACATAGTAAAAGCAAACAATTCTTTAGAAAATGATAGAGATGTTGCTGTTTTTTTGCTTTTGAAATCCTGTCAACACCACTTATTAAACTATAACTTGTTTGCCTCACCAGATATAAGCTTGCTTTCTTATTTGGTTGAGTACAACAATGCCAATTATGCGTCACTTCTCGGAATTACAGAAGGACAAAATGTTTGTGAACTGAATATTACCGCATTGATACCTATTTTTGAAATTATCAATCAAAACGTTAAATTAGATTACCTAAAAGAACGTGAGTTCTTAATTGTTTTCAAGCTTGCGTTGATTAACATAGATCTAAACTTGGATTCTATCGAAGATTTCATGAATTTGAATAGTTTACTCATTGATATAGGATCATCGTTAAGCATACATGCATTAATTGATACAATCCAAACTTTATTATGCATTATTATCAATGATGTAAAATTTAGGCATCCCACTTTTAGCCAGATCCCTAAAAATTTTCAAAACATTTTAGGCTTTCAGTTTATTCCACCTGTTTATCGTTCTGACATGTCATTTGAAAATAATATTGATCTCCAATCGGAATTTTTTGGGCCTATGTTTACTTCTTTGCAGGAATTGGAGAATTATCCAGGTTTGGTAGCAACAGCATCAGAAATTTTATTGGAGGACTGTTTGACAATCATTCTTTCTATAAAAAGTAAGGTGTTCAGATTCTTGAAAAATTTGAATAATGAAACTAATGTTTTGAGATTACCGGATCTGTTTTCAGATGATAACAAAAACGAAGAATATCCTTTACATGTCTTTAAGCAGGGTATTTCAACCAAAATTGGTAGTTTCAAATCGAGTAAATCTCTAAACTACAAACTACTAAACTCTTCAATATCATTAGGTATTGTTGCAAATTTGAGTTTGTTAGTAGTCGGTGATAATTACAAATCACTAAGATCTTCTGATTTTATGATCGATAACTCTCTATCAAGACTTTTGAATGAGTTTACAGTTGATTGTACCTTAACCTTTTTGATCATTTACCAAGAATTTGGCCTTTTGAGCCTATTTAAGAAAATCAGAAATTTAAACAATGAAAACTTGAAAATGGTTGCACCATCGGCATCTCTACTATCGAAAGTTTTTCAAGCCAAGAGTACAGATTCAAAGTCAGAAATAAACTCTGTAATTCAAACTTCGAGTTTTGAAATAGCCTCTGAGATTTTAAACAAAAGTGTCATTTCTAGCAACTTGCTAAGACAGTATGTTGAACTATTTGATGACGGACAATCTAAACCATTTAAATCATTGAATAAGTTTCTCAAATCGCATCCATCTACTTTGAAACCTTCTAAAATTTCAAAAGGTACAGTTATATTGGATTTGGCCGAGTATAAAACTGCCCTAGCTTTTCATTAAAGGATGTGTAACTCATTCAAATTTGTTGAAAAAATCATTACAGTTACAAAATAAGATCAAACGTATATAAATGAAGATATTCACTAAATATATAAATTATATACAGCAACCTCAAGTAGAAGGTATCTTTGATATGAAAAAAAAATTATACAAACCACTTTGATATAACAGCTTTTGCTTCAGCGCTGTAGCTGTTGAGCATTGCCATGCTTTGATCTTCGGGTAAAGTTGCCAACAAACTTTTGACAGAGGCAACTACATTGGCAGCAGTGTCACCTGAAATTGAGGCGTAAAGTAGAGCCTGTACAACACTATCCACAATCTGTGATACCTTCGTTGACACTAAAGGATGGTGTTGATTTATTATTTGTGATAGAAAGGTGTATGCGATTCGTGCTGCCTCTTCATTCTGGCAAACAGGGAATAATGTAATCCATGTAGAAATCAAGTCGTTAACGTCAGAAATTCTGTCACCATAAAATTGAATTATCAATGCAAGAGTAGAACACATGAATTCTGTTGCGTCAATATTATCAGGTGCACGAGAATCTGGGATGCTTGTCATTTGCGTCAGTATTGGTATGCACGCCAAGCAAAAGGTTGAATAATCTGAGCTACTTGGTGATTGTGCGCAAAGTCCAACACATCTAGACGCGATCTCACGAACTTTGGAGTCAGATGAAGAAAGAGCTTCACCAACTGGATTAAGGAATAACTCATGAAGTTTAAAAGTTTCATTACCGCCATATTTGATTAAATCACAAATCACCTGGATTGCAAATCTTTTCAAAATTGGATTTTCATCACAGAGAAACTTGTTGACTGTAGGTGTAAGTTCCATAAAACCAGGTATGAATCTAACTCCGGAATTCTCAAAAACTGAGCTTATACCTTTACCAACTTCCTCTAATAATTCTTCATCGGAACAGTCATCATCATATTCAGACACTTCTTCGTTGTAATCGTCGTCAACGTCGTCTCGGGTATTAATTCTTTCATAAATGTCGGATAAGTTACAATTGATCGATTTCGCTATACTAATCAGCTGCGTATCATCGAGGGCTTGCGGACCCATCAGTTCAAGACATTTTAATAATGCGTAGTAGTAAGCAAAGAATAGTTCAACAGCAGGGTCACTCTCTAACTGCGGGATCAATTTATTAGCCATACTCTTCCATAAGGTATATGATTCGGCCGTCTGTGACGAGCCGGTTGAGTCAATACAGCACTTTAACAAGGCAGGCATAGTTACTGCACAAGTACCTCTGACACCGTCATGTAAATAAAAATCCAAACCAGGGATGACTATCTCGTTTGCAATTTCAGAAACGTAAGGCACAAATGCGTCGTCTAAAACTTCAGCATACAGCTTGATAATCTCGATCGCAGAAGCTTTATCGTCCAACACGGAGGTATGGACAGCTATATGCTTACCAGACAATTGAATGACTTCGTATTCTTCATTTTGGTTGATTTCTTCGAGCTGCTCTTCTTCGACGATGGAAATATCTTGAGTTGCCTTAGCCTGTTCCAACAAAGGTGGTAATACACCTGGTAAAAATGGTAAAAACGACTTGCCAATCAATTTACAAACTCTGCTCCAACCCTTTTCAAGGTATGGTTTCACTGGGTCATCATCACCCTGTAAGTTGTTTTGCAAATATGTGAAAATTTCCAGAATTTGAGTAGCACTTTCTGTAAACTTCTCTTTACCCACTGCAGAAGCAATCAAAGTTGCACATTCAATGGATTTAGCAATTAAACTTCTGTTTGTGTGGTCAACATCGGATTTCATGACAGTCAATAATAATGGCATTAAGGTATCATAATATTTGATAAATCTATTCTCGGCAGCGTCGGCAACAACTGCAATTGTTGTGATCACCTGCTCTTGAACATATCTCTTTGGAGATGATTTAAGTAATGATAGCAAGTTGTTCAAAAGATCATCTAGATATGGTTCGACTATATCCTTAGTTGCCTCTTCACAAAAGTTTACAAGAGCAGCAGCAGCGTGTGTCTGAACACGTGGTACGTTTCTTGTTGATAACATTGAGATTAATGCCGGCAAAATTCTGTTACCTGATGACCTTTGGATTACAGTTGCAAAATCGGTCGACATTTGGCCCAAGGCATTACAGCAAGCAAATTGAACTCTGGGCTGGTTATCGGACAGTGAAGGTAAAATCAGGTCCAACAGTTTTGGAATTTCAGAAATCAGAACATCTGCACAACCTTCAGTAGCCGACGATAATGCCATCAAAGCAGCCTGTCTTTCACGCCAATTTTGTGACTGTAACATATGTGGCAAATATTGAAAGAGAGGACCCGCTAAACATTGACCATTCAATTTGAGAGCTACTCTATCCAAGGATTGTCTGGCTGCATTATATTCTTCTTCTTCGCCTTCATCATTAGGATCATCAACATTATTCCATTCGGCACAATCATCGTCATCAATACAAACTTCAGTCATCAACTTCAATGTAACAATCACGATTGCAGACGAATAAGAGGGTTCTCTTTTACACATGTTTGGAGATGACTCTGAGAAACTCGTCAACAACTCTAGTGCAGTCAATCTTGCATTTGACTCTAACTCTTGGTTCTGGGAAACTTCTGAGCAAAAGCTAATTATGGTCTCAAACATAGGCTTGAAAATTTTTGGAGCAAGGATAACTAAGTCAATGAGACTTTCCAAAACTGAAGCCAATGCTGTATCATTCCCATTACTCAAAAGTCTTGGTAAAGAGTTAAGCAAATTTGGCAACAGCTGCGATAGAATTGACCATGTTGACTTTGGCAAATTCTCGAAAAAGGCAACAAAGGCTGTACATGTGGCAATTCTAACGTCGTCAGATGAATCCTCAAAACCAGAATGGAACATTTTCAAAAACGACTCATTCAGATCATGATTACTGATGATTTGAGGTGTAGTTGTGATCATTCTGAAAGACGATTCTTTCATAACCGGGTCCCCAGTAGTCGCTTGCAAAATTGTTGGTAACAACTCGGGCCATTCAAAATCATCCTTGGCCACTTCAGCAATAGCATCCGCAAGTTTGTGTCTCACATTCTTAGTCTGGTTGGAAACGAAACCTTGCAAAAGCACCCGACGAACTTCGGCCTTTGCAGCATGACTTATATGATCCACCTGTCTGTCAGTGACAGAAAACCCTTGATAATTTGGGGATTTGATGGCAAAGCGTCTAAACAAGACTGCAGCAAATGCCCTAGTATTTTCATCTGCACCGTTAGCTGCCTGCTCTGCGAGAAACACCAGCAATACATCGATCTTATCCTTCGTGAACCATTCGTTGTTCAAAGCACTTTCTGCTTGCTTACGATATGTGTTATCAGTGGACGACAATGCCGACAATAAATTTCCAAGTGCCTCCTGGATCTCTGGAGGGATGTTGGACATTGTCAGAATGCGTGTACTTCTAGTTCTCCTGACAAAAGTCACTAATTATCCGTTTTTGCAAAAATTCAGGTCGATTTGGAGCGTGTGACGAGATATTGAGGTCAGGGTCAAGCTTGTTAGGGTACTTGAAAGGCGTTAATTACGCAATGGCGGCCTTCCAGGGTGTAAAACAACAGGAAAAAAAAGAAGGGAGGATTAATGCTGAACACGTTAAGAACCAGTGAGGGTGAAAAATTTCAAACAATCCCATTCGTGCACGGGTGTTCCAGTGCGATTACCTGTTTTCATTTTTTTTTTTTTATCATGAAAAAAGTTTATATAGATAAAAATTAAAGATAGAGAAAGAAAGGTTGTACAAAGGGTCAAGGAGTTGAAGGCCACATAGATCCTATCAGACAGATATATATAGTTTCAAAAACAACGGCAAATATGGGACTTGCTGGAACGAGAACAAAACAGAGGTTCGGATTGGATCCTAGAAACACACATTGGTCAAATAATACCCACAGATTTGGACACCAGCACCTTGTGAAGCTTGGATGGGAACCCGGAAAGGGGTTAGGTTTAACAAATGATGCTTTGACCTCGCATATCAAGATTACAATGAAGACTGATAATGTAGGATTGGGAGCCACTTTGGCGAAGAAGCGAGCCAAGCAAGACGAATTTGACAGTGGTGAAAATATGCACCTGGATGCATTTCAACGGTTATTAGGAAGATTAAATGGTAACGAAGAGAAGATATCGAAAGAGGTCGACCGGAAGAGAAATGAACGAATTCTTAATGGCCGCTGGGGGATAAACTTTGTTCTGGGGGATACGTTATCCAGTACGTGGGACAAGGAAAACAGACATTTGATAAGTACAGAGGTTGTCAGCAACAAGAAAAGAAAAAACGAGGAGACAGAACCTGTGGCGGAGCCTCCTGTTAAGAAATCCAAAAAAGAGAAGAAGGAAAAGAAGGAAAAGAAGGAAAAGAAGGAAAAGAAGGAAAAGAAGGAGAAGAAGGAGAAGACAGAGAAGAAGGAGAAAAAGGAGAAGACGGAGAAGAAGGAAAAGAAGGAGAAGACGGAGAAGACGGAGAAGAAGGAGAAGAAGGAGAAGAAGGAGAAGAAGGAGAAGAAAGATAAAAAGGAAAAGAAGCACAAGAATGACAAAACATCTAAAGACGTGACGAGGGATTCTATGTTGAAGCCTAAGACTGAAGTCTCTTCTACCAATGTCCTGGGAAGCAAAATGGCTTTGAGATCTAAGTGGATCAGGCAGAAGCGTGCCGCAGTAATGGACGAGAAAGCACTGCAAGAGATTTTTATGATCAAATGAAGTAAAAAATATATCCATTTTTCGTCTTGCCTTCTTGTCATATAAAACGTTTTATAATTGCATACCACCGACTAGGTTTAATAGAATTCACACCGATTTTTTGTAAATTTTATGCTTCCTTAATCTATTTACCAACATATGTTTCTATTTGTTCAACTATACGAAAGGAGAGTAAGGTATATTTTATTTTTATATAAAAGAAATACAATGAAAGAAGGGGGTCAAAATACCTGGAACCTATTGAGCATAAAAAAAAGAAGTGCCTTTAAGCAGCTAATGATGGGGAGCATCATTAGACTAGAATCATGGTTATACCTCCGAGGGTCACGGAAGCAACCAATGTCACAATGTATGCAGATGAAAGACCTAGAGAACGGAAAGGAGTTTCAAGGCCAGATGCGCCAGCCTTGGAGGAAGAGCTGATGCTTGAAACAGCTGAGGTCTGAGAAGAAGATTCGTCCTTGCTGCTATCATCCTTCTTGGCAGTTTTGGTACTCTTACCGGTCTGTCCGTCAGAAGTTGCAGTTGCCTGCTTGCTCTTTCCACCGCCAGAAGCACCTCCACTAGCAGAAGCATTCTTGAGAACAGAAGAACAAGTGGAAGCAGAAGATGCAGAGACAACAGTAGCAGAACCAGAAAAGTCGCATGCAGAACTCTTCTTTCCTTGGTCTTCGTAGTACTTGTTCAAAACGTAGTTCAGCTTTTCTTTTGAAGAGCAGAATGAGTAAGGACCGTAATCACCCTCAGAACCATCAGCATTGATGTCGTCGCAAGAGATGTAGTTACAGACGGTACCAAACAAATCAGCGTAATCATCGTCATCAACATCGTCGTCAACGACACAAAGGGAAGCCTTTGAAATACAGTCACAAACGTCCTGCTCTGGGGTTGGTGGCAAAGCGGTGGCAGCAATCCAGTTACCACCGGTAACTGGACATTTCAGTTGGTGAGCACTAGCAGAAGCTTGAGAAACCGTTGCACTGCTTGGGTGAATAGCATTCATTTCGCTCTTCAAGTTGGTGAAGTCGCCCAAAGTGGATACGGAGTTACCCTTGAGAGATATTAAACCATAGTTGTTTTCTTCTTCGAAATACATGTAGACAATACCACCAGACCAGACGTCAGTCATCTTGTCGGAGAAAAGCGTGCCAACTTCGGTGAACTTTCTTGGGTGTTCGGAGTTACAACCGTATTCAGAGAAAAAAATTGGAATGGTTAAATTGGAAAATTCCTTGGTTCTGTCCTCGTAACCAGAGGAGGAGAAGCTGGCGTCACCACACCACTCGTACATGTTGATACCATAGAAGTCGGCCTTGACGTCATTTTCACCACATGCAAAGAAGTCGGCGGAGGAGGCTCTAGTATGAGAGTCGTCGTTAGCAGAGTAACCGACAGGGATGTCTCTGTAACCCTTGTCAGAGATGTAGGCCTTCATGTCTCTGATGGCGGCCTTAACAAATGGAGCAGAGTCACTGTTGGTAGAGTTTGTGACGACTTCGTTACCGGCGAAGAAACCAAGAACGTTATCGTAGCCTTGCATCATGTCAATGACGGAGGTGTATCTTTCGTACAACTCAGTAGTCCACTCTGGGTTGTCAGTGATGATAGATTCTTTTGGAGCAGACAAATCGGCAATGACGTAGATGCCTGCGTCCTGAAGTGCCTCCATGCAGGCATCGTGGTTCCCCGTGGCATTGAGGGCGTAGATTCTGAGGACGTTTGTGTTCAACTGGGTCAAGTAAGGAATGTCTCTCTTACACGCGTCTTCATCAATCAACGGGTCGACGTAAGAGGCATCCGAGGACAGGTTGGCCGTGTTCTGCTGGTACGCGACACCCCTGATGTAAAACTGGGAGCCGTTGTTGGAGTAGAAGAACTTGTTTCCGACAACTTCGACGGTGGGGAAGTCTGCGGCGTGTGAGATGCCGGCAAACAACAACGACGAGATCGCTGCGGTGAGTGTGCTTGTGAACTTCATCTTCTGGTGTGTTGTGAGCTTCCTTGGTACTGGGTATCTAGCGTAAATCAGCTGCTTTTCTTTATCTTATCCAAAACGAATGTGAGAAGTTGATACGCGGAGGCGGAAGAAAAGAAAGGACGGAAACGAAAGTGTGTGTTGTTCGACGAACGAGTGGATCGAAGAGAAACAGAAACGAATTAAAAAACTTAGAAGTAGGAAAAGGAAGAGGCACAAGAGCAGAACAGCAAGACACAACTCGGTCCCAAGCCCATCCTTCAAGCTGCTGGAAACAGCAAAAGTTATATATCAGACAGACGCAACAACGCCTGCTTTCCAGCCTGCTCCGACGCCTCTCTTGTTGCTACACTGCCGTCTCGAGGGTGTCGCCAACCGTCCCTGATGCAGACCACGCCAGACAAAAATAGAACAAAAGAAACGAACAGGGGACGTCCGAGACAGCTGCTGCTCAAAACGCCTACCACGCCAGCCGCAGCCGTGTTGATGCTATTAGCCGAACGCGGTAGTCCGAGGCCGGTGACGCGGTGCGGGGCGGGTTCTAGACGGGCCGGTGACGCAATCGCGATGGTTCTGGGCCTGGCGACATGAATGGCTCCTCGGACGGGGCCTGAGCGACGGCTGCAAGGGGCAAAAGGACAACAACACGGGAGGCGGAGATCATCTGGAGACACCGCCTGGCGATCAGGTGTGACGACACAGACAGCAAACAAACAACAAACAACAAGCAACAAACAGACAACCCGATAACATCACAGCCCCCCTGTGCTAGAGGGCCAGACCTTCCAGAGGATCGAGGTTGCAGCTGCTGCTGTTGTTGTGGTTTGCAGCACGGAGCTGCAGAGCCAGGTATAACTGGAGCAGTCCGCCGTCTGTCGGTGGAGGTGTGTGAGTGTGGAAGAGCCGTCTTGCGCCGGAGAGTGCTGTACTTGTAGGGTGGTTGGTACACGGGACATTCATTTCGATAAAAAAGCACGGTACTGGAAATATTGAGAGTATATATGTATAAATATAATAATAATGCTAAACAGAGAAAAGATGAAATTGATTGTTTTTTGTGTTTTCACCCACAGAGCACATTGAAATTGGGTCGATGGTGTGAGAAGGATGGAGTGGTACAGGAAAGGGGATTATAGCAACAAAGCTGCAACAAGACCGAAAAGTCCCATTGCGGAAGAGGAACGGACAACGCCGGCGTCAGCCTTGCTGGAAGAGGAGATGGAGGAAACCTTGGATGAGGAGGACGAAGAGTCGACACCCTTCTCGGCCTCAGAGGTCTTGTCTGCCTTCTTGGCGGAGGACGTCTTGGTCTTGGTATCCTTGGAAGTGGTGGAGTCTGCGTCAGTGGAAGTGGCGGAAGTGGCACCAGAGGCACCGACAGCGGATCCTAAACCGGATTGGCCAGCAGCTGAGATGACAGACTTACAGGAAGATGGGGTGGTACCGGTGACAACGGTGGCAGAGCCAGAGAAGTCACAGGCAGACTTGTTCTTGTTTTGTGCCTTGTAGTACAAGTCCAAAACGAAAGACAACTTGTCCTTAGAGGAGCAGAAGGAGTAAGCACCATATTTACCCTTTGCACCGTTGGCATTAATACCATCGCAGTCAATGTTTGCGCAGACGTAACTGAACAAGTCCTCATAATCGTCATCATCAACGTCGTCAGCAACAACACAAGACAAGGAGTTGGCCATACAGTCACAGACACTGTCATTTGGAGTTGGTGGCAAGTTGGTGGCAGCCTTCCAGTAGGAAGCAAAGCCAGTAGGACAAGACATGATCTTGGCAGAAGTCGAGATGTCGGAGGTCTTGGCGCTGGTTGGGTTGATGTTGTTTATCTCAGAGGAATAGTACTTGAAGTCAGCCATGGTGGAAACTGTGTCGTTGTCAACAACAGACACTAAACCATAGTTGTTAACTTCCTGGTAGTACATGTAAACAATACCACCAGACCAGACATCGGTCATTTCGTCAGAAAAGATGGTTCCAATTTCAGTGAACTTTCTTGGTTGAACTTCGTTACAACCGTATTCAGAGAAGAAGACTGGGATAGTCATGTTTGAGAATTCCTGGGTTCTGTCTTGGAAACCAGAACTTTTGAAGTTAGCGTTACCACACCATTCGTACATGTTGATACCATAGAAGTCGGCCTTGATGTCGTTGTCACCGCAGGCAAAGTAGTCTGCAGATGGGATTCTGGTGTGGGCGTCATCGTTGGCAGAGTAACCAACAGGAATATCTCTGTACCCCTTGTCGGAGATGTATGCCTTCATGTCTCTGATGGCGGCCTTGACGAATGGAGCAGCGTTGGTGTCGGTAGAGTTGGTGATGACCTCGTTACCGGCGAAGAAACCAAGAACGTTATCGTAACCTTGCATCATGTCGATGACAGAGGTGTATCTTTCGTATAACTTCAAGTCCCACTCAGGGCTGATAGAAGAGATGGCCAGGGTTGGTTCGGCCAAGTCGGCAATGACATAGATGCCTGCGTCCTTGAGCAAGTCCATACAAGCGTCATGGTCAGCTTCAGCGTCCAGAGCGTAGACTCTGAGGACATTTGTGTTAAGTTCGGTCAAGTAAGGGATATCTCTCTTACAGGTTTCTTCGTCGGCTAGAGGATCGACGAAACTGGTGTTGTCATTAGAGGAAACGTCCTTCTGGTAAGCGACACCTCTGATGTAGAACTGGGAGCCGTTGTTGGAGTAGAAGAACTTGTTTCCAACAACCTCGATCGTTGGGAAGTCGTCGGAGGAGGCAGCAGCTTGGCCTAAGTAGCTCAAGACAGAGACTGCCAAAGGAGTGAATTTGTTGAAAAGCATGGTTGTCCTTGAAGAAACTCTCTGATCCTTAAATTCTCTATCTCTTTTTCAAAAACAGACCGGGGGGACAAAACGTATATGTAGCAAACGAACGGATGAAGGAAGAATGGGGCACAGCAGGGTACAAATAAGGGTAGCAGGACAAGCCTAACCAAGTTGAAGAAATACGGCACAATACAGCCCACTCCAGCACATAATGTCGCAGAGCAGGTCAAAAAAAATGGGAAAACTTCACCACCACACCGCGACCGGATCAACACACCTTGCCATCAACAAAACCGCGTTCTCAGCCAATCGCAGGCCGCGCTTCCGCGCCTCTCCGGCCACTCGCCGTTTTTGTTTGTTTGTTTGTTGTTGTTACACGCCTACGGCCCCGGCAGCCTCCTTTTCCCCCACCTCGGCGTTTCCCGGACGCCTCTTTCTGAACCCTCTAACTGCGCCCTCCTCGGACTTGCTCTGACAAGCCAGTGCAAATCAGCTGCGCTTGGGGCACTTCAAGCCTCTCCTGTAGCCCTTGTTTCACTTGTTTGACCCCTTCGCCCTCCGCCAACGGGGCCCGCCAAACACTTCTCAAACGTCAACACGTGGACACGCTTCCGCGACAAGCCCCTTTCTCTTTGCCTAATCAGGCAATCTGTACACGAAACCAGCACCGCCTCGCCGGCTCCCCGCACCGCCCGACACCGCCCTCCACTGCCCTTCACCGCCCGCCCGCTGGCAAGGGCATTGATGCTGCGCCACGCGGAAAAATCAGGCAAAAAAGAAATCCAAACTGCTATTTTTAGCTCCTCCGAACGCTACACGCTAAACATAAGCCCTATACACATCTTTCTGCTGCAATAACTAACTATACCGCATCTACCTATCGTCTTCTGTCTGTCTGTCTGTCTGTTATCTGTCTGTTATCTGTCTGTTATCTGGCTGCTGTCTGGCTGATGTTTGCCGCAGACTGGCCCCTTCAAATCCAGAATGTGGTGAACTCCTTCTCTGCAGGCTTAGTTAGCATGATCGTGTGCGGAGCACGGCTGCCCGTGTCATTGTTGTCCTGGTGGTTGGGCTGGATCAACCCAAACGACTCCTCCGGTAGCATTGAATTGACAACGTCTTCAAAGTGCTTAGACACCACTATTGGAGCAATCAATATTGCAGCAAAGAAAAATATAATTGTAAAATAGAGTATCGCATACTTGCCAGCCTCAACCTTTCTCTTTTTCTCCTTGGACACGGTGTAGATGGGTCCCCTCAAACGGTTCATCGGACTGATCCACATGATCATACATGAATGCCAATGGTCGATGTAGGGCACAAATAAAATCGGAGTAAGTGATATCAATATTCCGTGTCCAATGAAGAAGTCTCCACTGAAAAGACTCATCTCACTAATCTTGACGATAAACTCCCTTAACGGTTGAGTAAATGCGTACTTGCCCAATTCAAACCATTTTCCTGACCACCACGCTCTGTTACTTCTATCTTCCTTCATTTCTCGACTCAAGAAAAACAACTTGCATGCCTGGATCAGACATCTTTGTAAAAATATCGACGATGTGAATAATATTAAAGTTCTACTGAAGTTGAAACCTTCCAACACCCAAATCATCTCAAAAGTAATAATATGAATGAAAACGGCAAATAAATGTGAAATAGCAGCTAGAACTGATGGAATTTTGGTGCAACATAATGATAAAATAGGTCCAGCAAATAGTGACAACGGAAATACGATTATCAAGACTATTGTGTTCAACACTATCGGACAAATAGTAACTATTACCAACCGTATCAACAAATTAACCTCTTCGGGATTTTCGACTCCTGATTGTGAATTCATGAATAGGTATGCAACGACAATAAAAAATGCCTGTATAAATGGAGCTAAAACTTCAGCCATAAATGCATTCATGAATGGAGCCTTCGGATTATGCTCTAAAATCTTCTCATTTTCTCCATTTTTTAGTTTAGCCCTCTTGAATCCGGTAAATCTAGATCTGGTCAATCTAGTATATGTGATCCATGAGTTTAAATGCCATTTGGAATTTCCACGACTAAGCCATCTAATAAATTCTCTGTAGTCTAAGAAGAAGTCTGTCCAGGAGAATTGATGAGGATTGAAAATAAATGGTGATAAGGTCAAAGAAAATAGAGTAATCCAAAACCATAAAACCGATGGTTGCCACATTGATATAGTAGCAAAGAGCAATAATAAAAACAATCTAGATCCAGCATATATTGATGTGGGAGCGTAGGCTGAATACAATTTGGTAAAAGAAACCCTGGTTATGGAAAAGCCCCTTCCTGTAGAAATATATCTTGCTCCCCCAAATATGATATCCTTTTTCAACGAATCTGTATAAATCTGGCAAACAAAAACCTCAAAAATTGGTGATAGAGATACAAAATGCATGAATAATCTATTGCCAGCTTTCCAAACACCTCTTTCTGATAACTCATGCAACACTAAAGGAACAAAAGAAATGAAAAAGCAGATGAAAATAGACAAGACATATCTGCTGACCCAATCTAAAACAGGTTGCAAGTTTTGACATCCGATAGGAATCTGCAAATCTGTAATCGGAACATCCTTATCGTAAATACAGGATATTAATTCATGGTTAAGAGCACCCAAATTGATAACAGTCAACATGAAAACTTCCAATGAAAACATAATGAAAAGATTATTGATATGGAAACCAGGATGTGCGTAGTAAAATGACAAAAACCTGTCTAGTGACATCTGAGTTCCAATGTAATAGTATTCCCTTGAAAGAAGCTGTTCACCCATTCCTCCTCCAATTTTTGTCGTGAAGTTCAAGATTGAACTAAACCCTAAATCTCTGCCTTTGCCACATTGATAATAATCACAATGCTTGATTTTACCACCACGACAAATAGCATTCATACCAGCATAGATATCTTCGTTTAAGTGTAGTCCCTTCTGTGCTTTAGAAATCCCACCTCTTGTACACATGAAAATAGCATTCAAAAAGTCCGGATGACCATAATGTAATTTACCACCAATTTCAGATAAAGTTCGGGCAAACATAGTTCCAAATGTTTGTTCTTTTGAAGCAGCAACATCACCTAGAACACCGGAGTTTTCTGAGAAAATATATTCTCTGGCGCCAACAATTGCAACAGGGCTCTTATTTTTATAGTGTTCGGAAGGAATATATGGATACTCCGAAACATCGTCCAAATTTTCAAATTCGGATAATAAAGATCTGATTTTTAAACACTCTTCAAGGTAGTTGTCCTGATTTGCGTCAATGACTTGAATAAACTCTCCTCTGTAATATATGATAGACATATTTTGATTATCAGACTTTCCATCGCCCAAGATAGGATTTCCTGAAAGCTGGATTTTAAATTTCTGTTTCAACTCGTTGGCTTTAATTTTAGGATCTTCTTTATCAACCTTCTCTTCAATCGTGTACATGACCGAGAAATATTTAGTCTCTTCGGTTTCTGGATCAATTTCTTTTTTGAGTGATGCAATCAATAATGATGGGTATGTGTTGATCATTGCATTAACATTTGACATTTCTTTCTCATCAAAACTCTGTAGTTTTTGCATAGAAACTAACATTCTAAATTTCCGATCAGCAAGCAAATTCAAATAATCCTCAAAAGTGCTTGGGCTATTAAAGTAGTTTTCCATTTCAGGATTCTCAACTTTGTGCAACAATTTTATTGCCTTAGTGTAGTTCATAAACCCTGATACTGTCCGATATAACGTCTGTGTCTTAAGAGACGCCCAGATTCTGGTTCTCATTATATACTCCGGTGCAGAAGATTTGTATCCAATACAGTAAAGTGGTAAGTCATTGATTTTATTGTCAACAAATTCTTTCTCTGTTTTAGGCGTGAGGTATCCGGAATCACTTCCATCATTTTGACTATCCTTTAAAGTCTGTGACATGGCCATAATTTTTGTATCAGCAACAAAATTTCTCCATTCATGTGGAAACATAACTTTCAAATATTCCAACAAAGACATTTTAGAGCTTGGGTCTTGCCTTATGATTTCTTTCAATTCAAGTAAAATCTTTTCAGAATAATGAGGAATAAAGACGGTAAATTGTGGCATTGCTTCAACTGGAATTGGTTCAGGAATCGAACTACTCAAACTTTGAGCAAAAAATGAAATTCTTCTTTCTGCTTCAGAGTTTGGAACAAAAAAATCAGTGATTTCTTTACCACTGTCATCTTGATAAAGAAAAAATGTGGGAGCTCTTAATGCCATTCCTCCATTGGTTTCATCAGGAACAAGGGAGTATATCATTTTTTGTGCTTGATCCTGGGAAAGTAAATGCTCACGGTATAAGGAGATTATAAGAGCATTCCAAATCTGAGAAATCAAAAATATTGAGTCGTATTTTACTTCCAGCTTAGCCGTGGCTAGAAGCTTGGAGTGAATTCTTGATGGTAATCGAGTAAATACGTTTCTCCAAGGCGAAAGCATTGATATGCCGCTTGAAAATGATAAAGACAATGAAATAATACAATTCCAAATAATGTACCAAAGGTAGGTGTCCAAAAAGAATAATATCAAATCAGTCAAGAACATCAAACCCAAAACGAAGTTGTTTTGATTCCTGCATAAAACACCCCCAATGAAATGATCTCCATGGCATCTTGACTCCATTATATTCAAATTTCTGATAGGATCTCTTAAAGAAAGCGTCAAAAAAAAGTAAGATTCTAGAAATTTAGCTCCAAAGACTAAAATCCATAATATGATAGAAATTACTCTACTTGATTTCTCTAGTTTTGGAAATGAAGCAGTAAACACCTTCATAGGATCATAAATGTTCTTCTTTGAGAATGAAATTTTGAACAAATTAGCAGGAGCTTGAAAGGAGAACCAAATTGTTGTCAAAATTGAAATGATGAATTGAACCACGGAGACAATAAATCCAGCATGAGAAACAGCGTTAAATGGAACGTACCCTAAAACAAAAACTGATGGTGCAAAATTAATAATACTTATGATCACCAAAAGAAAAAGTCTCTTAAATAAACTAGGTCTGCCAGGCCATTTTCGAGGAACATACGAGAATTCAAATAGTGTGGCCAATATCTGAATTACGCAACCCACAGTACTACCAAGAGCAACAATAGAATATCTTAACTGTATCGTAGGTTGATTATTCAAAAGGTAGCTATATTCATAGGTGTACAACGTTGGTGAGTTAAAACTCGAATAATACCAAAACATGTTCAAGTGAATAATCCAAATCCTACTGAAGTTGGTGGCAAGGTGCCACCACGATCGTTTTTCCTTGTACGTTTTATAGAACGATTTTTTCCATATGATATCGCCGAATCTTTCATATCTATCCTCTTTTGGAATATCAACAAGTCTTTCTTTTCCATTTGGTGAAATTGTCAAGCTTCTAATTCCTTGATAATACCAAAAAAGTTGATTCATATCATCATATCCAATGATTTGATGATGATCTTTTTCCCGTCTAATGTACTCACCATCATACAATTTGTATTGTTGGTCTCTGTAATATTCATACAACGGAGTTATAATACGATCAAGGTAATCGTTCTGAGGAAGTTTGACATCAAGAGACTGGCTTTTTACCTTCTTCAAATAATCGTGGGCACATTTAAATATGAAGCATAATAACTCTGGCACAAATCTCATATTATTTGCTTCACCCCAAATCATTAAGAATAGCGCTACTTGATATACCATGTCTGTTGGTTTCAAGTCATACATTTTATTTCTCCATTTATACTCAATAAGCTCGGATTTTTTGGTGGTATAAAAATCCACATCTAGCATATCTTTCTGTTTCGATTTATTCTTTTTGAGAGAATCAATACCATCTAACAAGTTTGAATCTGTTTCAAGCATTGCACAGAAATACCATTTCCTATAATTTGCATGTTCACCACCTATGTAATCTGCATGAAGAGATACCAAAGCATTCGCAGCAGAGCCACGACTGGACTTTGAATCAAGTTGAGACATGAACAACTCATATGTATTCTCACAATTATCTTTTTGGAAACCAAAAATCTCACAAATATCTTGAAAGATTGCATAGATTTCATTTGAAGAAACAGGTTGCTCTGGATCTGTATTGTAGGAAAAGTATAAGTCAAAATCTAGCTTATTTTCAGTTTCACTTGATTGAGTGTTGTCGAAAGGTATTTTATCTGGATTGAAAATAAAGGGATTGGGATTAGGATTAGGCTGAGACTGTGACTCTGACTGTGACACAGGAGGAGGAGCATAAAATTGGGGATTTTCTTGCTTATGTTCTGAAGGAACACCATCAGCATTTTTCTTTTTCCTTACAGTTTTGGAATGGCCATTTGAAGGATTTTCTGCGCTGGGTGACTTATCCGGATCAAAGTTATTGTAAAGGAAGTAGTCCTCCATGCTATGGTTATCGATTGGTATGGCCGATAAATACTTTACAACACTTCAATTCAAAAAATGCTCAGGCATTGGAAGGCAAATTCAACTTTTATACTTCTTAGTTGTCTATGGAAAGGAAATTGACTATACCATATCATTCAAATTGCCCTTTTTCTTGGATTTGTATTACTGAATTGGGTAATTCGTCGGCTCTGTCACATTACTCAAAGCAACCTCTGCATATGCAAAAAAAATTCTCATTGTTCATTCTGGTGGAGTTCTAGTTGGGTAAATCTTGTCTTAAAGTGAAATATTGTTACAAAAAAATAACCAAAATGTATGCTTTTACCATGCTCCGCTAAGAAGATATGTCTTTATAGAACAAACAACTTTTAAACTCTTACATTTGATTATAGGTCACGTGACTTAAAACATTTTTCTGACTGAAAAATGATGAAATCAATATCTTAACTATGAAATCACAATGTTTGGCAAGTTTATTTTCCACTTTTTGATGGGCTTCTTTTGATCTCTTGTTGTTTATGGACTTTTTGAAAATATTAGCAAGAAAAATGTCAACATACGTACCATTATCTCAGTTGAAACCTCCGAGACATGCGGGGATGAAAAAGCTTGATAAATCTAAATTTGTCATAAATCGTAATGTATGGGCCTTGTTTTTACCTGAGATCAAGTATGCAAATGAGTTTTTAGGAAGAAAAGGCAAAAAAAAATTTGAAGATTCCATCGTTTTGTCTATTCCACAACATCCTTCTTTGATAGAATTTTCGAAAAGTATGTTATCAGGTTCATTAGTATCATTGATCAGCCCGAAGAATCCAAAACTAAAGGCCATCCTTTTAAAAGAAGACATCAAAGTTACGGACAAAGATAAGAACTTTGCAAATGAAGATGACTATGAGCCACAGCTACTTAAGGAAAATGTCACCGAATCAACTTACCTGTTGTTGAAAAAACTTGGGTCAAAATATAAGATTTACAATATAGCTTTTGATTTTGATTATTGGTCTTATGACGACATTTTAAAAGCTATTTTACCGGAAGATCTCATAGAAAACTGTCCAAGTGCATTCACGGTAGCTGGACATTTAGCCCATTTAAATCTAAAAGAACAGTACATGCCATATCGAAACATTATTGGAGAGGTTATTTTGAACAAATTTCCGAACATAAGAACTGTCGTCAACAAAACAAACAATATCACTTCTGAGTTCAGAACATTCCAAATGGAATTGTTGGCTGGTGAAGACAACTTTGTAGTGACTCAAAAGGAATGTGGTTGCCTTTTCACATTCGATTTCCAAAAGGTATACTGGAATTCCAGATTGGCCACAGAACATGAACGACTTATCAATTCTTTTGATTCTGGAGAAGTTGTTTGCGATGTGATGGCTGGTGTGGGTCCGTTTGCTGTACCAGCTGGTAAAAAACCCTGCTTGGTATTTGCCAATGATCTTAATCCAGAATCGTATAAATACTTGAAAGAGAATATTGGAACGAATAAAGTCTCTTCCTTTGTTGAGGCCTCAAATTTGGATGGTAGAGAGTTCATTAAACAATCTCCAAAGATACTACAAAACTTTAGAAAATCAGTCTCTAGCATAAAGTTTACTGACAAAGGTATGAGCAGCAAGAGCAAAGCAGAAAAAGCGGAGCCTTCTACGAAGAAGAGAACGATGAATTTAGATGTTCCCCTTTTTGTGTCACATTATGTTATGAACTTGCCTGATTCAGCTATCACCTTTGTGGACTCTTATATTGGCTTATTCAGCAACGCATATCCAGGTTTGAGCAAGGAAGAAGTCAAACAGCTAACGGGATACAAGTTACCCGTCATTAATGTTCATCATTTTGAGAAATACAAAGAAGAAGAGATTGAAGGTGATGTTGAAGAGGAGTTGAAGAGAAGGATGCACCGAAAAGTAGTAGAGCAGTTGAACTTTGAAATTTCTATCGAAAGCTTGAAGTTTCATTTGGTGAGACAAGTCGCCCCTTGTAAACTAATGTATTGCATCTCTTTCAGATTACCTGAGGAGGTTGCGTTTGCCCCACAATAGAATTATATATTATGTCTAGATAGATTTGTATTAATAGAAATTATATAAAGCACCCTGTAACAAAGCCAATATTAACATAAACCGAATAAAAACTGAAAATGCAATTTCTCGTACAAATAATTGTTTATTTCTCTAATTAAGTTAAGCCCATTACTCACTGAATCCCTTTTTGCTCAAGCATAGCTGACTACTGCGTCTGAGGCTCTCTTTCTCCATCTCATTGCACTCCAAAATGAGCCGTAACTCCAAGTCAAGTTTTCGGCACCTTCCATGTATCCGGTGTACTTATTGAACTGTTCGCTCATATTACCATGTTCATCAACATGTTGCTTGATGACTTCTAGGAACGAATCAGCATACTTCATCAGAGATAAAGTCGTCTCAACAAAGGCGTGAGAGTTAAAGGGAAGAACAACCTCTTTAGCTTCTGTCGTGATGTCAAAATCTGTAAAACTTGCATAAAATACGTACTGATCTTTTGTTATGACTAAATCTTGGTGATGGAAATATAGGTAGTAGACCAACTTGAACAGAACTTCAGAGGCTGTTGCGGTAGAAATGAACCAAGGATTACCCTCACTTATACCATAGCCGTCATATCGATCTTCAGGGTATCTTCCCAAAGCTAGGCCTTTAGAAAACTTTCCTTTTTCTGTGTTGATTGGGTATCTATATCTCATATCATTCACAAGTGCAGAAAGCGTGCTTATGACGGCAGTATCGTCTATTGAGAAGGGTATATCTATGAAGTCGGTTGGATCGTCCAGGTCATGGGCCCTTAAGGTAGCTAGTACGGATCCGATGTCTAAGCCACATCTTTGTCCTTGCAAAAACAAAGACGGTGTTTCAATCAGGTAGGGAATGTCGGAAATCTTGAACCCTGACTCAAACAGAATGAAAAATCTTAAAGATATGAATGCGAGTCTCAACTTCGAGTTGAAATCCGAATCGTCACAGTCTCCTGAGATCTTGATTCCGGACTTCAAAGCTTTTAACATGGTCAAGGAAGTGAATAGATGGACCGAATCAATTTCCTCCCACAAGTCAAACCCATTCTTGTTCCAATTGTTTGCAATGTATGTTAGATCCGGCTTAAGAATCTCGTTATAGATATACTCGATGCTCGGTAACTCCGGATGAGTCACAGTCAGGTTGTTCTCAACCAAGAAACCGATGTAGTTTGCGATGGTGATAACTCTTAGCCCCGGTCCATCTCTTTGGGGCCGTCCCCAATTTTCCTTGAACGGTTCCGAGTTGGCCATAAACTTTGGTTCCCCTAATCCATCTAGGGATTCCCAAGTGCCCGATCGGTTGTCGATTCTCTGTAGTTTATATGAGTTGCTTATGTATGACTCGATGGCATAGATAAGCTGCTTTGACAGGGGGGAGTCCAAACTATCCTGATGATCCTGAAGATACTCAACAAGCGAATTAATTGTAATGGCAGCATCTCTCACCCACTGGTAAAAATAGTTCGGGTGGCTTTTGGAGGGCGACGCAATCACTGCCCCATCCGAGACCTCACCTGAATGGATCCCGACGCCTCCGATGTTTGCCAAAATCCCGCTGAAGGCTCTTTCCGTCTGTTCATCCAACCACGAATCAAGATCGCTAGAAGTGTCATTCAAGTCGTAAAAGCTCTCGATACCTTCGTAGACGTAATCCCTCGACGCCTCCTTCCCGAAGACCGCCGAAGTAAGTGAGCTGTACAGAGTTTGCACCACGTCGAAGGGGTTCAGCCAGCCAGATTTGTTTGAAGCATACTGGCTGATCATGCTGCAATATCGGAAGTTTTCGCATATCGGAACCGACTCAAAGGGAGTGGCCGATGTCCCTATCACGAGAGCGGACAAGTATAGCGCAAGTTGGTAATGGCTGAATACTAACATGATGTACCAATCTCAAGCTCTTCAGGCAGACCTATCTCTTCTGTACGGAAACTGATACCCAAAAACACCGAAGAGATTTTTTTGTTTTTCCGACGTCAAGTCAATCAATAGATCAACAATACTAACGGTAAGCGTTATATTCCGAACTTTTCCGATAAGCTCTCAAACTAGCAAGATGTAGGTGGTGACCTTTCTCAAAGCACTCTAGTAAGCAATGTGTGACTGATAGCTAGCGACAACTGCCACTTTCTTTTGCGAGCCAGGGCCAGCACTAGAACAAGAAGAACCCGCTGGAGGAGCAAACACAACAACAGGGACAATCGATTATGTCTGGATCGATAAGGTAAGCAACTGCTAAAAACGGTATATTTTGTGGGGAAAGGCAACAGTTCCCGTCATGGGGTCGTGCAAAAAGCGAAAAAGAGGGACTGCCGTCGATCGACTTAAACATTGCGACGATCGACTTAAAAAGGGTTTTTTTTCTCTTTCGAGGTTGCCAGATACTCCGGGGGACCGAAGATTTCGGAGATATGGAAAAGACAGGCGCCTCTTCCTGCGGGTCCGGGCCATTTCGCAGTGGAGGCGGCAGGGAGCCCAGCCTGAGCTGGATAGACAGGAGACGTTGGTTGTTTCTTTCTTTGCGAACTGTTTTTTTGCACAGTAGTGAGGTGGATGATTTTGCTGAGATCGTGGTATAGTGGAAAAAGCGGCCAAGAAGCGGGAAAATGCCTTACGAAACCAAGAAATTGATTGAAGTGCTCTCCAAGTATGCGACTTGTGACATGTCGGATGCGTTGGTCAAGCACAAGCACAAATACGGAGGCTCTTTGCCAAACCTGAAACGGTTCTCATCGAACTCACAGGGGAAAACAATGGTGGGCAAGGCCTACACGGTGTTGTTTGCTCCGAAGGACGATCCAAGAGAGGCGATTGCCGGCGGGTATATTGACAAGTTGCCGGAGGACTCCGTTTTGGTGATCGCCACGACCATGAACCTCCAGAAGAAAGACGCACCGTTTACCAAGATGTCGAATGCCCTCTACGGGGGCTTGATGTCCACGAGAGCACAGTATTTGAAGAGCACGGGGACGGTTGTCTTCGGAAGAGTCAGAGACATCGACGAGCATCTGGAGCTCCATAGGGACGTGTTTTCCTACGGGCTCGGCTCAGCAGCACACGGACCTGTGGTCAAGATGGTTGGCATCAACGTTCCCGTCGAGGTCTTGATCGATGGGTACCCGGAGCCCTTCACTGAGACCATTAACCCGGGCGACATCATAATGGGCGATGATAACGGCGTGGTTAAGGTCCCCCACGACGACGAGTTGGAGTCAATCCTCGAGTACATTCCAAAGAGAGTTCAGGCGGACAATCTAGTGAAGGAGGACATCCTCAACGGGGAGGCTTGCAACCCTGCTCAAAAGAAGAGAAGAGCAGGACTTTGATTCTATTCTTCCCTTCCCTACATAGAGCTTATGTAATTTTGTTATGAACATCGCGTTATTGTCGAAAAGCGTCCGTCTGGAGAAGGGAGGAAAAAAAAAATTTCTGTTGCCACTGATACGATAAGTGCTGCCAATTCATATGATTGTTGGGAGGGTGGGGAGAAGCAGTAGCAGCAGAGATAGTAGCATTTTCCACTCTACTTTATCCAACGACGAAACACTATGGTGGCAGACACCACATACTATGATTTGCTTGAGGTGAAAAGTACGGCAACCGAGCTTGAGATCAAAAAGTCGTACCGAAAGCTGGCCATCAAGTACCACCCAGATAAAAATCCGGGGAATGAGTTGGCGGCAGAAACTTTTAAAAAGATAAGTGAAGCCTACCAGGTGTTGAGTGATAAGGAGAAGAGGGTGAGGTATGACCAGGTGGGTATTCAAGAGAATGGAGGCGCAGAAATGGTTGATCCTGAGAAGTTTTTTGATGACATTTTCGGTGGTGAATCGTTCGTGCCATATGTTGGTGAATTGACTTTGTTGAAGAACCTCACCAAGGAGATGGAGTTAGAGCAGACACAGGAGGCAGAAAAGGAGGCCAACAAGCTAAAGCAAGAAGAAGCGGACCGATATTACGAGACCCACAAAGTAAACATATCTTCTAACAGATATTTGGGCGACGAAGGCCTGAGCAACATGAGTGTAGAAGAACAGCAGAAAGCATTAGAGGCAGAAAGGAAAAAGCTTCACGATGCAGAAAGAGAAAGGATTGATGAGGAACAGCGACAACACAGGGAGAAAATCCAAGATGAGTTAACGAAGAAATTGATCAATAGATTATCACTGTATACCGAAACTGATAAGTCAGAAGACGTTGTCAGATCTGTGAAAGAGAAGTTCAGATTAGAAGCTGAAAATCTCAAGATGGAGTCTTTTGGTTTGGAGTTGTTGCATACCATCGGTACCATCTACTACAACAAGGCAAGCACGTTCTTGAAATCGCAAAACACCTTTCTAGGCATAGGCGGATGGTTCGGCACGTTGAAGGAGAAAGGTGGAATAATCAAGGACACGTACTCCACCATAAGCATTGCCCTAGATGCACAGAGCACGATGCAGCAATTGGCAAAGATGAACGAAAGAAGAGAAAAGGAAGCGACCAAGGCGAATGAATCTGGTGAAGATACTGACGCAAAGGGAGGAGCTGAGGTAGAAAGCGACACAGATATGAAGAAGAGCAATGGAGGCAGTGTGTCTGGAGATGCTAAAGACGTCACAAGTTCGGCGGATTCAGCAGGTGATAAAGACGTGAGTGAAACCAAGGAAGTGCCTGCAGCGGATGCTAAAGGAAAAGAGAAGGAAAAAGAGGACGAGGGCCCTGTTCCTACCGAAGAAGAAGTAGCAGAAATGGAGAAAATGCTTATGGGCAAGATAATAGCCGCTGCATGGAAAGGATCGCACATGGAAATTTCTTCTAATTTGAGAGAAGTGGTTTCTAATGTGCTCTATGACGAAACCGTACCACTTTCGAAAAGGGTTGAGAGAGCAGAAGCGTTGAAGATCATTGGCACTGTATTCAAAAACGCAGAAAGATCTAAATGGGAAGCAGAAGAGGCAAAGATTTTCGAGGAGTTAGTAGCCGAGGCTACGCAGAAGAAAACCAAGAAGAAGTGATTCTCCGAGATTGGTACACGAGTTTTATTCGGCGGTGCTATATAGACAAATAGATAGATACAAATTATCTCTCTTTTACTAGTATGAGAAATGTTCAAAAGTGTAGTAATATTTTATTATGATGGGAACGTGTGGAAATCCTGTCCTCATTTGGGTGTTGATATATACAGAAACATTAGATAACGGCATCTACTTTTATAAATAGCACAGAAGAGCGTAGCGGGAGTTCTATTTTTCGACAGAGTAATAGACCCTTCTCAAATCGACCACCTTCTTTCCTCTCTCTAATGCCATCTCTTCGGTTGTCTTCTGCTTGAGAAGAGCCTCCATGGTGCACTTGACGACGTTCATTTTGCTTCTGGATCTGTAAACCTTGGAGGATAAATCCTTGATACCTGCACATTGTGCCAACTCGAAAACCATAGGGTTACATCTCAAGCCTGAACCTGGAGGAGAGGATCTCAAGTGGACGACAGAGGCACCAAACTTGTGTTCAATGTTACCAAATATTGTTCTGTCCTCTAATCTTGGGACTTTCACAAGGTTTTTCACCGCCTGCCAGTGAGCCTTCAAGATGGCGGTACCTGGTTCTTCGGGATCCTTCCCCTCTCCAATACCCAACATACCATTTCCATCACCAGCACACACCAAGGCGTAGAAGGAATTGATTTTACCTTTCGAGGTTTGGTTTCTGACGGTTTTCAAAAGTAGAGTTTTCACTTTCAAACCCATGATGTATCTTTCGTTGAAGCCAGTGGCAAGGGACAACTTCTTTGCAAGCTCGCCCAACTCAGAACGTTTCTCACTGCCTTCTGTGTCTAAAATCTGGTTCTTTGGCACGTCAACCTCGTTAGGTTGTGTCACCTCGGTAAACGAGTTCGGCTTCCCTATGGCATGATCAAAGTATTTGCTCTTCTTGGTGAAGTCTGTGAGGAAGTGGGGGGCAAACTGCACAGGGTTCAATTGTCTCTTTGCAAAATGTTTTGGATCGATCACGTTTTCGGCCTTCAAAATCGAGTCGACAACCTCAGGATCGTAGTACTTGAGCAAGTACTGCACATGGTTGAGCTTCTTCGACTCCACGCTGGAAACTTCCTTTTGCAGTATTATTCTCGAGCTCGAGAACATACGTCTACTCACAGGTGTCAACATGGCTCGTGTATGTTTGGTCTCCAGTGGTGGTCGCTGTGCGTCAAGACTCTGTAGCTATAGCACGGCAGAGGGACCAATCTTTCTTCACACTGTCTTGGACTTCGACCGTTTCCTACGTCTACCTCAGCGAGACCTGGTGGAAAATGAGGAAGTCGGGGAAAAAAGTCAAGGTCCAGCATGGGATTTTAAGGCAAGTAGGCCGGTCGGCGCGGACCATAAAATCGGCTGGTTTACAGAAGTTACTGGTTGGATGCATTAAAGCAGAGCTGGAGCCGGCAGTAGGTGGCTTCTATATATAGGGATGCAGTGGTGCAGTAGTGTATAGGCAGGAGATGGGATCAGAGTTTCTTCGGAGGAAAGAGCGGCTGGGGAAGCGTCTTGATCGGCTGCTGGCCCAACATGACCTTGGCCATGGACTTGTGGAGGTTGTCGACCTGCAGCTGTGCGTTTCTGTTCAAAGAATTGACCACGACCTGAGCGTTGATCTTGAGCTGCTCGGTCTTGAAGTCTTCCTTCGGGTTGTAGACAAGCTCTGGTCTCTGGCCCCTCACCACGGCGGCGAGGGTGGCGGAGATCTCCTCCTCTGGCACGCTGGCAAGGTGCTTGAGATTGGCCCGTGGTCTCTCCAAGTTGTTTGGCAACGTGGTGTTAGCGTACGGGTAGAGGAGTGCGGTGGCTGGGAGGAAGCTGTCGTTCTTCCTCTCGACGTCGCTGAGCTTGAAGCCCCTCCTGGTGGTGATCTGCTCCAAGGCTCTAAGGACACGCGACTTGGTGTCGTAGCCCATCTTGTCCTTGGACAGCTCCAGGTCGGGCTTGCTCACCTCGGCGGCTCTGTAGACGTTGGGCGTCTCTTCGAACCTGGCGAACTGGTCGGCCCGCGGGCCGTAGTTGTTGGCCCTGTGGACGGCCCGGGAGTGGAAAAAGTTGAAGACGGCAGCGTCCCCCGTGTGCAGGGTTGCTGCGCCGCCGTCGGAGACCTTTCTCCTGATAAAGAGGGCTCTCGCCTCCTGCATGTCGGCGAAGGAGAGGCCTGCTGCGTTCAGCAGGCCGTCCTCTCTCTGCGACGCGGTGGAGGACTTCTTTGGGTTCTTGAACCTGTCAAAATGCGACACCGTTTGCACCGTGTGGGGCCGTCTGCCCGTGCCTCTGCGCTGGTTGTTTCTCTCCGAGCTGTTGTTCCGGCTCGGTCTGTTGTTCCTGTTGTTGTTTCTGCTCGAGGCGTCCTTCCTGTTCCCCTTGGCAGACCGCTGGTTGTTGGCGTTGTTCGGCTTGCGGTTGCCTCTGCTGTTCTTGCCCTTCGCTTTCCCCAGCATCGTCTCCTCCGCAGCGCCTGCAGGGCCGTTGCTCGTGATCGACGCAAGCTTCTCCAGTAGGCTCTCCATCTTCCCGTTGCTAACTGGCGCATCGCCGGCCCCGGCCTCTGTAGCCATACGTCTCATCTGGCTGAACGCCTTGACACCACGCTTTGCAAACATCTTCGCTGTCTGTGTCGGTGTCTGTGTCTGTGCCTGTCTGCAAACCACCGACTTGGGTGTCTTTGCAATCCCTCTTGTGGCTCATCTCTTTTGAACAGCTTCCCTTTTCAGTGGTCGTCCAGGTTCGACCTGCCTCCTCTCCTCACCAATCCCAGGGACGCTCTTGTTCCGGCCGGGTAACAGCTCTTTTTTGCGCCGATCGGGGCAACACGGCTTTTTCGTACAAGGCCGGGCCCGGAGCACCGCTCCCGTTTCCTCCGGGGCCCTTCGTGAAAACACGGAGGCAAGAGCGAAGCTCGGAGAAGAAGATGATTCAGGGCAGGATAGCCTGATCCAAGAAGGGAGAAGCGAAGCAGGCCACAACGGCGTACCACAACGGCATACTACAACGGCGTGGTTTTGTCCCTCGAGGACCTCGGGTGGATGATAAAAGCCGCCAGTGCTGCATTCTCTTCTTCCTTTTTCTCTGGTGTTTACTGGCACAGACGTTTCTCTCCATCGGAACTAGAAGGTTTCCTTTGTCGCAAACACAAACCAATCGTGAAATTTTTTCCGGACCCGGAGAAAAACAGATACCGTTATGTCCTTGTTCAACTTCCAAGGTCTTCCAACAGAGCTCCAGCTCCAGGTGGTGGGGCTCCTTCCAGCACGCTCTGTGGTGGAAATCCTGCAGGCGAGCAGACACCTGAACCTTCTCGCGTCGTCCTCGCTGAGCTCCGACGTCAACGACCTCACGACGGAAAGCCGGTCCATCTTCATCAGCATCTTCTCGCCGCAAAACAAGAACCGCCTCGTGGAGACATTCAACACTATATGTGTGTCGAACCCCTCGTCGCAGTTGCCGACGCCTACGCTCGCAAAAACGCTGCAGAACACACAGGTCGACATGGACCAGGTTTCGGACAAATTGTCCTCGTTGCAGCCCGCCGGGCAGCGCCAGCCATACGAAAACAGGCCGCTGCTATTCCAAACGTCCCCCCAACAGCCGCAGAACAACCACAGCACTCTGTTCCAGCTCGGAGACCTGGAGTACACGCGGGACCCGCTGAGGATGGACGAAAACGAGATACACAAGCTCGCAACGCCAGAAAAGGCCTCTTGTCTCCATTTAGTGGTAAATGAAGACGAGCCTCATATCAAGCTCCAGCTGGCAATGCAGCTGATGGGAAACAACGGGTTGCAGTCTCTCTTTAAGTTCTACTCTCGACTCAACCAGCTTCCTAGCCAGGGCGCCGTCTCGGGCGTGTTGGCGTCGGAGAACAACGCCATCTCGGTGCACTACACGTTGACGAAGGGCGACGAGGTTCCGCCTCAGAGCGGCTACGACTATGACTTGTTCTACAACTACGAAGTCCAGTTTGGCGAAATCGAAGTCAAAAATGGATACCTAATGGACTGTGTTGAAAATTCCACCCCGCTCTGATTAGACGATAACGGACAAATATACCTCGAGCGATTTTTTTTTTTAATGCTGTCTAATTTATAAAAAAAACCAGGAACTAACGTCTTCGCTTCGCTATCAATACACTAAGATTATAGGTTTTCACCAACGGTGTGTCAAAATTAATAGAAAAGAACAGGAGCCAATGCTTCTGGGCCCGTAGCCAAGCCTGCTTCGACTTGCTACCTTCTTCATCTTTATTATTATAACCTCAACCCAGTTCTACGCTTTCGAGTTTATAGCAGTTAGTCCACAGACAGCAGATGCAATCTTGCTTAGAGCTTATCAAAAAGGTGGACGTTGTTCCGTACCCACATGAAGCAGGATATACTGAATTCAAACAGAGTGTATACTCTTTGGTCTCGCATGATGGCTCTTTTCAGCTAGGTTTTATGATAACTCCAGTGGTGAATGCACTGGAAAAGTATCCACAGTTTTTTGAGATTTCTGCCTTAAATAATACAGTTCAGTTCCATCCGTCTCTGGACACTATTGAGGCTCGTGAGCAGGCTCTCGAACTCATAGGAAACACGTGGAGATCAGCAACGTTGTTTGAAACCTTGTATGGTTGGAGAAACGAAAAATACACAATCTTCAGCAAAGATAGAAAACCGTATTTCCACCTAGAGCGTGCCATGTGTCCGTTGTTTGGTCTTGTGATGTATGGAGTCCATATTAACGGGTATGTAAAGTCACCCAGCGGAGAGTACAAAATGTGGGTTCCAAGAAGAGCTGCTGACAAGCCGACATATCCTGGAATGTTGGATAATACGGTTGCTGGAGGCTTAGGTTATCCATACGGTCCCTTGGAAACGTGTTTCAAAGAATGTTACGAAGAAGCCGGACTGCTGAAAGAGTACGTTAGCAAAAAGCTAAGCTCTTGCGGTGTCGTCTCATACCTGTACCAGGTGAAGCCAGGAGACTATTTTTCTGAAGCAGGGCTGATTCAACCCGAGGTTGAGTACGTTTATGATCTAGAAATGGACCCAGATATCACTCCTCATCCCGTAGACCATGAGTCTGAGGATTTTAGATTGATGAGTATCCCAGAAATAGAAGAGAAGCTTTTGCTGGGTGAGTTTAAAGACAACTGTGCCGCCATTATAGTTGATTTTATGATCCGACATTCAATCATCACCCCAGAAGAAGAGCATGACTTCATCGAAATAACTAATAGATTACACAGATTTGTACCTTTTCCTCTACGGCCTTTATAAAACAGCAAGAATTTAGTGTTTAATTTCTATACGAAGATATATTCTCAAAAAAATTATAAGAACAATATGTTATTCCCTGAACGGAAGATTTGAAAAGTTAGTTTTATTTACTGAAGTGTAATTTTATGCTCATCCATTGTCTGCTCAAGACCTCTGGAACAGTCAAGGAAACGTTACCGTATGTCAATGGTGCAAAAAAGATAAATCCTGATACAAGAACCGCCAATAAAAGAGCCACAAATGAAACGAAAGGTAACGTATTCAAAGAGTTTGGGTTTTCGGAAGGAGTGGCCCATTCCTTTGTTCTGTTGTTAGTGAATAAGAACTCTAACAACGCGGCTGCAAATAAAGCAGCCAGTAGATGTGCTGGTAAGTAATGATGCAAGAATTTTTGTCTTGACATCAAGAAGAATGGGAAATAATGTAGTATCCAAGCAACAAAAAAGAAACCAATATTCTTATACAGTCTAGCTCTGGATTTTTCGGTTAAAATGTGAACATCTCTATGGACTGTTAGCTGGTCAAATGCAACGATGGCAACGAATGCAACCATCATGACACATTCAAACCACCAGCCCGGAATGTTACCAATGAAGAAAATTTGTCGTCTCAAGTCATTGTTAGTCCAGAATGAAACACCAGACATGCAAAGTGGCCATTCACCAGGCTGTGATGCGAATGGGTGTTCAGAAGATAAGTTGTTGTTATGCTCAAACATCAAGAATTGTAATTCCCACCATTTTCTCAAGAAAGGTAACTTTTTGATTGGCTTTGGAACGAACTCAGCCCTTGGTCCTGTTAAACCAATGATTTGATCAATGAACCAGTTGTTTTCATTTTCCTGAATGTTCTTATTACCGTTAACTTCCTGTTGATTGAATGCCCATTCAGGTAGCAACACATCGTTATGAGTCCACATGGCAACAACGGTTGGCACATGTAAGAATTTGACAATAGAACTCTTAGTTTTCAAATGCGTATCGGATTTTTTATCTACCGGATCGAATTTGAACAAAGTATCATTAAAGCTTGGGCCGTCACCTTCTTCGATCGGAACAACGGTAAATTCCTCGTTCGTTGGATAAAGTGGTGATGCGACATCATGAGTTAGCAAATAACCTTCAGTTTCGATATGTTTTAGTCTGAAAGTGTCACCTTGTAAGACTGGATGACCAAGCTTGTCACCTTTGAATGGAGTTGCTGGTAAAATCTCCCACTGGTCACCCAAATTCACAATGTCAGCATTTATACAAGTGACTTGTTGTCCTTGAGAAGAAATTCTACCGTCTTCGTAACGTAATGGGTATCTGTAAGAATGAGAATGTAAGAAACAGTCGGTATTCTTGTGCTTAATCGTAATTATATCATGATAATTCACCTCTTTTGCTTCTCTAGCAAGGAGCGAATCGCCAAGGGTTTCTTGGAATTCAGAGCTCATGAATGGATCACCTGGACCTGATTTGGTCAAGATTGCAAAATGGATGTAGAACCAACCAAGATAGATGAAAAACGGAACAACAATTAATAGGATGAAACGAGCAATAAAGTGTCTGAAAAATTGTCTTATGCTCAAACCAGTTCTGTGGTCTAAAAGCTGCCACAAATCGACCGCCACTGCAACGCCAATCGAGAAAAATGTCAAGACACCGACGTATTTTGTTGAGATGACGCAAGAAAGTGAAACACCGGTCAGGAAGAGCCATTTGTACCAGTCAACAGAGAATGGTGCCTTTCTTAGCTTAGTGAACTTTATGTAACAGTACATGGAGGCTGCAATAGAGATGATTAATGTTGAGTCAAGTAGAATTAATCTTGTTTCTGCAACATGAGCATTGTCAAGTGCAACAATGGCAGATCCCACAATACAGGCCCAAATAGAGTAGTTACACTCTTTCAAAGTCAGAAACATTAGAGGAACTGTTAGAGTTCCTAACACGGCAGAAAGAGCTCTTAGTGGGATATATGGGACAGAGTTGTCAATGTAACTATCACCTATGTCAGTGAATTTGAATTTTCCATCGAAGCCAACAAGCCAGCCTACGAAGGCGATGAGTAACTTGGCAAATGGAGGATGTAGATCAAAAAAGTACGTTCTTTCAAGATAGTATGAGGCAAACTTACCAAAGTGAACTTCATCAAAAACGACTTCATTAGGATACCAAATGTAGTAAAATCTTGCAAAGAAAGCAATAGCAGTCATCGCAAGGTTGGCAACGCTGTACCATTTTTCCATTGATGGATCGATCGAACTGGAAAGAATGTTTTTATCGACTTTGGCACCGTCTGCCGAAACCGAGACTTTCTTGACGGTGACCTTTTTCGAAGCCACTTTAGGAGCCATTTTGGTATGCTTAAGACTGCGTTCTTGTGGCGGCGACTCTTGTGGAGCACTCTGATGTAAAAACTGGAATGCTCTTATAGAGGAGATGGGGTATTTTGACACGTAACGTATTCAAAAGCGTAACGTCAACCTGAAAAAAAGCCAGCTTGGGGTACCTGGCGACGCGTCGATACACAACACTGCTCGAGCGCGTTTTGCGTGTTCGTATGGACTGGTACGCTTTTTAGCCCTGGTAGATAAAAGGATATAAAAGGATATCACATAGCAAAAGGTGACTTTGTTGCCACAGCTAGGTCTAACAGGTAATCGAATAGTATCACTTAAAACCTACTCTTACGCCATCACGGGTCGAATGTTTCCGCAAACGTTACAGAAGACGGCAAGGACGTCTTATGTGAGAAATATTCTCTCGAAGGCGCCATCCCAACGGCGTCTTATCTCCTCCAACGAGATGTTCGAAGCTTTCAGCAGTTCGGGAAACACCAGTGCTTTAAAAAATAGTAGTACAGCAAGCAGCAGCAAGAACGATGTTATTGAAAGCACACCAAGTAGCGTTGGATCCAAGTCCACTAAAGGCATGGATCCTGTCATCAACATTAATCGTGATTTTAGCTCAAGCGCAAAATCCTTCAACTCTGAGACTAAGTCGGGAGCCACTACAATAGGAGAAGTCTTTACTAAGTCTTTGAATGACTTCAGCTTTTCCCAACAGCAAGCCACCGAGTTGGATTCCACCAAAAATTGGTCAGAGTCCTTTCACGGATTGGGTAACGAACCATTCAGTAAAGAATCACAAGAGACTTTATACACTGAACTTCCAGACGACGATATTGAAATCACGCCTGATGGGTTATTGTATCTTCCTGAAATCAAGTACAGAAGGATTTTGAATCGTGCCTTTGGTGCAGGTGCGTGGGGGCTGGCACCGAGATCTGAAACTTTGATACAGATGCAAGAATTCGGTGGACTACTTACCAGGGAATATGGTTTGGTTATCCATGGAAGGCTGGTGTCTATTGCTAGGGGTGAACAGACTTTCTTCAAGGAACAGGGTATTCCAACTGCAACAGAGGGATGTAAGAGTAACGCTTTGATGAGATGCTGTAAAGACTTGGGTATTGCCTCCGAGCTATGGGATCCCAGATTTATCAAGAAGTTCAAGAAGAAGAATTGCGAAAACATATTTGTTGAATACGTTCCAACAAAAAAGAAGAAGAAAATCTGGAAGAGAAAGGATGAAGAGGTCGAGTATCCGTTCAAAAGATGAGCGTTGTTAGAAGATGACGATAGTTTAGTTTTTGTACATAGTTGATTCTTTTAAAGTTGTTCGTTTGATGAAGGTCGAGATTAGAACTTAAATTCATAGCCCAGTAAATAGTATTTAAGCTTTCAAGTATTTCGAAGTAACGTTTTTTATCTTTCATAAACCCAAAACCTTTAAACTTAAATTAAAAAAAGGAAATTATTATTCCAAGGTGAACAAGTACACAAGAAGTGGTAGTTACATAAAGGAATCAATCAAATTAATAATCGATTAACTTATAAACCTTGCATAGCTCTTCTTCTGTCTCTTTCTTCGGCAATGGACAACTTAATACCCTTACCCTTTGGCAAAGAGATGTATGGCTTACCAGCTTCGTTACCGATGACGAAAACGTTAGACAATCTGGTAATGAAAGAGTTGTCCAATGAATCCTTCAAGTGAACCAAGTCAAAACCACCTTCGTGTCTTTCTCTGTGGGTGATGACACCAACTCTACCCAAAGAACGGCCACCAGTAACCATAGCTAACTTACCGGTTTCGAAAGGAATGAAGTCGGAAATCTTACCGGTTTCTAATTCAACCTTGACAGAGTCACCAACCTTGATAGCTGGGTCTGGGTATCTGACGGTTCTACCATCGTGGGTAACAACATAAGGAATACCCTTCTTACCTAATTGAACCTTCTTAACCTTACATAACTTGTAAGCAGCTTCTTCAGGAGTGATTCTGTGGATGGCGAATCTACCCTTGATGTCGTAGATCAATCTGAAGTTTTCGTTGGTGGCATCTAAGGAGATGACATCCATGAAACCAGCTGGGTAAGTGGTGTCAGTTCTGACCTTACCGTCGACCTTGACTTGTCTTTGCATCAAGATAGCCTTGACTTCTCTACCGTTCAAAGCGTACTTTAATCTGTTTCTGATGAAGACAATCAATGGAAGAGATTCTCTCAACTTGTGTGGACCGGTGGATGGTCTTGGAGCGTAGACACCGGACAATTTGTCCAACATCCAGTGGCTTGGAGCTGCTAATCTCTTTAAGTGATGCTTTCTGTATTAATTTGATAACGGTGAGAAGGTTGTTAGTATATTTATTCTCAGGGAAACCTAACAATAATCGCTAAAGTGATAACTTTTCTTCAAGAAAAGAAATCGCATATGCAGGAAAATATTCTTCACTTCTCACATCCTCCATCTACTCTTTTTTAAAGGTAGATGAAAAGGAAGTTCATTTGGGCGTAACTAGCCCTTCATATGTCTTTCTTGTTGAAATCAAATTTCAATCAACAAAGACATAGGTTGCTCAAGCTTCAATGAAGATCTCAAACAACATTACCGAGTACAAAGTAAACGGCTTAATAAAATAAAAGTAAGAATATTTACCTTTTGCCATTTGTAATTCTTTAGAACCAGTCTAACGAGGTTGTTAATCTCGTTAACCACTAATCCATACATACGGTCCTCTACCCATTTTGAATCAGTTATCGGTTGGCTATAGAAAGTGAAAAGTATATTTACCTCAGGTTTGTCAGGATGAGTATGTATGAGGTGGAAGAGAAAAAAAGAGTTTCAACAGTTGAAATACTCAGGCTTCCTCACCCTTTGTCGCTGGTTTCCATTCTCAACGCGAGGTGCGTCCTCCCCCCGATTTAGAAAAAAAGGGTTTAGTAATTTTTAGACGAGGGCTTAAGCTGTTTTTTGTGTGGTGCGAGGGGTACATTTCTTGAATCACGTGACTAGTGCTTTACCGTTGTAAAAACGATCGATAAGACAATAGGAGGTACACATTTTTGATATTAAAGTTAAGATAATCTTGATATATAAGATCTGGAAGTATTTAAATGCAGAAGACGTAAAGTAAAGACAAAAAAGGCAGAGAAGAAAAAAATTAGGGTAACTGTAATAGGTGTGTGTTTGTATAAACGAAGGAAACGTGAAGTGTACAAAATCGAAGTAAAGTGGATAGTAAGAACGGAAAGAAGAAAAACAGCATTAAAAAAGGACACACGTGGGAATCAAGAAGTAAAGTAAAACGGAACGAAAAAAAGAAGAAACAAAGGAGGGAGAAGGAAATGGTGTGAAGCGGGTATCAATTCCAGTTGTTCACAGCGTAGTTTTTCAACAATTGGCCCAAGTTGTATTCAACAGGACAATCGTTGTAGTACTGGACGGCTACCGACAATCGTTCAAACAGCTCTTCGTCTCCATCGCAGGCCTCTCTCAAGGCATCCAAGACAAATGGTTCAATAAAATCGTAGTAGACCACATCAGTGAACTCACTAACAGATTCATTCGAAACAGCCTCATGTGATTGGATGACGTTTGGAACATAGTAAGACAGTAGCCTCCGGTGGATAGTATCGTCGCCATGGATTCCGCTATCATCGGTTGTGGTGTATCCGTAAGAAAGCGGCAAGCGATGGTCACCTTTGAAATTAGTAAGACGGTTGTTGATACTTTGAGGATTATTGACAACGAAAACTTCATTATCCTTGGCATTAAATTCGTCGTTATTGGCATTAGAGTTGGAGTTAGAGGTAAGTATCACGTTATTCTCATTAACATTGGCATTAAAGTCATTAGCATTTTTATTTGATATTTTATTAGGATTTATTATATTGTGTTTTTTCTCGATTGAATACTGATATGGGCATTTTAGATTGATTCCTGTCTTAGAATCAATAATGTATTCCCTATCGTTTAAGATACCTTTCAACTTGAGGGCAAGATCTGTGGGAATTGAAGGTAAAACTCTCCACATGTTTTGGAATGGAGAAACGGTAAAGAGAGAATTTCTATTGAACTCACCCTTATACAGATCATACCTTATTCCTCCAGTGTTAATCAGAATGATTCTATCGTTAGAATCAGATAGTACCGGTAACTTATCAATCTTGTTGCTACAAGATTTCGGTTGCAATTGAATCAATATCTCATCTTCCAAAAATCTTAACAAGGATTTCTCATCGTTGTTCTGGTAGTCGGCTGCAGAAATATAATAACTGTGAGGAACAATTCCGTACGCTTCATCTAACTTCAAATCTTTGCTGTACTTGGCCAATTCTTTCGACACATATAAGCCCTTTTCAGTGTTGAATTTCTCCAAAACAGTATGATTGGAGTGATGCATGAAGGAGTGGAGGTTGAAATCGATGTATTTTCTATGAATATTGTTTAAAATGTATTTTTCCTGGCTTTCTTCCTCACTTGGTAAATTATTGATTGAGAGAAATCCAACAGTTTCGCAATATCTGCCTGATTGCAAGCCGGTTGACAAGTTGTCTAATATTGAAAAGTCTCTAATATGGGAATGGCCTCCCAAATACTGAATGTATGTTGAAGGGAAATAGGATCTAAAGAAATTGTGTAGCTGGCTCATCTCAAACCAATCATGGGCAACGGGTATGTGTCCAAAGAGGACGATTGCATCAACTTCATAATTTGAAGCGTAGTCTTCGACAAGTTCGATGAACCAAGATTGTTTGATTATTTCGGCTATTGGAATGACGTTGACTCTTCTATTACCCATTTTGAAGTCGAACATGAATGAGAAGCTCAAAATCTTGTATTTGTTGATTTTAGTTTCGAAATATCTATGGGTGTTATTTCCAAACACGACCCATTGGTCGTCATCGTTCAGATACTGGACGTTAGTGGAAATGAAGTGATCGCCGTATCTAGGAACCAAGTTTTCGTATTCGTGTTTACTGATTTCTTCTCTGTATAATTCATGGTTCCCGATAGTAATGAGGTCGTAGTCAAGCATCATGAAAATCTTGGACGACAATTCTCCATTTGGGTATGTCAAATCGCTCAAGCCGTTGCCGTCGTGTCTGTCACCGGTATCGATAAGTAAGAGGTCTGAGTCCTGGCTGTTTAAGTTCTGCAGAAGATTTGAGTGGAAGGAGATAAAATCGCCCCAGTCTGAAGAGTACTGCTTTTGGTTCAAATGGCCCAAATACCAGCCATGCGTATCAGTTGTGTGCAAGAAGTTCAATTTTCCAAACTTAAGTTCCCTTAAAGGCTCGTGGATGTTTGGCAATCTTGATTTCAACTGCTGCTTAATGGTTATTCTAGAGGTTGCAGAGAAAAAGGATGGGTCATGTGTAGACTCCTCGCTGGCAAAATCGATGTCTGTGATGAAGTCGCCATCGTTAGCCAGCGAGCGTATGTTCAGCAGTATCACGAAGAACACAAAAATAAAGACGAATATTTGGCTGAGGAGGAGCATCGGATGGTGTGTGACGGAGCCGAGTGTTGTGTCTGGATTGCCCTCTTCGAAGAGGTGTAGGGAATGGAAACAGCTGTTATGGTGCGGTGTAGGTCAAGCGGAGCGAAAGTTGATCCCAGATGGATTTTTCGGAATTAACTTTTACGCTTGGCTATTAGTAATAACAACCGTGGTGATGAGATAATCTGTGAGGGAGTGATTGAGATCAAACGGTCATGAAAAACAAGCAGAGCGGGGCCGGAGGGCGGAACGTGGAACGTGAATGTGGACGAATAAAGGGATAGATCCCGTTCGAAGGAAACGTTTGACGGATGTTGGCTGTTGTCCTATCTGGCTGGCAGTTTGTGCGGAGACTATCAGTCTCGTGGCAGGACGACGGGGGAGACTATTTGTACGTGTACGTGTACGTGTACGCGATCGAAGATGGGTATACTATACAGCTGGCGAGAAGACCTGTTGTGTTGGCAGCAGCAGAGGGCACTGTCCACCTATTCCGGACAAGAAGAAGGCGTCCTGTGACAGCTATATAGCTGAGCTCGGGGTCGCAGATAGAGGAGGGCCCTGCCGGGGTGACAGCGAGAAAAAACCCCTAGGCTGTGAAGCCGAGCAAACCGGCTGTATCTTCTCGAACATGCAATTTGCGCCGAAAAGGGCAACTGCGAGGGGCGCTGGCGATGCGTAAATAGAGCTCGTTGCCACAGACAATAGGGGGGCTCCGGGTGTCCCGGCTGAGGAAGATGAGGGTCTTTTTTGCCGGCAGAGAAAGAGATGGACCCAGATGCAGCCGGTGCCGTTGTCCGAGCGTGTAGCTAGGCGATGTGGACGACGTCGGAGACAGTCGACGGCGGCTCTGCCGGGTTGGTGTCGTGCTGGCCCCAATCTTGCGGAACAGATGGGATGGCGTCCGTAAACATTTCGTCCAAAGCGGCAGTCCAAGAGGACGCGTCAGGGCCCGCCGTGCTGTTGACGCGGATTCCGGTTCGGGCCTCTTGCCCGTTTCGGTCTGAAGAGGCCTCGATCCCAGTCGATCGCTGTCACAGCTGCGGCAGAGCCGTCCCCTTCCACCACGCCAAACCCGCTGCCTTCTACAGCCCCGTGCAGAGCCGGGATGCGGGCGTTTGACGTTTTGTGCGTCCTGCGGTTCCCTTCCACAAATGTAGCCGTGGCAATCAGACGTTCTGCAGTCACGTGCATGAAAAAGGCCTCTGCATTGTCGCGGTGCACGGATGTAGCTCTTGGTCACGTGCCGAATTTGCTCTCTTTTTTTTCCTGCTCTGGCTTCTTGGCACGTACGCGGGAAATGACAGCAACGAATGGTAAGTGAGGGGAATCAAATTGGGACAAAAATTCACCCTCTCAACAGCAGCACACACGGAGACACACACACTACGGCTGGCCAGCCTTGATGCGTGCACAGGAAAGAGTCTTTGCACACCGTCACCTCTGCTGCGCCAGAAACCCCCTGTTCAAGCTACAGCATTCCACAAGCAGAATCAGTTGTGTCCGTTCTTCTACATACGCCTTGACGCTTATCTGAACACCCACCGCCTGAACCGCTCCAACCCCTTGCTTGAATCCCAGGTTGTCAACATCGCAGTGAATAGGAAAAGGCCGCTCACGCATTCATTCAGCTTGTTCTACCCATCAAACCTTCGACGTCTAATATCACACACATAACCCCCCGCCGCTGTTCGATAGAAACCCCCCTCCCCATAGAAAAATGTCAGAAACAGCAGCCCCACAGACAGCACAACAGGAGTCTTTCAAGCTTCCAAGACCATTCTTCCTGAAGGATGAAGACGTGTCAGGATCCAAGTTTGAGCCGGTCGACACCTTCAAGGAGACCAAGAACATCGCCATCTACTCTGCCATCTTCCTCGGAGGTATGCATGTCAGAAGATTGCTCCAACACAGAATGGGTTCAGCAAGACCTGGTCAAGAACGTTATCTCAAGCTATTCGAACTCAGTCCAAGACATTTCGTATCGGTTCCATTTGCCCTTGGCACCTACAGCTTCATCTCCAATTCCCTGTACAACCTAGACGAAAAGAGAACAACGTTCAACGAAGTGCTTGCCGCCTCTTCGGGTGTCCTCGTTGCCACAATCTTCAAACAATCTCCATTGAACCAGAAGGTAGGTTTAGCCCTCGGTATGGGCGTCTTTGTGGGTCTATTCAAGTGGGCTGGTGGATTGGTCGACTCCTACGACTCTAACTACACATACATGTATCAAACGGACAAAATTCACAACCAAGAATCAAATAAATCACTAGACGAAGATTTCGCAAACGGTACCTACAAGAAGCAAGGCTTCTGGGAACTTTTGTACAGAAAGCCTCTCAGTGAAACCATCGAAGATCTCGGTGAAGGTAGAGGCATTGGTAAGTTATAATCCTAAATTGACTCCATACCACTTACCAATATCCCTGTACTTCTTCATAACCTCTCCTTCTATATATTTATTTATTCATTATCTATTTATTCATTTATCTGCACATCCATTATATATGTAACTTTTATATAAGAGATGAATTTATTTTTTGTTGTTTTCAAAAAAACAAAGAAAGTATTAATTAATTGATGGGATAGAAAATAAAAGGTCATACAGTGGTGTCTAAAAAAAGAATTATATAGTAAATTTAAATGTTATCATGTTGAACAACCACCTTCACTTTGCCGATGCATGAATACATTTTGTTCAACTTCTTTATCTTCTTCTGGAACCCGAGAGCTCTACTCTTGATACTGTAGCTGTATTTCACTCCATCGTAAGGTAGCGTTATGATCAACGTGTTTTTGATATCTTTGTCCTTTTTGCCGTTGTCCTTCGCCTCATCTTCCGATGTCTCGTTGGTGATTAGCTCGGAATCATTTTTGAACTGGAATGACAAAGATCCCGGTCTGATGTTACCACCAGGATGAATACCACAAATCACATGCATCATCTTGCCGCATAGCTTGGTCCAGTAAATCATCTTTTCCCCACGACGAGGAGCAGAATCAATCACCAATTTTTCCAAACTGGCATAGTAGTTGCTCTCACTGGACGGTAACTCGGCTCCCCACCTTTCACAAAGCGCAATTCCTATCAACGCTCTTGTTCTATGTGACAAACCATGCGAGCCTGCAATGATACCGGACGTGGCAACATGCAATGCTGCCGTAGGTTGCAATTCCTTTGGATATGAACAATGCACAAACGCTATATTGCACAATGCTGGTATTATTCGGTTGGCAATCTCGATAGGCACGATCCCATCATAAGCAGAAGGTAATCCGGTTTTGAGTAGATCCATGTATTTGTGTGCCAAAAGCGGAGCATACGGCCTTGTTGCAGTGATTATCGGATCCTCCTCTTTGATCTCTTTAGAGAACATTGAGTATAAGACACCCTCACGGACACCACCTTCACTGAAGTGAACCGTTCTGACTCTCGGCAAAGACTCAAAGGCTGCAGACAATAACAAACCAACGGCTGGTAATTGCTGTTCTCTACGATTTGAGACGCAGAAAATCTTTGACTCCTTCTCCTTGAAGTTTTCAAACCGGGGGACCTTTCTCTTTAACAGCAAGTAGTTGCACATGCTCTCCACCTTCTCGAAGGTCGCAGAGTAGCCGTTGATGATGGTTTGAATCGGGTAATCCGGCTCGTTGGCAATCAACAAGTGACCCAAGCCTCGCAACCCACCACCGCAACAGAACAGCTTTGTTCCATTGTTCTTCTCTATGTCGTCGATAAGGACCTGGGGAAGACCTATCTTCTCGAACGCAACCTGGTAGGAGCTCTTTATCTCGTGGAACAAGTCGTTGATGTCCTCGTGCTTCATGCGGTGCGAGAGGGCCGCGGCACCGTAGGGCAAGGAGACCGAGTGTTCGCTGATCTTCACCTCACCATTCTTGGAGATGATCCAGCTCAACTGTGTCGATCCACCACCCAAGTCCATGAAAAGCCCAGACACCTCGTGGAACGAGGAAGCCACTCCGTACGCACCGGTGATGCCCTCCTCCTCCTTACTGAGAAGTGTGACCTTCCAGCCCGTAGCCTCATAGATTTTGTCTCTGAACTCCTGCGAGTTCGATGCCACTCTCGTGGCCTCCGTGGCGACAACTTTAACTCCGTTCGAAGGAACGCCAAAATCCTCACAAATCCACTTGAACCGCCTCATCGAGCGAATGATCTCCCGTATGGCGTCGTCCGGAATGGGCTTCTTGGTCAGCCCGTTGTTCTCATTGTCGTCGTTAATTTGCGCATCGAAGAGCGATATGCCCAACCGGTCCTTGAAGACACACGGCATGATTCTCGCGTGGTGGGGCGCCTTCGAGGAAATGGAGAACCGGATGCCGTTCGACCCGATGTCGACGATAGCCGTCAACGCTCTGCCCACGACAAAAGCTTCGTTCTCAGTGTCATCGTCAACGTTGTAGTGGTCGTCAACGTGGTGGCTGTCTGGCGTGTTCTGAAAACACAAGCTATCCTCCAACGACATTGCCTCTTCCGTGTCGCTTCGTGCAGGCCCGGCATGGGCTGATGCCCGGGCCCGCCAGTCTGCTCTTTGCCTGCCATGTCCGTCCATTTGCAATGATTCATACCCTCCTGCCCTCCCGCTCAGGACGTGAGTGCAGCCCGAGAGCACGGCCAGATGCCGGACGGCGCGGTGGCTTACGTCAGCCCCCCTCTACTGGCCCCCCGTCAGCTTTTTTCCTTTGCAAGAAGAAACGACCTCTGATGGCAACGAGCTGAGCATCGTTGCAGGCCGTCAGCCTCGAGGCACAACACGCAGGCACCACAAGACACCAGACGCAACCGGGTACTTAAGCATGGACAGTGCAGCGGCAGATGCGATCCACGGGGCCGTGGAGGTGGTGGACACGCTGAGGACGGCGGGCGAGCAGGCTCAGCTCGTCGACGAGGTGCTGCAGGCGCCTGAGCAGAAACTGGACGACGGCCACGGCGCCAGCAACGGACACTACGACTCAGAAGAGCATGATGGCAATGGTGATAGCGCTGGCTCCGACGCCGAAAACGAGCCGGTCACGACAGTTCACGACGTGCTGGACACGCACGTCGTCGGACCGCAGTACGACATCGACTTCGGCCGCCTTGGCAATTTCCTTCTCAAGTGCGGCATCAACCTCGTGCTCCCCTTTGTCAACGGCATGATGATGGGATTCGGTGAGATCTTCGCCCACGAGCTGTGTTTCCGGCACAATTGGCGTTTTGCCAGGGTCTCCCCGCCAGAACGGATGCTCCGTGCCAGAGAGAGAGCGAGCGAGAGAACGAGCGCTGTTCTTGGCGGGGACTCCGTGCTGCTACATTAGGCAGGGGGCGAAACGACCCCGCACGCGGGCCGTGGTCATGATTCACCGTCGGCCTTACTCCGAGGTGCTGGGCCGGGGACGGGGCCAGCCCCGGCGTATAAAGGGTGGGGGTCATAAGCAGACGGCAGACGGGCAGCCAGACGGGCAGCCAGACGGCGGTATGCCATAGACGTGTGTAGCAGCGTGTAGTTCTGGCCTTCGGACAGCAGCAGGTGTAGGAATTGGAAACTATAACTATAGCCATAGCCATTCTAAACAAAAACAAACACAATAACCATAACCAGAAGTAGCCATGTACGATTCATCGACTCAGGCATACTTGAACAAGGGCAATGCCTATCTCATCCGGTCGGTGCGCAACGTCTTGTTGTTCTACTCCAAGCGACGCAAGTACATCTTGCGGGTCTGCTACTGCTTGATCATCTACATGATCTTCAACAATGGGTCCAAGTCGAAGGCAAGGCCTAAATCAAACCCAAAGACGTTTCCGGAGTCGAGGTCGAGGTCACTAGTGGAACCTGTTGGAGGCGGGCAGATCTCGCAAAATGCACAAGAAAAAGTATCACCACAGGAGAGCCCGTCCGCAAAGAAGTACAAGCCGTTAATTGCAGGGAAAGCGATTTTGAAAAAGCTGCTGTACAAATTCAAAAATTCCTCCACGGTGGCTCTCTTCTCCCAGCTCAATTTGAGAAGTCCGAAAACACTCCACTCGTTCTACCAGCTTGCATTGCAGGTGATACTTCTTTTCTTCAAGGCCTTCTTGACCTTGCAGATAGCCACCTTGGATGGTAACTTGGTCTCCTCGTTGATCTCACGCAGGTTCAAGAAATTCTTCAAGTTCTTGCTGCTCTGGCTTGTGATCGGTATACCAACTTCGATTACAGATTCCCTGTTGGAGAAGTCGAAGAAACTTCTTTCTCAGACAATTCGGGTCAATCTAACAACGAAAATGTTGGACGATTATCTACCTTCTAACGGCAACGCGACGTTGTACCAGCTTTTGAACTCAAAGTCATCCGCAATCACAGACCCTAACCACAGGATAACAAGCACAGTAGAAAACTTTTCCAACAGTTTCAGTATCCTCCCCTCTCAACTTCTAACTCCAATTTTGGACATACTCATTGCCGCTAACCATATGGCCAAATCCAGTGAAAATGCCTCCGAAGGAGCCCTTTTACTAGGCCTGGTAGCAAACGTATCAACTTTGGTGCTCAAATTTTTCACTCCAAATTTCAGCACCATGAATAACATGAGAAATACCCTAGAAAACAAGTTTCATGAGTTCCATTCCAATATCATAGTCAACAACGAGGAAATAGCGTTGGCTAAAGGCCACTCTAGAGAAATAGATTTGCTTGACACATCCTATTTTGAGTTTGAGAAGTTCGAAAGAATGACTTTGAGAAGAATGGCAGTTTACAACTTTGCCATCAGCTTCATCTTCAAATACACTCTAGGCGCCTTTGGTTTGATGTTGTGTGCCGTTCCAACGTTCACTTCGGTCTATTTTGCGGGCTTCAAGCCAAGTGAGGAACTCGTTTCAGGATTGTCGTCTGACTTTGTTGCAAATAGAAGCTTGCTTTTGAAGGCAAGCGATAGCTTGGGCAAATTGATCCAGTCAAAGAAAAACATACAAAATATGACAGGTTACGCTAATGAACTTTGGGAATTCGAAAAGGAATTGATTGATATCAACGAATCCTCTCAATTGGAAAATGCAATAAATACCAGGAAAGATAGTCATGGTAACAATCATGTTAATGCTGATTCTCAGCCTTTACTAGTTGGACCAAATGTCAGCTATGGAGATGAAATCAGCTTCCATGAAATTCCTCTTGTTACTCCAAACGGTAATGTTCTAGTGGAGAATTTGACTTTTTCAATCAAGCCTGGAGATAATTTGCTCATAATCGGGCCGAATGGTTGTGGTAAGTCCTCTTTGTTTAGAATTTTGGGAGGATTATGGGAGGTCAAGGATCCGGGGAAATTGGTGGTTCCTTATGATAAGAAGGACCTTTTCTATCTACCGCAAAGAAGCTATTTCACTTACGGTACTTTAAGGGAGCAGATAATATACCCTGATTCCTATGATGATTATAGGGATAAGATTTTGAGGGCCAAACAGGAAAACCCTTCTTCTCCTGTTCACGATGATGAATATTTGATTGAACTCTTGCGTGAAGTCAACCTCGATTATCTCCTAGACTATGATAGTGATCTAGAAGAAGAGGATGATATTGAAAAAGATTTGAGTCGTGCTTCAACATCTTCCTGTGTATTCATGATCCCATGTCTTGATAGAGTTGAGAAGTGGCCGGATATTTTGTCAGTTGGTGAGCAGCAAAGACTTGCCATGATTCGTCTTTATTATCATTGTCCAAAATTTGCAGTTTTGGACGAATGTACCTCAAGTATTTCCTCCGATTTGGAGCGTGAATGTTACAGGATTGCTATAGAAGATTTGAAGATAACGGTTATTAGTGTTTGCCATCGTACGACTCTATGGGAGTTCCATTCCAAAATTTTGAAGTTCAAAAGGCCTGAAGGTGAAGGAATGGCCACTACGTTATTCACGAGTTTTGATCCAGAACTCAGGTTGCAAAGGCATGAAGAGCTGATTTCGATCGACAATTCTTTGAAAAGGAGCGATGAGTTGACTAAACGGTTACAAGCTCTAAAGAAAATGAAGAATTCAAGAAGTGGAAGAAGGCCTGCTTTAATGTATATAGAAGAAGATGATGACTAAGATTAATTCTTTTTTTGTTATCTCAATTTTAATTTCTTATTAATGGAGTGTACACTATATAGTAAAGATTTCTGGTTTCTTTTTCAAAGTATTTTTTACAAAAAAACAACATTTCTGTCGTATTCCATCATTATTTCGTTCCAATCTCTGCCTGTCCGCCAACATTTAGCCATTATTTCGATTCCAGATTCTGCAGACACGGATCCTTTTTCCTGAAAATCGTGTAGCTTTTTGATGAATAGTGGTTGCAAATTCACATTTTGACATTCACATCCTGCAATGAACAAAGGCAAGATCAAACCCAAAGAATTTGGCTGCTGGGTATCTATATGTTTTGTCATTGCGTCCAATATCCCGAGACACATCTCCTGTATGATTTTGGAATTTCTTGGCATCAGTAGCACCCTTCTATACAACTGGATCATCCCCATCAATAGGAAGCAATGATTTGAAGCAACCACTGCATTGAGCGATTTTGCTCTTTTTGTCTCCGTAGTCTCATAAACTGTGTACTTCAATTTTTGGAATTTGGTTTGGATGTTTATTGCAGATTCAATTATAGATGGAGAAAGTCCAATGCTTGAGGCTTTGGAGGCAATATTCATTCTCTCGTTTGATCTTTTGATTAAGTTGACCCGTTTAATTAGTTTCGCCAACTGAGAAAAGATTGGTAAGAATTTGATTTTGAAACCAAGCATGTAATCGATATCTTGGTGCGACTCATCTTTCATCAAACCATCCTCCGTCTCAGCGACCTCGTAGTCTATCTGATCGTCTGGGTCAGTGTTTGAAGCGTCGAGATCATCATTGTTCTGGGGTATATCATTAGAAGGCGCTCTGCCATTGTTATTAGCATCCATTATACTGAAAGAAGATGAAAAAGAGTTTGGAGAAGAGAAAGAGTCTGACATGGGGGATAACGAGTCTAGATAGGAGGGACTATTGGCGCAGTATTTCTTGATCTCATCTTCAGTAGGCTCTAGTGGCGACGATAAGTTGGTGAAGATGTCGAGGTAAGCAAACCATCTTATTAAAAAATAAAGTAATTTGGATTTTTTGATTTCCCCGCTAATTAACGAACCATCAGTTTTGTAATCTGAAAGAATTTTATCAAAAGGTCTGTTGTATCCTCGCATCAAGAAGATCTGCTTTGCACCATTCATATGGACTTTCCATTTATCGCTTTTGTAGTTGAATGCTAGGAAGGAGGAGAAAAACATGACTAATGTCAAAGTGAGATCTGATGTACACGTTTCCTTGTTATTGAGCAATACTAATAAGTCGGATAAAGCTCTACCTAATAGAGAGTCGACTATTTTTGTCGAATCTTTTTTCAGTAAGAGGCTTTTGTGGGCAGAGCCGAAGGCAACAATCAAAGACATCAACCCATTGTTTGTCATAGCGAGTTTCGGGAGAACCTTTTTGAAAGGGTTGTTGATGTAGACACTTGAGTCTGCTGGTGTTAGAATTGAGGACGTTAAATTTGTGAAGAAAAGGAAGGAGTCGTAAAAATATGGGGCGTTCAGAAGCATATCTGGTAATGGCAGGAGGCCTCTAGGGATTGGCTCCATGATCTCTGATATCGAAGAAGAGGTGGAAGCCGGTGACGGGGAAATGGCAAGCAGACCGGTTTCTTCATCGTAATGATTACGGGGAGGTGTCCTAAATCCGCTGATCATAGGCACCGAGAAAAAGGTATGCAAGGGTTGTTCGGGTAGTTCTTGGGTCTTGGTGAAATTGTTGGTCAGATTTTCCATGAGGTCCGATGCGCTGCTGAAGTCGTTGCTCATCAAGTTGACTTCGGAGTTCAGCAGGAGCTGGGAGTTCAAAGAGAACGCATTTTCCGACTCTGTTACACGAGGATCGCCTGCATATTGCAGCTCAGGTGGTAGGTCCGGAAAGGAGCAGCTCACTGATTTGTCTATTTCTTCGAGGAAAGACCAAGGGGAAAGTTGGGTTAGCTTCTCATCGAACAAGGAGCCTAGCTTGGTATTTAGGTTCTGGATGTTGCTTGACACCTTTTCGCTTGCGAAAGGAGATGGTTCCCTTGAGAAAGGAGACGGTTCTTTTTTGATCTGGATGTTGCCTGACACCTTTTCGCTTGCTAAAGGAGATGGTTCCAAGGTGGAGGAAGACGGCTCTTTCTTGATCTGAATGTCGCTTGACACCTTTTCGCTTTCGGATGGTTCGCTGGTGGATGGAGACGGTCCTTTCTTGACAGGTGTGTCTGTGTAGGACTCTTCCAGCGACTGGAAGGCGGCTGCAGGTGGAGCCGGTTTTGCGGCCTGCAGCGGCGGCCTGAGGGTGCGGCTGACGGGTTCCTTGCGGAGGAGGCCCGGGATGTTCAGCGTGGGGTCCGACATCTTCAAGAGGAAGCTCAAGTTCTCGGAGGGGTTCAAGGACGGCGGCTTGAGGGCTGCCGGCTCCGCCTGTCTGCTGGAGCGGGGGGGCTGCGGCAGCTGAAGCGTGTTCTCCGGGGCCGGGGAGCACGAGGCCTTGACTGCTTTTGCCGCAGCGGGCGCAATGCCGCTGCCGCCAGCGCCGGCTGCCAATTGCGACCTCGACAGGCTTGCGATGGGGTTCAGCTTCTCCACCCGGGGCACCTTGTAGGGTCTTCCGCCCCACGTTAGCTTCAGCGAGTAGTCGCAGCTCTTGCCGCTGCGGAGGCAGTTGCCGCACACGGGTCTGGCCTCGTCACACTTGACCTTGGACTTCTTGCAGCAGCGACACCCGGTCCTGCTCCTCGACCTCTTCTGGGGGCCTGCGCCCTGTTCGGCGGCGGGGGACTCGGACGAGTCTGGTCGTTTCATGGCTGGAGAAATGCAGCGTGTGTGCGCAAGCCGAGCTGGGTCCACTCACACGGGACTTGTCCATGGAAAACGCAATGGATGGCGGTTCACACACAAGATCTACCGGAGGAGACGCAGCAGGGCAGCAAGGGGACACCCGATCCGAGCTGGACTGAATTGTGTCCAACGGAGCTGGACTGCAATGGAAAAAAAAAGAAAAAAAAACGGTCAGAGAACAGCCTGTCGCCCACCTACTCAGCTGCCACCTGCGTTTCAAACAAGCCTATCTGGTTCCGGAGGGCCCAACCGCCCAGATAGCACCTGGCCGCGCGCAGATTGCGGCTAGCGCCGGTGCCGGCCCCCGCTGCTAAGCGAGCGGGGAACATTTCCTGTTCGAGAAGGTGCACGCGAGCAGCCCTACTTTCCGTCGATCGACTTGGTTGGGCCGGTACGCCGATCGGCGCAGAAAATAAAAAACAAGGCGTCTGCTCTAGCTCGCGCCACCCGCGCGCGGCGCGGCGCCGCCGCGCCGCCCGCTCCCGTTTTCTGCCGTCTGGCCCCCGATCTCGTATCTCGCACGCGCCTGCGCCCCTCCCCTACTGGCGTGCGCCGGCTATCTGGCCCGTCCACCGCCCAGGGCCTGCACAACCGGCACACACCTGTCTACGCGGACGCCGTCCCCTCGCCCCGTCCGCTGCACCCCGCGCAACTCCGAGCGTCGCGCCGCCCAATTGGCCGCCGGACGCCTCACCTGTTGACCTCTGCACCCTCGCTCCTCACCCAGATCTGTCCCGCCCGCCGGACCCATTGTCCGTCGGCCCACTCTAGTGGCATTCCTCCTGCAGGGGGGGGCGATCTGCGTGCGCCCGCCGAAACCTGGGCTCACCTGGCCCTCGCTCCCCTCTCTGTGGGCGCGAGCCGCCGACGGGGCAGTCGGTCGCTCAGGCTCGCCCGCGAGCCTGCCGGCCTCTTGCTGGTCCTGGTGGACTCTGCAGACTGCTCTGCTGTGCTCTGCTGTGCTCGTCTGCGGCGGCTCTTCCGCTGGTTCAGGAGGCGCTTCGCCCCTCCCATGGAGCTCCAGCACGCCCGCATCACCTCACAGCACCCAGCACCACACTCATCACCTTCACCACACCCTCCTTCCCTTCCCATCCTGCTCCCTCCACCCGCCACGCTAGCAGCAAGTCGCAGACCCCCCCCCTACTAGTTAATCGCTACAGAGCGCTGCGCATATCCGGTACAGCGTACTGCCTATACCACACACACCGTCCTCGTGCGCCACCCTCATACCCTCTGACCAGCTGCTGCTACTTCCAGGCGACCGCGTGCCATATCCACAGTCACCCCGTATGCACAGATAGGCCCCGCAGACGCAGCACCCTGTTATCCGTTGTACTCATAGTCAAGCCCATACAAGCACTCTCGGTCCTCCGGCGTTCGAACTAGAGCGGCAGATCGACACACACAGCCATACCACGCACAGACTCCCACGCAACACGCAACACACGCTCCGTACATTCATTTTCTCCTAACGAAAAACGCTCCTTACTATACTACCCTCTTTTCTAATCCTTGCACTCCAGACGCTCACGTGCATACCTCCACCTAATCTCTAATCTCACCCAGCATCCCCAGCACAATGTCTCAAAACTTAGACGGCTTGTCGAGGTCCTCCTCCGCCTCAAAGGCCATGCGAAACATGGGAATCCACCCCGGAGTCCAGGCAAAGTTGATGGCCTTCCAGGCCAAGAGACAACAACAGATGCAGCAGTCGAAAAACCACTCCAACAACAGTATAGACACTCTGGCAGGCTCAGACGCCTCCTCCAGCTCCTTGAGTAACAAGCTGCTAGACACCTCTGTACCTCTCGCTCCCTACGACGAGGACGAGGACTTGATGAACTGCTCCCCGATAGACACCAAAGTCTTGCCAACCAACCTCAACAACTCTCCGTCGACTCCCTTGAGCTTCGACTCGAGCACTTTCAGCTCCCCTATCATATCCCCTAACGACGAGAGGAAGTTGGCCGACGATGGCGGTCTATCAAGAAGAACCTCGTTTAGATTGAGCAACAACAATCATTCCCATCCCCACGTTGCCTCTCAAGGCCACGGACATAACCTCAGCCAAAGCCAAAATCAGGGTCAAATAAAATCTCAATCTCAAAGTCAATCTCAAAGCCAATCTCAAGCTCAGGCTCAAGTTCACCCTCAGTCTCAGACCCAGCCTCAGCTTCAGCCTCAGCCTCAGCCCCAGGTAGTTGCACAAGCTCAAACTCAGAGTCAAATGCACCCCAGCAATAACAGCACTGACGATGTCATGAGAAGAACTTCTTTCCGGCTCAACAAAAGCAGCTCAATAACCTCTACAAGTACCTTGTCGGACGATTCAGAAGAGCTCTTGAATAGTGGCACTGATTTCGATCTGAAACGGAAGACCTCAGAAAAATCAAAAGTCAACGTCTCGCCAATCTACCCTGTCAATAAAAATCTGAGCTTTTTGTCCAAAATACAAAAGATTCAGTCAAATTCTTCGAGCTCGGAATCTTTATCCAGCAAGACTGCCTCATCATCATCTCCTGCAACTGCAACCGCACCTGGAACGGCTCCTGGAACGGCAAACTCATCGAGTATAGATTCTCCATCTATCTCTTACCCTCCGTCCAAACCTTTACCTTCCTTACCTGGCTCTGGTGAACAACTTCAGCAAGCCAATCTTGCCACTCATCATTCACCAGTTAATACAGAAAGACCTGTTCTTGCCGAAGAGCAGAAATTCACATCTCAGAATACTACCTTAACTCAGCCACTTTCAAGCAAGAGTAAACTATCATTGTCTCAAAGAAGAGGCATGAAACTGAATTTGAATTCTATGAGCAGCAGCTCTTCAAACGAAACTACATCTCGTGGTGTTTCTGAATCCAGCAAAGTCGATAATGATATCAACTCTTTGAAAAAACAAGTCAACAAACTTTCTTTAAATGGCTCTCCTATGATGAATAATCGTGCTTCTTCTCATATGAACAAACTGAGAGATAAAACGTTACCAAATAGAAGAAGGCCGATGAACATGAACATGAATCTGAACCTAAATGGTCTCGATAACCCATCAAGACCAACCTCCATGAGAGTCCAAAAAGATAACAACAGTTTCACTCCTTTTGCCAAATACATCGACATAAAATCAGGCCAGTTGAATTTTGCCGGTAAGGCTTCTTTGCATTCTAGAGGTATTGATTTTTCCAACGGCTCTTCATTCAGAATCTCTATGGACGACTTGGAAATTTTGGAAGAGTTAGGTCATGGTAACTACGGTGTGGTATCGAAAGTATTGCATAAGCCTACAGGTATAATAATGGCAATGAAAGAGGTGAGATTGGAACTTGATGACGCGAAATTCCGACAAATCTTGATGGAATTGGAAGTTTTGCACAGTTGCAGCTCAGATTGTATTGTTGAGTTCTATGGTGCATTCTTCGTTGAAGGTGCAGTTTATATGTGTATTGAATACATGAAGGGAGGCTCACTAGATAAAGTTTATGGAGATGGTGTTCCAGAGGCCCCATTAGCATATATTACCAAACGGGTCATTCTAGGATTGAAACAACTAAAGGATGAACAAAACATCATCCATAGAGATGTCAAACCAACCAATATCTTGGTTAACGAAGTTGGTAAGGTCAAGTTATGTGATTTTGGTGTCAGCGGCAACTTGGTCGCGTCTTTGGCTCGTACAAACATCGGATGTCAAAGTTACATGGCACCTGAAAGAATTAAGCATACCAGTCCTGATGTTTCAACCTATTCGGTGCAATCAGATATCTGGTCTTTAGGTTTGTCAATCTTGGAAATATCGAAAGGTTGTTACCCATATCCTCCAGAAACTTACAATAATGTCTTCTCCCAATTGAGTGCAATTGTCGATGGTGAACCTCCGGGCTTACCTCAAGGAAAGTTCGGTCCAGAAGCTCAAGACTTTGTTAGGCAGTGTTTACACAAGAACCCAAGTAAACGTCCAACATATAGAGAGCTATTACAACATCCATGGCTTAATATGTACGATGATTCCCAAGGACAAGATATGTTGAAGGAGATGGTCGACCAAGCCATTGAGAAAAGCGAATCCGGTAAGCAGGAAGACCAGAACAAATCTGTTCCTGCGCTTCACAGCGGTCTGCAAGTATGACTCACTTTTATATTGCATTTTATTTACTGGTAAATAAGAATTATACCCTCATCTTTCTGAATCTTTTTTCCAAATGTAGCTTAAATCAACTCAACTTCAGACCTCAATGCTTTTAGTAGAAGAGCTTTTTTAGACCAAAGCTTACGTAATTGTTTTTGTTTTGAACAGTACTAATAATGAACTTCTACCATAATTTATTTGTAAATTATTGTGCAGATAAGAGTGCTAGAAACTTTAAAAACTTGATTTTTAGAGCTTTCTTTATTGTTAAGAAAATTTTGAATAAGAAGATGTTGAGATAAGATGCCGAAGCCAATCATGATCGAGTGATAAGAGATAAGAGTCTTATCATGATAAGGCATCTTAAGTAATCTAAAACTGGAAAGTTAGCCGCCATGATAAATGAATAATGGCAAGTTTAACCGAAGGTGTAAGTGTATAAATACAAGAGGTTTGTCCCTTGTATTTATGTTTGAGAATATTAGTTTGTAGGCTAGTTATATTAGTTATAAATTAATAAGCAACAAACATAAGAAAAAGTGAACATATACAATGGATATTCATAATAGAATAGCTAGATTACAACAGGTTATGAGCCAATTCGCTCTCACTTGCCCTAGAGATGAGAGCTTGAAGGCTTTCTTCGT